TAATCCACTATTACGTAAGAAAATCTTTCTTTTAGACTTTTATGATTATAATTATGTTAATAAGGCATTCCGATACTATTGGGGTCCTTGGGGCGTACCGTTGGCAATGGCGTTGTATGGCTTGGGCCATACGCTCAGATTGGGGACGATAACACTCGTGTTTACCAATCATGACATGCCAGATTCGGTGCAATGGCATAGTTGACGGTATCCCCACGCTGACTCGACTTGGGCCGCCATCCTTTCGGTTCTCACAAACCCATTTTTGAAATCACTTCGTGATGGTTTCCCCACCTAACTGCCTTAGATCACTGCTTCAACGAATAGGATCGATACTCTGCCGTTGTCACTTTAGTTGATGCCAACAATTGCAATCGTCGCCAGACAAAGACTATTCTAGACTGGTGTTCAGTAGCATGTTCCTCTCTTCGCGAGCTGCACGTGTATATTTGCGCTGGAAAATATGCCCCCTTTGAGACGTTAAATGATATCTCATGGCCGATGAATATGACTTACCAGGCACCCGACAATCGGTGAGGTTTGTCAAATGATTGTTACGCTAGCTACATCCATTGGTGTCATCCCTATCTAGTCTTTGCAATTCCTTGAAGGTGGCACAGAACCCTGTGTTCTAGAACGCCTGTGCACGAAGACCGTTTCTCAGAAATTTAATTTTCGGCCCCGCATTCCAGGAAGACGGCTGGCTCCGAAATTTGGTCTGGTATGCAAGTGAACATACCAGAAATGCATGAGTGCAGAGTAAGGGCAGCGAAGAGTCGACTGACATGTCACGTCACATAGCAGCGAATGCAATACCTGTGGTACTTAAGAGCCTCGGCTGAGTCCTCTCATTCGCACCACGTCCGATATTCACCTTCGATCGCTCATGCTCTTCTGCCTTCTGAACAAGAAATCTCTGAATCGGCGAACATGAAGGCCCTTCTGCTCGGGCTGAAAGGCGCTGGCGTATTTGCATTTCTAGCTGGAACTGCAGCACGTGATATCCAACCAAAGATATGTTCCCTCCTACAGATAGGAAGACTTCGGCTAACTTGAGATACGATGTTGTAGTAGATTCGCTCAACAAACGTGCGGATGCCGCTGTCGACGCCGGGCGTGGCGGCGGGCATGGCGGCGGCGGCGGCGGTGGTGGACACGGCGGATTCAGCGGCGGACACGGAGGCGGACACGAAGGCGGACATGGAGGGGGCGGCGGCGGACACGGCGGATTCAGCGGCGGACACGGAGGCGGACACGAAGGCGGACATGGAGGGGGCGGTGTATACCACCCTGTATACGAAGGCCCCAAATACGTGCCTGTCCCGATCTACCCCCCGTACCCCTACCCCCCCTATCCCCCCTACCCTCCTCACACGAGCAAGACCAAGACCACAAGCAAGACCAAGACCACCAGCAAGACCAAGACTACGAGCAAGACTACGAGCAAGACCACGACGACGACGACGACGACGACCACGCCTACGACGACGACCACGACGACGACGACGACGACGACCACGACCTGCAGTATCCCTGAGACTGAAAAGACATACTATATCCCCGCAGCAGCCACCGTAGGGCAGACACTTGCGGTCAGAGTCCCTAGCTGCGCTAAAAAGATGCGCTTCATCGTGAGAGGAGGAGGAGGCGGGGGCCCAGTTGACTCTCAGGCTGTCGACCCACTTGGCGGGGTTAAACAATGGTTGGGTTACGGCGGGGTTGTCACTGGTAATTTGGATGTTACTCCCGCGCAACAATACTTTCTCGTTGCTGGAGGAGCAGGTGACAAGGGTGGGAGCTTTGGTCAAAGTGCGTATGGCAAGGGTGGCCTCGCGGCAAATGGAGCAGGAGGCGGTGGTGGTGCGTCTGCACTGTTGCTGGGCACTTCAGCCCTTGGGGAGGAGATTGCTGTTGCGGGAGGGGGAGGAGGCGACTCGACTGCCGTTGTCCCTTTCCAGGTTCCAAATAGCTGGTCGTTAACGTACACCAATTCCGGCAACGCTGGTATTCAGGGCGAGACGAAAACACTGACCGCGCCACCGCAAGATACTTTGAAACTTCAAACCGACGGGGGATTTCCAGGAACTCTGCTTACACCCGGGACAAAGGGACTCTTCACCCCATTATCCGTTACGACGGCGATTACTGGGAATAATGCAGTTGGCCATGATGGAGCAGATGGAGTTTCTTTTACCTATTCAGGCACCTCGAAACTAGGTTCAGGTGGAGGCGGAGGAGGCTTTAATGGAGGCGGAAGCGGAGCTGTAGGCAGTGTGGAGGCGCCCGGCAACAAAATTGTTGTACTCTCTGGAGGTGGTGGGGGTGGATATAACTACTACCAGATTGCTAAGGTTACCCAGGGCACTTCAACGGTTGCTTCAAGCAACACCGCTGGCAGTGTGTTTGTTGAATTTAGCTAGTTACCTATTCTCTCTGAATAGGGTGTCCAAGGCATGTTCCTTTAGATAGTTCTACTACTACTACCGCATCTTGGTAGGCCGTGCACACCGTCACCTTATGCATACCCCCATTCAAATCTTACTTAGCCTGCAATATAAGGATGTACAGAGAGTAACAATCAGTACTGTCATGAGATTTTTTGGAGTTAAGGCCTCCTAAACCTAGCTCCACAAGAGAATTAATGTACTACCATCATCTTGTGAAAAATTCCTTCAAGTCTACAACTATTTCACTTGCTTAAGAAGCGGCCGCTCTAGGCGCAATGTTGCGGTTGAGGATAAACCGCACGTTGGGCAGAAGAAATTGTTAGGCACTGAAGATTGATTGAATACTAGCTACTGTGGTATATATATGTGTGCGTGAAGCGATGTAGTACAGAGCATGGGTAAGCGATGCTGGACCGAGCCATGGTGTTGAGGTTAACAGGGTAAACCGCGACACGCAATGTTTCGCGCGCATAGGCACATCTCAAATTTCACATGACCCCCAAAAACGGTGATAAGTTTGAGCGTCTATGGCGACCATTTCTGGGTCTTTTATAAAATCTTTTAGTCTCCAGGCACCCATTACTCTTCATGTCAGTCGAAGAGTAGTCACACTGTAGGCCAGATGCTGCATTTGTGGTATTTGAACTATTTGAACAACTCATCAGACAAGGGACATCCACTATTGCCGTGGCTACCGTTATTTCCGTCGCTTTCAGGGTTTTTGGAATTGTCGGGGCTATCTTCGGGAATTGGGGGTCTACCCAAGGATCTCGCCAGCTGATAAGACTTTCGCCGTCCTTAAAATTCTGCAGAGTATCATTGACTCGGTTTTGATAGCTATAGCAAGAGTGGCCATAGGAGCCACATTCCTCAAGGTACAAGCTAACTCGAAGGCATACGTACGTATGTGAGTCGACATACTTTTTCCCCAAGCGAAGATAGCCATAGTGTTTGTCGTCATGCTGCTTAAGATTGTTCGTGTTGAAACCCACGCGGCGACCTTCTCCGGTCCTCATTTATCTCTCACTGCAAGATTATAGTCCACTGTGCTTGTCTTCCCAATGGTACGTGCCTTGAAGCGCTCATTCCTGCAACGTACATGTCCTGCTGCCTTAATCGGCAAGAACTGTCTTCGGGAGACTGCAAACCCAACTCTAGGCATAAATTGTCTCGGTCGTAGAAAGCCTCACGTACGTGTGCTCGTGCGACAACATCTTAGATCACAAGCAAAGGGCTTGGTGGAGTCCAAGGGCTTCTCCATGTTGCGGCTGATGTTCACCTGGGTCATGTTCGCCGCACATTTCAAAAATGCACTGGCGCAAGCTAGTATGCCAGCCTAAACCTGGGAACGCCAGGCATTAGAAGTATCCGGTTTTACATCAGGATTCACGACTGCCGTGATAGGGTCTGTAATGACAACCAGGTCTTCGTCGACACCCTTGGAAAGAACTGAACCCAGCTTGAGAGGGGGTAAATGATCAAAGGTTCAGTTTTCCTCGTAAAACCAGCGGTGTGGTGTGGTGTGGTGTGAGAGAGAGGGCGAAAGAGTTAGAGAAAGTGTGCTGTAGGGCGCTCCTTCGGGTCGCAACGCGTTGGCACGAAGCATGTCATGTTGGAACTCTTACATGCCCTCTTAGACAAAAACACTGTTCCAAGTTGCTGTGACTAAGACGAAAGGCCGAGTAAACCCGTTTGCTGTTACTATACTCTTATCATTATCATAGTCTGGATTTCTAATCAGAAGTTTCATTGAACAATATGTGAGGCGAAAATTTGCTGCAACAGAGATGTCGCAAGTGATCCGGATCGCGAGATGAATCTAATCTGGATAGAAAAACGTTGTGCAAGAAACGTTCGCGAACCTACATAGTTTCCCAGAACTGCACAAAACCCATTCTTCAATTGAAACTGCCCTTGCCTTTAGTAGTACACAGATTGAACGTGTTTCTACCAGGGGGAATATTCTGAGTTGTTCCCACCTGAATTGCTTGCCTGCAACTACTCCCAGATCAAGACTGAACAACAGTTTTGCAAGGGTGAGCCGCATCTCAGCCCACGCTAGATGTTGGCCCATGCAATTTCGTGGACATGTGCTGAACAGCTCAATTACTTTTCGTTAATAGTAGTAAAACGGAGAGCTTTCCTTGCTGCACGCTTCCGGAAGCCATCGTTCAGGTTCGAAAGATGTAGGTCATCAAAGTAGGAAGGCTTACGAGTAAGTTTCCATGCTTGTATCGATACCGGTGTCTGTATTGTTATATCAGAATTGCGCCTTTGTAATGAGTGGTGGGACTAAACCTACTTCCCCGGCAACCATATCCCGCAAACTGAATCTGCGCCATTGGGAACTCTTCGAGGAAGTACCCACGGTATTGCGGGGCAGAGCCGCAGAGCTTCCTGGATAACAGCGATGAGATATGGGGGGTCATGAAGAGCAGCGAGTGTAATATTTTCCGTACTATGGAACGCAAAGCGTATTTCTGTAGTAAGTATTGCCAACTTCTCAGGATGCGCCGTTAGGAATTTACCGCTCCACACAAGGTTGTGGCAGTTGTTTCACTCCTAGCGGTCGTAAGTATCATGAACGTAGCACAGATCTCACCGTGTGGCAAGCCCTTCTCTTTGTCCCCTCGCGGTATAACATGGGACATAAGGTCTGGTCAATCTTATTCCCAGTAAAGTCTGCGGTCTACCTTGTCCACAATCTGGAGATAATGATCCTTCTGCACCCAATTCAAAGATCGTGGGACGCACTTCATGAGAATAAACTCGACCCAGGGATAGAACCGTGCGGAAAAGATGAAACCAGTAGTCTTAACACGATTGAATAGAAGATCAATCCATGGATTATAAATAGATTTCTCCAAGCACTCAAATGATTCGCCGAATCGTAAGTCACTAAATATGTCGAACGTGGTATAATTGAACCATGGTGAGATATCAATCTCGAATGATAGGTCAGAGGGCGCTTGATCTTTTAATCCTTCCACTAGGAGATTGACATATATCTGTATGAAAGGGGGCGCGAGGCGTGAAGCCCGGTGCGAGCACTTTTCTAATCCTCGAATGCACCTTAGGGTCGATCGCGTTAATGATGGAATTTGGATGACCTGGTTGTGAGCTCCACCATATGGGATCCTTAAGAAAAGGCTGATGGTTTGGACGAGGTAGGTGGATATTACCCCATGCTTCATTTGACGTGAATATGACCTCATTTGGCGCGATTCTTAGAACAGGTCCATAATTCCGATGCAGGGTCTCGATGTCGCGGACTATAGTGCCGCGAAGAAGAGCCCAAACAAAGGGCAGGCGAGAGCAAAACCAGCTTACAGGGCCAGCAATGCGTGACATCGGATGAAAGTACATATCGTAGATAATTCCGGTTGAAAGGTACTAAGATCTTAATACCTTGTATAGGCATCCACGATAATCTATAAAAACGTACCACGAAGAAGGCTACAGTCACTTCCTGCCATAGGTTGCTGGCGGTAAAGCCAACTTGTAAGCTATCGACAATCATTTGCAGTGTAACATGCGTGGAAAATATATACACTTACGCTATATTTACGTACAGAGAGAAGTTATAGAGTACTAGGTTGTTAATACTGCGTCTCGAAAAATGCTAAGTAAAGGGAAGAGGCATGTGATCGTTATAGCGAGTGCTCGGTTTCACCTTACTAGTGCGGCGTGGTCATCCGTACTAGGGCCATTCTCGGTTTATGATTGCATAAACATAAGCGCTACTCTAGCCAACTAATACGATTTACCCTCTCTATTGACCAGCCGGCTGAGCTCTCAGGACAAGGCCAATCTGCCTAAGCCAATATACCATTTTTCGGACCCTACGTGAACTCCCCAACACCCCTAGCTTCCTCGGCCCATCTCTCGAGCTCCACACCTGACCGGACCCTGCCGCAGCCCTTCTCGATTTCTCATCCCCTGTCTGCTGCAGCTGCGCATTGTAATTACTGACAACATCTTGCGTCATCGCGGACGTATCTGGCCGCTCCTGCAGCGTGCCATCGGGATTGAACTCGTAGCGATGCACAAGGCCTCGATACTTTCCCTGTGGTAGACGGGTGCCTGGTAAGGTGGGGGTTGGATCTCTGTGGCGGGGAAGAGCCGGTGCTGCAGATGTCAGACTTCTCCGATGGAGGGGAGGGGAGGTGGGGCATACGGTTAGCTTTGCTGCCGCTGGCTCGGACGCTGACTTTGCTCCCGACGACTTGAGCACTGGCTCTACTTCCGCTCGTATGTTTCCTGGACCTGCTTCCGTGAATCGAGGGGCTTGCTCGACTTGCCTGCCTCGACGCGTTCAGTGGTATTGAGAGTCCGGAGCTGCATTGGCTTCTTCAAGTCGGCATATTGTTATGCTGTTTTAGTTTTGGAGTTGTGTTTGATAGATTGCTTTAATCCTGTAGATTAAGTATGAAGCTTGAGTGGTATTGTTGTAGGGCTATACATAGTCTTCGGACACGATGCGTGAAATGCTTCGCGCTGTCATACCGTTAGTTCTGCATACGACAAAAGTCACATGTGCCTTATATCATCATCCCTGTATGCTTCAACCGTAATTCCTGTTAGTGAGAAATCACTTGGTCCAATTCACTGTATACTGCCTATGATAATGTCGGCCATACACTGATCGCGCGTCACTTCTCTCTTCGTGCAATGTTTTGTTCCATAATCAAGAGATCCACCCTCTGACCGCATCTGCCAAATATGTACAGGAAACTTCGCTAAATTACACTCGCAATAGCACACGGTATCAGTGCTATCTTCTTCCTGGCCCATCTAATCTTTGAAAAAGTTCGTCATCCCGAGCGCCTTCCGGGTCTTGACATGCATAATAACATAAACAACCACACCGAACCCCAACATGCCCGATATAACGCCAAAGCCGAGCAGATACTTCGGTTTATCATCTGCAGGGAAGAGATACGCGCCGTAGATTTGCGCAAGGTTGCCAAGCGCATTAACAAGCGCAAGTGCGACACCGCGCACCTCGGGTTCCATGTCTCCGAAAGTGGCACCGGCGTAGGATAGGGAGATGGCGTTGGACGCCCACAGCCCAGCAGCCATGAGTACAAGAAGCACGTAGCGCGCGGTGAAGTTGTAGATAACGCAGACGAGGATGGAGGTTATGAGGGAGAAGCAGAGCCAGCAGGCGATGATGAGGCCGCGGTGGTTGGGCACGCGATCGGCGAAGACGGCGGTAATTGCTGTGCACATGAAGGCGACTGCGTAGATGGGGACCGTCATGTATTGTGCTTGGACGGTGGAGGTGTAGCCAAGGCCGTTTACAAGGGTTGGGTAGAAATAGGAGAGTGTGGAGGAGCCGACGATCACCTGAGATCGTTAGTTGGGTGGGGATAGAGGTGGAAGGTAGGAAACGTACCATGTATCCGAAGATGAAGCCGATAGTGCGCCAGTCTCTAATGGCGAGGACGAAGGACTGTGCCTTGCTCATACGCTCAGCGCCTTCTGCGCGGGCGGTCACGCCACCCTGCTGCAGGCGGGCAACGGCGATTGCCCTCTCGCGGTCAGAAAGTCTGGCTGTGGTCGCAGGGAAGTCGACGAGGATGAAGTAAGAGAGCAAGGCGACGAGGATGGTTGCTGCACCTTCGACGATAAACAACCATCGCCAACCCTCATAACCGGCAGCGCCGTCAAGACCGCCAGTGATGGCGCCGGCAAGGAGCCCGCCAAAGGCGCCAGACAGGATAGCGGCAGAAATGTAGATACCGAAGCGCTTAGACTGTTCTTCGCGTTTGTACCAGGAAGACATGAGCAGCAGCATGGCGGGCGCAAAACCGGCCTCGAAGACACCAACGAAGATGCGGAGGACTACCAGGTGCTTGTAGTCTTTGATAGCTGCCATGCAGCAGGTCAAGGCGCCCCATATTGTCATGATGCATGGGAGGTAGATAGAGGGTCTGATCCTGACGATCAACATATTGGAGGGCACTTCGAATACGACATATGTAACTATAATAGTTAGTGCCTATTGGATGCAAAGCATTGGTGCTACTTACCGAAGAAGACGACCAAACAGATACTGTACTGATTCGAGGTGAGGTTCAGATCTGTCTGCATACCAGCCACCTTTGCGTTTCCGATACTGTAGAGCGGTCAGTGGTCTGCAATGACAAGGAACTGTAGTTTTCTTACTTTGTACGGTCCATGTAAGAAAGGAGATACATGATCCACATTATCGGCATCAATTGGAGATCAATCCGACGAAGGAGCTTCTTCTCCTCTTCGGGTGTCCATGAGACACCACCCACAGCGATCTCAACCCTTTCGTGCTTTGAATCCATGTCTTTGGTATCGACGTCGAGGTGCTCGACTGAGTAGCGAGGCGGAGAAGTCATCGTCGTAAGGATTCGTGGTGAACCCCGTGGTACCAAAGACAGAGTGATGCGACAGGGAAAGAGACGCCTGAGCCCGACCGTTCGGTTGCTCCTCACGTCAAAGGGGTGTGGAGCAATCTTTATACAGATCAATCGTCGTCAGTGCAGAGTTTGGCGGAGATGGATGAGTGCCCCGGATTGCACCGCATATTGGACCGTCTCCGCATACGACTAGCCCTCCACCGCCCGATCCTGCGACCTGGTCCTGGACTTGCGGGTTAGCGTCGCACGATTGCCAGCTTGATTGGGTAAAATGTGGGCACCAGCTTTCCGGGGCCCGATATGAGCCACGCCAATGACAATACATGCCTCGTTACGAGGCACACCAATTAGCGAGAGCCATCCTCTCGTGTACAGGCTGAACCCCTCGTGGAAAGCCCTAGCAATGGTCGTCTCGTGGCAAGACCTCGGTTCGAACCTTTTTTGATGCAAGTATCGTGCTTCAAGCTTGATGCAGACTTGATCGGTAGAAGCTATCGGGACTGGTCTTCTCCCCGCAGAGCCCTTGCCACTACTGTTCTTCAAGTACCGGTAGCTTGCGTTGTATGTATTAAAGGGCCTCCTATCTCGTTCATTCCTAAGTCTCCCATTGTCTTACCCAATACCATTCCCTTTCACCAAACACCGTCCGACAGATCGTCGCCGCAATGTCTCCCTCCGCAATCGAAGCTACGACGACTGCTCCTCCTACTTCGGCTTCGGAGAGCGTACCGAACCAAATCGCCCAATCTGTACCTGCACCAGTGTACCTCTCAACCGAGCCAGGCCCCGACCACGACTGGAAAGTCACCCTGAAGAACAAAGTCATTGTCATTACTGGCGCGAACCGTGGTATTGGTCTGGGACTCGCAACCGTATGCCTTGCCAACGACGCGAAGGAGGTCTACTCGTTCGACCTGTTCGAACCTGGCGAGGAGTTTCAGGCGCTCCAGCAGACACACCCGAAGCGGGTACACTACGTCCACTGCGACGTAACGTCGGAAGAGAGCGTCAACAAAGCCGTGGATCAGGTCGTCGCACAATCGGGCCGGATTGATGGCATGGTTGCGAACGCCGGCATGACCAAGCACCAGCCCGCGCTAAATTTTGACCGCCCGCAGCTCGAGCAGCTGTTCAACCTCAATGTTTTCGGCGCATATTTCTGCGCAAAGGCGGCTGCGAACAAGTTCATCGAGCTCGGCATCAAGGGATCAATTGTCTTCACCGCTTCCATGACCTCGTACCGACCGAACCGCGCAGGTCCGTCTGCACCGTATGGTGGTACCAAGGCCGCTGTAAGGAACATGGCTCACACGCTCGCTATGGAATGGGCGAAACATGGAATCCGTGTCAACTCCATCTCGCCCGGATTTGTGATGACACAAATGACCTCAAAAATCCGGGAGGCTCCCGACTTCAATTTGAAGATGCAGTACTACGGTGGCATGCCCAGATTGGCCGATCCTAGGGAACTCGGTGGAGCCTACGTATACCTTCTGTCTGAGGGCGCAACCTACACGACCGGCATAGATATTCCCGTTGCCGGTATTGTCGGTGCTTGGTAGAGCGTTTATTTACATGAAGTTTCCGCGTCCCGCTGCATGGGTGGAGTATCAGGGCATTTTACTAGGATCACTGTGATAGAACGAATACCAGATCCATTTCAGACTTCCGTTTGTTTCTCGATGCTTGTGTTTGTGATCTGACTGGAAACTCGCGACAGCCAACACCCAGGCATCAAAAGCTTGCTCTTGGCCGACGGTTCACATAGCTGTGGTTATAACGATGCAGATTGACAGGTGTTAGTTAAGGAAAGGGCGGAGAACAAAGCCGAGCCGCACTCTAATCGCAGCGAAGGCTCAGGATTTCGTCCTCAACGAATCCAAGCACACTAGGTTATGCCGCGGTCTGGTACAAGCCAGCGAGACGAATACCAGCTGTGACCTTTGTAATCGTGGTTCTTGGGCATTGATGTAGGGCGCGATTGGTGTTGAGCACCTTCACATGGAGGACATGTGAGAGAAGGAACCATGGCCTGGGAAGGTACAACTCACGTGGAACTCGCGTTGTCCATCAACACCACCACCAAAACACCGAGTCCCATTGCAAACCGTCAGCTGCGGACTCCAGCGGACCTGCGCGCTATCGAACGGCTGCAGGAATCAACCCCAGGCAGAGTTTTCGCCGCAAGTGGAGTTCAGTCGTGTGGAGAGGAGCTAGTCGGGCCGGATCCGAATCAGGCGACCCCTGCTCGCAGCTGGGCAGACCAAGACCGCATGCAGTGCGCAATGTTGCTCTATCCTTCTCACCTCGAACCGAGCGCATCCCGCATCCTCGACGCGAAGGCATCCGAATATGTGAGACGCTGCAATGCCCGCCCAGAAGCCTCGGAAGCCTCGTCCCTCACGTGCGCGTGGACTGCGGACCACCACAGGTTGGTAAGCTCACCAAGCTCATCTTCGCGAATCCCTGCAGATCCCTTCAAGCTGCTCCTATGTCATTCACTGCAAGTGCTTTGCGTTTATATTGCAATATTTACTGTCTTGATACTCTGTATTTTATCAGGATGAGCGGTTCAGATTCCTGATTTCCCACGGAGCATCGCATCGCCCGATGAGCATTCTGCAGACTCTCTTATCGTCCATCACCATCGTGTTGAAATATTGCGCTGCATTACCTCGTCCTTTGGAACCCGATCCAGCTTAATCGCACGTACGAGGAACAATAAGTGGTATAACTGACCTCGATCAGCTTAACATGCCGCAAAAGGCGAGTAAAGTGTGATGAGTGTAAGCCTCGTTGCGGACAGTGCCTCAAGAGCGACAGAGAGTGCACTTATCCACAGGCTACAGACGATGGGGCAGCCACTACTGGGTCAAGTGGCCAAGAGGCTACCACATCTCCAGCCCAACCCAGGGGCTCAATAGTTGTGGATTCTCCTGCCACCCGCAAGTCAATCGGCGATGCCGACATGTCGGCGCTTGGGGAATCCCCTGAATTACGGTTTGATTTGTCGCCGCTGGCATTGTCGACTTCTCTCCCGTCACCAAATTCAGCACCGTTCGAATGGTACGACCTTCTAGCCGAGGATGCCATCAACAACATCCAGAAACACAACCTAGGCTTCGCCGAGATCTCCCTTTCGAGGAGGCAAAGTCCAGTCCCCGAGACCGAAGACGAAATTGATCCTCAACTCCAGGCAACTGGACAGAGTCGTCCTACTGACGCCGCCTTCGAAGCATGGAAGTCTCCAAACATCATTGCATTAAGCGATGACGAACTCGGCTTCTTCCATCACTATATAAATGTCCTCGCACCAATTCTGGATCTCTTCGATCCGCGAAGGTATTTCGCAAACCTGGTCCCGAAGCTTGCAGTTCATAATGTCGGCTTGTTGAAGTCACTACTCGCGGTCGCGGCTCGCCATATGGCACTACTTTCAGATCACCAAACGGCACAAAATGCTTTAAACGTCCAGACGCCAGTATCACATTCCAGTCTCCAAGATACAAATAGCCTTAACAACCACAATCCATTCCTCGAAGTCGCCACGCAATACTATTACGAGACTTTGCAGTATCTATCCCAGAATCTATTATACCCATCATACACGAAATCGACAGAAATCATATCGACTGCCATCTTGATCTCCACATATGAGATGTTCGATGCATCTGGGAGATATAGCGACGGTGGATGGGAGCGGCACTTGCGAGGTATCTTCTGGATCCAAAGATCACAAGACAACAACGGAGAGACGAAAGACGGGCTCCGCAGGGCTGCCTGGTGGATGTGGTTGCGGCAAGATATATGGGTCGCATTCCGGGAATCTCGACGCGTTCTCACCATCTGGAGGCCAACTAGAAGACTCGTGGACCTCACACCTGACGAACTAACCACACGTATCGTCTACATCTGTGCGCGATGCGTCGACTACGCCGCCAACGAGAAGCATTACGATATGAATATCAGGATCGACCAGGGCGATAAACTGCTGCAGGCCCTCGATGATTGGCATAGGATTCTGCCACCATCTTTCCAGCCTATATACGCACATTCGACTCCTCAACCAGGACTGTAAGCAAACCCAGATTTTCGAGTGCTGTGTCTTTTGTAGCCGAGAGACCCGCACGGGCTATCTGTCTACCCGGTCTTGACTCATACTGACCTTATGTCCCCATCCTAGATTCACCCCCATATGGATCCACCCGCCTTCGTACGCGGCAGCCATCCAGATGTTTCATTTCGCCCGTATTGTCGTCCTCATTAACCAACCGTCGCTCGGTGGGATGAGCGAGTTTAGTCGGCGGCAACGATTGCTCGACGAAAGCGTCGAAACGATATGCGGGATTGCACTGATGCATCAGGGCAACGATTTGCCAAGCGCGTTCGTCAATTACCAGGCTCTATACGCAGGTGAGTAAACTTTCGATACGGCCTCGAGATCTACCCTTCAAGTCATCCTCAAGTCAATGCTCGCCATGCTTCTTTTCCATATTGTTGTATGATCTAACAGGCTGACCCGGTCGCAGCAGGACTTTGCGTTCAAACGCCGGTCAAACAAAACGCTGTCCTACAGCTTCTGGAGAAGACTCTGGAGATCACAAAGTTCCCGCCAAAGACACTGCTCGACGATCTCAAGAGGTATTGGAGAGCGGAACCTTGAATAGATTGAAACGAGATGGAAGAAATGTAATGTAGCTGGGACATGTTTTCGAGCGCCACCGCCTAGAGCCTATCTAAGCTTTATGGACACTTAACAAAATCTGCAACACAAAAGCGTCGAGTCTGTCCACGCCTTTCGGATATTGACCAGCGCATCCGTCTAGTCACTTGAATGTTTCGTAGCTCGTTAGCGGATCAAACGGAACTTCGTGTCTCATTCATCAATATGGTGTCTCCAACCGTTTCATTCCGTTACTGTGGATATGCAGTGCAAATAAGCTCGCACTTGCCGAGTTAGCGGTGACGGCCTAAGCTTGTTGACAGGCTATGGCAGATAATCCGGCATCCAACTCCTTATCTTGGGGAGTAGCGGCGACCCAAAGTTTGGTTACGCCCACGTTGCGAGCCAAACCGGTCCCAAAGGAAACGCAGATGCGATTCATGCTGATGCGACCGAGATGAAGCTCGAGTCAGTCATACCATCCGGATGGATCAAATTTGCGGGGAAATGGCGCATTTAAAGCTAGACTAGGGAGTGACGTAGGCCTTCGCTTGTTGGCAGTGCCTCGAGACGGTACACACTTCCCGGTTCCCAGATCCCCCGCAATGCACAATTTTGGGTCCATAGCGCGTGCATCGAGGCGAACACGGCTCTGGGCATGTGCTCGTCTCGTATGTACCAGTGAATCAACCGCTTTGTCGGAAAGAGAGCCGCCTCAGCATTGTACAATTGCAATGGCAGTGTCGTTCCGATAGCTTTTCGACACTTAATACATTCGCGTCTTCCATAACGTCGTTTCCCGCTGCACAATCACAAGACATACTAGCATTCGAACATTTTACAATCCTCACCAGAAGTTGCAAAATGGCCCATGCAAGCCAGAACCGGACAGTGGAGATCCTGAACGCCGCGGCGGCAGGGAAATACGGTGTCCTAGCAGCAATTGCGTATGCAATACTGCAACTTCGAAGGGGAAACAACCGTATACTAACAATTCACAGATACAACATCGAACAGCTCACAGCACTAGTCCGCGCTGCTGAGGCGAAACGCTCACCCATAATCATCCAACTCTTTCCCTCCACCCTCAAGCAACTCCCCACTCTCGCACACGCCGCCGCAGCCGCAGTTAGATCAGCTACCGTCCCGCTGTCCCTACACATCGACCACGCGCAGGATGTGGACCACATCCGCGAGATCATAGCCACGCTACCGGTAGATTCTGTCATGGTGGACATGTCGCACTACGACGAGCAAGAGAACCTGGAGAAAACCAAGATCCTCGCGAAAGAATGCCACGCGATGGGTATCGCGGTCGAGGCTGAGAGCGGGCGGATAGAAGGTGGTGAGGACGGCATCGCGGATACAGAGGGTCTAGAAGGTATGCAGGAGTTCTGTTAGTATGGTCATGATGGCACTGCTGATTGCCGAGCGCAGCACTTTTCACCTCCCCCGAGGACGTCGACAACTTCATCGCCGCAGGCATAGACATCCTCGCGCCCTCTATAGGCAATCTCCACGGCGACTATGGGCCGTCTGGTCCTGCGCCTGGCCAGCTGCACTTCGACCGCCTGACGGCAATCAACAAACAGATCAACAGCCGCGTGCTCATAGCGCTGCACGGGACGAATGACTTCCCGCCGGAGCTCATGCGTCAGTGCATTGAGAACGGCGCAATTAAACTCAATGTGAATAAGCTGCTGTTAGAGGTCTGGAACGAGTTTCTGAGGAAGAATGCAGCGGAGATGCCGTTGGTGAAGCTGATTGATGAGGGCATGAAGGTGTTGCAGGCGGAGACAGAGAGGTGGATGGATATCTGTCAGAGTAGCGGGAAGGCGTAGATGGGTAGTGGTGCAAGCCAGCGATATATACATGAATTAACGGTAGTCTGGCGATTGAATGGATACCCGAAGCTGTCTCGAGGACAGATGTACGGTTTGGCTTCCGAATCTTCCTTGTCTTACAAACTGCGAACGACCAAGCCTACATGACAGGCTAGTACCTGCACTATGTCGGAGCACTATCAACATGACTACTCTGTGCCTGCGCATCCGCGCACTTGCAGCACGAGCCTGAGCGTCGGACTATGCTGTCAGCCATAGGGACAATTCTAAGCTACTTAAAACAATGCGTTTGTGCGGTTAGTGCCGTATCTGGCGTGCGAGGGCCTCTATGGGAGGATTAGAGCGAAGCTATATCTGGGGTTCGTGTGTACGGCTTGTGAGACCTTTCTGCGCACTGAACATTTGCTTGGGGTCGTCGCATTCGTTCCTTCCACCGTTGATATCATTTAGCTTGCGGGACTTATGCGAGCAGTACTAGATTATTTTGAGTAGTTAAATATGTTTAATTGCTATGACAAGAACGGGGCAGAACGACCACATGCGCACATTGATAAGGTGCGACACGTGAAGACGCGTCTTTCTAATCCAGAAGCTGACCGTAGCGTGGTCTTAGCGCGTATTTCCCTTCGCCTTCAGCCTGTCTTTCCTTGCTTTTCCTCTACACTCTCAGGCGTCTGCTCGCCGCTTGCGCTCCGGGTTGATGCTGCGCCTGCTTCTCCCCTCTTTTTGCGGCCATCTCTAATAGCTTGCCACACAGCCCAAATCTGCTGCCTTCCGTCAATGAGTGGATAAAAGCCAACAATGAATAGCGTTCCCCACAACCAAATGATCGCGATGACCAGCCATGCAGCAAAGAAACCTTTGCCGAAGATGTACTTGGAGGCGTACATGGGCAGTGGCCAGAGAACCCAATGACCCAAAAACGTAGCAAGCGCCCATACCGCAGCAATACGGCCCCATCTTCTCAGCAGCACTTGTTCGTCTGGCGACTGCGTCTCGAGCTCAGAGTTTACTCGTACAACGCTGGAGTTCCGATGCGAGATAATGGACGATGTATCAGATACCTCAAAGGCAAGGCGTTCCTTTCGGAAGTCGGCCCAATCAAAATTCTCAGGTTTGAACAGGGTGATGATGGGAGAATACACCAGAGGTGAAAACGCCGAGGCAACGGTTCCCCAGACGCATGGTACTGTTTGTCCTGTCGTCGCGATGGTGACTGCTCCATAAAGTGCGTATGCGGACCCAAGCCAGGATGCGATTCCAGTGATCATGCCGAGGAGAGGTGCAATGATAGCAGCGGCCTTCGACTGACGCCGCCAAAGGATGGTGAAAGCAGTCGGAAAGATACCAGGGCAGGTGAGAACGCCAAGCATGTACAATGTCCACCCGAGGTCAACGCCAACGTAGTGCAACATCGTTGAGAACGCAGAGGCGAAAAGCGCGAAGAAGATGACCCCATAGTGGCTCCATCGGATTACGTCTTCGTCGCTAGCACTGCGTTTGAAATATGTGCGATAGATGTCGAAACTGATAATCGACGAGACAGCGATGACCTGCGCAGACAGGGTTGATGTAACAGCCATAAAAGTAATCAATAGGATTCCTGCTGCACCACCCTTCCCAGCTATAGTCATTGCAAAGTACGGAAGCACAAGACCGTTCGAAACCTCTGTGGATGTCATTCGCTACGATTGTTAGTGTTTTCTTCCAACTCGGATCAGGGATCAGAAACCTACTCGGGGGTATGTTGGAAAAATGGGGTTATGTTCCAGCCCAAGCACTACGGAGCTGGCCAAAGTACCCATCGCCCATGGAATAGCGAAGTATGCGATTCCTCCGACGACATAGCCAGGAACAACTGCCTGTGGACTTGCTGAGAACGCCTTAATGAAGAAACTCGTGTCCATGATGACCAGTCCGAAGTTGGCGCAAATATGTAAGATGCCGAACAAGATGCCGCCTTTCGAGGTCATAGTAAGGTAGGAGCCCTGTTCGTTCTCGGGAACCGGATGGCGGGCGCCTGCAGCCTTCACCAACTCAAAAAGGTTACCCAGGGATCCAACTTCCTCTAGCGTGAAAGCCTTGACCGAAAAATAACACAGGATAATCAAGATGGTAAAGGTGTGCATGTAGTCAGTTAGGAATGTTGCTTTGATGCCACCGACAAAGGTATAGAGGGCTACGCCGACCGGCAGTAGGAAGGTCGCAGCGATGATATGCATACCCGTCATAGCCGTGATGGCGGCCGATGCGCCCAGAAGCATGTTTGCAACGGCAAATAAGTTGTTGACGAGACACAGGAACATGTACACGATGTGGGCTGTTGTGCCATATCGAATGCGTACAATCTCCAGCAAGGTGTGTGCTTCTGGGATCTTGCGCTTACAGCTGATACCCAGTACAGCGAAGAAGACGATCATAGGACTGCAACCTGCAGCAAACCAGAATGGGCCGGATACTCCGTTAACATAACCAACAAGAGTAGAGCCGAGCATGGCAGTGCTCCATAACCATGACTGGCAATAGTCAGACTGAGACACGGAGAACGAGATCAATACTCACTGATACCACAGCTGAGGCCGTTAATCCAGTGTTGACGCTTCGGTTCGCGGTCATGAACATTTCGGTCTTCTTGTTGTCTTCACCAACGGTATGCTTCAGCAACCTTGTCACCAATACCATTGCTATTCAAGGTTAGTCAGGACTGGCTATGATTCTCAGTGATCATACCAAACGCAATGACTAGCCCGATCACTACAACAACAACGTAACCCACCGCCTGGGACAACGGAGGCTGAACCACCACCTCTTCCGCCCGACTGAGGAGCTCACTTGCCATGGCTCCAAGAAAAGAGGCTGGTCGGCCGTCGTGATTAGATTTGAATCTTGACAACTGGACGATTGGGGGATGCCTCGCCTTGACATAGGGAATATTTCACTACGTAGGTACGCCCTAATCTGAGCACATCATCGACAGGCTGTATAACGTGTCATAACCAAAGTGCGGTTAAGATAACAGACTAGTCGGTCTGGGTGCTTGCGAGATATTTGCCATCCATCGCATCTAGCACAGGAACGTGTTTAGACTCGAATAACCGAGCTGAGCTCCGGTCATCGGGAAATGACAGCTCGTGGGACCCATGCTGCGTGCCCTGGAAGATCTCAAACGCATACTTTTTGGACTCCATGCGAGGATCTCCACGGGGAATTCGGATCTAAATTGACCAGGGCCTTACCATGTGAACGTAACCTTGGAAATCATTGGGCAGGCGGATAGGCCACTCTTCCGGTTCCTTCCAGTCTTCAGCCCAATTGCCGACGCAGGATCCTTACGACCACGCAGGGTGTAGCCTTCCGAATCTTTTCGGCTACTGCATTAAGTCCCATCACAGAATTGACAGCTTAGAATTATTTCAAGTTGGTGTTGCCAATCATCTTCGGTCGGTCCTGCTGAGCACGTCAACAACGCTTACCCGATTAGGGAAACCTGGGCTATCACGACACGGAGCCTGGATATTGTGCGATCATTCTACTCGAATGATTCCGCCGATGTAGGGGACAGGGGTTCCCCGCGCATATGAGGTCATACAGGCTCGCGTTTTTCTCGCGTTCGAGGCCTCCAACTTCGGTGATAAACATAGGAGTGCATTTCTCTCAACAAACTCCTCAGAAAAACACGCACGATGGCATCTAATGCAGCCGCGACGAACGGTCATGATAGTGCGAAGAAGAAGCTGATTCTCAATGCATTTGTAGAGATGTGTTCTGGACACCAGTCGCCTGGTCTCTGGCAACATGGTACTGTGGCCCGTTCGGGATGTGCTTGAATATTGCTAACAACTAACAGTAAGCAACACACTTCAAGCCGTTTCCAGTTTCAAGGGCCAGCCAAACTGATACGAAGATCGTGCTGCGCATTTGCTAATGAGTGTGACTGTCAGCCCGATGACACCTCTACAGAGTTCAATTCCGTATCACACTGGGTCAACCTCGCGAAGCTCCTTGAAGATGCCAAGTTCCACGGCATCTTCATCGCCGATGTACTTGGTGGGTATGATGTGTACAAAGGGCCCAGAAACCTCGAGCCAGCAATCAAAAGCGGGGCGCAATGGCCCGTCAATGAGCCTTTGGCTGTCGTACCAGCCATGGCGGCAGCAACGAAGAATTTGGGCTTTGGCGTAACAGTCGCAACGACCTATGAACAGCCATACCATCTAGCCAGACGACTCAGCACCATAGACCACCTTACCGGTGGTCGTCTCGGGTGGAACATCGTCACTGGGTATCTAGACTCTGCCGCTAGGAATCTGGTAAACTCGGAGCAGCCCGAACACGATGAACGGTGGGAAGCCTTTCCCTAGAGCGAAGCTCTGTTATTGACGTCAGCCCAGATACGCGATTGCCGAAGAGTACATCAAAGTCATGTACAAGCTCTTTGAATCCTCGTGGCGCGATGACGCGGTCATTCTCGACCGCAAGCGCGGTATCTACACAGACCCCTCTCTTGTCCGAGAAATCAACCACAAGGGGAAGTACTACACCGTTCCAGGTCCGCACATCTGCCAGCCATCGCCCCAGCGAACGCCGCTGCTGCTGCAGGCGGGGACGTCGAAAGCTGGTAAGACTTTTGCGGCCCAGCATGCTGAGGCGATTTTCGTCGCTGGCCACTCGCCCTCTGTGGTGGCGAAGAATGTGGCTGAAGTACGCGAGTTGGCGCGCAGCTTTGGCAGGAAAGGCGAGGACATCAAGTTTCTGGCCTTGATTTGTCCCGTCCTTGGACGCACGGAAGAAGAGGCGAAGGCGAAGTTCGAGGACTATGCGCAGTATGGAGATCTTGATGGCGCCTTGGCGCTGTTTGGCGGCTGGACGGGCATCGATTTAGCTGTCTACCAAGACGATGAAGAGCTGAGACACGTGGAGTCCAACGCTATCCGGTGGGTGAAACTCTCCAAGACGATCCACGTGTACTAACACAAATGCAGATCTGCTGTAGAGGCATGGTCCAAGGCTTCCCCTGGTATTCCCAAATGGACCAAGAAAACCGTGGCGAAGCATATCACCGTCGGCGGGCTCGGCGCAACGGTCGTCGGTACAGCTGCACAGGTTGCCGATGAGTTTGAACGCTGGGTTAATGAAGCTGATGTTGATGGTTTCAACATTGCGTATGCCATCAAGCCTGGAACTTTTGTCGATGTTGCCGAGTTGCTCATCCCGGAGTTGAGGAATAGAGGGTTGTTCTGGGACGACTACAAGGTACAGGGTGGCACATATCGCGAGAACTTCTATGGCAGGCCTGGGGAGAGTGGTCCGCTCAAAGAGCATGTAGCGAGTGGATACCGCTGGCGGAAGGACGTCAGCGCCCATGATGCGGTTATCCCGGTGTGAGATTGTGATATCCTGGCTTGGTGTCCTATTCCTGCGCGGTGATTTGTTTACACAATGTAGATTGGATTCCGCGGCGAAATGATTACCTCGCGGGAACGATGCTAGATGCTACGTATTCGCCTCTTCCATTGTCGTGGCCCTCACGCGTTCTCGTCGCACTTGTTCCTGGTTCCTATCAAGCGTCTTCGGTGCGTGCTTCCGCATCCATAACACCAACTCTTTGAACTGTGACCAGAATTTTCGTATCTTGTTGAGTGTCTGTCGACATCTGAAATCCCAATGATACTCTGGGGTACATGTGATCCGGTCGCAGGGACAACTTTCACCGAAGACCCTAGCTGCTACACATCGATCCTGGCCTCGGTCAAAGCTTCAACGAACGGCTAGCTGTGGATAATTCTTCTATACTTATTAGCACTAGACATGTTTTCCCTGCACGGCCGCTCACCAGAGCACAGCTCAACCTAGCAGCTTTACATCGCGCAAACAGGACCACTCTGTGTTTGACATTTAGGCTTCGAATACGTACCCCTTTTGAGACCTTCCACGTCCAGCACTCAGCAACTAGTAGAATGGCAGCCCAACACACTTCCTCTACGGGCTCAATGCAGGGTCATCAACCGGATCATATCCCACTTGAGCCAATCGACGCTACACCTAACGACTATGAGTCTCTCTCGAGCGGCTCATCGGACGGGATGAGCACCCGACCGCGGGCCTTCCTAATCCATCTCTTCCGCCCACATGTCCGCGACTACGAGTCCATGAACCTTGTGCTTGACCATCTCGGCACCTTCTGCGACAACGCCCTCCTCGAAATCCGGCTTAACCAGAGCCAAGACCTCAATCTCACTCCGCTCCAAATGTTCCATCACGCTTACGCTCGAACCACGAACCTGTGGCCTCTCGACGAACGCGTGAATCCAGATTTGCGCGAGGCAATGCGCAAGTTCGACTGGCCGGCGCTCTGGAATGCGACGATGGAGGAGCGGCTGCGCATCCGACAATACCAGAACGACCTTGGGATGTATGGCAGCTGCCGACGTTCTGGGTCGCAGCGGTGGATCATCATCTGCGCCGCGTACGCCGATCTCAACGAGTATGCGTTTGGGCTGGATATCCTGCGCTACCTAGAACCTCTTCCGACGATGCAGGCATATCACTCCGACTTCAACAACTTTGCAGTCGTCCCGCGCGACATCAGCGGGGAGGATATGCATTGGTTCAGTCGTTCTTTCTTCCCTCACTGGGATCAAGCCTTTCAGCTACTAAAAGCGCGGCATCCCCATCGATACCAAGAGGACGCACGGCACATCCTGCACGCCTTTGTGCGGCAGGGCGTGAATGTCGTCGATGTCTTTCTCAAGTACTGGTATCAGGGGAGCGAGGATGGACTTGATGATGACTTTGGGAGCGCATGCGAACGCGCTGGACGATGCGCCGTTGACCGCCAGTGGAAAGTGGAGCTGGACAGCCCTTTTGCATCGCCGGGGCCAGACCCGCTCCCGTTGAGTATTCGAACGATCCTTGCGCGGGCCGACCACGTCCGCTCTCAGAAGACGCTGTTCACTACCGTCGCCTACCTCGCTGGCACGAAAGAGCGAGAAAACATGCACCGTGAGATGTTCCGGATGATTCTGGGATCGCTCAAAGACTGGGCTACCGCGACAGGACAGGATGCTGTTGTAGACGACATGATCAAGGCTATGCATAAGAATGAAGACATTCTCGGGGACACGATGGACGCCATCGTCGACCGCGACGATGGCCCGTATGAATGGTCCTCCAACCGCGTCACGCAAAACCCACTGGGCAATCGGCCCCTGCACATGCCTCCAGTAATCCTGCATTACGGTCTGCCTGACGAACTCCCGGAGCTGACTGAAGAGCCTGGTGAGGACATTGCAGGTGGCCAGCTCTCGACTGTCGGCCAACTTGACGACGACGGATACACTCTGCAACTACCTCGACTGGGCTTGATCCGGCGCTTTCTTCACCGCGTGCATTCCATCGGTGCTCGAGCTTACGTTTCGCCGTGGGACCTCGAGCTGGTAGACATACCACTAGAGGCATTTGGCCCGCGCATCGTCCCACAAACCGTCTCACACGCATGTAAAGCTCCGCAAGACAGCATTTGCGTCATCTGTCTCGACAGCTATGCTCACGAAGAGTCTGTCTCAAAGAAACCAACAAACAACAAGCAGATCAAGCAAGAACATCAAGCGCTCGTCGTGCAGTTGCGACATCGAGTGGTTGGCATCCGTCGGTCCCAGAAGGCTAACAAGGAGAGCACGCAGCCCATGCAGCTGAACTCTTGCAGCCACGTCTTCCACCTTGCATGCCTGGATGAGCTCCTGAACCAGGCGTATCCGACGTCAGGCGTGGTGCAGTGTCCGTGCTGTCGGGCGGCGATTTGTACGGCGCGGCCAACGCGAGTTGCGCGTGGTTGGGTGGGCCGCATACCTTTGATCGGGCGTTTTGCTCGGGGTTGAATGCATAGTCCCGGGTAAGTGACTATGCAGTGTCAATGAGACCGATCTTGGTCTACGGATGGAGTCGGTCGAGGCGGACAATACGTATCTCTTTCCCCCGCCTCGCTCCGAAGCATCCAGCACACACGAAGCTGAGAATGCTGCACACGTGAAGACTTCGCACCACCCTCCTCATCGCTACTATCTGGATTGTTCTCCCCAACGCCCGTCAAGTCCCATATAGCCCTCCATTATTATCACGCAAGTCTGGCAGCTGACGCTACAGGCGACGTGATAGTAGGTTCAGTGGATGGGGCACCAGATATGCGGTCTACTTGGAGGCAACTCGTTGGGAGCTTTGGCTTCGCTCTCGACTGTGGGAACGGCAATGGACAGCTCCGCGTCTGTAAGGCGGATAGTGTCGGCTTCGGGGAGTGCGGAGCGGTGCGTGGGAAAGGTCCAGTGGATGATCTTGTGGGCGCTTTTGCTCCATTGGAAGTCTGCGCCGTTGGCGCCTCAGGAAAGGCAGAGATTAGCGTTAGTACTTTGCTGTATGTATTCCATGGCGAGCGATGCCCCTACGGTGAATTGTTCGATAGCTTGTGTTCCGTAGTCATTAATACAGGGTGCGCTAAGGGGTGTGTCTTGAACGTTGGGCAGAACTATGCAGTGTGTTTACCGTTGCGAGAGATTCATGTACTTGATTACGCGGAGATGAAGGGGTGGCTTCAACCTTTGGTGTTTTGGGCGCATCTCCACAGTAGGATTGCACATGGCGGTGTCATGCACAGCCTATTCAGCCCACGAGCTCGTAACTCACGACCAATGCTCGTTGTTCGCAAGGTCATAGTGGACCGACTTTTGGCACCCTTCTGTCCATGTGCTGCGTTTTGCCGCGACTTGCAAAGGGCGCAAAGTGCGCAAGTATTACATTTGAGTAGCGGTCCGACGGTGGGCGGTTGGTGGCAGACCCTTACATGGTCCGGCTGAAGGCGTCGTTCAGGGCGCGCGAGATGGTGGTGTTCTGGAGCGTTGCATCGTCTTGAGCACCGGGCCAGGGACAACCTGGTGGCAGGTGTGATGCAGAGAGTTTGGGGAATGAGGGCAGAGTAATTGCTCGCAGCGCTTGGCGAACGCTGGACGATCAATGGGTGGGCCACCGGCAATTCTCCGAGGCCAGGTGGGGAGCTGTGTGCGGCGCGTGGCGCGAGTGGGTGGTGCCGGCCAGGAGATTGCGCGTCCAGGCCTTTGCTTGCGCGAGGACGGTCGCTGCAGCGCGCGCAGATGCCGTGCTGTCGAGTCGCCCTCTGGACGGACCGCCGATGGTTGAGCAGCTCGCGGATCATCCTGCACGGCTCTCACGCGTGCCCGCTTTGAGATTGCGGCTGCCCCAAGGCCGAGATGGAGACGACAGTGGCACCCATGCAAAAATAGATTGGCCGGGCGGCGGAGCCAGGGTGCGCCAGGGTCGGCTGCAGCCCGTATTGATTGCCTGCTGCGCACCGCACCGCACCACGCCGCCAGCAGACACAAAGCAGCGGGCTACAAAGCAGGACACCCGCGACAGTTTGTGGGCGGCTTCACACTTCGCAGCACGCGGAAGCCGCCGGTCCACGTCTCTCGTTGCTGTGCTCGCGGTGCGGTTGCAGACCCGGCGCGCCACGGCGGCAGGGTTTCGAAACAGCTCCTGTAAGCGGCCACGGGCCCGTGGCTGCCCAGCCCAGCCAGTCCAAGTCCAGCCCGGCGCCCCATCCCGCTCGTTGTCCTCGTCGCTCTCCACTGCACGCCTGCCTCCGCCCCCGTCCCGTCCTCGCAGGCCCGTTGCCCGTCACTCGTTACCTTTCCTTCTGCCCTCGTCCTGCCTGTGGTCGCGTTGCCTCTCTTCGCGCACGCCTCGCTGCCCTCCATCCCCCGCCGCCCTCGCACCTGCCGCCCGCCCGTGGCCCATCGCGGCTGCCCACCGCGCCTGCCGTTCCCATGGCGGCCTCTCTGCGCGCCGTCGACGCTGGCGCCCCCGACGTCGACCATGTCATGCGCACCATCTTCAAGCGCTGCGTCGTCTGCCCGACCGAGGCGCCCCGGTGTCCCGACGAATGCTCCGGCAGCAACAGCAACAACTGCGTCCAGACGACGCAGACGTGCGACGCCTGCCCCCAGACCAAGTGCATGAACATCGATCCCCAGGGCAGCGGCACCAGCTCGGCCAAGCCAAACGTCGGAGCCATCGCCGGCGGCGTCATCGGCGGCGTTGCCTTCATCGCCGTCTTGGTCTTCGTCGTCTGGAAGTTCTGCCTCAAGGGCAAGCGACGCTCGTGGGTCGAGGAGCAGGCATGGAGCGACGGCATGGACATGTCGTCCTCGCAAGAGAAGGCGCAGAACGACTTTGCGTCGCGCCGGAGCACCAGGGCATCCACGCACACGGTGGCCTCGATGGCCTCTTCCGTCCTCACCCGCGCTTCCAACATCATCCAGATCGCCTACATCCCCGGCGTCACCAACCGCTCCGGTCCTCAATCCCCAGATCTGCTGGTCCCGCCCGTCCCTCCCATCCCTGCCATGTCTCCATCCTCGGGCCTCAGCAGCCCGTACACAGCCTCCGAGCAGCACTTTTTCGTGCCAGACTTCCGCGACTCCATGGCGTCTGGATCCACCGACGTGCGCAGCAGCTACGCCCGCACCAGCATTGCACCCAGTCTCGCACGCGCCAGTGTTGCTTCGACCGTCTACCGCCAAAACGCCATCGTCTCCCCTCTCCCCGCCCAGACCATTGTGCGGGGCAAGGCCGCTGTCGTCAGTGTCAAGTCGAGCGGCTCCAACAGCCCGGCAGAGACGCCCATGGCAGAGACGCCGCCTATCCCTCAGATCGACCCCAAACACACCGTCAAGCCCATTCGCATTCAAATGCCACGACAGGGCAGCGCTGCTTCGTCGTTGAGCCCTCAGAACTCTGTGCGCAGCACTGCCCAGCTTGGCCCTGTGCGCGCACTCAACATTACCAAGAAGAAGGCATCCGACGTCACCCCTCCCAAGAGCTCCTCCTCCAACAAGAGCAACCTCACAGGCTCCACCGCCATATCCGACAACCAAGTGCAGACCATGCGCCCTCTCACCGAATACTCCGTCACCTCTTCCGACGACGGTCTCGCACACGCTCGCGCCCGGAAATCTGGACTCATAGATTCCGACTCGGACTCTGATGATGATGACCACGCACGCGCGCGTCAAAGCTTACTGCGCGACAGCGCTCTTGTCAGCGAGTTCTCAGATGGGCAGTCGATTGCCGATCTGCGATCTCCCTTCTCCGACTACGCTGCCACTGACCGCCCCACTGCACCCCAAAGGCAGACGTCGCGGTCCAGCAGACTGCAGGCAGCGCCAATGACCCCCATTGTCGAAGAGTCTGGGAAGCGACACAGCGCCGCATCCAAGAGGACGCAAAGCCCCTTCTCAGATGACCACCGGAGCGATCTCTGATGCACTCGCACGAATCCACTTTCCTTGATGTTACTCTCTCCACGGCGTTCGGACGCCGCCCTGTCCAATCGACGGGCGTGCACTTTCCTGATCCAAGATCACAGCCGCGGCGGCCATCTCTACCATCTCTTTGCCACACTACCTTTCTTGTATCTTCTTTTACTCTTGTCGCTTCTCCGTGATACCCTAGCTTGGAACCGACGAGGTTCGCAGGGCACCTTTTTGTAGGACTTGGGGGCTTACGGTCCGGTTCTGATGTGTGTTGTGTTGTCGTCGCCCTATTTTGGCGATTGATGAAGGGATTGTTCGGCTAAACGGACGGAAATTGAACTCATGAATGAGCACGCGCAGGCTTGGTTCTGATTACCTGTAGCATAGGCTCAATGCAGCGTATTGTTAATCGTACTTGCTCGTTTTAGCCTTGTCTTATCGTGTCTGTATGGAAGTCCCTGGCCGTGGTTTTCGGACAGACTCGCAATTGAAGTGACCCAGTCTAATATCCCGCCGAATCACAATTCCTTCGTGCACACGCCACAGCACGTGTTTGCCTTTCGTTGCGGATAACAGGTAGACGACAAGTCACACCACTCTTCTGCACGACGCAGTTCCAGCCAGCGAGAAACTGTTCATGTGAACGAGTAAACGAGTGGACAACGAACAGAGGCTTGAAAATGACCTATGCCTAGGCACATGTCCTCTCACTCGTGTTGAGTTGACCCACCCTGTCACAACGACGCAATTGGGTTCGGCAGGTGAAAGAAGCTGCAAAATGTGCTTGCCACCAACCCTGGCAACGGGCCCTCGCACGTCGTCATGTTAAAGACCCGGCTCATTCCACGTAAAATAAGCATCCCATACTACAGAACTCACAAAAGTGGGTCATCTCTTGAAACTGACTTGGATAACAGTAACAGCATGCCTATGCCTGTGCCTACGCCTCCCCTTCCCGTGAAGTACTGCTAGTCTCCCCTTTCTCCTTGGGCGCATCCCTCGTCAGCCGACTTCTATGTATGCCAAACGAGATACATAATCCCAAAGCACTGGCCACGGTGTAGAAGATCCAAACGCCTCTTAACGCCGCCGCCATCCCCCCTCTCACTACCTTCCTCTGTCCTTCCGGCAACAACGCTACCACCCCAGCCTGCGAAATCGCTTCGCCACCAGCGAGTGCTTCTGCGAGCTCGCTCGCCAGGCCAGCATCAATGAACGCCGAGACGTGCGGACGCATGAGCATCTGGAAAATTACTTGTCCGACAACCACGCCAATGGCACCGCCGACCATCCGCACAAACCCAAAGGCTGAAGTGCCGGCCGCCATATCCGACTCGTGGATACGTGTCTGAAGCGCAATAAGCGGCGCGTTGAAGTTGGGGCCGAATCCGATGCCGATGATGCCGAGAAAAACAATGACCTTGGCCAGCTGAAGTGCGGTCCCGAAGCTTATGAACAGGCCTACCCCAACAGTCATCAGTCCAAGCCCGACCTGTAGCACCTCCAGGTATCGGCCCGTCTTCTCAATGATCCAGCCGCCGACAAAGGAGCAAATGGCCAGCGGAACAGCGACGGCGAGCATATACACGCCCGATGTCTGGGGTGGAGCCGAGAGGACGACTTGGAAATAGAGCGGAAGAAAGTACGCGATCGAGTTGAAGACAAGAGCGTCGCAGGCGCACACGCCGAGGGCAGAGAGGTTGGAGACGTCGCGGAAGATGCGGAGAGGTGTGATGGGCGAGCCGCCACGCTGCTCGCACCACCACTGTGTCCACGGGAAGAGAGCATATGTCAAGGATCCAAGAACGAGGAAACAAACAACTAGGGGCTGAGCATACGATGACGTACCACCAAGCTGCAAGCCTACAAGTAGTAGAATTGTCGCGAGCAGGATGGTAGCGGTGCCAAGCCAGTCCAGAGATGTTATACCTTGCAGGAAAGGCGTGCGTGCGTCCTGAAGGTGCACAGTAAAGTAGAGTGTGACGATGGCCATTGAGACGAGCGGAACTAGGATGATTAGTTCGAGTCACCCTGGGATCAACACCCACTCACGGTTGACGTAGAAGCACCAGCGCCAGCTCAGTTTCTCCGCGAACATGCCTCCGAGGACGGGCCCGAGTGCGGACGCGACAGCGTACATGGCTCCAACTATGCCCATGTAGAACGACCGATCACTGCTAGGGTTAACGCCATCGAAGACTTCTTCAGGTTGTACTTACCGAATGGCGAACAGATCAGCGACGCAAACATACACCAACACATTGATGCCGCCACCCCCGAGTCCCTGTACCGATCGGCCAGCAACAAGCATGGGCGCGCTGACGCTCACTGCGCATAGAATGCTGCCTACCAGGAAGATGGAGTTGGCGAGCAGGATGATCGGCTTGCGGCCGAAGACGTCGCTGAGTTTTCCCCACAGTGGTATACTAGCAGCATTCGCAAGAAGATACGCTGACCCGGTCCATGCGTATAGTGAGTCTGGGATGTGAAAGTCGTGGGATATCGAGGGCAACGCTGTGGGGATCAGGACGGTGTCGAGCGCGGCGAGGAAGATGCTAAGCGTAAGAGCCGAGAAACAAAGCAGTGTAGGCAAGGACGGACGTCCTCCTGTGTGCGAAGCCACTGTCGTGGTAGTTGATGTTGCCATGCTTGCTGGGCGCAATTGGCTGCCCTGTTGCTCTTCGATGTTTGCATGGCTAGATTGCAAAGTTCTGGGGGAGCTGAGTGTCTTAGTCTTGGTTAGACTGTTGGACGCGGTGTCTGTGTCTGCAGAGAGACTCGGTGAGAGTGAAGGTGAGTGTTGTACTTTGGCAGTACCGCCTGCGCCATCGTTCTCTGCCGCAGCAGATGTAGGTGACGTTTTTGTTGTGGCGGAAGCCATGATGCCCGTTCTCCCAAAAGGGGCAACGACTGCTGGACGATCGTGCTTCCTCTTCACGTCAAATTCCAGAAAAACAAAGCAGAAGAACGTGGCCTGCGGTCCCTTTTGAACTCTTCCGCTGTCAATGCCGGGTCAGTGACGACGAGCCGCAGCACGGGTAAAACACTGAGCCGAACCCCAACTTCCGCCCCACAGATCGCCTCCGTTCTTGCGAAGGCGTCCCAATATCACGGGAAACAGGGCCCAGATGGCTGCAGAGACGCACATGGTCAGGCACTGTATGAGGTGTTCGGGCCGGCCAGTCGGAGCTTTAGCCTGTAACCAGCTGCTCTATGCGCACCCGGTGGACGGGTCACGAACAGGGATCGTCGAATGTTCGAAGTTTCCTTCTCGTATGCGCTGACACAGTTGTATATTCAGCGCTTGCTCGACCATCGGTAGCGTTTCCCCGCAGATCACTGTATTGCCATCTACCTTCATACTCCTCAGTTATAGATTGCCTGTTTGACTTGCCATCTGAACTGAAAAATTCGCTCGGTGGAGTCTCATGCCGATCTCGGAACACTGCATAGTGGTGGTGCAGCATGTAGAATCCATGCCAAACGACGACCCGAGGAGTGCAGCATACCATGCCACCAGATTGCACGCACATGAGGCGGAACCCACTCGGACATCGTGATTCCACTGCTAAAACCCTGGCATCGCTTCCGTCTCTCAGTGGAGACGTCGTGGTCGTGAGCTGAGGTCATTGGATGATTGGGCACGTATACGAACGGTCTCCTGCCGGGCATGCTGTGTGATGCACAGCATCGTAACACAACATGCTTGGCTAGCGTGCACTTGAGCGCCATGGCAATTTCGTGCACTTGAGCGGTGGCTTCTGCCCCGCTAAATATTATTGTCGGGTCTTGCGCATGCCTTCGTTCTGAAAGCGTTCGGAGAACTCGCGTAGAGGGGCAAGTCGCCTTCACACCGCCTCGAAGAACGATATCAGCATAACAAGGGTAACACGGTTGCCCACTACGAGCTTCCATGTCTGGTTGGTATACCCGATTGTGGCTGCACCTGAGCCAAACTTCAAAGACGCTGGCACGGGCAACCACTGAACCGCGATCTCTAGCGTTAGAAGGATAGTCCACAGACGTCGCATTTGAAGGGGCGGATCGATAGCGCGACGTAAAAATATGGTGGGACTGAAGGCCAAGCTGGTGGAAAGAAACGACGGATGGTACAATTAACACCGAAAGAGTTGTCGGACTAGATGGACGCGATCCATAGGAGATGCCTGTAGGTGCGCAGGTGGCGAGCGGTTGCATTTGTGCTCCTCACTACCAACGCTGAAGTGTGAAGGACACCTGTCAGACATGTTTACCACGCTTGCGTCGGATCATTTGTCGAGACAACGGCGAGCACGACCCGAACACCGTCTCTGACTACTTGCCTTTCAACACAGCATCTCTGTTAAGAGCCTGAGATTCGGGGTTGCAGCGGATGCACGCCTACTTCGCGATGCGCAAGTCTCGATCCCAGGGTAAGAGCAGTCTCATATGAGTTTAGGGCTGCCACGTTGCAGGGCATCTCACAGAACCATCCCGTTCGAAACGGCCGCAGAAATTCGAGCTGGGAAGATGTCTCAGAGCGTGGCAGTGATTTCGACGAGTGAACCCTCCCCTCAAACGTTGATCCGACGCAGGGCAAGCCACTTTGGGTCGAGGCGCCAAGCTGATGTAAAGACCCACAGCGCGTCCTGTGCCGCCGTTTTCGCGTGCCATCTTTGGATTCCAAGGTTCCAATGCCGAGACTTTCCAATATCTCTTCTACCAGAAGTTTTCCGGGTGGCGCTCACATCCCTTTCTCTGTGTCTACTCGCGTACCGCCAGAGAGTGGACGTGCGTCTAAGATGAGTGCGGGTAGCCACGAGCACTCTGGCACCGCGAACGTGCGAACGTCCATGGGGAACCTCCACGAACGTTCTTGTAGCCAGAGCTACCAAGAATCTGGGCACAACTGCACCTACATATCGTATCCCTCGCTCGGGAGCTGAGTGCTGTGACGTCGTAACGCAATCCTACATTTTTTACGAAACATGCCGTATTGAAGTGCAGCGCCTCGCACGCGAAGTATGACAGAAGTTGTTGACAGCGAATGGCTGGAAGAATGCTGGTGTTGAGACATGTAGGTGAGCAAGTGGGTCCCTGAAACTAGCGGCACGCGGAGCAGCCCTGCAGGTTCGGCCCGAGGAACAGTGAGCAGTTACTGCAACAGCAAGACACGTAGTACTTCATGCCAATTCGAACAAACATAAGCCTATGTATAACAAGCCGGTGTGTAGCAGAAGATGTAAAAGTGATCAAGCGACACTGAAAGATTTACAAGTTCGCCTCAGTGACCGGCCCTTCCCTGCCGAAGCTCAACAAGTTCTCCGGGGCTCCATACGACAGGTCTGTTCTCCAGAAATTACCAAGCGACATATTCTGGACCTCCGCCTTACCACAGTCGCAATATGCTACGCACATATACTGTGTAGATGATATAAACGCTATTCGTGATGGGCGACGAAGGATTCAAACGCTACGTATGATAGCTATGGGTCACGGCCCACAATGACCCACACCGGCAATAGTTTGCGTGGGCAAAAACATACAACAGCGAGGATTCTCGCGTCCTCACGGACCGCAATACTAATTCGCCGGTACACTGCTTATATATGGCTGAGCGGACGGGAAGCCTAGTTTTCAGTGTCCTATGGTCGTATGTGCTAAGCTTGCCAAAGGCAGTGAAATATAACCCCACTCATTCTTTGTCAATCCGGCGCTCACTATGCTGTGCCAGACGACAATTCTTAGAGCGCTTCATGTGGCACACATCCAAATGAGACTACAAGAGTAATTGGCGGCCCAGAAAGTAATCCTGCTGCAACACACCTGGGGAGTCTCCTTCCCACGAACACCAAATGTATCGTGGTCTTGTAGACGCCTCATGCAAATTTCTTAGTTCCGCCAGCAAGCTTTCTCCAACGAGGGTTTCCCGATCTACGCTTGAAAGGAGTCTTTGAACTTTTTGACCTTCGAAGAAACCTCTTCGGCCAGACTTGAAGTTAGACGTCGCACAGGGCAAGGCGATATCTCAGAGGCGCAGAAGCGAATCAGCCTGTGGGGTACGGACTTTCGATCTTAGCGTAAGCACTTCCGACATTCGCACGAAGTCTCGGGCGAAACTGGCCTCGTGCGCTTGTCCAGGTTGGGCTAGCTTCAGCCTTGCTCCTGTAGACAGTCCATGTCCTTGGCTCTTCGAGGCACAGCCCTATGGCAGCATTCGCTAAGCGAGAATACTCGCGCGACACTATTCGGGAATTGGCGTGCTAACGTCTGAGGTGGTGCCTCCGCTTCCTAGGCTCTGACCCTGGATGTATCTTTGCGAAACGGAGCTTCTCTTGTTCTGTTGGCAGTGGAGCGGAGCTCCGAAAAGCCAAGCTGGACATCCTTCGGGCACATCACGGTGTTCCTTTTTTGATTTTACGATTATTGCGTTGAGTTGAACAACGCCAGCAAATGTGAGGCTAGACCTGGGCGAGGCCGATATAAAACCTCGATGCTGCATCACCCAAAGGCCCTCATCACACTCAGTACCATTCCAGCTTCCTTCCCACTCTTCACTTCACAGCCACTCTTTCAGCCTTGAAGGCTTCAAATACTTTCTTTACTAGACACCTTTCAACGCTATCCAAACCCACCAACCCACCTACAAAATCTCAAGATGCAGTTCCTCGCTATCCTCGCTATTGCTTTCGCCGCAACCGGTGTTTCTGCTTGCAAGGACGATAACATCTTCTGCGCTCCTGGCATGGGTCCTTGCGCCGACCCCGCTGCGAACTGCGCCAAGCGCTCTGTCGACACCACGTTCGGAGGCTTCGCGAACGTTGCCCGCACTGTCAACGAACTGAACAAGCCGGCCGAGGCCAAGATTGATGCCGAGTAGACATCCGATCAATTGGTAAGAAGCACCAGCCATCCATACCAACACTCGCTCACTACGCCGCAGGTCTACTCGAATCAACAGCATGTATTGCATTTGAAGCGCTTGGGGCTTGGTGAAGTGGCATTTGGGAGGATGTTGAGCTTGATAGTGACATATAGATTCTTTTGTACAACAACAATTTCAGGATGATGGACTGAGTCTGCTATATTTCCGCATTGAGCAGTGGTGACCTTCGCGATCGGGCTCGTTTCGACTACTTGTTATGGCGAAGATGCACAATATGTTGACTTTGATCAGCCTGCCATGTCTTCGGCCAGCTCGTCACATCACGAGATGGCCATGATCTTTGCAGACTTATGACAAGAATCTGGGGCGTATCTGGTCTCTCATGGGGCATTGCTAGTATACGGTTGATCAAGTCTGACGAAGCATGCCAGTACATGTGTATTCATCGTAGGATGATCCCACGTTGTGTCTCAGCCGAGTGCCACATGCAGTCACCCAGAACAAGACCGCGGGTCGGCCAGTGAAAGCTTCCACTGACATGCCGGTAAGGCCAAGCGATTATATGGACTGCCCATTAGTATCTAAGGTAAGAGAACAGTAGTCGCGATCGCTGATCCCACACGCACGATCACGTAAGCTCTTCTAATAAAAAAATAATACCAGATCTGGAAGTCAGTGTATTGGGAGAGGGTTTGCGGTCCACCATGCATGCTGCGTAAACTGATGCGCCCACTAGCCTGTATCCTCACTAGCTGCGGCCGATGCATTGCAGTATGCAACCCAACGTGATGGGGCGCTTACTCACCATTTACGGAGCACCATTGTCGTCGTCCACCTCCTACGACAAGAAAGCGCGGAGACAATTATCTATAAAGATGTGACGTATTGCACTCCAGAGTAATCCCTCGTTCCAATACACCCTATCACTGAAAGCACTCCCACATACCTCACCATCGTCCCGCCCTTCCACTCTGAAGATGACTACCCCCTTTAAAAACATTATCATCCTTGGTGCAACTGGCTCCGTTGGCGCACCCATCCTCGCCGCCTTGCTCGCCGAGCCCACCTTCACCACCACCATCCTCACCCGCGCCACCTCCCGCGCCAAACTCCCCCCAAACGTCCCCGTGATCTCCATCTCCGACGCCTACACCCGCGACGAACTCACACGCGCGTTCACAGGCCAGGACGTCGTAATATCCGCCCTCAACACCACCGCCGTAACGCAGGATGACCTCGCCTTCCGCATCGTCGACGCCGCCCTCGCCGCCGGCGTCCGGCGCATCATCCCCTCGGAATTCGGCGCCAACAACCTGGATCCGCGCGCAACGGAGCTGGTCCCCGTGTACGCGCTCAAAGGCAACATGCTGCGGTATCTGATGCAAAAAGCCGAGGCGTCGCACGGCGCGCTGACCTGGACGTCCATCGCGTGCGGCTCGTGGCTCGACTGGGCGCTGGATCCGGGGAAGTCGGGGAATTTCCTGGGCATCGATGTCCGGGGCAGGCGGGCGACGATCTGGGATTCGGGTCGGGCGAGGTTCAGCGTCACGACGGCGGGAAATACGGGGCTTGCGGTGGCGAGGGTGCTGCAGAGGGCGGAGATGACGGCGAATAAGCAGGTGTTTTTGAGCGATTTTGTTACGAGTCTGAGGGAGGTCGTGGATGCGCTGGAGAGGCTAGGTGGCCAGGGGTTTGTGGTTGAAGAAAAGGAGAGTGGGCCGGCGATTAGGGAGGCGAGGGAAAGGTTCGAGAAGGGCGAGTTTGAGGCGACGTACCCGCTACTGGCGATCAGCTTCGCGGGAGATGTGGACGTGGGATACGACTTTGAGAAGGAGCAAACGGTGTGGAACGAGGCGTTGGGACTGCCAACAAGAACGTTAGACGAGGTCGTCATGGGAGCAATTGAGTCGGCAAATTCGTCTTGAAGATGAGGCCCCGGTCTCTTGCTCTAGCAATTGATATGCGAACAAGTCAACCTTAGCGTACTGTACAAGCTCGAGATTTGTCTGAGAGGATGTACCACTTCTCCCCTCGACCTACCACTCATCATCTCCACGGTCCACCTCACCATTTTCAACAGAATCTATCCAGCCGATCGTATACTGGAACGCATGGTTGAGTTGATGATGATTTTCACTCTACAAACAGGATTACTACAAACCAATGCACAAAACCAACGCACCTCGCACCAAAACTCCGGGAAGACGCCGTTTCGTATGCGTAATCGTAATCATACAACATCGCTCTGTATTTCGGTCACGCAGTCCTCGCGCTCAGCGGGGTCTTTGGTGGCGTATCGAGCATCGTGACCTTCTTCCTCGGCGTCATGGGCCCCGAGAGCTGCGACGTGCCATTTGGCCCGTCGTCGTACTCGTACCATACGCCCTTGACCCTCCTGTTCAACTTGCGCGGCGGCGGCTGGATGCGGTTGACGATGGTCCCAATGGTCCTCTCCGTTTCTCTGATTACGCTTGCGTTGCTCGCCGAATCCGACCCAACCTCTTTCATTGCCTCGCCCACCTTCTCAACACTGTGCATCATGTCTGCGCAGGTTTCTACCAGCTTTTTCTGTCCGCTCGCGAGGCTCTCAATCTGCTTGGCGTTGGACTGAAGGACGCTTTGCATGGAAGACTGGGCACCGAAGCTGGAGTTGGACAGTGCAATGTAGTGAGAGGCGTTTTGGTCGACAATGGCCTGGAGAGCCGCTTGGTTGTCGGCGAGCGCTTTGATTTGAGTGGAGGTGGATTCATTGATTTCTTGCATAGTCTGTAGGCCGGTGGACTGGGCGACAGAAAGGGCGCGGATGGATTCGGTGTTCTCGGTGATCATGGCGGCCATCTTCTCCAGGGTTGCCTCAAGGCCCTTGAGGTCAAATGTGCTGGGCTCTGACCTCTCTTCCCGCTCTTTGGTGGGCTCGGGCGGGGCGACGGGGTTGCCACGGTAGTCTTGCAAAGGGATGGGGGCTGTCGCCCCGTCGCTGGGCGTGTAGAACCAGCTGTTTCGCAGATCGTAGAACTTGGGGTTGTCCTGGATCTGCTCCTGCATGTCGTCGCCCTTGAGTATGAAGAGCTGCGGGCCGGGCCGTGAGGATTCGGGGTACTCGCGCTGGACGAGGGACCACCACTGCTCGGCGACCAGGGCGGAGGCGAAAGTGAGAACGTAGGGTGCGGACTGGGCATAGTCGCTCTGCAAACAGGGCCGTCAGCTCAACCGTGGCACGGGTGCGAGGATAGCAAAGGGGCCGGGTACAGCAGTGTATACCTTCTGCGCATACGCATAGAACAGGTTCTCGCTCCACGGGCCGCCGGGCGGGGCAGCGTGCGCCATGGCGGGCGTGGTCGGCCTGCTGAAGTTGCGGGGGCTCTCGGTGGTCATCATCAGGCCGGCGGCGAGCGAGAGGCTGGGCTTCTTGCGAGGCAGGCCCTGCCCGTTCAGCGCATTCAGCGGCGTCGACGCGTCGATCAGCGACTGGAAGTCGGACATGCTCTTCGGCCGCGCAGACATGTCGTCCCAGTAGTGCTCTCGCACCGAGTGCAGCGGCGGCTCCGAGAATTGCGTGGTCGAGTGCACCGAGCGAGAGGCGCGAGAATGCATCCTGGGCGGCGGAGGTTCCATGGTCGACGTTGAGGAGACAGAACACGGGCTGGGGTAGCAGCAGATGAACAGGTCCAAACCCTAGTCGATGACCTCACCGGTCAAGCACCACCGCCAGCGCTGCGACGCTTGCATGTGGGTTGCAACACCGTGCCTCGCACCGTGGAGCAGCGCGTTGTTTGTGGCCGTATTGTTGATGCCATGGTGATTCGTTGACGCGTCGCGTGCCAATCGAAGCGGTTGTTCGACGGCGCAATTTCAATACAGTTCCTGTCTCATTAGTGCCCGCGTGCTAGACAGTCGCCGGGTCGCCGCTCGCTGCCCGCGTGCGGCCGCACATGGGAGGTGCACGTCGCTGGGAAGGTAGACGATGAGGCTTCGATTCATTGTCGTGAGGCCCTGGAGTCGAAATTGCGCCGCAGTAAGGGAGGCTCGGCTTGTTGGCGAGCATCAACGTCGGAGTGCGTGCTAGCGCCATTCGCCAATTCGGCCTCGTAACATTCGAGGCGGCCTATCCCACTGGGACCCGGGTCGACGTGTGTCTCAATGCCTGTGATATACCGTCAGCAGCACCCGAAAACATGCTGATTCGAACTACGAGAGGCCAGCGCATAAGAGCACGATCAATTCCCGCCGAGAACGCACCCGCTTCGCAGGGGCCAGCAGAGGAAAAGGTATATGCATTCTACGAGCTAGTTAACCACCGAAGGAGCTTCAAGCGAAGTGTCCAGGCGCCGTCAGAGCGGTCGCTACGGCCATCTCGTCATGTCTACCCAAGTAAATGCAAGCGCTATATCCAGCAAGAATAGTCAAACATCTCCAGATCGAATCGTAGGTGTATCAAAACACTCCGTCGCACCCTCTCCTGGATCAAAGCCCACATCAACAACCGCAAGCAGCTAGCGTCTTCGGCCACTGGTTGTCTTCAACACCCAGACAAGGTCGCGCAACGGTGGTGGCAGGTAAGGCTGAGGTCGCGGCGAGGGCACTTCTTCGAAGAGTCATCCAGGCAGAACGGTCCAACGCGCAGCTACATCTAGTTGATGAAGAGAAACTCTCCGGGGCGCTGCTCAGCTCCGACGCGTACCTCAAAGTGCTCCATCTCATCGAAGCCAAGGTTCCACAGCCAGCTACCGACCGTAGCGCGGCCGTCCACGGTGCCGGGGATAACGGAATTCTTGCCTGTCATCCATGACTCGCGGTGCGCATGCTTCCAGATGAGGTGGAAATGGGGCTTGTCCTGACCACCTGGCTCGCGATGGATTCGGACAGCGGCCAGCTTGCGCTGGCGTAAGATGATGCGCCACAGCTTGTTCATCTCGGTGCAGGAGCGGTCCGGAAGCACCTTGCGGCCATATAGACGGTACCTGGCAATGGTCAGCGGCTGCATCGATATTGCATACAAAGGCGAGCACTTACAAATCCTTGGCTTCGCCATCTGCTTGGGGACGGTAGTCATGCCGAGAGTAACGTCCGAAGCCAGCCTCAATGTGAGCCGAGTTGGCCCAAGTATTCAGGAGGGGAAGGGCATCAATCCAACCGGCCGTCTTCTCAATTGGCAGAATCCTCCTAGCTACCGCAATCGTAATGTTGCCACGAAAGGGCATGTTCTTGCCGTTCGGGTCCAGTGCGTCTGCGTAGAGGAGAGGAACATCCGGGTTGAAGAATGTTTCCATGTACTTGGACGTGTTGGTTAAATCCATGCCAATCTCCTGATTTGCAATGTACACAGGATAGAACTCCTTGCGGATTTGCTGGCAGACCTGGGTCAAACCAAAGAATGGTCGGTTGGACTCCTTTGGCGCAACCAGAGCGGGAGCAACCTCTTCGGGTGTCCCCTTCCGTCCTCTCTTCTTCTTTTCTGAGTTGTCGAGCTCGCGATACTTTCCGGGAGCAGCTCGGACCTGTCGGGTGCTAGGGCGTAACGTGCCCGTCTTCGGCAGGTAGACGACGAGCGCCTGCCTCGTAGACATGTCCGCGCAGTATCGGTAAATCATGTTGCGGATCTCTGCTACTTATTAGCCAGTCTCAAAAGCAGCGGACAGTAGCCACTTACCGCCGGGCAGCTCCATGAATAGGAAAGGATCTTCGTCCACCATGCCTGCGCCTTGGTCGTTCATAGTGATAGCGAGATCATTGACTCCAATACGCCTGTTGGCACCAACTCGGAGCGCGACTTGGGTGTTGGGAGAGCGTTGCTTGATTGCCACTCGCTTCTTCTGCTGGTAGTATGGCTTGTTGCTCTCCAAGAGCATTGGCGCGGCTTTGCGCTTGCGAACCATCGGGTTGAACGGAGTCGGGGGAAGAGGGCTCAAGTCCGTCAGCCGGCGTCGTTTGAAATCAACAAACGGGGATACTTACCCAATACGAGGTTGTTCATCGAAGCCGGTACCCTCGAGCTTGAGCGGAGCGGGCCGCTGCGCCGACCTACTGAGCTGCGTCTCAAAGCGCATCTGGACCTCTGTGGGCAACCCAGAATGCGACTCCCTATTCTGTGCGTCGCGCAATTTGGCCTTGACTTGATCACTGGAGCTCGTCAGCTTGGTGTCTCAAAACACCACGGAGCTCACTTACGACATGTTCGGCTGCTGATAGTGTCGGCGGCGGCTTTTCGGGGCAAGTCGGTGTAGGTTCAGGAACTGAAGGTTATCCGGGGAGTGTGACCTGGAGACGTAGCGTCCAGCTATATGTGCTTTGTCGTGCGGCTTGGTACCCACTTTAAATCGTGGTGAATGGGCGTACCTGGGGATCTTCCGCAACGAAACTGAGAGTATTGTGTGAGCGCGCTCCGCAGGTCGACGATATTGGAATTTTCTGCTTCACATCGGCGACACCCAATCTAACAGGCATGCGTTGCGGCACCGTGCAAGCGGCGGCGCAGGAGCAAGGGTGACCACAAGCCTGGAGAGCAATTATTGGTGTATGGCACAAGCCAAAGGTGCTTGCCACTGTCTGACACATAGTGTTCAGATTGCAGAGCCATGATGCCATACCAGCGGCGCTGTGTCGCAACGGTCGAAATGTGCCATTCGGACGAGGAATCAGTGAAAGGTATCTCGACTGGTAACCCGAGGCAGCTGCTATGTTGCAAACAGCAGGCGGGAGGCAGCTTTCAACAACTGCTAACATTAGCTGTACTAGTAACTGCACTGAGTTCGCCGGTGCGTGCGTACACTGTTAAGGCATTCATTGCTGAACCTACAGAACAACTTGAGGTTGTTCGCTGTTGGCTCTTTTGAGCCGCGTCTCTTTATCCTCCTATCTTGATGCCATTGCATCTCGAATCCGGCTCGATTTCTACGCCTTCAAGCTCGACATACTGTGGTGATTTGCAGGCGCCCGACAGCAGTGCTGCGATGACGCCAGCCCAGCCAGTCACTGCAAAAAATGAACGAAGTAACTTGAATAATTGCATTACAGTATCAACTACGGCTATCGACGAACACGTTATCATCTTCAAGATTTCTCGCCGGCAATATGATCCTCGTCCCGACCGCTGTGCAGCGTAGTAGCTACTTGTCCGGTAAGCAGATGATCCACATTTGGAAGGAGCAAACTGCAGATGATTGCTACACCGGAGAAGGCAATGTTCGAGAAGAAAACAGTTCGATAAGCGTCTGCGTTGGCATGCTGATAGGCGTTTGTCCCGATCGCGAGGATTTCTGGTGTCATTCCGGGGACTTTTTCGAATGCGGAGGCCCCGAGAGAGAATGCCGAGATAAAAGTTGCAACCGAGGTGGCTGGGAGTCCAGCAGCGATGACGGCAGGAGGCACCTGAGCTGCAATAGTTGTAGTCAGTCTGTTGGACAGAATGACGGTGTAGCTGGAGAGGTCAGCAGTGCAGCGGATAACAATAGAGCATAGACTTACACAGTGGATGCGATGGACGAGATGAGGAAACGAATAGAACCCGCCACGCCAGCAGAAGTCCCCAGCGCGAACTGATCCTTCGCCGCAAGCGTAACGATGGTGATCGCCGCGCCTTCTGTCCAGCCAATACAAAAGACACCAACGCCAACAAGCGCCGAAGCTCTGGCCTTCGTACCGACGCCGCAGGTTGCCATTGACCCGAAGCAAATGGCCCCGAGCGTGATACCGACCACGCATTGCCATTTGAGATACCCTATCTTCTTGCCCGCGAAACCTCCAACGATTTGCCCAATGGTGATGAATAATCCAACAAACGAGGACAACCCTGCGCTTGCCATGACTCCACCATCGCTGTAGAGAACAGCCACCATGGAAGGCCACACGATCGCGAAGGCGTAGTACACGGATGCACCGAGTCCAGTCAGAAGAACTGAAGCATTCCAGGAGTAGTTTGAGAAGATGTGCATCGGCACCAGCGGCTCCTTCAAGTCGACAAAGCATTCCCATAGAACGAATGCTATCAGTGCGACGAATCCGATCACAATCGTTGCGATGACTGATGCCGAAGCCCATGGATAGACCGAGCCTCCCCAGCTGAGTCCCATCATAAAGACCAAAAGACCTCCCGTGTACAGCGCAGTGCCGACATAATCGAATTTCTTGACGTACTCAACCACGGAAGCTTGCTGTCCGTGTTTCATGTGGAAAGTTGGAGGGTGGTAGAAAAAGAACCAGCAGAGGAATGAGGCAAGTTCAATGCCGATGAGAACATAGTAGCAGCCGCGCCATCCAACCTTGGGCTGATAAACGATGAACGCGTTCGAGACGAGCGGTGCAACTCCGGATCCTGGGATGCAAAAGAGATAGCAGAAGGCATTTCCAGCGAGGCGGTACTTCATGGGGACGAGCTCGCCCATGACATAAAAGTACGAGAGTTGGGTAGCGGCAGCGATGCCCAGGATGGTAGTGGCACCAATGAGGGTGTTGACGCTCTGCGCAGTCGCGGCAATGATACTCCCAATCACCCCGAGGGCAGCACCTCCAACAAACACCCATCGACGTCCAAATATATCCGAGACGCGCCCAATGATGGTGAGGGTGACGGCAGAAGTGAGCGTGTACGCAAGAGCCACCCACGTGATGTTTGGATCCTGATTTGTATCAGTTACTAGGCTGCGCCAAAGCCAAATGAAGAGACTCACGGGTCCGATATCTGCATTGATGACGCCTAAGATGGGTGCTGCATACCCGAACGCAGCAACACCAGCCATCAATCCCAAACCTATACCTGCCATCGTTCCCACGAAAAACTTGGAACGAAAGTACCCCGGCGGTAGCGCATTCTCGTCGAGTTCAAGATTCGCGCCGACAGCTGTATCCGCATAAACCTTTTCTGGGTCACCGGATGGTGTTGAGGTCGAAATCGTGTCGATGTTCTCTTGGTGATACGTTGGCATCTTGTCGGACGACATTTTGGCGACTGGGAAATATCTCTATCTTCTGAGACACAACACTTCGGTGAGTATTCCTAACATCTTAAGCAAGCCTGCGTGGTCCAAAACGGCGGGATTCCATATCCGAGATGCGGGGACCCCACACAAGCCACACGTTTCAACGCACAATCTGGACCTACACTCGGGACGCATAACCAGCTTGGTAATGATTCGCGCGTCTTGGGGCCTGTTGTGACGTAGAAATACTCTTCAGTAGAAAAGACAAGCTTTGGTGGAGTCCACGTGCTCGGGAAACATGTACCGACGCGATGATTCATCTGTCACCCGGGTGTGAATCAGAGTCTTTGCCGACATTTTGGGGTTAGCGCGAAAGTCCCTGGCCATGACATGCTGGGCGACCCGTCGTCAAGCCTGCAGCATTGTGGATGTAGCATTGTTGTGCAGGATAGAACTGAATGTTCGGCTACACGAGAAGAACGTGTTCGAACCACCAAAGTGCCATGAAACGCATTCTGCTACGCGATCTTGTCGAGTTCCAATTGAAGCAAGAATTATCTCAAACAGTACAAATGGCCCAAAGCCACTGGATATCGAACCGGATTAGTGTGTATAACGGAAAAGGTTGGCCGCCCGTCGCCCAGGTTCCTGGGTCCACAAAGTCCCTACACTTTATCCCCTTTCGGCTACACAAGGCATACCCGAGCCATAGATTAGATCGAATGCTTACAAGCGCATCGCCTAGCATTTCTCGAACCACCCCAGAATTACATCGCCCGGTAGGAGTCGACGTGCGAAAAGGTTACCGATAGCGAAGCCTCACTCGCCTTGTTTAGGGAAGATGGCATTGGACAGGCCTTTCTCATCAGATCAATGCGTCGCTCGAGGCGCAAAAGGATGCCTAGATTGACCTGAGCAACCATGCCGGTGACGGAGATGTTTTACCTGACAGATCGGTATACTAAACATAATTATGATCCGCCTGAGGGTGGCTGAGGGTCGAGACTCAACGGATTCAATTCGGTCCAATTCCAATAGAGCATGGTCCAACAATCATCTATCACGGTGTGTCCTTCCACGGACATGGACCTAAGGTACTTCCAGAAATTCAGGAAAACTGAAGAGTGCTGCTCCGGGCGGTGTAAAATCTTCCAAGTTGCCGCCGCGCCGTTCCTGTCATCATACTAGGACAACAGCAGTGGAGGACAATTCGTGATGGAGCCCTTATACGTCAGTACCGTGCTATCGAAGACATCGGCCGACATTTGGTATCATATTTGCTAGCGAGCGGTTCAATGATATTATCCCCAGCAAAGACAGAGGGCTGGTCTTCCTCATATATGGTTGTGCGGGCTGCGGTAACAGTTCGTAAGTGGATGTGTTCCTCATTCAAACTCACAATGGGACTCTGATGCCTAGTAGTATGTGCCGCCGGCACTCTCCATCGTCTCCTCTACTACATCAGCGGCGCCAATCTCGGCTTTTTGGAAACTAGAAGCTGCCGCGGCGTTACTGTCGGGGACCAGCTCGAGGGCATCCTCAATACAACGCCCGCTGGCAAGCCATCCTGCTTTTCGACGAGGCATGGTCCTTCGTCGTATCGCGTGACCAGCGGAGCCGCGATGGCCAGAACAACGCGTTCGTGAGTATTTTGCTCCACTTGCTGAAGTGCCAACCCCTCACCATTATTCTGACGACGAACAGAATGAGCGCGTCCGACACTGTGCTCATCTCCCTTTTGCACGTAGCGCTGAAGAATGAACAACTGAGCGTGTATCACTATCGCTTTGTCTGGAAGACAATGGCGATGCAGACTTAGGAGGATCTCACAGAGCATGATACCAAACCGCTAGCCCAAATTTCTCTCCATGGGAGGACCATACAGAATTTGCTCAGCGTGGCGAGTTTGCAGGTCAAGATGAGGTCAAGATGAGGTCAAGAAGCAACGATGCAGATGGAGGAAAATGTGCAGATGGGCGACGTGAGAAGGATTTTGAGACATACGGTCGGGAACCTGGGGATGGGCGAAGTTTACGGTGACAAGGCGACATAATCCGACCGACGGAAACCTTGGCTAAGCACATGGTGAGACGGCTTTAATGCATTAAGGCTGGGGTCAGATGGTCTTGAACGCTATCGAGTGCACTGAGCTACCTCACACTGTGCGCGCTCTTTCATCACCTGAGCTTTCCGATGTAATTTAGCTCACGCGGGGTATCGCTAGCTTACAGCCATTTTCGCTACTACCTCTGTTATAGTGTCCACTTTAATGACAGCTACCCGCACGAGTGTACAGCGCCCTCTAGCGTCTGCACCTTTCGATCATTCCACAGTACGTTTCACAGCAAGCGCACTGCTATACCAAGAAGACGTGGGTAAACCGAAGACCCTTTATTGCCAAGAGCTAAAGATAGACAGATAGGGCGAAAATCGTTACGAGAGAGGAAACCGAGAAACTGGAAGACAGCCAATGGTGTGTCGGCAAATGTGCAGGGATGTGCATTCGATATTCGCGTAGTAGATTGGGTGCCGAGTACTAAGTAGCCTCTCCCCAGACAGGGTTACTTCCAACTCGAAATGTCGTCGTGAAGTCAGACGATGAGGCACATCTGGGTTGCACAGTTGGAGCGGAGTACAGTCGGTGAGGTGAGAGGATGGCAACGAGGTTAGATCGCTTGAGGACCTGGATTGAGTATATAAAATGGCCTTCATGTCCTTCTTGAACTATACAGTTCTTCACCAGAACACACGAGCACGGTTATTACTCACAGTCAAAGTCGTTCCAAAAGTCGAAACTCCCGACACCATGAAATCCTTCACCACGCTCACGGCCATCGCGCTCCTCCCTGCCGCCCTCGCGGCCTCTCTCACTGCAACAAATAAATGCACCAATTCCATCTACGTCAAACCCGACGCACAAGGCTTCTCGGGCGCGATCTCCGAGATCAAACCCGGCGCGACATGGACGGGACCCTTCGAGACGACCAAGTTCGGCAACGCAGTCAAGTTCTCCAGCAGCAAAACGGATTTCAGCAAGCCCATCAGCTTCGATTACAGCGTCAGCGGTGGCCTCACGTACTACGATGTGAGCGATGCGGCTGGCAGACCGTTCAAGTTGGTGGCAAGGGATACTACGGGAGGTGGGCAGACGTGCCCAGAAGTTGGATGTCCGGGAAGCGCGTGTAAGGCTGTGAAGGCATGTGATTCCTCGCACACATATGCTATACAGGCATGTTAAAGGCTAGACGGTAGTAATTGGGTAGCGTACTGCAAGCTAGATGTGGAATTGAATTAGTGCGAGCGAACATGGAACATGCGAATCAGTCGTCATCAACTAAATCGTGAGTTCTGATATCTAGCGCGGGCTCGTGCAAGTCGAAGCGTTTTGTGTTCGTATTCGTCTCGGACGTACACTGATGTGTACACCATGTACGCGAACCGATTGTGGGATAGCGAATGATATGACGGTGTAGGATTTATCCTCAGCCTCATCAGTCTCGCTTCGTCAACCGTCGACCCACTTTTCGGATCACCGAGAGCCCGGGATCGACATCCCGACGCAACGACGGTCTTGGCGCGAGGATGAATAAATACAGTTCAGTATCATGTTAGCAAGCACATACTCAGAGGCGAATGCTTCATCGTGACTGAAATGATGAATGTAACAGCCAGCCATCTCGCAGTGGCTATCGCACTTGTGGTATGTTACTCAGTCTCTCGTGATACCCTGGACTAAAGACGAGGATGCTCAGTATGTCTTAGTACAATTCAGTATGATCACTCACCAAAAAATCTTTAGATTGCATCCAAGATTCTTTACAACATCTACCTGCACCCGCTTCGTAGCTACCCAGGCCCAAAGCTATGGGCCGCAACCCGCCTCACCTGGACGCACGCTATGCAGTCGGGTCAATACCATCGCAAGCTACACGAATTACACACTAGATACGGTCCAGTAGTCCGTATCGCGCCCGACGAGCTCTCGTACACGACCCCCGACGCATGGAGAGATATCTACGGCAATCGCAGCATCCCCAAGAACGCCGTCTGGGCAGGCCAGGAGGAACAGAAACATCCAGTCAGCATCGTGAGCACAAATGAAGAGACACACCTGCGGAACCGGCGGGCGCTGACAGGCGCGTTCACCGAGCATGCCATCGCCGAGCATGCATCTGTGCTTGAAGACTTGGTGGGACTCATGGTCACGAGGTTCAAGGAAAGCATCACAAGCGCCGACGGGAAGACTGTGGTTGATTTGGTGGACTGGACGAACTTTCTCACCTTCGACATCTCTGGCTTGCTCTCCTACGGAACGTCGTTCTCGAGCGTGTCACACGGCCGCGCGCATCCTTGGGTCGAGATCTCGTGCTCGTTCGGCAAGGGCATTGCGCTGATGGCGTCAATCAATTTCTTTGCGCCGCTGAACAGGGCGCTGAAGTTTGCGATGCCAAAGTCCGTCATGGAGAAAATGGAATACCACAAGCAGCTTGCGCACGAGAAGTTTATGCAGAGGTTGGCGATGGATGACGGAAGAGGGAAGCAGGACTACGTGGGTAGCATCATGGCGTATAACGCGGACAAGGGCGAAGTCAAGATTCCGGACGAGGAAATTGAGGCGAACATGACATTGTTGATTTTTGCGGGAAGTGAGACGACGAGTACGGCGTTGGCGGCGGTGCTGACGCAGCTGTTGCAGGCTCCCGCTGCACTGGAAAGCTTGGAGAAGGAAGTGCGGGCAGCATTTCAGAGCGAGGAGGATATTAATATTGAGAGTGTAGCGAGGCTCGAGTATCTCGGAGCGGTTATTCAAGAGGGCATTCGCATGGGGCCTCCAGCGTCGATAGCGTTGCCGAGGGTGACGCAGAGAGAGGAAATTGTGGCAGGGCAACGTGTGCCGAGTGGGGTACGTCTGTCTCGTCCTGTGAACATTCGAGTATCACTGACTGGACCAGACCTTTGTATCAGTGAACCAGTATCCCACGTTTCGATCTCCAAGCAACTTCACGCAACCCGACTCGTTCATACCCGAACGCTTCTTGTCCGGCTCGCCGTTCGGTTCGGATAGACTCGAAGCATTCCATCCCTTCCTGATGGGTCGGCACAAGTGTATAGGACAGAAGCTGGCGTTGACAATCATGAGGCTTACACTTGCAAGGCTAGTGTACGCGTTCGACATGAGAGTAGTGCAGACTGTGCGTGATTTTGGCGAGCAGAACACGTACATATTCTGGGAGAAGAAACCACTGCGGGTGGAGCTTAGGTTGAAGGCTGGATCCTCAGGCGCCGCGGCATGAAAATCTTGCATGTGCGTTATATCATAGGACTGCGAAAAGTATTCATCTGCCGTAGTCTTCTATTGACATGTTGCCGAATGACACCGTAAAGAGCGAGTCGCCGTACTGATGGCTACAAGCACCAGCTTTCGTCAGCGACTTTAGACATGCGATGCGTGGGGGCCAGACCCTTGGGGGATAGCAATGGAGGCAGCTCCATGCCTGCAATGTTGTACCTCTCATCAGTCTGTGCCACCGGCGGGCAGTTTGAGCAACGGCGACGCCATGGTGTATCAATCCAACGGCCCGTTGGTGCCCGTGCGTTGCGGAAGCGAAGGTGCGCACGCATGGCTAGGCCCGATGGAGCGAAGCGGGGCCGCGGGGCTGCTACCAAACTAGGGCGTACCGAGGCAATGCGCGCCCGTGAAGAGACGGCTGGCCAGGCCTGCTGCGACGGCAGCTTTAAAGGGGGTTTGAGAGCGCACGACGCCCACTGGCAGCTGGCAGCAAGACAGACGCATACTCGCACGCGCTGATTAGACGTCCAGACAGCATGGCGGCCAAGATCCCCCCCTTCGAACACACGTCGCTCGACGACATCCCCGCCATTGCCGCGCGCATCCGCCACGGCTTCCTCTCCCACACGACGCGCCCGCTCGAGTTCCGCCTGGTGCAGCTCCGCAAGCTGTACTGGGCGCTCAAGGACAATGAGGCCCTGATCATCGAGGCGTGCAAGCAGGATCTGGGCAAGCCGACGTTCGAGACGCACCTCTCGGAGCTGTCGTGGTGCATGAACGACATTGTCTTCATGCAGAACAACCTGCCGCGCTGGGCCAAGGACGAGAAGGCAGAGGACATCACCTTGACCAACAAGCTCATGGGCCCGCGCATCCGCAAAGACCCCCTCGGCGCGGTGCTGATCATTGGCGCCTTCAACTTCCCCATCCAACTGTCGCTCGGCCCCCTGATCGGCGCCATCGCCGCAGGCTGCACTGCCGTCCTCAAGCCCTCCGAGGGCTCGCCCCAGTGTGCAGCTGTCCTGGAGAAGATCATCGCCGAGTCGCTCGACCCCAACTACTACACCGTGGTGCAGGGCGCCATCCCAGAGACCACCGCCCTTCTTGACCAGAAATGGGACAAGATCTTCTACACCGGTTCGGCGAACGTGGGCACCATCATCGCGAAGAAGGCTGCCGAGACGCTCACGCCCGTCGCCCTGGAGCTCGGTGGCAGGAACCCGTCTTTCGTCACCAAGAACGCCGACCCCAAGCTGGCCGCACGACGCCTGCTGTGGGCCAAGACCTTCAACGCCGGCCAGGTCTGCGTAGGCCAGAACTACACCTTGATCGACAAAGAGATGGTCCAGCCCTTCGTCAAGGAGCTCGAGGTCCAGCTCAGGGAGTTCTATCCGCAGGGTGCCCGCAACTCCCCCGACTACGGCCGCATCGTCAACCAGCGCCAGTTCCAGCGTCTCAAGAAGATGCTCGACGAGTCGCACGGCAAGATCCTCGTTGGCGGCACCATGGACGAGGATGATCTCTTCATCGAGCCCACTGTCGTGCAAGTCGACTCCATGGAAGACTCTCTCATCAAGGACGAGTCATTCGGCCCGTTCCTGCCCATACTCGCCGTCAACGACCTCGACGAAGCCATCAAGATCGCCAATGAGGTCCACGCCACTCCGCTGGGTCTGTATCCCTTTGGCAACAAGGCCGAGATGGAGAAGGTGCTCTCCCAGACGCGCTCCGGAGGCGCCACCCTCAACGACGGCTTCTTCCACGCCTCCATCCCTACGCTTGCCTTTGGCGGCGTGGGCGATTCCGGCCAGGGAGCGTACCGAGGCAAGGCCTCCTTTGATGTCTTTACCCACAGGCGCAGTGTGACATCTACGCCTACCTGGATAGAGGGTATGCTGAGCATGCGCTATCCTCCCTTCACCGCCAAGAAACTGCAACAGTTCTTGAAGATGAGCGAGATGAAGCCCAATTTCGATCGCCAAGGACGCGCAATCGGATGGGGCGGGTGGGTTTTGGGATTGCTGGGTTTCAAGTCGTTGGCTGCTGTCGTGGGTAAGTGATCCACGTGCTCGCCCTGTCATCTCATCCCTCCTGTTACATTTCCTTTGTTCCTCTTAGGCATCCGGCCGTATCTCCTCTAGTACTCTCCTACATTGTGTTGTGGTAATTTGGCGCGGCTGTTTGTATGTCGTCTTAGCGCTTGAGCTAGCTATGCCCTGTGCAGCATGGTAGAGCTCAATGATTATGCTTGTGATCCATCCGATCTATACCTGCATCTGCTCTTACATCGATCCATCGCACGTCCGCCACCGATCTTCTGCTAACGTCTATCAGTGGCCGTCGGCGTGCGCTTGTACCTTCAGCGACGCGCAAGGTTGTAGATGTGCGTGAATGATATCACTCGTTAAATTATACCCTAAAAGTGTAGTTTCTATATCTTTTTAAAATAAAAGGATTCAATATCCCGTGAAACGATTGAGCCGCTGCGACATCCGTGGTCACGGAGTACAACTAGCCCGTGCCTCGCTTCGCGCGCTCGGATCCAGCACCAGCGAACTTCCGGATCAAGACGTACGCTTGTTCCGATTTCGTCGAATTTGTGATGCCGCTTTTATCGGATCCATGACCCAATTCTGGCGAAAATCATATGGATCGTCCCCCTCCGAAGTAAACCAGACAAGTTCAAATCCCAAGACATTCGAATCATCCGGGAACACAAAGGAACCGATTTTATCGTGGTCTGCATTGCCAATGTAGAATGCATCCGACTCGGAGACAATGACGCGGTAACCTCTGTTGAGCATTTCTTGAGAGGCACCGTCATGCCAAGTTTGTATAACCCAATCCTTGGATATGTCGATACGCTTTCCCTCGTCGGTAAGAGGATCATCCCACAGAATGAGCGTCTTGTTTGGCTGAAGGCGTTTGAGCCAGTGCAGAAACGTCTCGAACAGCTTGTTGTCATCTCCAGTCTGCCAAATATAGGCCACTTCATCGCCGCCAAAGTGATGTAGGGGAGACCGGAAATATCCGTCAACCGTGGAGACCAAATCGGCGATATGGTCGTATGTTTGGCGTTGCCTGATGTCTAGTTGGGCCTCTGGACGTTTCAGGTCTGGCGTGCCTACTACCAAGTCTTTGTTCCAAATTCCCCTACAATAGTGCCGTCAGAGCCCGTGTTGACAATCTTCAGATATATGATTTCATCACATACCATATGTCACTGTGCCCAGGCATATCTGTCTCGGGGTAGACCATGATGCCCAAGCGCTGCGCATGTGAAATCACACTCTGAATATCCCCAGGCGTATAGTGTCTGGAAGTATGACTGTGCGCCTGGCTCGCATTGGTCAAACCACGGTCTGCCGGCCAGTGTATGGGGAAACTTTCTGCATCATATATATGCCAGTGGAAGACATTGAAATTGTACTGGTGAAGCACGGTCAACAGATCGAGGATGGCTTCAACGGGAAAGAACTTCCGGCCCGTATCCAGCATGAACCCTCGGTGGGGATAGAGATCGGATTCCATTTCTTGTCGATTTCAGATGGGAGGGAACTATGTTGCTGGTGAGATCAACGAGCGGGGTTATATACTTCGCGTCACACTGCTAATCCATATGCGATCTAGCTGACCACACCCACAGGATGGCCACTAGCTGTCGGCGCGCAGCAGAACTCGTGGACACGCTACCAGTGGGGAGGATTCACGTCAGTCAAGTGGAGTATGATGATATGTTCAATTGCAGGGAATTGTCTACTATTTACAGAAATCGACTACCATTAGCCCCCACGCGTCTTGCCCCATTTTATGTTGTCTTGGTTCCACACCGAGAATATCGGTATGACGATGCTGAAGACGGCGATCATGGGGAAAAATGGGAGATAGAAAGGGATGTATGTCCAATCCAGGCAGAGGATGCATAGCAAGATAGGCAAAAGCAAGAATGCTAGCAATACCGCCCAAGCATATGGTGTCAACAAGACTGAGATCACTGCGAGGGCGACTCCGGCCGGCAGTGCGAGCGGCAGGATGAACACCATGAAGAGTTCGCAGAAAAGGACAAAGAGTAGCCTCACGTGAGTGAAGAACGATGCTTCGAAGGGCGGGACGTTGAGATGCGCAAAGTGGCAGTGGACGAGGGAATTCGTCCATCGGCGTCGCTGATCTAGGAGCACCGAAAGCTTGTCGGGAACCACGGTTGTGCATGTTGCAGCAGAGAAGTATTGCAGTCGACAGTCGGACCCGAAATAGCGGATCGCCAGAGTCGACAGATAACGGTCCTCGCCAATGGACAACAAGTTGTGTTCGTGCAGGGTCTTGTCGTAACTCCCTGCGTAGTCTTCCAGGAGAAGTGGATGTAGAATAGCTGGTCGGTTGTTTGGCCATTTCAGTCGGTAAATGGTGAAGCATCCGCTGAGGACGAAGACACTGCTGCATATGCTCTCCACTGCCTTTAGGACGGCGTGGGTAAGCCAGTACTCAAAAACCTGGCTGCTGGCGACGAAGCTGCTCATGTGGTTGCTGACTCCGGTGTAGCCGCACACTCCAAGGAGCTTCGGTCTATTTTGAAGTCGGTCCACAAGGTAGGAAATCCCTGTCCGGTCAACCGCGGTGTCACAATCGATGGCCAGCATGTACATGGCATCGCGAGCGTCCATGTTGAGGCAGATTCGCATCTTGAACTCAAGATTTTCGAAGAATGGGTTCCAGAGCTTGCGGTAATTGACGTAGTGGAAGAAGTTGTAGGTCATGAGCTGAGAGTCACGTTTGCCTCGGTTTCCGGGCTTTGGCTTGTCTTTCTCGTCTTCTCGCCCAACCTTGACAACAATGACGTAGGGTACACCTCGATAGTGGCCAGTGCAGCAGATGGCTCTGTTATCTGAAGCGCCATGCTCGTCAAATGACGCGTATGAGTGGGCCTGATTTTCGATGCCAGCTTCCAGGTCCGCGCTGTGGTCGAAGATATCTTCCAACAAGATTTTGTATGTCGGTTTCTGGCCCTCAGCTGCAACCATTCCGTCGGCTACAATGAAAAGAAGCTTGCGCTTTGTCGCATAACTTGACTGGACGCACGACTCGATTGTTTTCCGGAGAGTTGGCTCGTCTTCGTTATAGCACGGAATTTGCATTACCAGCAGGGCGTCATGTTCTTCGAAAGAACTGCTGGTATAGCGGACACGAACAACACAGATCGCAACCAGCAGCATAAACGCGCCACCCAGACCCATGTAGACATAGACAATGCCGCGCACCGTGCTGCAGAAGGCACTATCATTGGCAATCATGCCGATGTGCACTTTCACAACACAACTGACTATCGGTTGGATGACGAGAAAGTAGCATATCAATGCGTAAATGGCGGCAAGCAGAAAGCAGAAAAGCACCTTTTGTCGGAAGGCCAGACGTTGCCGAAGGTCGTCCATTTTCATGTAGTTCTTGAGGAACCATGAAGGGATGTAGAAGGTCAAGCAGCGCGCAAGCCATATCCAGAACCCTCGGTAAACTCCCGGGGTAATATGCTCGTCGGTTCGGTGAGGTTTTTCCCAAGCTCTGAATTCAAGGACTTGGGCTTCCATGGTCTTCCTACGCAGGTTCTTCTTTAGCTTTCGCTTGGTGGACGAATGCACTTTCTCGGGAGCTTGGAGGGCTTCGGAAGCCTGGTGCATATTCGAGGCCTCTTGTCCGATGGATTCAGTCATGGAACCGTCGTTTGCGTCACCATCGGATGACCATGTGACTCGATGAGGATCTGAGAGATCTCGATCATGCTTCTCTACAATTGTGGCAGGTCGAGTAGAGCTTCTTGATGCAGGGTTTGAGGCGATGAAGCTTGATATGGTGTCGGTCGACTCAGGGTATTCTTGGCGGTGGTTGCCAAGATATGCTGATCCCGGCGTGCGGATGAAGGGCAGGGAGCCCTCTCCATATAACGAAGTGACGGATTCGTATGGTGAGACGACGATGGGTAATCCGTAGTCGCTCTCATAATCTATGACAAACTAGTCAGCCTACGGTATATTGGTACGTACTGAGTCGGAAACGGAAGACAGCAGTGCTGGAGGGGGAGGGAAGGAGAGGGCTGCGCTCACATGGACTGGGTATGTCGTCCTTAGAAGCATTGGGAAAAAGGGTGGTATAAAGAACCTTCCACATGTCTTCTTCCGAAGGACTGCTTGTCGTGACTGTTGGCGATCGTATCTTCTGTATCAGAGTTTCGAGTCCTTTGATGGGCTCATCATCCTCACTAAGGATGCGGTCACAATGTGGTTCTACATGCAAGTGGTGCGCAAACATTCGACTGGAATCAAAGTTCTGCGAGCAACCTGGACACTTGATAGGCATGATATGGCAGCGATACACATGTTGCCTAGAAGCACGGTCAGTCCACCTACAAAGAATGCGGCAGGAGTTCCAACTGACCTGACACCGTGTATTTTCGTCCACCCTTTCCTGGAACACGAGTGTGTCTCTGCATACTCGAGTGGGTCGCTCTTTAGGTACGGGCAAGCGAAGAGCTTGTCGAGAGATCCCTTCTCACCTCCATCCTCTGTGATCTCTGTGCTCTGTGTGCTCTCTGTGCCATCTGTAGGTTCTATGCGGATGGTAGAGCGAGAGGATAGCCAGTGATGTGGGGTTAGCCGAGGCGGGGTCATTGGAATACCTCAGTGCTATTGATAGGTAGATCAAGAAAAGATGACGTGGCAGGGATGAGAGTCCTTGTAGACACCCGCTTTGGATTGATAATCAAAAGTTTAAGTGGACTGACAGCTATCAAGGGATGGAGTAGTACATGAAGTATTTAAATGGAAGGTCCCAAGTGTCCTCACAGAGCCCGTTCCACGCCACTTGGATATCTTGGTAGCTGAGGAGCGATGTGAGAGAGCTAAGCATTGTAGCATTGTACGCGAGTTCTAGATGCTTTGCCAGCTGAGGAGTGCGCTGACATTTTCGCCTAGCGTGGCAATCCGGCATTGGCAGTGAAGGGAGGAGAAATTACTCAGGCGAAAATTTTATAATATAGTGCGTAAACAGCTGGTCCACTACTGTCAACAATTAGGTCTGGTTGGGAAGCGGCAGACAGAACAGACAGCCACGAAGGAAGCAGCTAAGAAGGAAGTACCCACAACACAGAACCTATGATATGTCTTCTGTCCCATCTCGTATAAGTCATCTTGTCTGCTTGCGCGTCAAAACGTATTACGCCCTTGAGTTCTTGCGCAGGGTGCCTCAGCTGCGCACAGTTTCACCCCCAAGGCTCGCACCTACCTGCAAAAGCAGTGACCAATGTTCCGAGAAGCGAATCGATAAAACTCCCACGGTCTGTTCCCCACGTCTAGATGCGCTTGTGATGGTGCTCTGTTCAGCTGTTACTACCCAAGCCTAGGCTCGTCGCTGCCTCCGACCCGGCTTTTTCGCAACAAAGCTAGGTTGCGGCACATTAACGCTAGAGAATTATCGGAAGAGGCCTCTGGTGAGATGGCTCCACGTCTCAATTGCAGCATGCATCGGTCCAAGCAAGTTTCTGCTTTCGAGCTAGCAGCGTATACACGCCTGGATGAGGCGGAAAGCCTATAGCGCGGGTATACTAGCCAAATGTAGCACTATCAATCCGAACTGGGCGCAGCCGTGATCGCCGACATGGATACGCCGGACACGTAACCAGATCCCCCTAGCACCAGCACGGTCTTTGCTTCCCTGGTATATGCTAACTGGAAAGGGGCAAGTTTATTTCGCTACTTGAACTATCTCCTGTCGGAAGTTCGCGATACAGTGCTTGTTTTGAAGTTGTTCTAGACTGTCAAGCCACGGATGAAAGTTACCTTGAACTTGTGAGTCGTTTAGACTCGTCTGGGATATCCAGTCCAAAGCACATCAAACCATCCACTTGAAATTCTCGTGAGATTGAACCTGATCTTACAACGGCTTCTTAAGCCCTACGCAGTTTGGCTGAATAACCCCGCTTCAGTCATGCATACAGTTGTGGAAAATGCATCAATCTATTACCCTAGAGCTATCTAAGAAAAAATATTCACTATTAATTGTGTACATGCAAGGAGCAATGTACTATACTGGAGAGTACTGCCGCGACTTTTGCGTAACTGGATATTGTCAGTTGATAGTCTCATACTAGGCTATTTCATCAGTGTCCTACCAAGAGGCTATGATTGGCAGCACCGCCAGCAGCACGGTACCAATTCTCTGGAGCATCCCCCATACACTCACCAACGGTCACAGAGCGACTGAAATTGAACAGCTCGAAGTAGTCCAACATATAACTCGTCAAATTCCTGGTAGTCTCTCAGTGACAGAAAACAGATGTTCAATCGGAACATACATACCAACTAGACTGATAATGCGTATCATGCATTAAGAAAATGTGGTTCGCATCACGAGGTGTTGTCTGACGCATGGACGCCACGAACTTTTCCTTGGAGATCTCTATCTTCGAGCCCTCGTCATTCTGCCAATCTAGAAATATGATTAGAACACGGTGTCAATGACAAGGGCGAAAACTTATACCGTTGTTGACAACATTTTGGTATGCTGTAAGCGTTGACTTAGTAATGCACTACTAATATCTATACAACTGATACTTACTGATATGGTATCCCATTCTCTTAAGAACAGTCTGGCATCCGTTGTGACAATCATCGTATGGCGGACGGAAGTACGTAGGAAAGAAACCCAGGATGTTCCGGATCGCCATCTCGAGATACTCCACCTGGCGAACTTGTTCTGTCTCATTGAGCGAACTCATATTTTGATGGCCCCAGCTATGCCCGGCTATCTGCATGAAGGTGTTAGTGAACAGTCATGACGAAGTTTGACGAGCAGTACCTGATGCCCTTCGGCATGCATGCGTCGGATGATATCTGGCCATCCAGTCTCCTCGATATCGATCTGGCCTTTGCCCAGATTGTTTCCCGTGATGAAGAAGGTGGCTTTCGCACCGTATGCCCCGAGTACGTCAAGGAGATGTGATGTGTAGTTGTATGGACCATCATCAAAGGTCAAGGCTATTGTGCCGGGGTTCTTACAATGGTCGATTCCCGCACCATCGTAAGTGACATTGCCGATGAGTGGTCGAGATACGTTGAGCGTCGACTCGCCCAAGGGTTTGGATGTTGCATCGCAGCCGTTTGAATAGTCGATCTGGCAATTCGGACTCGCACAATATTGGGAGCCTCGACCGCAGTAGCCTACAGGTGAACAGCTATCAAACCAGTGAGCCTTCATCATGAGCTGTAGTGAGTTCTTTCTTTGAACGTACCAATCGCCCGGATCACAGAAACCCACACCTGGACCACATTTCTTGTTCGTATCTCTTTTTGGAAGATGAGATGCGGAGTAACTTTGCAACTCTTCGATCATGTGTCGCGGGAGATGGCGCATTGCAAATCGACCTCCAAATATCCCCGGAACTGGAATATCATGGCCGGCGCTGTGCGCGAATGTGAAGGCCCCAAACTGAAACAGCAACGCAGTACCGAGCAATAATGACGGTTGCATTCTGCCAAGACTCGCAGGCAGTGGAACGTGGAGACGAAACGAATGATCGAGTAGCATAAGATGGTCTTTTTGACAATATTGTATACACTACAAGCAAGACGTGACCTTGAAAAGAAAAAAAGAAAAAAAAAAGGCATATACGGAGGCAGTTTTGCGACCAAAGCCATGGCCACAGATCCAGCCTTTGCGTAGCATACCGATGAACATAAAAATAGCTCCCATTTTGCTGTGAGGCTCAGCTCAGGACAAGCACACTAATGCAAATGATCGATAGGACCCAGTGCCCGGGCGATACTTTCTAGGTAGCCACCGAGTGCTTTAATCGAAGTTTGACAAATCCACGTGTGCAATGCGCTGGTTCCTGGAGGTCAACTTTGCGGCACGCACTCCGGGCTAGCGCATGCATTAGCCAGAGGTAGCGCGTTCGGGTACCTGGCCCAGACTTTCGCTTTCAAGCCTCGTAGCCCCGTGTCCATGGTTCTCTGCCAGGAACCATCGCCCGGCGCGCGTACCACCGCTGAACAACACTACGCCGAGTCATGCTGTTGCGATCTCGCGCACGTTGCCTTGTAGCTCGTTTGAAAGCCGACACACTGGAGTCGAGTGTTCTTCATCAAGCACGTCGAGCGCACATGCACCTAAGATTCCGTGCATCGAGCCAGACAAAGCTGCAGGACACTAGTCGTAAAGAGTACGCCAAGCGACAATTCCTGTGGATACGGATCAAGTTCCTCAACCCTCTTCTTGCGGCTGACCAAGGAGGCAACTTCTTACATTTCAAGTTTTTTTTTTTTTGGCAACGCTCAAGTTGCTTTGAGCGAAGGGACCTCGCTTGGCGGCTAGCACGTTGCACTAAGACTAGTAAAGAAATTCTAGGCAAGTTGGCGTGCGCTTGTATGCTTGACCCCACTTCACGCTACCGTTCCGGCACCATGGTGTTGGTGGGCTTGGTAGATCCGGCGTGGCGGTTCCCCGGAAGAGCGGCGCAGAGTTGAACGTTGGGACCCGTCGGTAACGATGGCTTCACCTGGCTGGTTCCAGACGCATTTAGCTTCGTTTCTACCCATGATGGCAAGGTGGGCGTCGTCGCCGACCAAAAAATCGTCCCATGTCTACTGAGAGGCTATTAGTGATCGGGTAGAGGAATAAACTTTTTTCGTTGAAAATCTGCTCACATACCAAGACGGCTACGTTTTAAGGGTATACGCATGAATGTCCAACGTAACCAGACCTGGTGTTAGACACACCAAGAGAGAGCGCCGCAATCTCAACAGGGTGCCAGGGACATCTGCGGGGTGTCGTGGGTCATCATACTACAGTCAAACGCAGATAGACAACGGTGGTGTGATACGATCGCAATTTTGGGCGGGAGTTGAGGGTCAGTATGCTACAGAAAATCGCAGATGATAGCGGTGTGCGGCACAAACCTAATATTCATGTTGGCGCGAGTAGGCCTTACAACTGCCTGTGATGGTACACTCAACATTTGGAGCGCCTAGTGCATGAGAACTACTTATATACCATCGAAGCACGGTTCGGCGTCTTGTTTTGAACATGGCGATTTTTGTGCTGGAACTGTCAAACGCAATGCATTGTTTTCTTATATTTTCAAGAAGCAACCACAACATCAATCGATGAAAGTCTGTATGTTCGCACCCTTTATACCTGAAGATAGCAGTACTGCCTATTGTACCGATTTAAACATCTCAGCGAAATGAACAATCAAGATAAACGATTTTCTTCCGGGACATTGTTAGACACATTGTTTCATTAGATCCTTTTGCAATCATGCTGCCATGATCGTTATCACATCACTCTCTAGAGCTTCATTACTATATCAACGAAAAGCCGTCAGGACAGAGCATGTTGGTATGAACATCCGACGACAAGAGGAGCCCCCAACTCTTGACACCTACTCTAGCCTACCCGGATTTGTCGTTTTCAGCATATTTGGAGAGCAGCTACTGACGTTCGAATTCCCAGAGAGGATCAACTAGATTGGTCGCGTTTAACCGTGCTTTTAACTTACCCACTATGAGGTCCCTGGGAAGGGGAACTGAGACATCCATCGAAAAATTGCAACCATTGCGAACATCGGCCACTGCAGTCGTCAAGTCACTGTTAAGTCGGATGGTCCAGCTTTGCGATATGTGGATGATGTTCTGGATACGTCATTGTTATGCATGTATTCTGATCGTCGACACTAACCAGGAAGTAGTATCAGCCGCAGTACGCACTGCACCATATGCAGTTCAGATCTGCACATGTGCGTCGGCGATATGAACACTATGATGAGAAAGGATTGATAAATGGCCACTAGGCCATCGGCATCGTCGAGGAAGTCGCCTCGGAGTCAAGAACTTTAATTTCAGGAGGCCGCGTCATCATCCTACCGATGATTGGCTATGGAGAATGTTTCTACTGCAAGCGCAGGGGATTCTCTATTTCTGATCAAACTACTACATCCCAGGGGCTGGTGCAGATGTACGGACATCACAGCTCGGGAATTTTCGGTTATTCTATGATCATGAGAGGATACTCCTGCAACCAAGCCGAAAACTGCAGCGTCCCTGATACAGATATTGTCTGTGTCAAAGCTCCAGCTGTTAAACAGGCGTAGAGATTGGTAGGTCTTGCAGATGTGACCCCTACCCCATGGCACGGCCGTGAATCCGCTGAAGTGGACAAGGACGATGTTGTTGGCGTCTGGGGTTGTGGCGCAGTCGGTCTCCATCCAGCGTTTGGCAAAGGTCCATAGGGCCCTAAAGGTCTACGCCATCAATAATGACATTAATCTACTTAATATTGCGAATGCTTATGGCATGATTCCCATCGACGTTGACGACCACTCTGATCCAGCAGATGATATTCTGTCTCTTGATCCGCACGATTTGGACCGCGGCATCGAAGCAAACGGCGTCAAGAGTACGAATTCGATCGCTCATACCGTAGTGAGAGCTCTGGGTGTCGAGGTGATAGTCCAGACACCGTGAGCGCTGTGATCAAGTCGACGCGCAAGGGCGGAAACATCGCTCTGATTGGCGGATTTTTCCACACGATCAATAAGTTCCCAATTGGAATGCTTACAGATAATGCTATTACTCTACGTTTTGGGCAACTCTACGCCCAGAAGGCGAGGTATCCTTTCCTTGTGATGTAATATGCCGTACCGCAACATGTAGGCGGTATCGTTCCTCTGATCATCAGCATGATTACATGTTACTGTGCGCACTATGCAGTGTTTTCCATTCCTACTGGATGTTGTCGTTGGAAAATTCCCTCGTTCGCATTATGTCTACAGGTTAGCAAAGGAAGCTGGATGTCAATTCCTGTGGCTGATTATTGCGCTCTAGACATGCTCGAGAGTATCCCACAGGGCTACGACGCGTTCTTCGACCATGAAAGTACTCGGAGGGCTGAAGATATGACTGGCAACTGTTTTCGGACTAGCTCTCACAGAATGGACCTCAATATCGACGTCAATCTGCATTTCTTTAGCCCCAGGGTCTCCCTGAACTTCACTCGCTCGCCGAAGCGAGCTTTTGTGTAGAGTAGCCGGTACAATTAGTCCAGTGTATTATATGAGCAGGCTAGTTGTTATGGTCGCGCCATATCTGCAATGTATCAATGGTTTAATGTAGCTTTCCAACTGTGAACCTTGGATATCCCCACTATGAATAGAATGACTTGCTTTCCCTTAGTGCTGTGATATGAGACTACCTATGATCAAGGCTTAATATTGAATGAAGTTGTGCCTGATTGCTTCTTCCAATATAGAAGTCGCCTCCTCCCTGGGATACGTTCTGAACCTCGCTTGAAAACATCGATTCGAACTACTATCCTTTTTTTTGGGCGGTTCGAGTGATGACTCAAATGACCATGCGGGGACGTTCCGCATCCTGTCAAGGAATAGTTGTGCCAGTGTTTCATTGCGCCATGTGGACTAATCGCGCGCAGTAGCACTCGTGGCGAATCGGTACCGGAATACACCTAATAGCAACGAGCAATGTCATTCTGCACGAGAATTCCACCCGTTGCCTCACAGAAACTCACCTTTTCGCTCTTTTTTGACTTCGGTATCCGTAGACGTCAGTATCACAGCTTTGTGTTGAATATATACAGGTATGAGTCTCAATTCAACACTGCTCGCCAATAACTCGTTCTGTATCGTTTGTTGTGGTCCACGTATTATGCTATTGTCCATGCCAGAAGAATTCGCTCAGAATTTGCTACGGCTTCCACCTCGTTACGCGCGTACAGTACGCAGAGTTGTTCACCCTGTTTCACTCGCTCGCCTGGCTTCTTCATGTCGGCCACACCAACGTTCAGATCGAGAATGGAGTCTTTAGCCGCCCGACCACCGCCCAGGTCGCGCACAACTTCGCCGATAATCCGAGCGTTACAATCCGAGATCGTTCCTGATTTGTTCGAAGGAATTGGTAGGGAAAATGCTTCGATAGGCGATTGCAACTTCTGCGTGAAAGCTTTCAGATCGCCCCCTTGTGCTTCGATCAGTTCATCCCACTTCGCGCGCGGAGCTCCCGACTCCAGACACGTTGTTGCCTTTGCAAGTCCCGCAGCTAGATTTGACTCTCGCCCCGTCAATACTAACAGCCGACCAGCGCATTGAAGGACTAGTTCTCGCAAATCTTCAGGGCCACGATTCTCTAAGCATTCGACCGATTCGACAACTTCAAGCCAGTTGCCTGCAGTACGTCCGAGGGGTGTGTCCATATCATTTAGGAACGCCTCGACTTTGACACCGCACGCATTCCCGAGCGTCTCCATAGCCTCTGCCAACTTATGGGCATCTTCGCGCGTCTTCATGAATGCCGCCTCGCCGTACTTGACATCAAGCACAAGGGCGTCTAGTCCTTCGGATAACTTTTTTGACAGAATGGACGCCGTAATGAGATTGATAGAGGGCACCGTCGCCGTCACGTCGCGCATCGCGTAAAGGCGCTTATCGGCGGGTACCTATGAGTGGGGTGGCACTAAGTCAGTAAATTGATCGGGAAGAAGATAACGAGTATAAGTAGGTAGTTACAACTTTAGCTCGTGACTTAAGTCTGACATGTTCAGACGATAATTGGAGCTGAAACAACCACTTCGTACCCCAGGGTTTCTTACCATATCCTCGGTTTGTCGGATCATCGCGCAGCCAACGCGCTGTACAACATCGACAATCTTATCGACGGGCAGCGCTGTGCTGAAGCCAGGAATGGACTCGAGTTTGTCCAAGGTGCCACCCGTTATACCCAAACCACGCCCTGAAATCATCGGTACACGGAAGCCCAGAGCTGCCAGAAGAGGAGCCAGAGGAAGCGATATTTTATCGCCGACTCCACCTGTAGAGTGTTTATCCACAACAGGTCGCGATGGGTCTCGCGGAAATTGAAGGACAATACCCGAATCCCGCATCGAGAGCGTCAGAGCACGTGTTTCGGCGTCATTCAAGCCCTTAAAGTACACTGCCATCAGGAACGCTGCGATTTGATACTCGGGCAGTGTGTCGGCCGTGATGCCTTTGATGATGTAACTGATTTGTTCATCGGAAAGCGCCGAGCCGTCGCGCTTCGCTTCGATGAGTTGGAGAAAATTCATGACAGATTTTCAATGCTCGTGATGCGTGATCCGCAGTTTGGGCCGTTGACGGGCTAGTGTTTAATCCGGAGACAGTAATAGGACTGAATGTTTAAGAGGGTCAGATAAGTTGCGTATAAATGGGCGTGGGGTAAGGGAGAGAAAAAAAGAGCGCTAGCGCAGATCCTTGTAGGCTGGGACAAACGGGAGATCGCACGATTAAAGTGCCCGAATACCGCTCCACTGTAGATCCTTGGCCACACAGACAGCTGGCATTGAGTTCGAAAGCATCTACATACAATGAGGCGCGATTTTGCTATCCGAGATTGATTTGGAGCTTTGGTCGATAGAAGAGACGGCACGAAGATGCGTTGTCTCTGCAGTGTGTGGGGTACAGTGGGGTAAACTCCTGCCCGTGATGAAAAATGCGCACCCGGACTTTGAAGTACCACCAATACTTCGGACATTGAAGCACTGCAACACGCGCAAATATGAAAATTGGCAAGCATACGTTCTATGCTCGAATTTACAAACTAGCTCTGGACACAATTGTGTGTACTGGTATCATCTCTTTTCCCATCTATCATAGTACACATAGGTATAGCAGAAATGCATCTATATCGCGGCACCTGATTGCGGTTGCACCTCGAGCATGTTTCCATCTGGGTCCGCAATGATCAAGAAAGTTCGAAACCCAATGACCTCAAGGCCCGGCGCGGCTTTCATTGCGTCCTTTTGGGTCTCCTCGTTCGACAGGTCTGCGAAGCCCCAGGCCGCCCCAAGCAAACGACTCTCCTCGGTTTGGCCCGTCAAATCGATTTCGCCAGCGCGCTTGATGATACGCACACCAAGCGACTCGAAGCGCGCCTGTGCAGCTTCTACGTTAGGAACTATGAGCCCGAAGTGTGAGAGAATGGCGCGGGGGCGCTGTGGACGCTGTGTCTCAGAACCGGTACTGTTACTGTTCCCAGAGCCCTACATTGAGTTTAGCGCTTCGCATTGTGAAGCCCAAGAACGGAAGCCCCTACTGTGTATGATTGGAACTCAATCATTCCAGCCATATTGTTCTTATCCCGCTGCATCTCCGCGCCCGTTTGGAACCCAGTACCGTTCCTGCCCCCCTGGTTGTGTGCCATGTACATGATTGAGAATCCACCTTCCAAGTCTATGGTGAAGATGTGACGCATGCCGATAATTCTGGAGTACCACTCACTTGTCCGGGTCAAGTTCGCCACGTTAATTCCCACATGATTGACGAAGTAAGATATGGTTGCCGGATCTGCTGGCGGGTCGTCTCCTGGGGTGAAGGTGAACGGTAGGGACGCGTTCCCTTCTTGTCTGGCAATGTTTTCATGGTTGCAAGCCAGCGCCGATGCGAGGAGTAAGGTCGATAGTACTCCCGAGATTCTCATGTTTGCTAACTGAATGCCGTGTTGAGTGTGTGTGTGCTGATAACAAGTCTATACAAGCTCTAATTCACTGGTGGATTGTACGTATACTTATAAAAAAAAATGCATTCAACTTTTTTTTATTGAGCATTACTGCTTATATCGGCCATATCTCATTCTCTCTTCCGTAGACCCGCTTACGGTGCCTTTACTTAGTGGCAATCGCTGGGCCTAATATTCCTTCGCTATACTAATTATGTACTACGCCAGCATATCGTCAAATGAATGCTAGGATGAGGCCGCTCTGTTCTGAAACAAGCTTGGACGAACTGTGATCCTATGTGTTTGCGATCCAGTCGCAAGTGAGGGTTTCTTACGGCCGTAAGGTCTCAGCCTCATCGTGAATGGCACTGGTCACTCGACCAAGCGGTATCGGGGAAATAGTTTCGAAATAGAAAACGTAAACATGAGGGCAGCTGAAAATCAATGTCATTCACAGTGGTCTGGTGGACCAGCCAAGGCAAGCCATTTATACTTTTCGATGATCAGATATTCTTGGCCATCTCCTCTCCACATCAAGCCAGGAGACAATATAACATGTTCACTTTGGCTTTTCAGCTGTGTTAAATGCCTATAAATTCCTGCTACTAGGATGCATATTTAACCACGAACTGTTATTCGCAAGTTATTCGCAAGTTATTCCCAAGGCATTCGAGCGTTCCGAGCCATGATAATGTTGGAGTGCGATGCAGCCGTCTCTGTGGCGCCTGCCAGGCCGTTTTCAGTGGAAGATAACGAGGCATGGTCGGGAAAAGAGATCTACGCTGTGATGGTAGTTAGAGCTCATAACACCCAGTACTTAATTGGGGTCGTCTAATCGGGCTACCATCCATCGAGTCCTGCTATCATCCCCCATGACTCCACCCCTTCGCCTCCTTCCTTGGCCCAGCCATCACTTCCAACAATACCTTTGCCGATCCTTGTAGACCCAACAACTTTGAATCCAAAGTACTCGTAGATACCTTTCGCATGTGCATTTGTTGATTCCAGCCAAATGGGGATATTGCTCGCTTTGGCTGCGGCCAAAAAAGGCTCAAATATGGAAGTCACAGCACCTGGCAATGAATCAGTTCAGAAACCTTTGGCTCATGTAATCTTCTCACCTTTATCAGTCCTTTCCGGATCTCTGCCGATGACGTTCAAATGCCAGTGCGGACGGGTACCCAGTTTCTCCTCGCGAAGAGCTTTGAAAAAAGTCAAATATTCGACCACACCCTCTGATAGGGTGGATGCAGGGTTCGGCTTCTTCTCAACACCTGGAGGAAACCTGTGAAAAGAAGTGAGACCAGACTATGGATCGAGCGTAGGCCTATTTGCGTACCACAAACCGATGGCAGCCCAATCAAGTGACTCCACCAGGATAGCTCCACCTTCGAAACGAGGCCGGACGATCGCCTCCCAGTACTTCGCTCGGAACTCAATCGTTTGTATTTTGGGATGTTCAGGGTTTGACTCGCGGCCCATGAACAAGTAGCGATTGAGTGCGTCCTGAGAGAACGCAGCTGCAACAAGAGCGGCAAACCTAGGAATGTCACTAGGATCGGTGATCCTTCGGAGGGGCTTGGTGATCTCCAATTCTCCAGACATGGTTGCGCTGCTATGTTTTTTCTAGATGGAGTTGCTGGTCTAACCCCAGGAGATGAAGCGCTCGAGGTGTATCCTGAGTCACGGGTAAGTTGGAATATTTTGGCTGGAGTGCACGGTATGCCGGGCTCCGACTTCGTCGCTGTGCACACTTAATGCTGAAATAACGTCTTGCATGCACCACTCTATCCCCGGCCCACGGCTTCGGAATCCGCTGACCAGCTGCGTTCCACTTGAGTCGTTAGCCAAATCTCGGGTTGCTCGTGTGAGTCGTGTAAGTCGAGTGAGGTGATCTCCACAGGAATTGCGTTGCAGGCTAAGCCGTGACTAACGCTCGCTAGACATTTTTAAGCCTTGTGTGTGGGTCTTGTCTGGTCTTGCGGATGAAGGCGTATCGCATGCTCGCACCAGTGAGAGACAGAAAGAGTAGTTCGCATCCATTAAGAGGTTCTAGCTCGATGTTGCAAGAAACGGCGTGCATCGCGACGACAGGAGTCATGAACCTATCCATGGCTCTCCCGGCTCTAGCACAGCGACACAGATTACATATTTCGAAGGTATCGCGTCGACGAGCACTGCATACTGGGAGTGTCCTTGCATAATCCCAATGGCTGACACCATAGCTAGTCCCGTTCACCGTGCCGACATTGTCCAAACCAAACCTGGGTTCCACTATGGTGGCTCGGAAGAAGATTCAGAGAACAACGCGCCTATCCGAGATGTCTCCGGTGACATTCTCGATGACGGCCTCCGTCGTGGTTTAAAGGGACGGCATTTTGTCATCATCGCCCTTGGGAGTATTATCGGGCCCGGCACGTACTGGGGCATCGGCTATGCCATTTTTCTCTCCGGTCCTCTCGGGGCACTCCTAGGTTTCCTCGTGGTCGGTATTTCAATGTGGTTTTTGATGCAGAGCGTGGGAGAGATGACGACGCTTTTCCCCATCCACGGAGGCTTCGTCGAACATGCAGGGCGCTTCGTGGACCCAGCACTGAGCTTCTCTATGTCCTGGCTCTACTATCTTATGTGGAGCGTTTTCCTTGCGTCTGGTATGTATGATCCTCGAAGATCGGTGTTTGGCCTAACGCCTTCAGACTGGAACTCCGCCATTCTAACCTTAAGGTTCTGGGTTTCCGACGAACAGGTGCCATCTTGGGCATGGACAATCATCTTTTTCGTCGTTTTTACGGTGATGACCCTGCTGGGCGTTCGTGTGTACGGCGAGATTGAGTATTACTTTGGAATGTTCAAATTCGGATCCCTGATCTTGTTGTTCATCCTCTCCATAGTGTCCAATGCTGGTGGATTCGGTGGCGGCTATACTGGGTTCAAATATTGGAAAATGCCCACAGGTATCATCTCCGCACGTACAACAAGCGCCCATTGACTGTCTAACAGGTCCTATTATAAATGGAATCGATGGCTTTGGCCAGGTTTTCGTACTGGCTGCAGCATACTACGTTGGAACTGAGATCATATCTCTCGCTGGTGGCGAGTCGAAGAACCCGAAAAGGGATGTGCCAAGGGTATGGTATCCACTCTGATCACTATGGCCAACTTTTATTGACTTGTGCAAAAGGCAATCAACTCAATCGTCTATCGTATCCTCGTGGTTTATATCGGAATGCCGCTCTTCCAAGGCTTGATCTGTCCATCTGATTCACCGGACTTGCTGAGCGCGAGCTCCAAGACTGCATCCAGTCCCTTTACAATAGGATTCGTCAAAGACGGCTGGAAGTCCGCAGGTCATTTCGTGAATGTACTCATTCTGGTCGCCTTCGTATCGGCAGCGAACGGAGTGGTGTATGTGCAGTCGCGCACCGTTTACTCTTTAGCACTTACGAATAGAGCTCCAAAGATTTTTTCAAAGACCACTTCTAGAGGAGGTTTGTTGCTCCGACGTCTGCGCGTAGCTGGATAGTTACTGACCAATTAGTACCATGGGTCGCCATCGTCACTTCCAATTTCTGGGGCTTCTTATGCCTCATGAATCGAACACTCACAGCCGGCCAAGTTTTCAGCTACATGACAAGCGTCGGTGGCACGTCTGCTTACATTGCCTGGGCCAGCATCATCTTCACACACTTGCGAGTCCGAGCGGCTGCAAAAAGGCAGGGTGTTGAACTCAAGACGTTTCCGTATCGAGCGTGGGGTAGTATCTGGATTTATCGAGCTAACTTTGCCTTTAACGTCTTCATCCTGTTTATCCAAGGGTACACTGTTTTCAAGCACCCCTTCGATTGGCGCAACTTTATCGCCTGTTATATCACGATTCCGACGTTTCTGTTAATGTTTGTCGGGTACAAACTGTGGTTTAAAACAACATGGTGCGCAAAGCGATATTGGCTATTGAGATTGAGTTGACATGGCTTTATAGGGTTACACTCGAAAAGGTAGACTTCTCGGATCGGAGAGAATGGGTGGCCCAAGTATCCGATGCAAACGTTCAACGGTCACTAAAGAGAAGGGCACTCAATCTTGTGAAAGATTAGGAAATGATTTGAAACTCGTACTGGAAGTGCACTATGCCTAATACAACGCTGGTCCCTCTTCCTATGGTGTGGCATATTTGGCGCATTCTTCTGCAACCGCATCAGTGTATCGACCATACCGGGTACCATGTACCGTATATGTCACAGAATTCCATGATATGTGCATCGCTTGTGCACAGTAATCAAATCGAGCAAGGCTCGCTTTTCCGCATGACACTCGACCTTCGCCCGGTACTTGAGCACGCCCATGCACTCATCCTCGCAGTTGAACCTCTGATGCCTCACGTTTTGATCATTCATTAGCTTTCGTCTATGCTCGTCTCGTCCACACCAGCTGATTTGTCATGTCTTCTGAACATGGCGAACCCGGCATTGGCGGTCAAACCTTCCATGTGCATCGCTACCGAGCTGCTTCCAATGATCGAAATCTCCGTCACGATTCGTTCGGCTGATCTCCATGCCGTTGATGCACAATCCATCGAAACTGTTCGTCGTGCGATCAATCGCATGCTCGATGCAAGCGTCCTGTCGAATGAGTGGAGACGGCAACTGCCGCCAAGCTTGAAGTCTTCCAGATGAGAGAGTATAATGTTGATGCTACTCTTCGGGAAAATCATGTTGGGGGGATACGCGTCGACCTTGACCAGCTTCGCAAAGTAACGACCGCAAACAAACGCCCATGCTGCGCAGCCACACTCCTCTTCGCTGCGTTCGAGGACTTGGCCAACTTTGTCCCAGATACCGCTATGAAGGACTGTATTAAGACTTCCGCGAGCGTGGTTCGTCGGGCCTTCAAAGGAGTTAAAGATGTTACAAGAAATGGATTCGGACCCAATTACCGGATCACTCACCTACGAAGTCCGGCGGTCAAAGATGCATGTGCTTGTACTTGATTCCAGAGAGTCTCTTCTCGGTAATATGACCAACGAAATTGTCTGAGAGCCATTATTTGACGGCAGAGAAGCCTTGCACATGATCAAACATGTAGCAAGGGAACGCTAGTTGCCTGGCAAAATCTTCGTCCACGCTATCACTCAAGAGGCCGACGTGTTCCGCATCCCACTTCTCGAAGAAGCCGTGCAGAAGTGAAACATGAAAGCAATAATGATGTGCCAGATGCGAGTGATGTCAGTGTCCTTCACGCCAGGGCTATGGAAGAGGCTTTCCTCGTCGTCTTCTTCAGTGATCGGCCTCGGCTTCATATCAGGGTTCTCCTCCATCATCTCTTCTTTAATTCCTTCAGTAGCATGCTTTACCCCAGCATGCATGTATATCAACCATAATCGGATAGTCCCCGTGTCATCATCTTCCATTCCACCCTGTGGCCGAAGTTTGTGTTGAAGCGAAAAATATTCTCACAATACTGAGAAGCGAATGTCACGGCGTTCTAATTGCGTCATCTTGCGCTTGCCGTTGTTATCAGTGCTCTCCATGTGTTTCTGTACCACCTTTTCCATGGTTTAGAGGCTTTCAATATCGATTTATGACTCGTAGATTGCTACTACGTCACTCCCTATAGGCCAATTCACTATGGTACGCCTATTTTAACAATTTTAGGCCCACTTTTAACTTAGTATGGGTGCCCAAGTGATAAAATATTGGGTATCATAGTGAATTATGCAATAAGGAGCTATGTTATCACAATCAATGAGTCATGAAAGTTCTCGTCGTAGACGAGTAACATGAGCTAGATGAATCTGCACCTAGCCCGCCTGTCGAAAAGCCGGCTGGGGAGCGAAGCATTCGAAAAGTACAATTTATCGAGCCGTTATATAATAGACGATTGGCTCCACCAAGTGATGCAGACGGGCATAAGAGGGGCAAGAAGTCTGGCAAGGAGATAAAGAAAAAAACAAAAGAAGAGGAAGCAGAAATCGAAAGTAAGGGAGAGCCACGAGGAGTCTCGGAACTCGCCAAATAGTCCATGAGAGAATCTCACTTTGCTACGGTCTATCAGTAGATCATCATTTATGAAGCTACTGAAGGGCCAGTCCCGGAGAGCTGATAAGCCTAGGACGCAACGGGTTGAGTCCGTCCACTCCACGTCATGGAAGTACTGGTATTGATATTGAATACTTCCTATCCTTCTGCACCGTATGCTGTTTGTTGGCCCTGGATATCAATAAACAAAGGCATCGATTAAGTAATTCATATGGCAGTAACTGGTGTTTCGGAGAGAGCAACACATTGCTTCCACGAGTAGTGGTGAGATTTGGAGACCGTGATATGCCCGTGACGAGTCTTGCATGATAGCTGATTCGTAGTGGTTTTGCGTGGAATCACGAGGGTAAGGACGAGTGCTGATGGTGCTCACTAATCAAGTAATGTCCGGATGGAAGCGCTGCCGGGACACCGATTGAGATACCATAAGTAACAATTGCCCCGCTTGTTTTCTGCGGACTCACTGTTTCCGAACCAAGAACGCGCATTATGTCCTCCAACAATGTAAGTGCATAGTCAATGGGCTTCAGACTGTCTCGCGTGTTGTCAATTGGGATCGGCTTCCTCGGCCGATCGCGGCGCCAATTCCGCGCCGGGGTGCCGCTTTACAACGTCTAACGACGTTCAGACACCCCGCGAAGGATTCGCAGACAAAGACGGACATTTCAGACGCAAGGACTCGGCCTTCCGAAACCAGATCTTGTCAGATCCGGCGTCCGCTTTCCCTGCCGAGTCGGGTCGCTATGCATTGTATATCCATGCGGGATGCCCTTGGGCGCATCGCACGTACATTACCCGAGCCTTGAAAGGTTTGGGGGATGTCATTCAGCTCATCGTGCTTGATGATGCGGAGAAGAGGGATGATAAGATGTTGTGGTGCTTCAGCGGTGAGAAGAGAGACCCACTGTACGGGTTCAAGTATCTGAAAGAGCTATATGAAAAGAGTGAGCCAGGGTATGATGGAAGGTACTTGGTGCCGACATTATGGGATAAGAAACTTGGTTCGTGGGCCATTTGACCGATTACCTGTACATCCAGGCATCCGACCTGGTATAAAATTATGGGAAATACTGAATTGCAGCAGAGAAGATCGTCAATAACGAGTCGAGCGAGATCATCCGGATGATGTACACCGAGTTTGACGCGTTTCTTCCAGAGCATTTACGCGAGTCGACAAAGGGTGCAGAGGGGCTTTACCCACCTCAGCTGCGTTCCGAGATTGATGCAATGAACCAATGGGTTTATGACACAATCAACAACGGTGTCTACAAAACGGGTTTCGCGACCACTCAAGAGGCCTATGAAGCCAATGTGTATCCATTGTTCAGATCTCTCGATCGCGTTGAGGAACATCTTTCTCGGCCTGGCCACCAGCCCTATCTCTTCGGTGAGAATATTACGGAGGCTGATATTCGCCTGTACACGACGATGATACGATTTGATGTCGCATATTACCCAGTTATGGGCTGTAATTTGAAGATGATCAGATACGAGTACCCGCACATACACGATTGGCTGAGGAATCTCTATTGGGACGAGGGAGAGAAGACCAATGGTGGCGCGTTCAAGAAGACCTCGCATTTTGAATTCGTGAGTCACCCCGCGTTCGATTATGCTATTGAGTGCTTACACTGATCTCTGTGCAGTATAAAGCAGGCTATGCTGCCGCGAAGGGTGTGAACATCATTCCGGTTGGGCCAATTCCATATATTCTTCCTCTGTCAGCCTAGAGCAGGGAATCATCCCCGGTGCCGCTATTGCTATTCTGCAAACTTACTTCGTGAAGACTTAGTTTCTGTTACGATCTGAGTTGAAGGGTTCCTTAGGCTCGCGCTACACTATACAGCGGACAAAAATATGAGTGCCACGCAATGAAATAATACATCGGCTGATATTACTTAAACCACAATCTTAGGACTGTCGGATCGTAAATCTCTCATCCGTGGGAAACCCGGCTTTGATTTGTTTGTGCAACTCAAACTATTATAACGCTAATATCCAGCTTCGCTACGGACGTGGCCGAGCTCCAAGCTTTGGCATTGGCCAATGCGTTTGATTACCGAGAGAGAGAGAGAGAGAGAGAGAGAGCGCGAGACCTGTGCTCATCGTGACAGTCACATGCAGAGGTCCGTTCCCAAAGCCACTCAGCCCCCACCGTGCGTGCTGGGCTGTACACTAACCACGTTAGGTGCGAGTGCAGGCAGCAAACACTCTTGACTCGCGCGAGTTCAGTACCTATATTATCGGCATGCGAGAAACTGACAGCTCCACGCAATTCAATGGATTTTCCATTTCTCGAGCTCCCTGGGGGTAAGCACAGTCGCTTCAAGATTTGAAGCTTACACTAACAAATTAAGAGCTGCGCAATCACATATACGACCTCGCCAAAGCGCCCCGTAGCAACAAGACAATAAAGATCAAACATATCGGCGGGTGCACTGAGGTATTTTACCCTAGCCTCGCGCAGGTCTGTCGCCAGATAAGGTGAATGCGACTCGATCTTGCTATTCTCTTTTGCATCGACTAAATCATTTTCTTAAATCCAGGCATGAGTATCTACCTATTCATTGCGAATCCGCCCCTCTCATCCAGATACAGTACGACGACCTTCTACCCTGGATTCGGACTCTCATAGATGCCGGCGTACCTGAAGCTCGACACCAACGCCTAGATAATGTTGGAAGTTGGAGGGAGTACATCCCGGTCTACCCTAAAGAATCGATCAAAGGTATCTCGGAGGATGACTTCGTCTACAACATGCCCATTCCAGAGGAACTTCACATCGAAGTCACTGCCACCGAAGGGCGAAGACCCAAGTACATCGACATCCTCCCTCTGCTGCGATTGAACATCCGATATCCAGGCCAGTTCGCATGCAAAGTCATCTGCAATGGCAGATCACACGCTTCTCAGCCGTCGCGCTTTAACGATCAAAGCATCTTCCATACCGAATTTACTGATGAACAGTTGGGCGACAGCCTCCGCTGTCTCCTGTTTCACGATGACGATGTATGGAAGGAACGACTCTCCCGTTGCAGCTATACGCTGCTAGACTTGTACCATGAGAGACATTTGGTGATGGTTTTCAAGGCAAGCCATTTCCCCGAGAGGGTGTCTTCTCAACAGACTGCGCAGGCCGAAATGGGGTTCAAGGATTCAATTAGAGCCTGCGGTCTCTTGACAATCGACCTGCACCGCATGGATGAGTTTACTGGTTTGACTCAATGTGCAGTATCAGAGCACGAAAGCTTGCAGGAGGATGAGGACAACATTAACGTACCATGGCAGAGCCAGAAGTGGGACTTTTTCGGACGCTCCCGCACGATTGATGGTTGAGGGATCTACACTATTGGATCAGATCAGGTCCACAATGAAGAATTTTTTCCACACTTGAAGTGTCGTAGATCAATTCGATTGAATCTTTCAAGTTGTATTTTCTTTAAGCAAACCCTGCGAAGAGATCGTGTTAGATTTTGATACCCACGGTGCTCGTTGCACACAGGTTCAGAACTGGGCATGTACAAAGCATGTCGCTAGCAACCCACCACCCCACACAACTGCGTCATGCCCCCAAATTCCAACTTGCTACGCATGCAAATCGTTCGAGATCTTCATTCCCAAACTCCAGAAGCGGGTTACCTGATTGGTCCAAGCATTGCCGTTTCCATAACGCCTGATCTAGCTCTGCATCGCCTCAGGCCTCCTGCAAGATCGTCCCCCGCCGCGTCCCGGAAAGTTTCTGGGCTACGTTTGCCACTACAATAACAGTAACACCCCCAAGTAAGCCTTGCAGTATACACGCAAGATTTGTGGAGCTTTCGGATCAGCATAAGCATGCGCCCACCGCATCGAGCGAAGGAAGCATTGCTTGAAGAGACGATGGGACTGCATAGCTGCCTTGCGTGTGTAGTAAAGTACATGTATTGAAAAGTGCCCCCGCTACATGTACACTACAACCGTACAGTCCATTTAATTGCATCTCCGCACACTACGCCTTGCCGCCTTGCCTCTTTATGACCGCCATCCTTCACGACACAAATGCTCTACGCCCCATGTCCCCCATCCTCAACCTCCGCATCCTAGCCACCTCTCTGCCGCACTCCCTGCGCGCTCTCAGCATTATCACCTTCGCTCCAGCCTTCCTCCTCCTCCTCCTCCTCCTCCTCCTCCTCCTCATCTGCGGCATCGTCTCCGCCCGCGTGAACCCCGCCATCTCCATCCTCCCCCTCTTCTTCTCCGCGCTTTACTCGGCCATCCTCCTCGCAAATGAGAAAATACGCGGCTGCCAGGCCGCCGGCCTCACTGGCAGCCCACTGCACATGATGTGCGACATGTTGTGCGGGATGCCGCTGCTCGTGTGTTTGATTTTTGGATGGGTGAACATGGGCAGGTGGCACTACGAGGCTGCGGCCATTATCCTGGGGACGTATGGGACGATTTTCTTGCTGTTTAATCTGTGGGTGTGATTTTTGCTATTGGAGTATGCCTGCTGACGCTTGCGTAGTGGCGTGTATGCATACTTCGTTGTGAAGCAGGTCCTCGATGCTTTCACGCCGGGTGCACAGTACCCTAGCAATTGTCCGCAGTGCCAGCACATGGCGTTCCCGCAGATCAGTGTCAAGATTTGGAGCGAAAGGCATGAGTACGACCCATTGTTGGATGGGGAAGAGCGGCCGGCGGCGGACGTGGATGCGGAGGATGCAGTCTAACGGGACACACAGGAAGTAAACATAGAGCATTGCTTGGGGCCGAGTTCGAGGCACACATGCGATTGGCGTTCTGGTTTTGGGTTTAGTGACTGCGTTGTACACCGCTCCTAGAACGTGGCGTCCCTGGGAAGTGATTAGCATGAGGGTAGCACCTTTGTACTGCGAGACGTAAGTCAATCGGGTCTTATACGTTGTATAAAATAAAACATAAGTCGTAAACATGATTCATGGACTCCGAGTCCCTGTGCTGCATACTGAATGCTTCCTAGTCTAAAATGTACAAAACGCCTCCAGCACCGTGTAAATGCCTAATTGCAAATAGATGAGATTGATCCGTAATTCCTCTGTATTTCGTCATGTTGCGCTCTCGCGCGTTGGGTATTCACATGATAGCGTGCACTTGTATTTTCGTGCAAACACCTGTACAACTGAAGCTGCCTTGGTGGTCAAGATGTGTCCGCGCAGTCTGTCCAGCGCACCCCTCAGGGAGTAACAAAGAATGTATTCGGACAGCGACAGGTTCGTACTGTACAATTTAGTGTGCGGTGGTGGAGAGACCGTACATAGCGTCTTGAATAGCACCGCACTGGCTGGCCACATCGCGCGCAACTGGAGCGGCTAGATTGAATTGATGTTCATCAGCAGCCGTCGCAGGCGAGCCCGGCATGGAAACGTCCGGCGTGTCCAAAACGGAGTAAGGGCTCGGGGAAGAAGTGGGATCGCAGTCGGCTTTGTGAGTCTTCCAGGCTTGTTTCTGGCAAGTCCTGGAGCAATAGTAGGCGCGTTTACAGCGCGAGCAGCGGAGGAGCGAGTGACCCGAAGGAGGCGGTCTGGTGCAGGTGGAACAAGTTGTCGGGAGGACAGTGGAAAAGAACGGATTCACTGGTCATTGGTCAGTAATTGTTTTGGAAAACGTGTCAAGCGGACAGGGAACGACAATGTGCAGAGTTGTGGTTCGTTGGACCCCTGTCGGAGCGAATGGAGGCGTTGCTTAGCGCTGAACTTGCACACCGCTGGTCCAGGACAACGGTAGACTAACGAAGGATCCACACCCCAATTGTGGGTAGATGGAAAGACCACATCGTGAAACGGAGAATTTCGAGGTCGCTAAAAGACATGCGTACACATACCTATGCCTCTGATATCAGCGGGGAGGGTGGCGACATCGATGGTAGTAGAAGCAATAGGAGAGGTGTGGGCGGCGGTGAAAGCTTGCGCGAATGGCTTGCTTGTAGCGATAGAATCTGACGACCGATGTGAGACATGCCTCGATAATATCTCGCCCAGCTTCGATTGAGTGGCGAAGATACCGAGAGTGAAGCAGTACGCACCTTCCTGGACACTATCATGCCTTGCTCTCTCCTCAGCGGCTCCATCGCCATTTCCCGCCTTCGTCTCGCGAACAACGACTTCTGATTCTTTTTTCACTGAGCCACTGCCCAGACTAGTTGTGAAGACATTTAAGCACACGCTTCGGGGGGGCATGTTCTGAGCTTATATACGTGCTTGGATTGCAAGGATGGGAAGAAAGTGGAATTGGAAACCAGAAAACCGAGAGGGCGGAAATGCGAATGCAGGAACGAAGGGAGTTATTGTAGAGAAAAAAAAGAAGGAACGGCAGCTGGGGTTCGCAGAAATAGTTGCGGCTCCCAACCGCTGGCAAGACGGGACGCGTGAAAAGCGGTGTGAGGTTTGACAACTTTGGTGAGCACAGATCGTACTATGCTTGATTCGGAACCGGGCTGAGATCTGTGCACGCGCGGCAACGTTGTCAGGTGTAAGCGCTGCCCGATCCCGACAGGTATTGCAGTTGCGGTGCACATTGAAAAGGAGCAGCGGGGAGGTAATGAAATGCTGGTCGTCGTATTATGCTGGGGTCGTGGGAAGCTCATCACGATGTTTCAGACCCACAGCGCCGAGTTTGTTTCACGACGCAGCCTGGACAGTGCACGGAAGCAATCAAGTCTGGTGGCACTGCGTGCACAATAGCGATATTGGGGCAGACGCAGCTGGAATCTCACCTGGACACGTGAGGATAATCGCATGTAAGCGTGGCCCTGTGGTGTGCTATCTACAGAACAGTACGAAAGCATCTTGGTAGACGAAAGCGAGTGTATCACACAGCTACGGCGTTACTTGAGCTGATTCCAACGTATTGGCCAGTTGCATAGTATTCGCGTATCGGGCTAGAATGAAAAGCAGGGAAACTAAGTCTATGGGTTGCTTTGCGCGCGAACCTGGGAAGTAAGGCGACAAGGCGATCGAACGTCCTGCTGGCAAAGGTACGTGCCCTGGCACCAGCAAGGTGAGCTGCTGCCGGTGGGCATCAAAGAGACGACAAGCTGATTCGTACGGTCCACGTCTTCACCGTACAGGCGGCATGCTCACCGCCGATGAACACGCGCCGCCGACATTTTGAACATCTCGCCACGCAACCTGGGTTGCCCTCAGGACCATCTGAATTTGTGGGATTTGTGGGAAATTCTTCATGGCTTGAATGTAGGCGCTGCGTCATTACATCGGACTACGTGAGGAATCGTCAAGGTACAGCAGTAAGCTAATATACTCATAGTCGTAAAGTTCTGTGAGACCACGAAAAAGATAACTTTGGCAGGGGAAGTTCCATAGCGGAGTGCTGTCGATAGCCGATTCTTCATCTCAGGCAAATTTCTACTCACACTCGGAGATAGGAGGTCACTCTGGTAGCGCTGATGTTGTGGGTGAGAGGCAGCTGTTCACGCTTAGTCACTCGTTACCTAGATCTCAGCTCCGAATGTAGTGACCGTACGTATGGCCAAAATGCGGCCAAAGTCCATGACGAGCACCCTGCAACATCCAAATGCCGAGGCTAGCAATGCGTGGCGCTAGAAACAATATAGAGTAAACCACATGGAGTCTTTGCTGCTGACGGTTATAGATGCTGAGCAGTCAGACGCGAGTGTAGACGGGAGATCACCCAGGTGTCCGAAGCCTACGTAGCTGGATCGGAGGGTTCTGGCCACAGTCGTAACTTGAGCGTGAATTTTGGACAAGGCAACTGAAACATTGCCGATCTTGTACGTAGCCCAAGGCTTTGGGACATGCGGTGCCCTACATACGCGGCTCATCGGCAGCTTGGCCTGATGCTACGCCACAGTCTGGCCCGCAGGTGGAGGAAAGAAATATGCCAAGTGCGTGGCTATCGCACAAGTCGTGCTGTGACAAGGGCGACGAGACGGTGAAGACGATCGAGTTCGTTCGTGCGGAGAGCATTAGCGCGAACTATCCACCCGTTGATCCGCGCAATCATGAGAGGTGACGTGCGCAGAGCCTCACTAGGGGGTCACTAGGGAAGACGAAGTGGCCAAGAGTGTGGAGGCATCAGTCACCTGCGAGAGTCGGCATAGGCGGTCGCAGCTTCTCGAAAAACAGTAATAATGGTGTAACATTGCGGGGCGGGCCGATATGTTGGGTGCGATTGATGGGAGTCATCACTCAGTGATGGCTGCGCAACACGCAGAGTTGACTCACCAGTGCGGGCAGTTCCCCATCAAAAGACCCAGATGGGGAGCCAAGTTGAGGTGCGGACGCCGTGCGACTGCCGAGCACGGTGCGCCAGACTTTTCTTCAGCCCAGCGCACACGTCGCCTCGCAAACTGGCGGCTGTCTGCTCAGCGGGAGGGCGCGCGAACTGCTGTGCCGGCCGCGAACGTGGGCTTCGGGCAGGGTGTAATTGACGAATGGGCTGTGGGCGATGTGGCCGTTTTCCGGTCAACCAAGAGGAGCAAGGCCCCATGCCGCCTTGACAAGCGACAACACTGCAGGCTCGAGGGCAACGTCGTCTCGGCGGGAAGTGATTGCACACAACACGTCTACGACTGAAGGGCGCAGCGCGAGGGCGTGTTTTGCGTTGGGGCTGGCGCCGCACATGTGGTCGAGGAGCGCGCGCGAGCTCGAACGCTTCGTGTCTGGAGATTGCACAAGAGCGCTGACCGTTCATACCAATGTGCAAAACGACATCGACGGAGCTGTGGCAGTGCGCCGGACACTGTGGGTGGTGAATGGCCGCGTCCTGCGCAAAGCGGTGGAGTAGACACATGCCCAAACCGCATCCAGCGTGGCTGGTGCCTTCGATTGTAGGCAGCAAAGGCGCTAACTCTCCGCTTCGCGCCATCCTAAGGCGCAGCCCCTCTCTTTCCGGGCACCCTGATCATCCTGATGCACCTTGCGGCGTGATGCGCGCCCCCAAGAGCCACCTGCGAACAGGTTCGCCGCGCGACATGTTGCCAGATAGCCATCGACGACGACGACGATGATGGGAGCCGTGGCGCGGTGCAGTACGGCGCTGCGTGGGCGGCCTTCTGACAGCTTCGCGTGGCAACCAGAGACATTCACTAGCACAGCGCGCGAGGGGTCCCAGACAGCACGCACTGCTTGTCGTCATCTACTACTTGGCCTGCTAGTGTTGACCGCCCTCGCTAGTCCGAGCCCTTTGGATCCGCGCCGGCGATATGCACATGCCAGGCCCCCCTGTCCTTTCCGCAGGCTGCAATCCATGCCCTGCCTCAAAGTGCAGAAACATATATATATTCCCCATTCCGCATCCGCAATTCTCTCCAGTTCCAACGCACCCATAGCATCTCGAGCATCCATCCAAAGATACATCGGACTCTGGTATTCGCATCCAGAGTCCACTCCAGGACCACACCATTCCAGCCACCTCCGGCAACAACACCACCATCACTTTCACTCCCCGACTCCGACCCATCTTGAAGCGGAGACCATCCTCCACCATGCCTGCCACCATCTCTCGCACACACACCATGCCCGCCGTCATCTCTTCCAAGTCCTCATCGGGGTCGAGGAAGGAGAGGAACGTGGGCTTCATGCGAGACCCCGTGTCCGCCGTCTCACGTCCCGTGAACACTGAAGAGTCATGGGCTGCTCACCACTTCGAGACACACGCACAGAAATGTGCCTACTGCCGCAATCCCTATGAGGTCCACCGCAACCACGAGCAGCTTTGCGAGATCGGCCACCGTCTCGCCCAGGATGTGGCCTCGTTCCTGTACCAGCGCGCAGACGGCAAGACGTACAGCACCGTCGAGGAAGAAAACAAGCTCGTCCAGATTGAGATACCCAGTGGCTATACCCAAGTCCGCAGCCTACTTAAGGCCATTGAGCGAAGCCTCCGTCACCGAACACGCGCTCCTTTTGTCTCGATGGACCGCACCTACTATGTTGCTGCCCGCATGCCAGTGCGCTCGCACTCTGTCAAGGTGGACCAGGAGATCAAGCACAAGTCGAGACCGCGATCCGGGGAGATTGTTGACTGGCCCTCTTCTCCGAAAACGCAAAAGGTCACGGTCGAGGTCGACAACTCCTCTTCCAAGCGTGGTTCCCTCTACGAGCAAGATCTTGAGCTCCAGCGCCGCAATGCGAAGAACTATAAGATTGAAGTTCGGGAACCATCGCCACGCGACCGCCGCGAGCACCGCCTCTCCGGCTACTACCGGTGAAAACATCATGGTGTTTTGATGCTCTGCCATCTGCTTTTACATACATGCACATTATGCCAACAAAATCGCCTCAGAAACGCGACCACACGCGCCGAACGCTGCGCAGAAGCTGACAAGCTCCGCACGCACCGATGCCGCTCAACGGAATCGCCAGCATGTAACAAGTCTGATCTTTAGTCCTTGTTTTGCTCTGCTTGCAGGAATAAGCATTGCGTCTGCTGTTTGATATACTGGGTTACGCTAGGAATGAAGATAAGGGACCTCCACCACCTGGGTGTTGAGGAGAGGGATGAAGGAACGCAGGTCAGCAATGACGTTGGCCACTGCACTTGAGAATAGCAAGAATCTAAACACTGCTTGTACGACGTCGCTTCCAAACCTCTCACTTCTCTGTGACACCGTGACTTGAGTGAAGCTCCTGTTTGCCCGGCGCATCCTGGCCCTCGAGCTTCGTTTGCGCTGTTGCGCAAACGCTCCAGTCACGCAGTCAACATGACTCCCAGGTCTAATCCTTACATGTCTTGCCTGCACACCCTCGGGCCCGCCCAAGCGAGCCCTTCCACACCCGCACTGCTCACGCGCGCCCTGAAAACCTGATCGCCCAAACGAGCACCCCTCCAGCACGCGCTCCAATCATGCCTGCGCCTCTCTCGCGCACCACCCACCTCACTCGCCAGTTTTGCCGTTCCAGGCCCCCCGCGTAGATTTGCGCCGGCGTGCAATATTGCAGTGTGCGGCCTGCAAGCCACATATGACTGCATGAGGGATGGTTCGGGGTGATATCGAGGGTGGGTAACGAGCCGGATAAGACTGGAGCTATAGTGATGGTGAAGGTGAGCAGGAAGGCGGGGCATGTCGCAGCCTAAGACGGCATAGCCGCTTCCTTCTCCGGCATTGACATGTACCTCTGAAGAGTCATCATATTTCTGCCTGTGACGGGATAGCGACCGAGTACCAAGAACACTTATGACTCCAGCTGTAGCATCTAGAACGTGCGCCGCAGACATGTTGGATCGGCACATCACCGCTGCGCACACAAAGGGCGTAGCCCTCACTGTTGCACTCCGCCGCAGAAAAAGGCAACTTGGCCATCCCAGCCTGAGGCACGCCTCACCAACGTATTTAATTGCAATGACGCCACTATCCCTGCGCAGCCGCGCTGTTTCATCGGCCTGCCTTCTGCGATTGTCTGTTGACGACGCGCGATTGCGACGACTGCCGCGAGAAGACACCGGTTGGTGGCGACGCCGGCGGCTGCATTGGGCACAGCCGTCATCACGAAACGGAGACGTGGAAGACACGGCTCAGTACTTCAACGTGGGATTGAGGCGTTTGAACACGTCTGAGTGACAGGCGGGGGAATCGCTGCTTTCCAGCTTCACATGCCAGGGTGGACTCTGTCGATCGTATGCGTTGGAGCCTCACGATGCGCGGTATACCCACTGACACTTTAATGGCTTGCCGACCCGCTTGGTCGACGAGGTTTCTGCTGGGGAGAAACGCCGAAAGGGTCTCGGTGTCGATCTGGTTACCGTGCTTCCTATTGCAAGTCGGGGAAGGGGTTTATTTGAGAAGTGAGGCGAGAGACTGTGTTGGCGGCGTGTAGATCAGCGGCAGAAGAAGAGGCCGCGCTGCTGGCAGCATGTGCTCGAAGGAGGCATCCCAATTGTCTTGTTTCAGGGTGTTGTCATTGACAGGGACAGAGTTGGCTCCTAAACAGGCTGTACCTGTCAAGCTTGGGCCTCTATACTCGGCGTGTAGGAGTGCTCTGGGACACCATTCCAATTGATCAGGCACTCGATAGTCTACGGTGCTCGTCGACAGTTGTCGTCCACAGTCCACGTTTCAACTTGCGAACGTTGGGCAGCTCTCCAGGTTGCGGCCCTTCCACCCCACGGCTCCATATCGTCGCTCCCTGCACTCCCGGGACCCTAGGGCAGTACAGAGCCCACAGCAAATAATAGCGGCTCAATAGCACTTTTCCTTTCCGCAAGTGTCCGATCCAGGACGTCCCCGGCTCTTCTTCAACGTGTCCAAAGTCGCAACGCGGCGATCTCTCCCTCCGGACCCATCCGTTCGCGAATGCGACGAGTGACTGGACACGCGCGGCAGTAGATGGGTGTGGAGTTTCACCGACTTTCCATGACCGGATTCCTCGCTTGCAGCTGCTGCATTGCATTGCAGCACGCTGGGCCTTGCAGCCTCACCGGTGACCCACCCTTTCCACATGATGGGCGATCGCTCTCCACACCTCTTCAGCACTGCCGTAGACCAGCCCTCAGTCGGCATTCTCCAGCCATCGTGCGTCGCCCATCGCGACAAGCTAGAAGAGCGCTGTGCCGGTGGAGACGGAGCGGACGCCAGCGGGCAGCGGGGCCGCTTGTTGTTGGCAACCCAGCCATCCTGCCATGGCATCCACGGCTTTTTGCGCCGTCGATGGACCCAAGCTCCTGCGACACCAGCCTGCATCCCTGCCCTCTGCTATCGCGAACTTCAGGGCTGTGCTTGTCTTGAGGGGCGGCAGAAAATGGCGTTCTGATTGGACAGACAGGGTAGATGCGGCTGTGCCGTGCAAAGTAGTTCAGCCACAGCGCACGTGATATCGCGCTTGTGTGCGGCTGAGGTGCATTTTCTGTACAATGGCGTACAGGCCGGGCTGCGGATACGATAAGGAGATGAGTTAGGGCTGAGACTTTGGGTGCGGATGCGGCAGTTGCATTGGGATGTATGAACCGTGGTTGGCCGATGCGTTAGAGCCATGGGAAGAGTATTAATAGCCCCCAAATTGTCTTTTGGCTGTGCCGCAGAGTGTTTCGAAGATTGTTTTGAGTGAGGGAAGGATGATGATACGATTCGTAGAGAGAGGGCTGCCGGCGAACTCGAAGAATCAAGCGCTTGTGAGTTTGATGTGTGGACGTGTTTGGGGGTCATATACACCAAGTACTGTTGTCGCCCACGCCTACAATGCACAACGTACCATGGACGCGTATGGCCGCACAGTGGCTGTGCGATGTCCGACTGCATGCTCGAGACCAGCAGCCTTGATGGACAACCAACGTAACGTGGTAGCCACACACTAAGTGCTTTGGCTTGCACCACCTCGCCCATCGTCCAGTTCGATATTGGCCCCTTGGGTTCTGGGCTCCAGCCCGACCACATTTTGCTATGATTATCTTTGCCAGCCTGTAGTCTTAAGCCCTAGATATCCGCACTCGCATTGTGGCCCCAACATCGATGAGTATCTGCAATGCGCCTCGCGTGTTGTTACTGCCCTGGCTCCATGAAGGCCGCATGTGCCTACCAAACGGTTAACATTAGTTGTGAAATAACGACCTCTTACCCAGACCAAAAGTGCCTGGCAGCGCAATGCGTGAAGTAGATCTAATACGCTCGCAGGACTTATTTACGACCAAATAAAGGTGACCATACCGGAGACTTCATCTGTGTCCGTAAAAATGCTCCTGTAAAGGTCTTCCTTGTGCAGTGGGCGGCACAAGTAGACAGAATCCAAGGCAAGATACGTGACATGTCGAGGATAGCAGGAAGGGAGGAGCGATGTTTGAGCGGGTAGCCGCAACCCCCGAACGCTGTGATTGGCTCACGCCCAGACGCCAAGGACGGCCGCCTCGCGCATCGCATCTCGAAAACCTCAGTTGTATTGCTCCGAACGCCAGCAGAACCCCACGCCGCTTCACAATGGCGAAGAAAGGTACGTATCCCGCGCTCTGCCTGTCACAGTGCTCTTGGGCAGCACTTTCATGCGTGCCCGATGCCGCAACGAAGCCGCAATGCCTAGCCGAATGCCATCAGAACTGGACTGACGGTGCACCGCAGCGAAGTCTCGCACCATCATGGTGCGCCTCATCTCGATGGCGATGACAGGCTACTACCGAACGTTGATGCGACCGCGCGTTCACCGCCCTCTGAGCATGATGAAATACGATCCCATCGGTACGCAACACTAGCACGATACCCACTCCGGGCGACTATCTTTCTTGAGCCAGGGACACTGCAACACTGTCGTGAAAACGGGGCTATACTCGAACTCGAAATGAGAGAATGAATGGTGCAGATTCTCTCGAACGGCAGGCTAACAATCCGACAGTGCGGAAACAAGTACTCTTCCTCGAGCAGAAGCGTGGAAAGAAATAGACAACGCCATCGCCTAGCATCCTACTTCGCCGCGATATGGGCTCATTGATCCGCGGGATCGAGTACCTACGACAAACTGCCCGGGCGATATCGAGCGCAATGCGGAAATCGGACAAGAGACGGGGTAGCAGCCGGCGCCTGAAGCTGGAGTGGAATGCCCTCGCACCCTGTCGGGGGCTGTAAAATAATGATAGCATACTGTACACTACACCATGCATAGTTGGGCGTTATACGACGCATTGATACCCACCTCAACCAGGTGAACAAGGCGGATCAATGAACGAATTAGCATAAATGCCGGCTCCCACTTCCCTGCAGTACATTCTGTGCCCACTCTATCCTACACATCGCACCTTTCGTTCCTCAATACGCCTGGAATAAGATTCTGGAAACGCCATGGAGAAAAAGTGGATAGACACCAGCAATCAAAGATTGGTCGCGCATCAGGATAAAAACACGAGCATGTATGTTCACTGCTCGACATAAGAGCAGAAAGAAGAGGTGCAACTCAAAATCATGGCTCTCTCTTACTTAGTCAATATAGCTCACGTACCAGATTTTGTTCGCCCGCGATCCCGCCAACTTATCTCCTCCAGACCGCTCCTCCAACCTCGCTACCAAACTATCATTTGAAAGCGTAACTCAATTCGCCCTCTCCGCACAATTACTATAAAAAGCAAACAACTCTCGTCGCTCCTGAACCGCGCATGCTCCATCCCTGGCTTCCGAGACGCATCACACCCCTTCGTCCAGACGTCCCCGTCCTCGCCCTACACTACTTCCCCGTACCCACTCTTTCTCCCATTCAGATCTCTCAAGTCTCCCTCTACACTGAACATTTCTTCCACGCAGTCGTGCACAAAGTTTCGGACCTGTTTCTCGGTGTTGGGGTCCCAGCGTTGGAGGTACGTTGCGCGGCCGGTGGATGGGTCGTGGTTGAGCGTGAGCTGGGAGTCCCAGGGGCGGGCGTTGTGGGTGAGGGAGGATACAAAGTACTGTAGCTTTGTCTTGTTGGCTGAGCTAGTCTCCGGGAGATACAAGAGTTGTGTCCTGACGACCGACTTCCTGAAGGCGAGGCGTGAGGTCACAAATGCGACCACAGTCGTGATCCAGATTGCGATATAGAGTTGTGATCTAAAGCAGAGATTTTCTCTAATTACCTACGGTCTCACCAGAGGACTCACCTGTTGAGCCATGTTGATGTGCGACTCCAGTAAGCTGTTTCTTCTCTTTGCCAATATGTGGTGTTGCAGTAAAGAAGAAGCCGCGAAGGTCTATCGAGGTGACGATCGACGTCCTGCTCCTTCGTTCGGAAGAGGTCGTAGGCTACAGGCCCTCAGAACAAGGAGAGGCTGCCATGATCGGCAATATTACTAGTTTAGCAATTGAAGCTGTGAATATGGATATGCGAAGACGATGGCATCGAAACAAGGAGAGATCAGGTTTTGAGCATGGAAGGTGTTGTATTGGTCATAGCCTCGCATTGGTACACCACGTCCTTGATTGGATCTGCCGCAAGTGCAAACGGTTCGACGAATCGCTGCAGCCTCCTATGAAGAATACCTAGAACCATTGGCGCAGCCTACCTGACCACCAACGCCGTTGGCTATCGTCGGAATCGAAGACTCGTGTAGTCCACGAGTTGAGCCTCTTCCCACGGCTGGCGATGCAACGCGGGGGCACTGTCAAGCTTGCCGCCCTGCAAACCCGACACGACTTGGGCTGGCCGAGATGGATTCCTGTTGTGCAACGCATGCGATGAATTTCACATACGAACCCCGAGCCTCATCTGTGGTAGTCGTTCTTGTATGAAGTAGCCGAGGGCAACTCCGCTGGCAGCGCACTCGGTTTCGGCGCCGCCACAAACCCATCCAACTGCTGTACTCTCGGGACCTCGTTGAAGTCACTCCTCAACTCTGACTTTGCCCCACCGCCACCAAAGCTGTTTTCTGCCGGCAACTCCTGCACGCCTCCATATTCCAGCTCCATGTTATCCACAGGACGGTACCTATGGTTCGCGTTCGACGCGCCCAGATCAATGCGCTGTTTCTGCCGCTGCCTCTTCTTCTTGTGCATGAGGCACAGCACAACGGCGCAGAAGATGCCGATGATGATGAGACTGACGAGCATAACGACGCCTGTGATTATCCAGATTCTTCGAGTTGTGTCGGCTGCAGAGGCGCGCGCTACGAGGGATGAGGGCGCAAGACCAGTGAGCGCGGAGAAGTCGATTGCACCGGGGCGCACTGCGATGCCTGATAGCGCGTTAGTATGTGCAGCACGTTGGCCGCGCGCATGGCGCGCAGGGACTACCGGTACCTCGTTGCGATAACATGACTACTATGGTTATAGAAGAAGAAGGAGGTGCTGGGGCAGTTGATTTCGCAGAGGGGCTTGCGACGCGCGTGGCTGGGCGTTCAGCTTCTCAATACGAGGTGCTCCGACCGCTGTGAAACTGGAGGGATGGATTCCTGGTTTCTGAACTCTGACGCCAACAGGCGCTCCACTCTGAACGCCGTTGACATGTCCAACAGCTTGTGGCTCTCTCCAGTGCTAATCTACGATAGCGAATAGCTGATCCTATAGGGTAAGGCGCCTGAGCACAGCCGGGTGAGGCTGTGGAGGGCTAGTGAGGTCATTGGGGGCCTGGCGCGCTCCACAAGTTTTGGGGTCTGTACGCTGACACGTGCTGGGCTCTTTCTTCAAACACCTGCGATTAATTAGTATTCCGTCCACCAGCTAAATTACATCAACTGTCTCTACCAACAGCACCCTCACTCTACTGCCCAGGACTGCCCAACTCCTCTCCAACATTCCCTCGTTCCGCTCTGGCCTCTAGAGCCCAGTCATCAGAAATCTGACCTTGAGCCAACGCGTCTCCAAGGACCCTGGTGCGACTTCACAATGGCTCCATGCTTTCGAAGCACTACCTCCCTTACGGCTACACGATCAAAGCCTCTGAAAGATGTTTTATAATTCAACATTGGCGTGGCTCCTCGCCAGCAAAGATCTACTGTGCGAAGCGTTGGAACAGTGCTCCCTCCACGCATCCTTGATCTACAACAGAAGATCACACGACATGAACCCACGCTCGCAACGACTGGCACTCGACAAAGCGAAGAGCAGGAGGCTGGAGATCAGATGTTTTGGCTGCCACCAAGGTCGCACGCGCACAGCGAAGCAGCCGTGCAAAGCCTCGTTGAAGCGAGCAAGGAAAGGGGCCCCAGTCTCGAGAGCGTGGGGGGCGAGGGAGTGGTCTCATACGCTCATTTTCAACGCTTCCAAGCCACTCAGCACGCTGGACGCATGTTTGACAGCTTTGCGGGCGTGGAGGTCACGCCGTGGTCCTTGGAGATGTCACCGCAGACGTAGCCGTGGCGAACTAAGCTCGTACTCGTGCGTGCTGGTGGAGAAGTGACGGCCGTGGGGGAGGGGAATCACAGACACTTGTCGGCAGTGACACCGCGGCAAAATCTATGTAGAGCTGCTGATGACTTGAACTGAGATGGGATGTCAACCTACTCTCGCTTCCTCCACACAAGTACCTCCCTATTCCCGCTAGTTTCGTTCCTGATAACCAGCCTCAGCCACCCCCCGTACTCCCCGTCCCTGCCCAGTATCGTGAAATTCCTCCTGAAGTAGCTCCCATCGTAGCTCGGCACATTGCACAGCAGCGGGCCATGCACCACCACGCCGTCATCCTCTTCTTCCTCCGGCAACACGGACAGCGTGAAGGGCGCCGCATACGCGAGATTGTGCTTGCCGAGCACGGCCCACTCGGCGTCGGTCGTGTTTTCAAACTTTCCATAGTGGAGGTTCTGCGGGCGGTAGGCCGGGAGTGTGGGCGTGAGGATGGCGGACATGTGCATGGACGGGTGGTCTGGTGCGCTCAGGGTGACTGACGGCGGATGAAGGGACAAAGTACGTACAAAGGATTATGCCAGTGCCGTTGGGGCCCTGAGCCCCTTCGGTGGGGCGGTCTTTGACGACGGTACCGTTGGGGTAGAGGCTGGGTGAGTTTGTTGGTCGTTGGGGGGTGGTGATGGGATTGGTGTACGCACGATGTCGAGTTGTGGATGACCCATGCGCCGGACAGGAGAGCGAGGAAGTGCTCAGGGGGTTTCATGTTTGGTAAATTTCGTTTCTCGGTGGGTACTTGAATCCCAAGGCAGGCCGTGGTGGCTATGGTAGATATATGTTACTTGGACATATGACCCGAGACCAACCGCAGGAAACGTGCAAGATGCCAAATGTGCGAGCGCAGTGTGACATCACATTGGACAAGATGTACAGTGAGAACAGGCGTGGATCCAGTGCAGAAATCCATAGCCGGTGCGAAGACACGCGCAGATGGGCAATCGCACGAATCATCCTATCAGGATTATGACGTTACCGTAAATGCAACTCCTGAGATTCGATGCTTCAGACCGGTCAAAACTATATGTGCATCCGCGTGGTAAGCATTACCTGTGGTCGCTTCATAAGATGACGCCCGGCCTCTCCACGCATCGTGACGCAGCCTTCTACACAATAGCTCAACCATGTGGTTCTGGCGAACGAGTCTTTCTGGAATTGGCATTTTGTTGGTAGAGCGAATTTCTGCATGTCAGCGGTCACAATAAGCTCGGCCATCCTGTGTATCGGCATTTGCACCGGTGTAGATGCCGCATGTACAAGGGGAGGATATATTGCTTGCGCGTTTGATGATGTCAGTACACATCGACGACCGCTTATTGTGCATGGCATCAAAACATTGCTCCGTGAGCAATCGCACAGGTGCAGTGGCGTAATGTAGGAACGGCAAGTCTGAGCGCGATGGCCGCAATCAGACGAAAAGACGTAGCAGGCGTAAGGATTGGATCTAGGCTTCAAGAGATAGCGACGGATGCCGTGGTTGGTGGTCGTGGAACCTTATAAAGTCTTGTTGCACTATCTAGGTTTTCGAGGCCAAACGCGTATAAATCTCGATAATTCGGTCTTCCGCTGTATGCATGGCGGATGACGAGCAAAGGCGTGTCGTTCGTCATCGAGGGTTCGCATTCGTTCGTGCGAATGAGCTCAAGAGGGAACGACGCGGCCATGGCTGTGTGCTGACACACCGACCGTTCGGGATGGACAGATCGAGTTCGTTTATGGGTTGTGTTGCAGTCCTGCGATGTCAGTGCAGCGGCCAAACACTAGTCGTACGAGCAGCAGAAGCAAGGGTATGAGGAAACATGCAATTCTTTTGTTGACCAGAATCCCGTCTCCCCGTCTAGGGACGCCACGCTATCGGTACAGACCATGACATATGATACAGGTATTGCACAGAAGCCTGAGTAGAGTGTAAACGCCGACCGCCGTGACAGCGGGATATGCAAAACATCCAGAAAAACCCCCGCCGCCTTTATACATTAAAGCCAAATCTCAAAGGGTGTGTTGTTGAAACGAAGAGTCTAGGCGGCCACGGCCATGCCGCCGCTGGGGGCAGGCGGTGCGGACTGGGCTGGCATGGGCGGCGCCTCGAGCTTTGTGTTGTCGGCCATCATCCTGTTGAAGCCGATGCTGACGCCTTCGATGACGGCGAGCAAGATGGCGCATGATATCGCGCCGTTGCGCATCGACTTGTAGCCTCCTCGTACAGCAAGCGAGCCACCGGTGAAGAAGCCGGCGATAATGGCGTTCCAGGGGTCCTCCTTCTTCCGTATGCCCTTCACGGCGCAGTCGTATGTGTTGAAAAGACCTCCCCAGACTCCGAAGTTGCCGCCGAGCACGGGCGCGCGGGCTTTTATCGCTGTGAGGGCACCGATGCGCCGTTCGCCGTAGGGGGAGTTGCGGAACTGCGCGACAGTTAGGGGCAAGGACGCCAGCAATGGGGCGGCGGGAGCTGCTTACGCCTTTGATGCCATGCCACACTGCACCACCGACAGCCTGTCGCGTTGTTAGCCTGGGAGATGGAGTGGCATTGGAGCGCGTACCCCCATGGCGAATGCGCCGCCGAAGTCATTGAGAATGACCCACGGGCACGGATCTCTTGTGTGGTCCATCGCGAAGTGTGTGGGAAAAGAGAAGCAAGCACGACGGGAGCGCGGACGGGCGTGGCAAGGACGGATGGGATGCTGTGGGCGGGTTGCTGGTGTTGAGTGATGCGCTCAACTTTTCTCGAGCGACCCTGGCCGCTGACGCCAATCCAATTGAATCGGGGCCGCGGCACGTGACAGTCGGCCGGGACCGGGCCGACATCATTGCTTCCACCGCGACGACTGCTCGTCGCATGCCCCGACTTGCTGCACCGCCATGTCAACACTTGCCCAATCCATGTCTTGTGTTCCATGTACGTGCATGCGGCTTGGTTATCCCAGCTCCACGACTCAGCTCAGCGCGAATGCGGGCCTGGACGCTATCACGATGCAGGCTCTTAGGGGAAGGTGAACACCGGCGATATAGCAACAGGTCCAGTGTGAAGCCGTATAGTAACCCAGTTCGCTCCAGCACTGACTGTTATACATACGACTGGCAAAGGCCTCGGCTTGCACTCGGTGTTCATGTCGCCGCGAATGGCAGGCCGTGCAGCCTGCTTTCATCAATGCGAGACCAAAGTTGGACTTCTGTCACTTCGGGTGCGTACTCAACGCCACGACCAGTCGAGCCACGCCTCGTTGACTGGGTCTGGACTCAGGCAGCGCTCCGGGCGGCCACTCACGTGTATCTTGCGCAAGAGAGAGGAAGACTTGGTGGTGAGAACGCCAAGCAGGTGAGAGACGGTGAGCTCCCCTGCCATGAGACCAAGGCGAACGTGAACATCCGCAACTCGCACTCACCTGTCCTTGCCATCTCGATCTTCATGGCCCCTCTCATTTCTTTTGTCCCACTTTCCTGCACGTATGACTCCTCCACACATGTCACACTACATGTTTACGTTCCTCTTGTACAGTCCTCCATAGCCGTCTCTGCACAGTAGCTCAACACAGTGGTCGAGACGGCACCCAGTTTGACGGACTGCCATTCGTTGTTGGCCGGGTGCAGCCTTGGCGCTTTCTATCGTTTGCTTCGACTGCTTCACCACGACTTCAGCGACGCTTCTTGCGCTTCACCGCGGCTTTTGGCGCCCCTCGCTTCGTTTTTAAATCCCACAGTCTCCCCAACTCCCCGCTCTCTCCCTCACTAGTTGCGTACTGGGAACTTTCCACAACCACTCGACGCCGCAATGGGAGGGCCGACGAGAACCACGCGGGGGCGACATCAGCAACAGCCCCCGCAGCTACCACAGCCAAGTTCTGGTACTACAATATTTGACGAGTCCATTGGCGATCTCCTCAGTGATGGGATCGGTTACGCCACGCCCCAAAAGACCGAGACCGTATCTCCTCGTACGGAGCGCTCGCGGCTGAGCCAGTCTTCAGAACCGCTGGCCATTCGGCAGCCCACTAGTACGTATTTCCCACACGTCCTCTTTGCATTGCTGACCTTTCAGATGGCGATGGATGCGACAATTCCCCCGCGACGCTGTGTAGCGAGTCCGATATTCTCGGCACACATATGAAGGAGGTTATCTCAGTCATCAGTCGCTTAGAGGGTCTAGGCCTGCAGCAGCAGTCTATTCCGTTGCCAAAATGCGTGGTCTTGGGAGAACAGTCGTCAGGCAAGTCGTCTGTGATCGAAGCCATCTCTGGCGTTCGCACCCCTCGCGCCGGCGGCACTTGCACACGTTGCCCCCTGTAAGCTATGACAAGTCTCGCTGTAGGAAGCAGGACACTTACTTGACACAGTTTCATCAAGCTGGAGTGTGCCGGCGACCCACAAGCGGGTTGGCATGCTCGAGTTACCTTGCGACTGAGCTATGTATACAAAGGCGTGGCTCGAAGTGCGAAGTTTCCGGGGTGGGAACCGAATATCAATGTTGCAGAAGTACCATTTGCCGCGTGTGACTCTCCAGAAGAACTCGAAGAGGTCATTAGACGAGCTCAATCAGCTCTCGTGCACCCGTTGGAGGATGCGTCGATGTTCGCCCAGGGTCGAAGGCCCCCCTTTGACCCCGAGCAGACTACTAAAGTCAATTTTAGCCCGAACATTGTGTGCATACACTTGTCGGCTCCAACATTACCCAATCTATCGTTCTACGATCTGCCAGGTACGTGTACCCCCATAATCTTTATCGCATGTTTCACTAACATCCTCCAGGCATCATCAGTCAGTCAGAATACCCGGACGATGTCAAACTTGTCAAGCAACTCGTGCAAGGTTTTGTTGAAGACCGAGATGCAATCGTCTTAGTGGCTTGCTCTTTGGCTGCGGACATAGCCACATCTATTGCCTCTGGGTATGCACGTACCAGGTGGGGTGCTGGAGAGCGGTGCATAGGTTAGTTGTGCATGGTCAACATGGTGGCATACGCTAATATCTTTAGGTGTGCTCACAAAACCTGATCTCCTCCCAGCAGGAAGCTCGTATGAGCCGCTACAGAAGGTGTTGAGCAACGCCGAGCTTAAGTTCGGCCACGGATACTTCGTTGTCAAGAATCCCGACCAAGTCGCTCTCAACAATCGGCTCACCCACCACGAAGCACGACTGCACGAACAGTGCTTTTTCACAACCCAAGAACCGTGGTGCACCAGTCTACAGTCCCACAGTGGACGTTTTGGCACTGCCAATCTGCAACAGTTCCTCTCTGAGAAGCTGGCTGGTCAGATGGTGAAGGCGCTTCCAGGGATCTACGAGCAGGTTCAGCTACGCCTGGATGACGTCGAGGCAAAGCTGAAGCTGATACCCGAGCCACCACCAAACTATGGAGCTACGAGAATCATCATGGATCTGATCAACGCGTTCTCATGGCACGTTCAGAAAGAAGTGGAGGGGGCCTATCCTTGCAAAGAGTGGAGAAGCTGTTGGAAAACCTTGCGTGAGGCGTTTCTCGAAGGTCTTGACGCAATGAGACCGACTATGGTGAGGCGCGGTCAGCAGGATTTTGGCCTTTACACCCCCACGCTTGCAGGCAGATCATCCGATGATCCTCTTTATCTGTCGGATGGAGATGAAGATGAATATATGAGAGATAGTGTACTCCCGGAAACACCGCCAAACAAGCGCAAGCTCGACACACCCACGCCCACTTCAAACAAAAAGAGTCGCTTCTCCGTGCCCCCGATCCCTACTCCCGCAAAGACACGGCCGGTTCATGGCGTCGACTACAATGACAAGCGCAAGGTATTCCAGCTTGACGAGGTTTGTGAGCACTTGAGTGCCAATTCACAGTCCAAAATACCCGGCCACATCGAACCGAAAGTGGTGGACGATCTAGTTAAGCAGAGTATTGCTCATTGGAGTGTTCCCATGAGCAAACTCTTTGTTGACCTAGAAAACCGTCTCAAGACCTTCTTCCGCATGAGCTTCGAGCAACACTTCCAGCCGCGAAGAGAAACACGACTCTACATCGAGGCCTGGCGAATTGTGGAGAGCATTTTGGACACCAGTCTGGTGGAACAGCGGACAATGGCCGGCGACGCTTTCAACGATGAGATTGAAGGCCCATACACGTTTCACAAGGCCATCTTTAACGGTGAGAAGAACTCCATGTGTGAGAAGTATCGCAACGCGCGTTTCGACACTCGCCTTAAGGTTTACATGGAGGAGATGGCAAAGGTCGTTGGTCCAGACAAAGTACCCAGCAAGGAAAAGATTCTCAAGAACGAGAGTCTCTGCAGTCGACTCAAAGAGGAGCCGTACGAGGTCGAGGTCGATGTCGTAGCCCAGATCACCAGCTACTATGTACTCGCAGTTCGTCGTTTCCACGACTCCGTCTGCATGCGAGTCGAGTCAAAGCTCTTCACACGCCTGCGATCCAGATTGCGCGACGAGATGGAGGAGACTCTGGGCATACATGACGAGAACGGCACTCGCAAGGCCATGGAGCTTCTCGCAGAGCCATCACAACACGCGGCGCGACGCAAGGAGCTTTTGGCGATGAGGGATGCGCTTGTTCAAGGACGGCGCGAACTCGATGCCTTGTACGAGAAACACGGGAACAAGATCGCTGCTTCCCAAGGCTCACACGGCTACGCGGCGCCCCTCTTTAATTCGTCGGCTTCATTCGGTCCTACCTCCACCCCTCTCACGGACGAGATGCAGGATATCACGCAAAGCGGTCGTCGCCCTTAGCTGTCGTTCAGTGAACCACTCGCTTCCGCGTCGCTGCTTTCTCTACATCTGGTCTCATATCATCGTTCAGCATTCGAGGCGCGGATAAGTGGTCTTTACAGCGACCCCGAGAATCACTACGCGGGAGCTACAGAGCTTCCGAGCACTTTTTGTTCATGGTCGCTTCCTTCGCAATTGGTGTGTGGGAACGTCTGCATCTCTCACAGTCTGCATCTCTCACGAAGATATTTTCTCGAGGCTTTCAAAAGAAACAGTGGTGATGCGAGAGTTGCAGTGCTGCGTGGACTCTGTGTCCTGGGGATGCCGTCTCAAGGTAGGCAATACCTGGAAGCTTTTTGGCAACGACCGTTGCTGTACCTGCTTACCGCATCATTGAGGCGGCGTCCTAGCTGCATCGCAACGGGTCAAGGGTCTAGTTTCTCAGTTTGGAATTTGATTTCAATTCTTGATATGTAGGTAGCTTGAGCACATTCAGCCGCAAATCATCTGGCGCTCAGCAGCCTACGTCCAGCTTACTAGAACACCCTAACCACGTGAAATGCCGCAAACCAAGTGTAAGCTCCACCTACCCTCTGCCTGTCCGTAAGTACAAACCACGCCATCGCGCACGCTGACTCTGGCCCATTGTCCCAGGCAGGATAAAGCGTCAGCGCCGATGGGCAGCGACGCCCATTTAGGCTGTTTACCATAGTAACATGCTCTGGACGTGCCGAGGCTCTTTGCTTGCTCCTCCGCAGTACTCCAACGACTCCACATGCCCCAACTCCACACTAGCCGATCGTCATCTTCAACTGTGTCTGGTATTGCGTCTGGACCGCGCCCGACTCTCCGCGCTGTCTGACACATGGCGAAGCCCAGCCCGAGCTACCAAGCAAGACCTAGATTCCAAATCTTTTTGCCCTATTAAAGCTCCGGCAGCGAGCTCGACGACCTGATACTCACGCGCCCACGACCGTGGAGTCGTTGTACAACCACCCCTCACCCTCCTCGCAATGGCGACCCTCGGCAACGTCCTCGCCACACAGCCCTTCAAAACCCTCTACGTCGTCGCTGCGCTCCTTGTCAACCTCGCCAAGCTCCCCTTCTGGATCGCAAAGTACACGCTCGTCCGCCAACACCCCGCATGGAGCTTCCGCCAGGCGCTCGCGCTGCGCATGACGCGCGCCTTCATCTCCGTTGTATCGGTGGTCCGGATGCGTACGCCGCTGCCGCTCACGCCGGGTAAGGAGGGCGCGCGGTTCGCAGTGATTGCGCACAGAGCGGAAGACGCGGGCAAGTTCAAGGGGCCGATGCTGGCGAACGCGCAGACGGTGCAGCCCGGCGACGTCGGCGCGACGTGGTATCCCGCGCGGCTGGAGGCTGGCGGCGTGGCGGCGGACACGCGGGTGCTTGTGCACATCCACGGCGGGGCGTACGTCGTTGGCGACGGCCGCACAGAAGCAACGGGATACCTGGCGCGCAGTCTGCTGAAGCACACGCCCGCGACGCATGTCGTGTGCCCGCAGTACCGCCTGTCAACGCTGCCGGCGGGTCCAGCGTCGAACCCGTTCCCCGCCGCGCTCCAGGACGCGCTGACGGCGTACCTCTTCGTTCTACACGAGCTCAAAGTGCCGGCTGAGAGGGTCATCCTGGGCGGCGACTCGGCGGGCGCAAACTGCGCGATTGCCCTGCTACGCTACATCGATGCGTATGGCGGCGAGCTCGACATACCGCCGCCCGGCGCCGCACTTCTGTGGAGTCCCTGGATCAATCCTACCGACGGGGACACGTCGTTTGTGCGGACAAATCCGCACTATGGATCCGACTACATCGAGCCGTCCTTCACGTCGTGGGGCGTGTGTGCGTTCGCGGGGCAGGATCCGCCGCTGGCAGGGCCGAGCATCATCGCGAGCAACCCGTATGCGAATGCGAAGGTGAGTGGGTTCCGGACGCCGGTGCCGCTGTATGTGAACGTGGGTGGGGCAGAGGTTCTGTACTTTGATGGAAAGGAGTGGGCCGAGATGATGAGAAAGGAGGGGAATGCGGTGCATCTGGATATCACCGAGGGAGTTTGTCATGATTTGTTCATGGTGGCTGGACTCGTAGGGATGGAGAAGAAGGCGACGGAGATGGCGAAGAGTGCCGGCGAGTGGCTGCGGGGTTTGACAAGAAAGTAGAGAAGATGGGAGAGATATCGACGCGTGTACACGGTAGCAACCTGCGTATCGTTTAGCAAACTTGATGAATGTAGACTACAAGGGCCAATGAAGTCTCAAGGTATGGGCATTCCGAAATAGAAACTGTTCTACAATATCCCTGTTTTTTGTTATACCCGACGCCACTCCCATACCGCTTAAGCCTGGGCCTTAATGAGCCTGGTCCCTAATGAAGTTGTCGCGGCCGACGGAGAAGCCGCTCGCACCAGCCTCTAGCTGCTGCAGGCCGTATTTCTTCAGGCGGATGCTCTGGATGGCGATAAAACCGGTCGTGTCCATGGGGCTGAAGTTGTCCAGGGTGTCCATGGACGCCTCCTCCTCGCTGTACAGCTTTTCCGTCTGGCTTGATCGTCCGAGCACATATGTGTTACCCTTGTAGAGGCTCAGCCTCACCTCGCCGTTGACGCGCTTCTGGCTGAAGAGCAGCGAGTTCTCGACGAACTCGCGCTCGGGGCTGAAGTACATGCCGTTGTAGAGCTGGTAGCTCCAGCTGTGGGAGACGAACTGGTCGCGGAGGGCGCGGACCTGGGCGTCCATGACGAGACCCTCAAGATCGAGATGGGCGAGGCGGAGGATGGTCATGGCGGGAGAGTCGTAGCAACCACGAGACTTGAGGCCGATGAAGCGGTTCTCGACGATGTCGATGCGGCCGATGCCGTGCGTGTAGCCGACCTTGTTGAGGAACTCAAAGAGCTCGACACTGTCGGTGTAGGTCTTGTCGCCGGCCACGACGGCGATCGGGATACCCTTCTCGAACTTGATGGTGATGTTTTGGGGCTCGTTGGGGGCGTTGAGCGGCGAGTCGGTCATGGTCCACATGTCATCCGGGGGCGACTTGTCGGGGTCTTCGAGGATACCGGCTTCGTAGCTGCAGTGTGCAAGGTTTGCGTCCATGGACCACGGCTTTGCCTTTGTGGATGTGACGGGGATGTTATGCTCGGCGGCGTAGTCGAGGAGGTCCTGGCGGCCCTTGAATTTGTCGCAGAACTCGGGCAGCCTCCAGGGCGCGATGACCTTGATTGAGGGCTGGAGTGTGTAGCTGTTCCATATCAACACTGCTTGCACGCCAATGTACCGTCTGGGTAGAGATTCACTCACAATGCCAACTCGAATCGCACCTGGTCGTTGCCCTTGCCTGTGCAACCGTGACTCACCCACCCGCACCCTTCGTCCTGGGCAACCTTGATTTGCGCACGCGCAATGACGGGGCGAGCGAGACTCGTACCGAGCAGGTAACGGCCCTCATAGCTGGCGTTGCACTGGACCGCGCGGAAGCACAGCTCTTCGACGAATTCCCGGCGAAGGTCAAGTATAACCTAAAACACACACAATCAGTCTCTCATTCTATGGACAGCAAAGGGGCCTGGAAGCAATCATACCATCTTCAACGCGCCGATCTTGAGCGCCTTCTTCTCTACCTCCTCCCAGGGCTCATCCTGTCCGACGTTGGCAAGGAAGCACACGACCTCGTAGCCCTCCTCTGCCATCGCTTAGCCTGCATATTTCCTCAGTGCGTTGTGATGCCTACCGATAAGCCATTTCAAGATGGTCGAGGTATCAAGACCGCCTATGAGTCAATGTCAGTCGCGCACCCCTCTATCGTCCCACACTCAACAAACGTCATCGCAGGACCAGAGTTCGACGGAGAGACGCTCACGTACCAGAGTAGGCGAGACAAACCCTTCCCTTGGCCATTGTGTGCGAATGGGGTATATGTCGAAATTTATTAGGGTTCAATGGCAAGAAGAAACGTGGAGACTGCAGATACACGGGCTGTTGGCGGCGGTGGGGCACCTTTTATCTCTCCGCTATCAACAGTCACCGCCAGAAATTTTGGTGGTCAAAGCTTCCAACGTTCCGATCTTCGGCTTAGTTGCTGGCGCTGTACCCCTGTTGTGCACCCCGTAAGGCGCACGACGTACGATTCCGTCATGGCGCAAGACGCTCTCAGTGGATTGGTGAGTCAGTCACTGTCTTCTTGATGTCTCGAGATATGCATTGCCAATTGGTATCGTAATAAGATGGTCAACGTCGCCAAAGCCGAAAACACCTCCTATGCATCTAAAAAGATCCAAAGCCCTAACCAACGCCATGCATGCCATGTTCGTATCAACAAGTATACAACCCGCCCAATATAGACAAAAAGATATGTGAAGCTAGCATCCACAGAATGTCGTGGTTTACGCGAACTAGTGAGCAGAATCAAAAGAGCAAGAACCAGCATGTAGATCGTAGGACGGGGTTTTAGATGCCACCAGCGACTCGTTCTCGCTGGTAAAACACGACATAGGCCTTCTCCCGGTCCTCCGTTGAGATCTGCGTCGGCTCAAAGTCTCGTATGCGGTCGTCATTAAAGTTCCGCCAACAACCCTTCGCTTGATCTTTTGCGATGGCTGTGTAATGTCCGCTACCCAGCGTTGCACCGTGATGGAAAATGATTGCATACGCGTTGTACATATAAGGCGGATTCATCGCTGGGTCCGTTTTCAACTGAGGCAGCAGGTCATTGGTTTGTGCGTGAGTAGCACGCGCTCTTGCTTCACCTTCAGGTGTGATGGGTGGCTCCATGAAGGGTCCCATGTCCAGGCCCTGCAGCGGGAAGTGCACCGGGGTGCGGACCTTTCTCGCGGCTTGGCCATGCGAGGCGCTGAACCGCTTGAAATGGACAACTAATGTGTCCGGTGCGCGTGTGAGAGTTATCTTCTTGGTAGCTTCGCGTTGCTTCTTGCAGCGTGGACACTTCCACGTATCAGACGAATCGAGTGTCTCTACAGAGCAGTAACTGCGTAAACAATCTCGGATATCGCATGCCCTATCTTGTCGTATCTCTACGCTGATACTCCAGAAGGCTTCGTAGGTGGTGCTTGTGATCCCGCACTTCTTGCACGTGAGCTGTGAAGCATGCTGTCCAGCGAAAAGGTTTCCAATCAAAGAGGCGTTGCGATGCAGGTAACGATTCCATTCGATCTTCGCAGCGTATGGTCGTGGGAGTTGTTCGCGGGCCATCTCCATCTCTTCTGTCAGATCGCGAAGCGGCGCTTTGTCATATACCGTGTTCAGATCTTCGTGCATCATGTCGAGGACAAATTCGAGGAACTCTTTTGCATCTTGTTGCTCGTCCAGTTGCCAGGTTTGGTTGAATCGCCCACATACTTTCTGCGTCGCCGGTCAGTGTCATGTTCGTGGAACATCGAGAAGAGGGCTTACCCGAAATGTAGATGGCCGAATGGCGGAAGTGTCGCCTTTGTACAAATTTGAGAGGAGCGTGGCGTATGCTTCGGGGAGGATTCCTTCGGTGCCCTTCCAGTTGCGCTTCTGCAGATATTCTGCATACCGCCCACTGAGGAACCAGTTGGTGAGGTTAGGATTGGCACTCAGACACTGAACCACCGAGTTCATGTAGCAGGTTACGCCGAAATTGATTAGACCAGTCCTGTGAAGACGATTTGATGCACCCCGGCCACTTGACACATAAACCGGTGGTTGATTACCGCTGGATTGGCGAGTAAGCTGCCGTTCGTGAACTCCCGTGTAGCTAGGCCTAGGAACAGATGGCGCTGGTCGTGATGGCGCAGGAGGTATCGGAGGCTGGACATACGGGCTCGCTTGTTGCGGTCGTGGTGGAGGGTACATCATCGATTGTTGGTCTTCCAAGTCTGGGTATCTCCGCAAGAAGTCCTCAGTCGTCCGATACATGGGCGATTCGGCATCGTCTTCATCCTCCTCCTGAGGGGGCTGCTCTACGACAGCTCGTCCCCGTCTTGCTTCTTCGAGCAACCTATTCTGTTCGTCTAAATCCATTGGCGTGTAGTCGCGCCGCCCTGAGGTCTTTCGGCTCTGTGTCAAAATACGTGTCGGGCGGGGCGCGCGTCTTACTGGATGCGTTCTCGTCTGCCCGCTAGCGACCAACGCTGCGGTCGATGTCATCTTCAGCGCTTGAGTGCCGACCAATTCAGCCCAGGCATCGATACCTCCCATCAAGAAAATAGGTGGCCGTTGTAGAGGCTTGTCATGGTTGAATTCGTGCAAAGTCTCGTACATTTGCTTTAGCGGCCGTTCGCGTTCATTCGGATTATACTTGTTGAGAAACGAATTTGTTTTTGTAGACTCATCATAGTAGACGACCAGGTCAAACTCATGACGCCGCTCGAATAAGGCCAACTCTTCATCGGGCGAGATTACCAGTCGTTCCTGAAGCTGTTCGGCAGAGAAACCATCCTGGAGACTGGCTGGCTCCACACACATGATAGTGTGAATAAAGATGTGGCCTGCATCGAACTCTTCCCTGCTCCGGACATCGATCAAGAGAACGTTGTACATCCGGATGTAGTCATACAGCTTTTCAGCAGTAATTTGGCTCTCCGCGGGCTTAGTCACGGACTTTCTTCTCGACGATAAATCCACTGACGCATTGGCGGGTGCTGGAAAGTAGCTGTCGGATTGGCCATTCGCGTTGGGTGCTTGGTACGATGCGCTAGAGGCGATAGAGTTATTGCGGCCGCCCGTGCCGACCATGCTCCTTGGTGTACTACGGGGAGGGTTGATGTTGCCGGGCAGAGAAAGGTTCCGCGCGGGGCTGTAAGTAGGGCTTGGCTCTTTCGGCAGGGACGCTGCCCACTGCGTGTTGAGCGCTATTGGGGGTGGGGGTGGAAGATGGGTTGGTGGAGGCATATCACGTGGGCCTCGAGGATGGGACGAGTAGTCTGAAGGCGAGGGCATCTTCACCGAGAGGTCCATGCTTGAGCGTCCAGAAGACGTATCAATTGGTGCAGCAGTACCTCTGAGTTTTGCGAATCGTTCGCTCAAGTCATTGACGGTTACGCCGTTGACGGAAGAGGTACTCTGGTGAACAGCACGACCATGCAATGATTGAGGTTTTGGATGGACGGGCGGCTTTCGCCGTGGGGATTCTAGCGGAACTGCTGGAGCTGAACGACCAACGGGCGGGCCAGGAGGCACGTCGGGAAGCATGAGCTCATCGTCACGTCGGGCACGGATGCCGTTGGTCTGTTGAAGCTTAGAGCCACATCTTCACAAAAAAGCTGGGGTCAAGCATACCGAAGTGGGGCGCGAGGAGGGCTGTGAAGGCAGATGCTGGGCACCATTTCGTTTATTGTCGTTGGTGATAATGTTCTTGATATTCGTGAACCTGTCCTCATTCGCTCCGACTTCCTACTTTGATCAGTTGGGCGCACGAAGGCATGAAAGGCACGGTGCGGACCTTGAGGACCTGATTGAAATCTCGATGTAGCTGGCCGCGGGCGGTTTCGACGCGGTCAAGATAGTCTCTGTGGCGTGGGATGACGTCGACAACAAGCTTGTAGGCAACAAGATACTCCCAGAAAGCAGCAGCGGGTGACTGACGGCCCTGGATCGACGTCACGGCCTGGGTCATGTGGTATCTGGCTTGTTCAAGAAGATGGCCAATCTGTAGGCGCTCAGCACGGCGCTGGGGAGGAAGCAAGGTGTACCTACCGTCAGGCTTCTCATCTCATTCGCCTTCTCAGTCGCAGAGGCGGTGATTTCGGCGATGGGCGGGAAGGGGCCGCCAGCACCACCCGCATTGCTGCCCCTCCAGCCATCTGCACCATGGCCCGAGCCGTTCATAGCATATGAGGGGCGCAGACCGGGTGGAGGCAAGGGAGCAGCGGCACTCATAACCGCAGCCTATGCGCACGGCCCGTCTCGCATGGTCGGGGCGCTCTCGGGGGAGAAGCGGTGCGTGGTCGTGCGTGTCGGTCTGGAGCAGCGCGCGGGGAAGACGTTGGCGGACTGGCGGGCTGCGTGCGGAGCGGCTCGGGGGCGGTAGCGAACAGTGGGCGTCGCAGAGGGGTGAGAATGGCGACCGGGGGACGGGAGGCAGCGAGTGTGTCCGAGGCACGCTGTGGCAGCAGTGGCAGCAGTGGCAGCAGGTGGTGCCGCGTCTACGTGTTGGGCGGCGCAACTGTGGAAGTGCTTTGGTCTGCGCGCTCGGCCCCAGCGGTGGCAGGGCCGCTTGATTACGTCGCTGCCAAGGTCAACTTAACGCAGCCAACAGCGCCCGAAGCACAGCTCCAAGCTGCCTCCAGGCAGAACACACACCAACACACACACCCGCACCACGCATCCCCCGCCATCCGTCGCCAGGTACATGCCACGGCCGCGGCACGGAAACCCCACGGCCTACCCTCGACGAGCCACGACGGCACTGCTCGCGCGCCCGCGTCTCGGCAGCCATGGCGGGCTGGTTCGGCACGTCCTCGAACAGCGCCCTCGATGAGCAGATTGAGCGCGCCACGTCCTCGAGCTTGTGCGTCCCAAGACACAGCTGCAGCAAGCTGTCCCGGGTGCTGCCAGAGCGTTGCTGACTTCGTGCAGGGAGGACATGCCCCTCAACCTCGAGATATCCGATGTCATTCGCTCCAAGACAGTGCAGCCTAAAGAGGCCATGCGCGCGCTGAAGCGCCGCATTGGAAACAAGAACCCTAACGTCCAGCTGGCCACCCTAAACGTACGACACCATCCGACTCTGACCACCTTCGCTTGCTGACCGGCACAGCTTACCGATACCTGCGTGAAGAACGGCGGCTCCCACTTCACCCAGGAGATTGCCTCCCGCGAGTTCCTCGATAACCTCACCTCGCTTCTCAAGGCCCCCGGCGCCGTTGCGCCAGACCAATCCGTAAAGAACAAAATGCTCGAGCTGATCCAGTCGTGGGCACTCGCCGCCGAGGGAAGGAGCAGCCTGAGCTACTTCAACGAAGTGTACTATTCTCTCCAGCGAGAAGGCTTCCGCTTTCCGCCAAAGGAGCACATCGCTAGCAGCATGCTGGACAGCAGCGCGGTATGCTTACATTGCCCTTGCCCTCTGCTATGTGGTCCGGTACTGACCCAACTGTAGCCTCCAGAATGGACCGACTCAGATGTCTGCATGCGATGCCGAACAGCCTTCACCTTCACAAACCGCAAACACCACTGCCGGAACTGCGGAAACGTCTTCTGCGGGTCTTGCTCGAGCAAGAGCATTCCGCTTCCACATCTCGGCATCATGGACCCCGTACGCGTCGACGATGGGTGCTACGAGAAGTTGATGAATAAATCCCGAGGTACCCCGGCCCCAAGAGGCTTCGATGCCACCAAACCCAGCCACACTCTATACCAGGGGTCCATGGAGCCGCGAAATCCTCGTGTCGAGGACAGCTTTGATGCCGACTTGAAGCGAGCGCTGGAAATGAGTCTGGAAGACGCAAAGGGGCACAGTGGAGCCGGCTTCGTGCCACAGTCGCAATTGCAGTCACAAAAGTCGCCGACTACGAATGGAACTTCAAAACCAGCTCCAGAGGAGGAAGACGATCCAGACCTCGCTGCAGCTATTGCTGCCTCGTTGGCAGATATGGAGGAGCAGAAGAAGCAACATGCAGCCACTCTGCGGAAGCAAACATCTGTGTCCAACGGCGCACCTATTGTGGCACCCAAGAATGATTACGAATTGACGCCGGTAGAGGCCGAGAACATAAACCTGTTTTCAACTTTGGTGGACCGACTACAGCATCAGGCACCTGGAACGATATTGCGGGAACCACAGATTCAAGAGTTGTATGAAAGCATTGGGAAATTGCGACCAAAACTTGCGCGGACTTATGGCGAGACCATGAGCAAGCACGATACCTTGCTGGACCTACACGCCAAGCTGTCAACCGTCGTACGTTACTATGACCGGATGCTTGAGGAGCGCCTGTCAAACACGTATAACCAGGCTGGCTCAATGTATGGCTTGCCACCTGCTAACCAGCGCCCCGCCTCCACTTTATACCCCAGCATCCAGTCTGGGGCCCCGTCCGACCCTCAGGCTGGCGAAAACTTCTACACTGGAAATGCGGACCCGTACGCCCGTCCACAGTCCTTCTATGGTGGCGGTTACCATCAAACACCACAGCCGTCGTACACACCGTCTGCTCCGCCCCCCGACCAGTACCAGCAGCCAGCACAACCATATCCCAACCTGTCACAACCACCCCCCAGCACAACCTACCAAAGCCCTGCGTCTCCCCAGCTCCAACGACAAGTGTCCAATCAACAATACCCCCCACAGCCTCACTCGGCCTATCCGCCGCAGGCGCCCCCATCAACAGTCTCCGACGCCGAAAGCGCAAATTACTACTACGGCGACACCAACGCAGCCCCGTCTGCTCCGCCCGTGCAGCGCACGCAGAGCTTCACCTCACAGGCGGCTCATGGGCCGGCCCCTTCATCGCCGGAAATGTACCGCGCGCCTCCAGCGCAGACGCCCCTCTCGCCGCCCACCCAGCCCGCCGCCGCCCCGCAGAATTCTGCCTATTACCAACAGGCCCCGCCACAGCACAAGCAGCAGCAGCAGCAATGGCAACAGCCCGCGCAGGCTCCTGGCCAGACAACCTGGCAGCCGGCGCCGTACGCGCAGGGCGGCTACGGCCCCGAGAGTTTCCCCCCACCACCGCAGCACCAGCTGCCCGCCCAGCAGAAGACCATTGACGAGCCGCTGATCGACTTGTGATCTGCGCGCGCGAAACTTCACGCGGAGGTCCCCCCGCTGGGAACCCAGAAGGCGTTGATGCATTGCATTGCATTGCATGGCCGATTCGAGGCGCTGCCGCACTGGGATGGAAACAGACACACAAACGCCTGCTTGTGGATTCGCCGGCCTGCGTGCCGGCGCGTCAGGTATGTCGGCTGGGTGCAACGTTGGTCGTGCGTCGCGTGGAAGACTTCCGAGATATGGATGTCCGCAGGTCATGTACAGTTGCATGAGCACGAGATGGAGATAGATACCCTCGAGATAGCCCAAAACTACGAACGTGTTTTCGTGACAGATAGAGTCGGGCGCTGCTTGGTGAGCTGGTGTGACCAACGCCGTTACAACGTGCTGCTATGATAAGACACTTGAACGATTCGATCCGCAGATTTGAATTCGGTGTTGATGTCGGACGACGTAGCCGCCTCTCTGTATAGTATTCTATCCACAGCCCCGTACACATATGTACTTGCACACTTCCGTACCATCCCCGCTTTCCGCTCTGTTTATATATAGCCCGGTTCCCTAGAAACACCCGCCGACTCCGAGCCCCTCGTCTAAAGGTGACTATGCAATGATGAAGAGAGAAGAAAAAAAAACGAGCCACGCCGGTCTGAAAAATAGATCCTCGAGCTCTGCAGGAGAGCGAGGTTGGAAACGTGGTATCGACGCGAGTGAAAAGCGCTAAAAATGCTGCGCCGGGTCGGACATGGGCCGGAGAAGCAAATGTATACGAATTAAACCTCCCGGAGGGCACGAAAATGTAAAAAAAATTCGAAAGCTCCAAAGTTGCCAATGCGGAAGAGCGTCGCCTAAAAAGACAATTCTTTTGGGTATGGACGTCGACACATTACGCCGTCAAGATAGCAAAAATTCTGGGATCGAGATCCGGTGCTCAGGTATATGAGCCACTACTCGTATCACCCAAACGCTGCATAGGATGGGGGGGTTGTCCCTCAATTGCTGGGGAGACCACCAACGAATGTGGCGGCAGATCTGCGAAAGCGTCTTGGTGCAACTCTCGCGGCGCGGCGACCTTCGCTCTTGAAGCCCGGTCTGGCCAAGCCACGCGAAGGGGGGCGGGAGACGTGCCAGTTCGAGGCGGCACTCACACGTACTCAGGCCAGTAGTTGTATGGCATCAAACTGGGCCCGGTCCATTTTTCGCCGTAGAGATTTACGCGTTCGCCAGCGAAGAAACCATCCTGTGCTTGCTCGAGAACTGACAGCCAGGAAGAGGGTTCGGGGTGTTTGAGCCACTGATTCGATGTTAGCATTGTCCTAGGCTGTCCCATATCAAAGCGTGGTTTTTTGCAGAACGCGGGGGCGGAGAACGCGACTAGCGCGACGCAAAAGAGTTTAGCTCACCTGGTTGTGGATGTGGTACGTCCAAGCGCCACGGAAGAAATTCTCGAGGGTGCGGTTGTTGGGAGGGAATTTGTCCTCAGCCAGTACGTAGTCTGCGACAACACCAGCATGGCGCAACTCCACCTCTTCATCCAGAGTCGCTTGGAAGGAGTCCACGTGCTCGGGTTTAGACGGTGCCGAGGCTGAAGCAGGCACATTCTCGTCGTCTTCGCGACCTCGCTTGCGCAGCTCGTTTGACTGCGCCTCCTTGAAATTAACTACCTTCAACTGGGGTCCATCGTAGCTCTCCCATTCGTCCTTGAGTGCTCCTTCTCGACCTCTGAAAGCAGCACCGTAATCCCGCAGACACGGAACAGTGCACCGCCCTTCGCGGTCCCAGTTAAACTCAGTCCAGATGGGATCAAACGCGGCGGTTTCAAGCATCAGAAACTCCTGGTCACGGTTTTCCTTCCAGGCCATGCGGCCCAATACTCGCGGATGGAAGTTTAGACCCATGCGAATTCCACCGTACAGCATGTAAGCTGAGATGGAGGAGTTGGCTGTGAGTGACATGATGGCGGTGTTGTAGTCTCCAGGATGTGGGTGGGCAGCCCAGCGCTCAGCAAAGGCATGCTCTTTGGGGAGGAGAAGAGGGCGCATGTCTCTGAGCATCAGCACATCCATGTCAAAGTAAGCCCCGCCGTGAATGTGCAAGACGACGAATCGAACCGCATCTGACACAGCCACGGGCAAGAACGTCATTTGTTTTGGAGTCAACACAAGCCACTGTTGTCCATCCTTGTCCTCGACGATGTTTTCGGCAACGACTTTCTCGCCCTGGGCATTTGGTCTCCCGGGAGTACTGTAATAGCCGTAGCCGTTCCTGTTGTCCTCATCCTTGGGAAGCGGGATTCTCGAGGGAAACTTCCAGGCTTTGAGCACTACGTCACCGCGCTCGACGAATGGCAGGAATCTGGCGAACAAGGCATCCTTGTTGAGCATGTCATCCACCGCGTGCGGATTTCGGTCACTGTCAAGCCAGAGCCAGAGTCGTGAGCAGGCCAGGTTCTGAGTGTAGAGATAGCTCTTGATGAAGACTTCGACACGCCAAGTAGCAGGACCGGTCCAGTAGACATGGTAAGGGACAATGGGACCAGGGCAAGTGCCAATTTTTGAGCCATTGGCTGGCTTCGCTTGCTCCAGGGAGACGTACTTGGTCAAGGTTCTGCCATGGCCGTCGGCATCCACGTATTCTGCTTGGCGGGGATCCTGAGCACTCGCGCGGTCAGCGGGCTCTGGGAGGCTGTAGTAGCGGGCCTCGTCGTTTGCAAAGAACTGCAGGCAGTCGAAGACATTGCGCATCTTCTCGATGCCCGTGTATGTGCCTCTGCATTCCTCGACCAGCATGTGCAGGTCGGCCTCGGTGTCGACGTGAGGGCGTGGTCCCATGTAGTCGTCCTTGGCCTCGACGGCGCTGACGGGGCGGTTGAAGACGTTGGCGTGGGGGTTGATGGTGACGGTCTTGGTGGAACTGGCAAACTTGACCTGGACTCCTGACTTTGTTGTCTTGATCAGCTCAGTGGGCCCCGTCTTGTCGAGGAAGGCTGGAATGCCGAGTTTCCCTTTGGCGCCCACGGTGGGGTCGCTCACTAGGGTTATGATTCCATAGAGTATGGCATAGACTCCAGCTGCCAGCACCAGGTTCTTCAGCAGCACGAAGAAGGCCCTCGTACGCGAACTCTCGGGCATGGCGGCGGTGGCCAGGGGGAGCTCCCCGTCGCGGCTGAGTCCAAAGACTACCGAAGGTTCTCCAGGACTGGCTGTTCTCCAGGACTGGCTGTTCTCCTGTGGGCGTGTGGTGTTGGTAGGGGTGGCTGTGGGGGCGGTTGCAGGGCGAAAGGAGGTTGCAGGTTGGCGCGGCGGACAGCGAGAGACGCGGGCCCAATTGCGAGGGCGGCAGAAGGTATTCAAGAGATTGTTGGACGGAGAGAGGAGGCAGGAGCGGCGGTGGACGCTGGAGGGCGGGTGGCAGTGCTCGTGCGCAGGAGGCCGATCAGGAGTCGCGTCGCAGTCGCAGTCGCAGTCACGGTCGCGGCAGACACACCAAGCACAGCAGGACAGCGCACCTGTGCAGGAACAGGGAGAAGAAGGAGAGAGGGGACGGCCGAAGGAGAGGACGGCACCAGCAGAGGCGTGGACAATCGACGAGGGACCAGGCGCTGTACTGGCTGGGCAGCGCAGATTTGACGGCGGGCGTGCAATTGGGCACGCTGGGGAGGGTTTCCGACGCCGCTTGGCTGAAAGCGCCCTGCGCTCGAGCCACTGCGCGCCGCCCGTAAAATTAGACCGCCCCGCTTGTCGCGCCTTCCCCTGGCGGTGACCCCAAGGCCAGAGCGACCAGACGCAACGAGCCCGCGGCTGCCATCCGACTGCAGGCTGCAGCCGCACTGCAGCACGCCGACCTACAACACCGCGCCAGCCTCCGCCTCGCCGTCTGCAACGACCCCCCGCGCGACGGCCTCGCCATGCGCCCTCTGCTGCGCCCGTGGACTGCCCGTCGCAGCTGCTGGCCCGCCTCGCGTCAGTGTCGTCGTGCGTGCCCTCTCGTCCCAGTGCGCCTGTTCTCCGCCGCCCATGCCCTGCCCCGCTGCGAGCACATTGCCGTCCCGTCTCGGTCCAACGGCTCCCTCAGCGTCGAGTAAGTGGCTTTGCTTTTGCCTATCCGAGTGCGTAGCCTCGTCTACCGACTGTTCTTGGTTCTGCGTGCTGCTGCAGCCTCTGCTGTACGATGACCTCACACGACGCGGCTCGCATGCAGCCCCACGACTTGTTTGTCGCACCTAGCCATTGTTTGCGTGGTCCCCAGAGTGACCGCGCTGCCCCCACTGCCGCACCACTGCAACTCGCAGAGTACTGCTGCACGCAAGGACGGAAACACCACACCCCATTCACATGAGCTACGCACTGAATACTACCCTCTCCAGATGGGAAGGCCAGACTCGCAACGGACAAGAGTATCAGCACCTGACTGACTGAGACCCCGCTAGCGTTTTCCATTCGTCAACACCCTCGTCTCCAGTCTTGATCTACCTGCCACCCGGTCCTGTCATACCTGAGTCTGCAGAGGAACAAACCCGTATCATCTCAACGCTTTGCGCGACAAGCGGTGCGACAGTTGCGAGACTCAACTTCCGGGCGTCGTCCCAACACCAATTTCCAACGCCCGTTCACGATGCGCTACTAGGCTACGACTGGGTCCGCCAAAACTTACTTCAGGATGGATTTTCACGGCCAATCATCGGTCACGTAGGTGTCTGCGGAGAGCTTGTAGGCGGTTCGTTGTCTGTGATGCTTGCTCTGACAGAATGTCGCCCTGGTGAAAGCCGTATCACTGCCGCCGCCGTCAACAACCCTATAGTAGACTGGGTGTTCCCAGATGACCTACCCACCGTAGCTGAGGCAGAGCTCCTCGAGCCTGCAGCTCCAGACGAGACCGCAATGCTTGCTGATGAGGATCCCATGGCCTTGACCGATCGCAGCCAACCTGACTCTCATACTAACCGCACTATGAAAGATCGAAAGCGATCAGCAAAACCACTTCGGTCTAACGCCTGGCAGCTGTACGGTGAAGATGACTCTATTCCCACAGTCACGTTGTCTGCTGAGCGAGATGTGCTCTTCCGCAGACAAGAGGATGTCTTCGATCGATTTGCATCCCCAATCCACTTTTTCCGCTCTCCGCACGGTCTGCTGTTGTATCCTAAGCAGGATGATGTTTGGGCTTCGGAGCAGCCGGACAACGCTATGGATATTGAAACTCGGATGGACCTGAGCCATTACCAGTCCCACCATCTCTCACCGTCAACCCCTGAGTTGCCAGTGCTTGCTAGGTGCCGAGCATACGCGCGCATCTACCCGCCTGCCGGCTCAAATTTGAATTTACCAGAATGGCGAATCTCCGCGGGATCCCAGAGTCCATTGTTAGACCAAGCATCAGAGTTGGCTAAGATGATCAGACGAAGCGTGGCTCGTCATACTTTGAAGAAGAGGATGGGCCGCATAAGGTGGCAAGATACCACCGAGAAGGAGTATTACGATGACTTCGCAAACGGCAGGGTAGCTCTGGACACCTTTGCCGGTGCTGGCCTGTGGGCAGATCAAGCAAACAACGAGCAGTGGGAAGCACAGGTGGAGCAAACGGGTCAATGGATGAAGGAAGTTCTGAAGCCCGAGTTCACTTGATACACGCAAACACAATCTAACATGGTATAATTCAAAAGCACGATAATCTTGCAATCAAAACCGGCTCAATCGATCGTGAGGAAATCAGCAGGAAGGATGTCCGCAGGATCCAGTTCGGCCCGACGATAAGCTTTCCGTAGCTCGAAATTGGCCAACGTTTCGTCCCAGTCTTCGTCCAGCCCAGACTCTTGCGCAATGAGAAGGATCTCCTTGTCCAATTCGATGTACTGAGAATCAGGCGCCTCGATCCGCACAACAGGAACATGAATTGTTGTCAGCAGCCTAGTGCCCATCAGCCAGTCTGCGACGGTCCCCCACAATCGATCAATTCTTGCCCCTTTTCGCAGGATTCGGTCACCCTTGAAAGGCAGAAAAGCTCTGATACAAGATGTTGCTCCCATCTCCCACGGCACGCTGCGGTCTGGCTCAGCCTTTGACCAATGCACCGTCAGCTCGAGTGGTCTATCCTCACCACCTACCCATTCCTGCCCCGACACAGCGACCCGCCATCGCGCCGCGCGTCTCAGGTTCTTGCTACGGCATAAATGGTAGACGAACTGGATGTAATTGTCGTCCATCCTCCTCCTCGCCTTCTCCTTTGCATCCGTGACAGCTTCCTCTTGAATCATCCACCCCCGCGCGCGCGGTACCACAAACTCAAAAACACCGCACTTCTTGCTCTGCTTCCAAAGCCGACATGTCCACCATCCCCACGGACCCAGTCCTCCTTTCCTCACCTCCGTCGTCCGGAGCCCTCCGTCCTGGATGAACAGAGGAAAGATGCCCATGCGCACGAGCTTCTGCAGCGCAGACTTGTCCTCCTTGTCGCGCAACGAGCGCGCGTTGCGACCCCTCCACATGCCATCGCCGGGGATGCAGTCGCGAAGCCACAGGGAGATGAGTGAGGACAAGACCCAGTGGTCGCGCGTGTTCCAGAGGCTCCGGAACGTCTGGCGGGCGCTTGCATGCTTAGTGCGCGCCTCCAAGTACGCGGTGAAGGTACGGCTGTGGGTCACGAGCCACGCGACGTAGAGTACGAGGGGCACGGAGAGGACGAGGCATGCCCAGAGGCTGGGCGTGGTGCTGGCGAGAGCAGTGTGGACGCCGGGCCATAGGCACAGATTGAACGAGGGCCAGCTCATCGTCGCCTTTATGCGGGTCACGGTGATGTTGTGGACTTCGATTGGCATGGATGTACTTGCAGAGGTTGCGGTCGGAGTGTTTGGGGATGCCGCAGGCGAGGCGCTTGACAGAACAGACGACGCGCTCTTCCTCGACGAAACACCCGCAGAAATCGTCGGCGTGACACGGGGTGACGCCGTACTCGAGTCGTGCGGCACACCCCAGCCAGTCAACGAGTCCCAAAGTACACGGTAGCCAGGTTCCGGTGTTCTCGAAGCAGTAGCCGAAGTACTATAAGAAGAAGAAAAGCTCCACAAGGTATCTTCTGCCCAGGGTGACGTGGTGCGAGATGAGACGAACGACATTCTTATCGTGTTGATCACTGCAAAGTTTGCGTCGGCGGGGACTACGTATGGCGACTATGCTTTTTCCCTATGAAGGAGATTGCTTTGTATCTAAAACTGCCGGACTTGGGTGCGGGTGGGAGAGGACAAAGGTTGTTAGTGAGGCGGGTGAATGGGGGTTCTTTGTCTGGCGCTGCGTTTGCGCATGTGTGTTTGGGGCTTGAACGGGCTTTGTTCGTGGGCGTTGGTGCTGGGTGCGCTTGGTCTGGTGGACAGAGCCTAGGGGACACTGGCGTGTCGTTCAAAGGGCGCAGTGTGGGCCGGAAGACGCTCAATGGGGTTGTTCATGGAGACGAGGGGGCTGTGGAGCTTGGAAGGGCGATTCCTCCGCTTCTTTTGCACCTGCAACGAAGTCTTTTGGGTAGCTTGGTCGACCCCGATGCGTCCTGCGTCAAAGAAGCGCACTACTGTAACAATGCGGCATATTAGAGCTGGCTCAATTCTCTCGCAAGTCCACATGCACAGGGCGCGAGCGGAACCAGGCCTCGGGCGATCCTCCCATGTTTCTCCTCATATGCTTGAGAACCGCCCCACCCACGCTGCGTCTCGCAAGGCGCATAGCTTGGGCAGCTGCACGAGGTCCTGGGGCGCTTCCCAGCTCTCAAAAAATCTCGGGCAGCCAACATGATCTGCTTCACCCCCAGCCCCCACGGCCCAGCGGAGCTCACTACTGCGTGTGTGCCTCTCTCCACCGTTGGTTCTGTCCCAACACGCTTTCTCACTGTCGCTTGCATCCAAGCCACAGTCTACACGAGCATCCCCTGTACGGTAGAAGCCCGCGACATATGCACGCTGACGTCCGTCCAGCTATCTTGACAAGCCAGCAAGACTTCTGATGCTACCTCTCACTACAGACTCCTTGCACCTGCACTCCGCAGCACAGGTTCTCCGCTTCGTCGAGATAGCCGTGGGAGACGAACCCCCGTTGCCATAGGCGGCGGGCGATATTCGCGAGTCGGGAAGAGCATGGCTGCATCGTTATGACTTCCTAGCTTGATACTGCGGCATCAGACATCGTAGGCCGTCTTGCTTGGGTGTCTGACAGGGCTCGGTGAGGCTTTTGAGTGGGCGTGGTAGAGGGTGCAGATGGCATTGCTATGCTGCGTGTTGATGTTTGGAGGTTTCGAGGGTTGGTTACTGGAGTGCTGGGTTCGAGATTGAAAGGATCGTAATGTAGTATACAATACAGAGCTTCACTGTCGCTTGGGTTCTTGAAGACGACCAGGGCGCAGTGGCGACAAGGACACCTCGCTGGGAGACAGTGGTTTCGGACGTAATACTCTTAGCTGTATCTTCCAAGAACCTGGTCTACGATCTTGAACGTGCTGCCACTGGGGCATGTGTCTGGGACTTGTCCGTGTTCATGCTATATACGCAACCATCAAAATGATACTCTTGCATTTTCGAAAGCCGGTCCAAGATCTCAGAAATGCTATATCCTCGACTTTAAGTTGACAAGATAATTTTATCCATAGTTTGCTCAGCACCATGGGTACGTGGTAGTAACGATACTTGAAAAGACCGACGCAGTAGCTTTTCGAATAGATGAAACAGATAGCACCACTGAATATGTATTTGTGCACGGGAACGAGCATGTAATTCGACAGAAAACTTAACTATAGCTGATACTACATAAATTCTCAAAGACTGCTCCACCGCAACTCCATACCCGCCGTTCAACCCCCTCCACCTGACATCAGACAACGACGCCGGCACCTCCCCCGCCGCGCGCGGTAGAAACCTCCAACTCCGCAGAATCTTCCCTCTGATTTCAGTTGCTCAAGCTCACTCAACACGTTCGGGCAATGGTCGCAGCCCCTCCCCCGCTGCAAACAGTGCTAACCGCCGACGCCGTAGAAAGCTCCTCCGGAACGTGTTGAGTGGGCGAGCTTGAAAAGACCAAGTAGGGGAGAGGCGCGCTCTTTATGCGGCGGGGCCTGCGCGCACGCGCCACGCACTAGTGGGGACAGCTTGACTGCGTCGACGCTGCGAGCTTGGATGAAGGTGAAAGATGTGCGGTGAAGCAGGCTGTTGCAAGCTCAGAGGGTATCGGTGAAGGACATCCGCGACGGCTTGTGTGACGTAAGTTCATTCTAGTGTCACGGAGCATGGCTGTGTCATGTTCGCACTTGCTTGTGGGCGGGGATATTAGTAACGGTGAACGAGCACGCACGTGACAGCAAGCGCCTGTAATTTGCACAATGACGAGCATTCACGTCACAACACAATACTTGATTTCGATTTGTGTGGGTCATGACAGCAGTCTCGTTACTCTGTATGCACAGTTTCCCTGTCATGCGCGTGACTAATTCACACCTCGAATGCAGTACTACGCATGTAGGCTTCGCTCTGGAAGTTACAGCAGATAATTTCCTAACAATATGGCAGATGAACCCTCCCTGCTTTTTGGCCTTTTGTCTTGAAACTCGCATACTGTCGTCAGATGCGTTTACTGTTCCTAGGCATGTGATTGCCAAGGGTTCCATACTATCTTTCGCTCATCCCTAGCAGCACAGTTCGCTCTGATGATAGCTGAGTCCCTGCTCCTAATGTTAATTCTATGCTGATACGGGAGCAAGGCTGATCTATCGGTGTGGCTTTTTGTCCTGTCCCCAGACGCAAGCCTGAGAATTGGTCGTGTTCAGTACGCGGAGATCTAATTATGCATAGCAGGAGCTGGCCCACATGGATTAAGATTTCCATTCATTGTTCCTAGAATCAAATGTATCAAAATGTAACTCTGTGCGTCCCTACAGAGCGCGGCCGTGAGATACATGAAAAGTTTAAAGCTTTGTATAGCGGGCTCTTGGACCATACAGGGAATTGAGCTCGTGGCTATTGACATATTGTGTCGATCTTCGAAAACCGTGTGGTGTGTTTTTATATCTTTGAGTTGTGAGCCAGGACTGCTAGCTCCTTACAAAACACTACATATAGTGCAACAGTCTACCGTCGAAAGCACTACCGAAAACACGTTTCCCGGATAGGATTAGCGCACGTGGGCTGCGGTAAGTCGTGCGTCACGATCACTAAGCCTGCTAATGCGGGGGTTGCGCTCGTGCTCGCTCTTCGTTCTTGGGAAACTCAAACACCGTTGAACACAGCCGCGGCCGGGAAGGATGAGTAAACCTCTTGAACACATTGCAACATAAGCGCAGCTTACTATGCCGATTTTCTGCCGCTCCATATGTTCCTTTGCTTGAGTGGCTTGGTTTGATGCCGACGGTGATTGCTAAGCGCCTGCAGTTCTGGGCATCAAGTAACATAAGATGAGCCGGGCCTCCCGTTGTATTCTATAGCACCGAGACAGCGCGGACTACCAATTTTGACAAGGCGAGTGAGCCTTCCAAGCAAATCGTCATGGCATTCTCTCTAGGAATGTCTTTCCATGACGGCGAGACGAAGATGCATGAACTCCTTCATGTCCCACACCTTGAGAACCCTACATCAACTACACTCACACCGCAAGCAGCTTTTCGACTGCAGCAAGCGCCACTTCTTGCTATCGGCACATTGGATTCGCAAGAGCGACCGTGGACTTCGCTATGGGGCGGGAACCACGGCTTTTCGGAAATGTTAGGAGGCGGGATCATTGGAACGCGTACACTAGTCGATGCAGCCCATGATCCTGTCGTGAATGCGCTGGTGGGTCACGCGCCAAAGGGAGAGATGGTGCCCGGTAAGGAGAAGATGTTGGCTGGGCTTACTATCGATCTCATGGAAAGGAAGAGAGTAAAAATTTTCGGTCGCGCGATAGCTGGATGTGTAAACGAAGTAAAGGTGGAAGTCGAAGATGACCACGCGAAATCGGCTGGAGTTCCTGAATCGCAAGATCAAGTCCAGCTTATTACCAAGATAGAACAGAGTCTGGGTAACTGTCCAAAGTACCTGAACGCATACGAAATTCGACCAGCACTAGTCTCGCCCACTCTGATGTCGCAATCCGAAACGCTTTCAGAGGAGGCCAAGGCTCTTATTCTGAAGTCGGACATGTTCTTTCTCACGACTAGTGTACCTGAAGATATGGACACGAACCACAGAGGAGGGCCTCCAGGGTTCGTTCGCATACTCTCCGACACGGAAATAGTATACCCTGAGTACTCCGGGAACCGACTTTACCAATCCCTCGGTAACTTGCTCATTAACCCAAAGATTGGTGTTACTTTTCCCGCATATGACACGGGCGATGTGGTCTATATCACTGGAACCGCCAAAGTCATAGTTGGAGCTGATGCGGCAGCGTTACTACCCGGAAGCAATCTAGCCGTCAGAATCAAGATCGAAGAAGCGCGCCATGTCAAAGAAGGGCTGCCTCTGCGCGGAACACGGAAAATTCCATCGCCATATAACCCACTCGTTAGGACGCTGGCTTCGGAGGGGAACCTGAAAGCCTCCGCACGAGCTGCACGGAAAATGGCCCGACTGGTCAAAAAGACACCACTGGGACCGAGTGTTGCCCGATTTACCTTCTCTGTCTCTGATGGTGTGCAGTACTCCCCTGGACAGTGGGCAGCCTTTGACTTTTCTCACGATCTCGATATCGGCTACTCACACATGCGCGACGATGACCCGCGGAGTTTGAACGATGACTTCGTCCGAACTTTCACCATTTCGTCGTCGCCTGTTGGAGACGGCACACAGAAAGAGTTCGACATCACGATAAGGAACGTCGGTGTTGTGACCAGCTATTTATTCCGGCAGAACGAACGTGCTGGCTTTGAGGTGCCGATCGTGGGTATTGGCGGAGAGTTCGTGATCGAACAAGATCCAGACTCGAATAAGCTTACACCATTTATTGCTGGTGGTGTTGGTATCACGCCGTTGCTTGGTCAGATTGGAAGCTTGATTTTGCGACCAAACCGCCTAAAGCTTATCTGGACCATCCGACTTACAGACATTGACCTTGTCTTGAGTGTGTTGGAGACTCATGTTGAGCTTGCTCGATGCACTGAAGTGTTCTTCACTGGCAGCACTGAGACAACTGAGTTTGAGACCAAAATTGAGCAACTAAAGAGTACAGGAGCTAAGGTTAACAAGGGGCGACTTGAGAAAGCGGATGTTGACATCCAAGAAGCATCATCTTTCTACCTATGTGCCGGAGGTCCATTAAGAAAAGAACTGCTTCGCTGGTTGGAAGGGAAGGTGGTGATTTACGAGAACTTTGACTATTGAACAGCGTTCTTTGGTTGTCCTCGGAATGGTTCACGACCTTGGAGATCTTTGGTCCAAGGATCAGTCTACTTAAGAGCGTCGACCCACTACGTCGCTACCTACGTCGACACGTGTTGATCCCCTAGCTTCAAGCCATGTTGAAGTATCAATACCTTTACGATTTCAAGTGTCGTGGCATTGTCTCTGTGGAAGGTCTGTACACAATACAGCAATCAGACCTGATGAAAGAGGCAGGACAACCATATCATCGCCCCAAGGCCATCACGGGCAATCGCAACCGCACTTCCAACCGCACCATTACACCGCTAAACTTGCTAGCAGGACGTTTGGATACGCAGACGCCGTGGACATCCACGAACTCGCTCTTCAACTGGCTGGGCCCAGCCTGGAGGGTCAACAAAGGGATCACTTTCTCCAGCGGAGGATACCGTGCAGATGAACACTGAAATTGATTACTTGATCAAGTACAGTCTTCCTAATCCGTCCCAGCTCCCACCCGGAATAAAGGATGCCAGTACAGTGGAGCAAGTGGTACATGTTGAGATCAAGTTTCCATTGCCCTTCCAGCACAATCCTGAAAATTTGTTCGCGCTGTGCATGCTCATGTCGGACAAGGTTATGGAGCGTTGCGCACCAGAGTCAACGGGCCTTCTGTCGTATGCACGCGCTGATCAGAAGTTCTTCTCTTTCTTGCCACCAAACCATCTAGTCAATGATCGCCATCTTACGTGTGCACTGTGGGCGGTTCAAGAACCAGAGGCGCGCATGGCGGCTAGGGAAGGGTACCCAAACCTGTTGATGGCGGAGTCGGACATTCGAAATGCTGTTACTCAATCTACGTTCTACTGATTACATGCGAATGCAATTCTCCATCGCGTGTAGTACTTCGCTGTAGCTCTTCTCGTGTAAATGTAATTGTTGTTTTACGCGTTCTAATCCAAGATCACTAATCACAAGAGATACATTCTCCTATCCCAAGCACATCTAGAACTCTGCAACGTCGCGTAGGTCAAGGGTCATATGTGGGCTTGATTTGGCAACACCGTGTGGCTGTTGAAGGAAGTCGCAACGTTCGTCAATTATGGAAAGACTGGGTAAATGGTCCCATGATTACGATACTAAATATCCCTTGGGATTATTCCACAATCGGACGACGCATCATCGACGACGCGCTACCGAGATCGCGAAGGGCCGTTAGCCGGGGTTTATTGCAATATGCCTAAACGGCTAAAGTGCTCGACCCCTCAACGATTGCGAACCTAGCACCCTACGCCCAGGTCCGCGGGACGTCGTGATACTCCAACTTATGTTTGTATTTTGGTTCAATGCCTATGATCGGTACTTTGATGGAGACTATTTTAGCAACAACATTACATTAAAGAAGACGTGATGAGCTGTGTAAGCACACTGTGGTAGATAGAGATATTGAAAGCCCATGTCTCGGAGAACCAATGGAATTATGGCTTTACATCTCATTGCCGAGGAGGGATCTTCGTTATGGTCCGGGGAGAGCGGACACTCCAGAAGGCTTGTTTCCCGCCTTTTCATCTAAATAGTAGCTTACTTTGACTAGCGTACTTCGATCGAGCAGCACCACACCGGGTTACCGGAAATTTTGTTCAAGCATTAGACCTATAAAAACCCTATGCGATTGGTTTGTCAAATGTCACGATCCCCTGGGTCTGCCAAGTCTTCTTCCGAAGAACCTCCCACTATAGGAGGCTCTCTCACGATGGCCATCTTGTCTACAGCGGTTGCTCTCGTTGCTGGCTTTACTGCGTTCGCCCATTCTCGATCGATCCAGTCTCGAGAAAATGTTGATGTCTCCAACGCGAAGACTTCATTGACGCTCGTCTACCAGAACAACCTCAATGCATCCGACGATCAGAACCATGTAGGAGCGCTCCTTCTCGATCCGGTCTCTCAAGCAAGTGCTGCGGCTGCATGCGCTTCGGTGAACGAGAAGCTTCTTCCCAAAGCGACACTGCAGAAGTATCATTCAGATTTCACTTATGCGCTTTCCTATCAGGACTACGCTGAATATTTCGACACTGCAAGCGGTTTTTACATCGAGAATGGGATCGTCTCCATCAACCATCAACTCAGCTACAAATCCACATCGAAGGATTCACGAAAACGGCTCCCTGTACTCTGCACACAGTCTGCCAACAATGGCTCCTCAAAAGCTGGTCCGGTAGATGGAAGCCAGATTGCTGTGGCTTCCGGGGGCAACACGTTCGTAGGCTATCGCAATCAAAAGTCGTTCCGCTTCTTGGGTATTCCGTATGCCGACAAGCCACAGCGGTGGACATATTCCTCTCAGTACTCGAAAAAGGGACAGACCATCCAAGCTACCGCATACGGCTCGCAATGTGCGCAAGGAAGCTCCGGGAGTGAGGACTGTCTCTTCCTGAACATTCAGACTCCGTACATTCCCAAGTCTGGCTCGAAGAAGAGTCTGCGTCCAGTCATGTTTTGGATCCATGGTGGCGGCTTCACTGGCGGCACGGGCGCGGACCCTTTGACAGACGGTGGCAATCTTGCCAGCAAGGAAGATCTTGTGGTTGTTTCGATCAACTATCGACTCTCGACTCTAGGTTTCCTCGCCATCCCAGGCACCGATATCTCTGGGAACTTTGGCATCGCTGATCAGGTCGTGGCTCTCGACTGGGTACGTGCCAACATCGCTTCTTTTGGAGGTGATCCCGGACAGATCACCATCATCGGTGGGTCTGCCGGGGCAGGTTCAGTTCGTGCACTCCTGGGCTCCCCGAAGGCGATCGGCAAATATCAGGGAGCAGTTGCAGTATCTAATTTGGGAGGCGGGGTAACACTAGGACTCCGCGGTGATTACGGAACGACGTACTCGACATACTACACGATCAATCAGTCGTATGCCGTCGCAGGTCAGCAGATCTTTTCAGCTTCCGGATGCAACGATACCGAGCTCTCGGCTCAGATCGCATGCCTCAAGCAAGTTGATCCACTGAAACTCGTATCACTACCCACAGTTGCAAGATATGTGGTCCAAGATGGAAAATATGTCAACACGCCCAAGCTCATCCTCGCGACACGCAACGACAGCACCGCACATGTTCCCGTGATTTTCGGCGTAACACGTAACGACGGTAGCTCCTTCTCTACGTACCCAAAGTCTCCTGTTTCGAATCACTCTCAAGGTTTGCAAGTCGCACTAGGCATCAACTCGACATGGGCGCAGAGAATCATCGACTCGCAACTCTTCCCTTACTATGACACCGGGAATCTCACGTTGGACTCGTTCAATGTCTCTCAGCGCGTAGCCACCGACAAAACATTCCGCTGTATCGACCAAGCCACTGTCTATGCTGGTACATCAACCCACGCTTTCCAGAAAGCCTACTTTTACCAGATGGAACGAACCGCAGGTGGCTACGACCCCAACAACCTTGGCGGTCCTGCGAACAACAATCCAAACAACCCGTATTTCCGGTTCCATGGCGCCGATGTGCCCTTCGTCTTTGGTACTCTTTCCAAGATACGCGAGCCTGCGGATTTGTATTACACGCAGTTGACGACCAGCTACTTTGCGAGCTTCACTAAGAACGGAAATCCAAACCCAGATACAGACTATCTAAGAGTGAGAGGATACGACAAGGTAGCTGATTCGATCAAGCAAACAGGACCGTGGGATGAGGTGACTAAGATAGGGAAGGAAGTACGGATGCTGGATTATCCCAGCAGAAGTGGACCCTATGTAGATGTTGATCAGTGCAAGTGGCTTGGCTACGGTTTGGACTACTACTTGAAAGGCGGCATATGAGATAGCGGATTTGTAGGATACGGTACATTCCGGAAGTAATCTACTCGTCCAAGTTATAATCGACGTCACAGCGTCTTTGCAGTTGCTTCACCTATGTCATGCTATCCATTCTTGCACTGCAATATCAAGCCAAGCTGCGCTCCAGTTGCAATTATTATCAGCAAAAGGTGTAAGCTATGATTTGCGAAGCACCAGCGAAGCGAACGCAGCCGGCAAATGCCAAGAGCTACAGCGTGAAGTTCGTGGCACATGAACACGCAAGTCACAATAGTCGTGGTCTTCCTTCAGCGTGGGAGCCATTTGGGAAGCAAGCCTGCTTCAATTATTGAGACTTGGTCTTCTCCAATCTGTTACTCTACCAGAGCGCTACGGAAACGATGAGTGATCTGTAGTGCTTGCTCTAAAGGTGGTTCTCCGTACAGTCAGTACAAAAACAGCGGCCAGCTTATTCATTCCCCTCCAAAGTATTCACCCTTCAGTGTTCTAGTACTCTAGTGCAATGATGCAGCGATCTTGAACCGATCCAGCAGATAGCATAGGTCTCTGAGATCGTTCTGTTGCTATTGCCCAGAACATAAGTTTCTGTAACTTCTTATCCCCACAATATTCGAGCCGGTTCTCTACATTCAGATGCGGGTGTATACTTTCTGAGACCACTCAAAGCCTAGATTTCACTGAAGCAAACGGACGGTGGACGTTCACGTGTCCCGCCTTAGGACTGTGGTACCTGACAAGCGGGGCACGAGTGATTTACAGATCATAACAGAAGCAAGTCGAGACTGGAGCGCGCAAACGCACGTCGTCTCCGCCATCGGGAGTATCGCGACCTGACCGCTCGCGTGGGCAACGATGTATTTGGCAGGCACACGATGGCACGTGCACTTGCGTCTTCACTTCACCACGCACAATAGAAGAAATGAACTTCCCGCGACTTCACCTGTTACGCGCTAGCTATTTGCACGTTGCTCTCAGCCGCCGCCTTTTCGCCGCTCTTCTTGAACGGACCTCCAGAACTTCTCGCACCCAGCATCCTTCGATCAACCGTACGCTTTCGAACTACGAATAACACCAACATCTGTTACTTTAAACATTCCTCTCTGTATCTCCCGACTGCCAATAGCGATCAATCCACCGCAGCCCAGATTGCCAGCGTCGACTTCGTGAGACGGCATTTAGCGCCACCACCATCACCGGCTCGCTGGTCCCAGCAAGCATCGACAAGAACATCATGGTCGACATATCCGAGCCCGACACCCGTGATGCTGTCGTCATCAGCGAGACCACCTCGACGTTCTGCGGCTTCGTCGCCATGGAAGCTACTAGTAACTCCACCATATGTGCACAAGCTCCATTAACTACGTCCACTTCAACGCAGACTGAGGGAGCTGTTGCCACTGCTGGCCCCGCTAGTCTAACACGCGACGAAATCTATGCTGGGGATGACTATATTGGCTCAGTCGCTGACTTTGAAACTGACGATTATATCAACACTGCCGGGAACGAGACCACGGAGACCTCCCAAGAGCTTGCTGCTATCCCTCAAGAGTCTACAGCAACATCACAAGAACCTATTGCTACGACTGCGGATTCTGCCAGAGCCTCTCAAAATCCTGTTGATCAGCAGATACCCGAATCTACGCTGGTCTCCACATCATTTGCCTCAGCGTCACTCACAGCTTCGAGCCCCTCTTCAAATGCCATGTCCGACACTCAAGTCAAGCAAATCCTCGAATCAATTCCTTTCCGTGAGTACTATCAGGATTGGAATCTAAATCAACTTCGCAACTCGATCAAGTCGTATGAGCACTCCATTGAGAAGGCCAAGAAAGCGAGCGACGGTATGTTTGATTCAGTGACCGAGCTGGACTGGAAGATTCGAACGAAGAAAGCCTACATATCACTCGTCATGAGGGAGCAAGAGAACAAGAAGCAGGTTGGAAAGATCCGCCACAAAATTGCTCGTCCATTTGCAGTAATTCGTGCAAAGAACGCCACGGATCCCTGCATCTGTGATGACCTACAGCCTCCACCAGCGGTATCAGATCCCAACGCCGAATTACGAGAAGCTGTGAAAGGATGGAGGGACACCGTAGATGGCCGAGCTGAGGACTATCGCGATACGACCGATGGGACACATTGGTGGAAACACATGGAGTCCGAAGACTCTGACGGTATCGACAACAATGAGTATCACGACTATTTTCCTAATGTGCCGCGCAAGGTTGTCTATCATAGCACCGCTGTTCAGACCAAAATGATCACAAGCCCTTTGATGTACGAGAAAGTTTTCGGCAAGGAGCCGAATAAAGTTGAATCGCGCAAAATTCTGCGAACCATCGGATCAGTCGATTATGTGGATCAGTCAGAGGTCTGGTACGGCAAGCCTTTTCTTGCCTCAAATGGCCCATACTTTGATACCCAAACAAAGACCCAAGACAGCGGTTTCCAAATCATGGATTTTGAAATCCGGGAGGCCAATATCCTCAAAACAAAAGCAAAGGCTAGCATCACAGCTTCTAAGCTGAACAAGCTTTCAATCGAGCGCGATAATGGCATCCGAGTATTCGCAGAGCCATCGAAGGCCAGAGTAGTCCATTCGCAACAGTTCAAAGCGCTTCGTGCCAACATTGACAGAGCCGGCAGCGTCGAGCGTTATGGAAGCTTCACACCCATGATCCATAACGTTGTTTACGACGAAATCAAGAGCACGGCAGTGGCCAGCGCCATTCGGGCCCAAGTCACCTCTCATATTCGTACCCCCTCGAAGAACTTACCCCAGCCCGCGACAATCAACATGATAGCCATGGAGCAAAAGAAAATCCCATCTTACTGCAGTTCGCCATCTGCCGGTCTCTATGAAGACGTGCAAAGGGATCGCCCTAAGCTGTTCGAGAACGGATGGCCAATAGACCAGTTCCCGCTCAAGGAGATAGATGGAACATACTCGCATGACGTCTTCACTGACTTCGGACTTCCAAATTCGGGACACCCCCGCCGAGCCATACCTCAAATTGTACGTACCACGACCCATCCAGATGCAGCAACCCAATATAACAGCGCCACGATATCGACGCAGCAGACGCCCGATGATCGCACTACCTTAAGAGCAAGTACATCGTCTATTTCAATGAAGGGTCCCCACTCCCCGACCAAGGAAGAAGGCCATGGCAGGACTCGGAAGCGAAGCATATGCCAGGCATCGGATGAAGGTCACAAGTCTCACTCACCTTCGAAATCATCATACAAACGCCCAAAATTCGAAAAGCGAACTACCCCGTCCTCTTCGCACTTCTCAACCCCTTACGGTACCCTCTCGTCCTCCAATGCTGGCAAGGCATCCATGTCTATATCTAGTCGTCTGGATACTGCGACACCGAAGAGTGACCATCTTTTGGCTCTTGTGGCACAAATTTCCAGCAAGCGGAAGCGCGACGCATCGCCAACCCAAGAGCCCTCCGACAAAATTGAGCAGTCCAACTCCAAGCGTCCCCGACTCCAGCCCGCATCCACGCCGATCCGTCGCCTGCCGCCCACCGAGTCAACACTGAAAGTAATTAATCCCAAGAGCAATCTCAAGGCTGTTGCTTTTGCAAACCAGAAGAACGCTCGGCCTGATGTGCCTCAAGTGACCCGCATGGAACCATATGTAAACGCAAATGCAACACTTTCGAAGGTCCAACCCCAAAAACCTACTCAAAAGCAAGTCCAGCAGCCCATCTCAGCTGTGCTGAGACCGAATCCAGCTCCGGCTTTTTCCCGTTCAGCTTGGGCCAATCACGTACCAACGGTGAACCGGGAGAATAAGGAGAACCCCAACCGCTGGCGCATCAATCTCGGTGCTGCTGGTCTCAGCCGTCGCCATGATCCCTACGGCGCCAGTGGTAGACCTGGCCGTCGTAGTTAATTGCTCCTTGTTGTGTGTTTGAAGTCAATTGTCAGATGTAGGATATGAGCCATTTGTGTTTGCTTTCGTGGCTGTGTAATTCAGCCCGACACAGCAAGTCTTGTATCAAATTGTCTTGCAAAAATCGAGTAACATTGAAGAAATGTCGAATAAATATCAAGATTGGAGATATCGACGGAAACTAAGGTTTGATAACGTTTGGGATAGCATGCCAACCAATAACGCAAGATATAAAAAAAAAAGGTCAATGGATGAAGCCGATGAAAATACATAACTGATACATCCTCTGCAGCTATACTGAAGATGACCCATGTACTAAGCTGTAAAACCTGGAGTACAAAGATGATACTCTGACACATACTTCACACGCATGATGGCGCGCTTTTGTTAACAGTCTGATTTGATCACGCCTGATCTGCCCAAGCATTCCGGGTCTTCGTAACATTCTTGTGCTCAATCCCCTAGACCCAGGCGCGCGAGATGTCCATGGTATTGTTGATATTATCTAGCGAATTGCTATTGAGCACCAATATATCGGCGCGATTTCCCGGAGCAATGACTCCACAATCGAAATGCCGATACCATGGAGCGGGACCACTGGTTGCAGCATTGATCGCATCAGCTTCACTGAGCCCAGCATCACCCAGCAGCTGATGTCAAGTTATGTGACGGCCAGCCTCGACGGTGGGTTCAACATACCTAAAAGCCTACCATTCTAGATGCAAGGTCCTTTGATGCTATGAAAGCCAGTGATCCCATAGCTCCGGCGCTACTACTGGTCTGGCTAGCCATCATGAGGCTGGCGCCTCTCCGATGGTTCTTAGAAACTTGGCTCGGTCGTGCGTATCACGGAACTTCATTTAACTGCGAGCTTGTTCTACAATAGATGGTAATGCTTTGAACAGGGACCGCCGATCGTATCTGGAGCCAGCTCTCGAATGAGTGGGACGAACTGAAAGCGTGGCCAGCATCTACCATCCACATCAGTCGCAGTGAGACTATGCAGCGTGGATCCAGGTCTGTCTTAGGCTTGGGTGACACGCAAGATTCCTCGTTATTTTGCAGCTATACTAGAAATTTGCTCCCTGATAGGAAATAGACCATTGTGATGAGTAGGTGTGGACCACAACGAAGAGGAAGATGATGACGATGAAGAGATGTGCGAGGATGGGGGTGGGCATCAGCTCAGGCGACTCTGGCAACAAGCTTGGACAAGGACATGGATGGTGAGCTATCGGTATCGTAGACGGCAGGTGGGGTGGCGGCGCATCGCACCTTCCGCTGTGCACATTGCCGAGCTCGTTGAGTGCGCACATTGCGCTTCAGATATTTTCGACCTTTCATCAGCAAACATCAAATTCAATGGCTCCCACGGATCCCCCGAGGATCTGCATGCGTCACGGACTCCGAGGAGGCGACCTTCAGTTCTTTGTCAAATAACGAAGGGGACGAACATACACCGAAATACATTCTTGTTGCTCCAGCATCGTCCACAAATGTCTCTTCACCAGTGTCATCTTAACGCACAGAATCCTATAGTAACTATACGATTCTATTTTATCTAGCTAATGTTGTATCGGCGGTATTCATGTGGTCGCGAGCGACCTAACACGCGTCAAACCCTGGAAGCCTTTGCCTCATCACCTGCAGTAGCTGCCTTGCTCAGAACAGCGACCATATCATTACATGAGACACCATGATTTTCGTAACGTGGTCACGGCGCTCCTACATCGGTGACTCCCCGACATATGTTCATTCGCTATTGAAATTCATCACGCACACCAGCGTGTCGCCAGTCAATTACGCCTGTTGAGGGATTCTTGGGGACGGTGGCTGGAAGCCCTGACCACAACAACTACGAGAACATCAAGGCGACAGGGGGAGTTTCTGTGGCACCTCGGATCGCGCATGGTATCAGCAGCATCATTCCGTCCTTCATCTACTCCGAGTGGTTCGAGCCCAATGGTGTGAAAAGGCTCAATCTACTTGAAGACCTGTCAGGTTGCAATGCAGTCAACGGCGAGCTGTTTCCGCATGCCGGAGGGCTCATAAACCCCGATTGGGATAATAATTGGTATCTCCGCGCGTCTAGCAATGTCAGCGATCCAAGCCGCAAGCTGACCTCTAGTCCAATGCTTGTAGTGCAAGGAACCGGTGATCGGGCTGTTCCTGCCGACGCCGTTTCGAAAGCTGTCAGCGAGACATGTGTCTTGTTCCCGAAGAGCCAGATACGATATGCATTGCTTGAAGGCGCAGCGCATGTTCCTGTTCTGAACACTGTGCAGCTAATCTGGCTGCAATGGATTGAGGATCGCTTTATGGGTAAGGACGTCAGTGAAGGTTGTACACAAGAATATTGTCGGCCCCTGAGGCAATTTGATGGCTATCAAAAAGAGCTGGATTATTATCTGCAGCTCGCTCTACAAGATGTAAGGTGGTCCACGGATTCCATCCAATTTGGCTATCATGTGAATGCAGCGGATGTTACTTCTCATACTATCTTATACCGAAAGCAAATTCGAACACGATGCACGAGCCGCAGGATCGTTGCAAGAAGCGACCTAGCCGACCTTCTAGAAGCAACCCAAAGGAGCGATACTCGGATACCACATAATGAGCGTGCCATAAATCGGCCTCCTCAGTTTTGAGTTCGCCGTGGGCGAGATTCCCATATCGCATGTGTATCTCTACACCCGTACATCGACATGCATGCAAGGCCACGCGCTCACATTACCCGACCAATCGACTTGCTTCTGGGACATCCGCCCTCATCTGCCACCCGTCCACGTTTGCGCAATGCGCTATCAGTAGCGCGCCGCAATCTGCACTTCACCTGCATACCGTCGCTGGTATAAGACCGGGGTCGAAGTCCGATGCTGCAGCGTCCTAATTAATGCACTGGGTACCAGCGGGAAGGGCGCCGACTACACGGCTCGTTTCTAGAACATCTTGTAGGGGGCGCGATTGGGCGGCCATGTGTCAAGAGATGAGAGGGCTGCCACAGCTCTGTATGAAGGTGCGTTTGCGACCGGACGGGGAGGCCCTGAGATATAGAACGGTCGTCGCGGGACAGCATGGAATGACCTCGAACACTACAAACAGATGATCGCACGTCGCAGTTATGGAGCAGATTTTGAATGTATCGTGTGGAAGATGAAGCTGTTAACATGGTGGGCCCGTAATATATCTGGTTGCATGGGAGAAATCGTTGGGCCTATTAAGGGCAAGGGTGTTTCGACGTTGCTTCCTTGCAATGATTGAGATCCTGGTCTTCTCGAAGATCCGGGTTCGTGGACGGTTGGAAAAGTGGTCGGCGGGCCAAGATCGGCTGATTGGAGATCGCGCCGTACCACTACGTCTAAGAGAATTAAGCCGTGCCGCTGCGTGTGGAATGCTCACAAAGACGAATTCTGACAGTAGGATTACTACTGATTCACACAACGCGTCTCGCAAAAGATCACTTGAAAACAGTGAGAGTCGATAACCAGGTATCGAATTACAGCTTCTTGCATGCATGCTACTCTACGGTCCCCGCCCTGGCTTACGTACCAAGTCACAATCTAGCTGGAACCAACACGCTCCTCAGTAACTGCAGCGGTCTTCTCCTTCTCGTGGATCTCGTGCTCGATAATGCGGCCCTTCTCAGTTGCTGCATTTCCACCGATCAAAGCAGCGTCACCATCAAAGTGACGAGCGATCTCCTCAAGGGGCGTGTTCTTGGTCTCGATGTAGAAGAAGTAAACAACGAGAAGCTCAACCGCGAGCCAGACGCAGTAAACGATGTAGTACTTCCACTTGATAGCATCGAGCGCTACGGGGTTGATGTAGGTGTTGAAGAACAGTGCGAGATCGACGCAGGCGAACATGTAGCACATGGCCTTCGCACGGATAGAGTAGGGCAGAATCTCGACGGTATAACCGACAAGGAGACCAGACCAGGCGATGTTGTAGAACGTGTAGTAGAGGAAGATCATAAAGACGACAGCACTGCCATTGGCCTTGACGTGCGTGGCTTCGAAGCGCTCGGAAAGGATGGTCCAGATGACAAAGGACATGCACATGCCGGCGGTGGAAACAAGGAAGAGCGGACGACGACCGATCTTGTCGACGAAGAAGCACATAGTGACGGCAACGAGACAGTTCCAGATGTTGAGAACTCCGTTAATCTTGAGTTGCATGTCGGGATCCGTGATGCCAATAGTGTCGAGAACGCCGGAAATGTAGTAGGAGACGAGACCGTTGCCGGAGAATTGCGAGAAGAAACCGGCAGAAATCAGGATGATAAACCTGTGGCGATTGCCTTTGGTCTTGAAGATCTCGAGCCATCCGGTCTGCTCGGCCTCCTTCTCGATGGCGATGGTCTCCCTGATTTCTTCGTACTCCATCTGGACAATCTCGTCGTTGGCGTCTCCTTCAGCGTGGACGTGAGCAAGAACGGCCAAAGCCTTCTCGTTCTGGCCCTTGGAGATATACCAACGTGGAGATTCAGGAACGAACCAGACACAAGTGATCTGGAGAATTGAAGGCAAGGCTTGGACAATGGAGGGAATGCGCCACGCCCAGTCGCTGCCGATGTTGTTGGTGCCGTATGTGAGCCATGCAGCCACAATGGATCCGAAATACCTTAGTCGGTTAGCATGTTGATTGAATAATATCGGAGTTACAACTTACCAAGTTGTGTTGTACACCGTGGTGAAGATAGCACGGTGCTGCGGGTGGCACAACTCAGTGATGAGCAGAGGTGCGGAGCCGTGAGCAATAGCAACACCGAATCCGAGGAAAAATCGAGCGGCCACAAACATCTGAAAGTTGACGGAAGCGCTCTGGAGGACAACGGCCAAAATCATGATAATGGAACCAATGCAGATACCCCATCTTCGGCCCAACCCATCAGCGATGTAAGGAATTGCAGGCAAGGCGACGAAAGAACCTAGCGACATGATGCTGGAGAACAGACCCTTGATAGAACCAGAGGGGTTGTGCATGTCTGCAGGGCAATTAGCAAGCCAGAAATTCCTTTGGAAATGCGAGACTCACACTCGGTGAACTGATTCAGAGACAACAGACCGTTGACCATGGATCCATCATATCCGTTGGTGGCAGACGTCAGGATGGCCAGACTAAGCAGCATGTACGTGTTCCTGAGGTTCTTCTTCTGCCACCATTTGATGTTTGCGAACTCCTTCCCTGCGACCCTGAAGTGGCCTGGGGTCTTGGTGGTTTCGAAGACAGACATTGTAACAGAAGACCTCACAGGCCCAACCGACAGTCTTGATAGTCCTGGGGAGCGTTCAACGCGAACAGAGGTTGTTCGAAGCTGAGGACCACCATTGAGGGTGGATCATGTCTTCATATAGGTCGGAACTCCACTATCTGGAACGTGAACCATCCCAAGAAGGCATGGGCACGAATCGAGTTTATCCGTGAGCCGTCTGGCGAGGCTAGCATTTTTTCCACTACGAGTGTTTCTAGAAGCGTACATGCCCCCCGACCGACAGCTGGGCACATCCCCGGGAAGGAACAAAGCTTCAATTGTTAGTGGGCCCGGGGGCGGGGCCAATGGTCGCTTCTCCATGGGGCCAGCCGATATGGTTAAAAGCGGATAAATTGCGATTAGCGCGCCGTGAATGGTCGATACGCCACACTTGGCTAAGATCGCCACAGGGAGACGCGCGACACAAGCAATCGTAAACCGGGAGGCGTTATGCACATGGCAAGGTGTGGAGCTTGTGATATGATTAAGATCTCGCGTATGTTGCGCCTCTCCGGCTCAAGGGAACTCAAGATTCACTGTGCATGGGTATCTCCCAGACGCCTCAATTCCAGGCACATCGGTTCCAGAAATGCGGTGTTGGGAAGCTCGTAGATTGAGAAGACAGAGTACATAATCTTGGGTGTTGTGTTTGATGAAATCCCGCAGTTGTGGTGCTCTGATCGTATGACCGGGTGGGTATGTATGGCGAGACTGAATGGACACTGGGTGTCGCTCGACAGTCGGGCTGGCGCGTGCGCGGTAGGAACCTCGGTGCGGCGTTCCGTCTTCATCTGCACCGTTGTGGCGCAAATACACGTTCTTACACTGGTGTATTCTCTCGTCGATATGCCTCCAGAAGGCGCATCTCTGATTCTCTCATCGAGGGCCACGAGCACCCCGACATCGCCTCTCGCGATCACGGCAAATTGCCGGCCCATGTGCCGTCGCTAGCATCTGGGCAGCTGTCGTCGGCAGCTTTTGATGCGATGCCCGAGGTCGACGTGGCGACGATGAGTTAGCGACGCGCCGCTCCCGAATCGTGTGGGGAAACACGTGACCCATTGTGATTCACAGCCTCGGATAAATCCGGAGAAGTAACGGTCGATTGCTTCCCCACGGTAACTGTGCCGCATTGCTTGAGCACGCGACACGCACTTCAACAGGCGCATGGCTGGAGGATCACCGCGAATACCAGAATAAGCCTTTATAGTCCCAACACCTTTTGCCCGGCCGCTTAGTCGCGAGACCCTATCAATGGCTCCATGGACTTGTCGGTTGGATTCGAATGCTCTAAGTATAGTTTGCAAGCAAGCCTTGCGGTGGATGCCTCACTATGGATGTATGGCAGTGCCCCAAAACGAGCTACCATAGGTAACAACATGGCAGCAGGCCAAGGCGTACACCATACACGTGTATTCATCTGCGACTGTACCGTGGCGTCTAAAGTGAACCCCTTTGGAATAGCAAGTTGACTACCAGACTGCTCAATCTGCTCCGTTCTCATTCTGCTCCACTACATTCTTCTTCTCCTTGCTCGACAAACTTCCGCTTTCAAGGATGGCAGGTGACGGCCCATGGGCGCCACTGCCCCAACCGACACCTTCTTCCCAGCCGTCCTTCGCGATCCTTATGCTCCTCTTGACAACGTTACCCTCGTAAAACAACCAGTCTATTTCCTCCAGCGTAAGATTGGACGTTTCGGGATAGCAGAAGTACTAGGATCGTTAGCGAGATCGGAAGACGATAGCCACCGGCTGAATTGCATACCACGAGCGGCACGAACGCAAAGTTCAGGCACATGAATATCAAATAACCCTTCCACTCGAGGTTGTTAAGAAGAGTGGGCGTGATCATGACGACGAAGAAGTTCCAGATCCAGTTGGCCGAGATGCCTACAGCAGTACCTTTGGCTCGTACATGGAGCGGTAGGATTTCGGGTACATAGACCCACGGGATGCAATTAGCTGTTGCGCCGAAGATGAGCATGTACTAGTCACCCGATCAGTACCATGGTTTGTTTTGTGATAAACTGTATGGCAAATGCAATGCTTACGGTGAAGAAGAAAGTCTAGCAGTAGGAGGTTAGCACGCGTCTTGCTATGCGATTCTTCTCTCGTTCGGCAGATAAGACTTACGACACTGGCAGACGCCGTTGACTTGGCGACACTACCTCCTTGGTTCTTGAAACTCAACAAGATCGATATCAGCATCATGGAAACACCGAGGCCAAACGATCCCCACATCATTGGCTTCCGTCTGCCGATGCGATCTAGGAAAAACGTGGGGAAAAGTGAGCCAATGAAGAACCTGTGGCAACGTCAGTCTGCGCATCAGAGCTGGTTTAGGTAATGATCGCTCACATGAGGTTGATGACGCCTCCTAGGAGTAAGGATAGATTCCTATCAAGCCCAACATTGAGCTGCAACACTGATGTGATATAGTACACGACCAGATTAATTCCGCCCATCTGGTTCTGTCATGTCCGGAGATACGAAGTCAGTATACATCTTAAGATGGACGGCAGAGGAAAAGGACGCTCTTCTTCCGCTTGCTGGGACTTACCATGAACTGCATCCCGTAGGCAAGTAGGACGCGCCGTCCAGTTTGCACTTTGTCTCTCTTGAGAAGCTGGCTCCATTTGTACTCTCCATGTTCTTGCTCGACCTTTAACGCTTCGAGGATCTCGCCATTCTCCTTCGCAATCTTTGGATCGTCAGGTGTACCATCGTATACATCGCACAATATCGCGAGTGCTTCTTCGCTTCGTCCGTGTTTGTACAGGTAGCGCGGCGACTCCGGGAGACCGAAAACGAGAATAATCACAAACTAGACATTGTTAGCCCCCTCAAGCACAAGAGACGCCCGGATGAGGAATTCGAACTGCTGACAGACGAAATGAGTGTGAAAAAATACATACGACTGCAAAAATCATTTGACATGCGATGGGTAGTCTCCAAGCAATACTGCCAGAGGTGAAACTCATGCCGTAGTCAAACCAATACTGCGCACCATATGTCAGCAGATACTCGAGTGTTTTTGGATAGGCCAGGCTCACCGCAATTTCGATGCCCACTCCCACAAACAACGGCTCGGAACTGACCAGCCTTCCTCGCCTTTCTGCCTCGCAAAGCTCCGACTGATACATGGGCACCGTCGACGTCTCAATGCCTACACTCGCGGGGACAACGTCAGCTGAGTCACAAAAGTGGGTTTGTGTGCAGAGTATCCGTGGCTAGGATATAGCAACTCAGATCGTACCTGTTCCAATTCCCGTGATGAACCGCGCAATCATCAAATGCGGAACGGAGTACGCAGTTGTCTGCAGTATGGCGCCTACAATGATCCAGACCCTAGGACGCGGGTGCAAGTCAGAACAGGTCAAGACAGCGCGGGGAGATAGACCATGTATGTTTCAGCCAAACGAGAAGAAGACCCTCTTCAGCATGAAAGCCATATGCACGCTGCCCGGGTGTTTACTTACATGGCTATCCACATGGCCAAACGCCGGCCGGTCTTCTCACAGAAGAAGAATGCCAAGATGCAGCCTGTAAAGCATCCCAGGTTGTATATGGAAACGATGATGCCTTCGAGGCCCGGGGCCGGGTGGTTGAAGGTGTCAAGAAAATCGGGATTACCGACAATTCCTAGTGTTACTCAGTCACATCTGCTTTGAGCTATATGACGGAAACCCTCGCATGCGTTCAAGACTCACCACCAAAGACGCCTTGGTCGTAGCCGAACAACACAAAGGCCATCTGGCAGGCGATTGTAATCGCCGCCCGCAGCTTGAAGCCGCGGCCGTACCAATTGAAATGCGGTGCTTTGAACATCGTGTCGTCGAGTCGTCTATCAGCTTTTATTGACGTACACTATCGCGCATACCAGATTCAAGGTATCCACGCCAACAGCAAGAGGAACGCCAGAAACGCGGTCGCAGGAAGTTGTTTGTATCGGCGACAACGAAGATGCAGCCATGGTTCTATGTATACCCCACCCAACAAGCCCGATCCACACACGCAAGCTCACCACCAAGCCGTTCCCCAACCGTCACCACCACCCCACACTCGACTAGCCGAAACAAAGCTTCCGCGCAGGGTTGTCGCGACCGCCGGCAATTCGTGGATAATTGCTGGAATCAACGCAGCGCGCATCGCCGAGGACCCTGTCCAACCTGAACAACGAGGAGATGGAGTGATTCCGGGGTTCTGTGGACACTTTTTGCCTTGGTTTGGAGACTTGCGGGGATCGGATGACGTCTCTGGCTGACTGGCGGCTCTGTGCCTGCTTACTGAGCTAGTGTGTAACGGGAAACCCGATGGAAATAGCGCGGGTATAGGAATGGCTGCGCGGTGAAGCTGATTCTTTTGGGACTGTTGTCGGAGAAGCGCGGTGCGGGGATTCCGAGGTGGAGGGGACACAAACGGGAACCGTAGGCTACGTGCCTGCGGATGGGAAAGCGTTGTCCAGAGGGAAGCGCTTAGTGTCTGGGCTACAGTAGGGGTTGAGCTCCACCCACGTTGTGCATCAACTTGAACATCTCGCTTGCCTGGTGATTAGGATGAACAAAAGTGGCGTTCTTGTACTTCAAGAAGTAATGTTTGGGCAGGAACGTTGGGACGACCTCTCGCGGTAACACACACACACCGGTAATGAAGATTCAAGCCTAGGTTACAGACGATTTTGGTGATTCTGGGGCTATTAGCAAAAATACAATTTCTAAGATGGCTTGCATCCGGTTTTCGTAACCACACGAGAGGAGGGTGGTGATGTGAGATAGCAACTGGTGCCTCTCTAGAAGCCCATTAACATTAACTACTGCGCCAGACACCTTTGCCTCCAGGCCCAATGCTCCGAAAAGGTTACAGAAGAATGATGTGACATGATTAATCGTCTGACAGGGTCAAGAGCGCCTTTGACCACTCGCCACCTTTGAGTGGCCTCGCATATGCCGTGATGTCGTCTCCCTCTGTCTGTACAAACACGTAGAGACTGTCCCATACCGTGATCGACGAGTTCTTGTCGTCCTTTACAGCTACCGCTGTGGCTGTTAAGTGGGTGCCGCTGACTGCGTGCTCATCTACGCCAAGAGGCGAGATGGTAAACTGATCATCGTTCAGGTAGGTGTTCTCTGCATCAAACTGTACATTGAAGCCCTTGATTGTCCGGTCCTCCATCTGCATGTAGAGATAGTTTGTGTAGCCCAGGGATGTCGTAGGGTCCACATTGGGGATCGCCGCAGATGAATTCGTCCACGCATTGACGGGGTGCTTGTCGCTGCTGGTACTAGTACTGTTACCATCTTTCCACCAAATCTCCGTCGCGTTGTTGTCGTTGACCATCATGGTATAGGTGTTCGAGCCGGCGCCCCAAGAGTAGCAGCCCACGCCAGCATGGACGTTTTTGTTCGTCCAAGGGGCGACCTTGGCCCATGCATTCTCATTGCTCGAGTACCAGACATACTGCTGGAAGGTGGACTCATCGCTCGCATACCAAAGATTGATTCCCGTAGCCCCGTCGAAGGGGACTTTGTTTTCCTCGCCATTGGCCGTGGGAAACTTCTTGTAGTCAGAGTCACCGTAAAAGCTGCCCTTGTAGCAGGCCTGTAGACCGACGCTGGGGTTGTCCAAAACATCGAGCTTCATGTCGTTGATCGGCCCATTCTCCCAAAGGTTGGTATCGTTGGAAAGAATTCGTTGGTTGACCTGGCTATCCTTTGATACGTAATAGATGTGGACCTGAAGCATCAGTTAGGAGATTCATAGTAGCCTTGCAGAGGCATACTCACGTATGAGGTCTCGTTCAACGTGAAGGCAACTGCTGAGATGGCAGTTCCATTCTTCGCGTTCTTGGCGACAGTCTCACTACTTGTGCCTCCAACCCACTTGCGATCCTTCGTGTACTGCATGTATCGGATTTCCCCCGTCCAATGTTGGTAATAGATTGTGAAAAGTCGGAACTCGTTGTTGTTCCAGGACTCTCCCGCCAAAGCAATCCCCGAGCCGTTAAACGCCCCCTTCGTTGAAAAGTACCGGGAATCCAAAGCACCACCGATGCACAGATCGGGTTTTTCCTTGCAGAATGGGTCCGCAATGATTTGATCACTACACAGATTAGTTCTTGGTCTCATTACAGCTGTGATCACTGTACGTACTTTTTGTCCTTTTTGTTCAGTCCAATTCCCAGTCCTGCACCTAAGCCAACGGCCAGGAGAACGAGCGCTACAACGACAAAAAGTACGATCCAGAAGGTGCGTTTGCGCATCCCGGCTATCTTCTTTTCTTGCAGAGGCGGGGAGCCCACCGCGGCCTCGGTGGCAGCTACGTCCTGTTTACCCTTCTCGCCGTAGGGCTGTGCAATAGCATACTGTGGTGGTGGTGAACCGGGTCCCTGTGGAGGTACTCCATAGTGAGGGTACTGCTGTTGTTCGACAGCTTCCGGTGCGGAGAAGTATGCGTACGCGTCAGGTTGATATTTCTTGTCTTGGTATTGACCATGGCTGTTCTGTCCGTACTCCACAGGAATTGGCGGCGTATTATCGATCGTCTCTGAGAAGGCTGAGACCGTTCTTTGCGGCGGGCTCTGAGGTGGGTGCATCATTGGACTGACAGCCTCCATACCATCTTGACCCTCAACGTGTTGTTGAACCATCTTAATGGATTATCTTGGCTGTGGATTCCAGCAACGAGAGGGTAAAGGGTGCAAGAGGAATGAGCGCAGAGACCCTTACGGAGGGAATATCCCCCATATCACGACCGCGCCGCAATTCCCGGTACGGCCCCCAAGCTTGAGCTTCGAGGGGTTACCGCTCTAGGAATAACCTCGCCAGGCGGATCCAAAGTGGGACCTTGCTGTCCAATCCACACCTTTTAGGTACTGTCTAGCCTTCAGGGCTGAGCCGCGATGCAGGGGTCATCTAGAGGATCTCATCACCTTGGGGTGAGGAGAGCCCACACGAGGTCCGTGTGTAGGTTAGCGGCTGTTGCTCTGCATCTCCAAGCTTCTCAGATGCCAGTAGTCTAGTGCTGACAACTGCCAACACATTGAGGCAGGAGGCAAAGAGTGAAAGATGATGTACCTTGCCATGAGTCTCAAGCTTTCCCGTCCGAACGAGTGTTCAGCCCAGTGAGGTACTGGCGTGTTTCTACGAAGCGAATCAATAGAGAAAGCCACATGTTTGAGAGTTTGATGAGCGGGCAGTGTCGTTCTCGCTTCGGGACCCGTGAGCGCTCTATATGGATTAGATCATGGGCAGTCGCCCGAGAGAAGCGGCAACAGCTCAGGGTCTATTTTGGTGGTCGCGTATACATACACCACATTTCAATTCGTGCCGCAAATCATAGGTCGGTTTAGTGTGGCAAGTCTGTCGTGAGTCGTTCGTCTTTCGTCTCACGTCTCGTGAAGACGACGTGGCTTTCAAGCATTGGAGAAAGGTCGTTCAGTGACCAGATGGTGTAATCAGGTAAGCTTCACCAGGCTCGTGGTTCAGGACGGCGACCGACTGATACTCTGTTAAAATCACAGCTACAGCTGAACTGAAGACGCACGATAGCATCGTCAGCCGATGTTGGGTGGTCGTCGGTCATTGGGGCGGAAATTGCTAGGCGCCTGAAATCGGCGGCTCTTTGAGAGTTCCGTGATTCATCACCTTCCAGTTTCAGACGTAATTGCAGACAGTGACTAGTCGTGCTCATCAAATGGTGGAAGGAAACATTGACGTTGCAATCGACATAGGCTGATCGCGCTCAATTCCTCACTATGAGTGCTTCGTTCAAAGCATCGAGTCCATTTGGGTAGTGTATGTAAACCTCGTTTTGTGCGGCTACTACACAACATCAGGACCAGGGAGGGTTGAGAGCCCATCAAAGGCCGTAACTAAGGGGGTGCAAAGGAGCGAAGTTGTTGAGCGTTTCGACCAGGCAAATGGCATTAAGTATCTCTGTCGCTTCTTCGGCTAATGATGACAAGGGACGCCTTACACTAGACAAGCGCCCTCAAACGCTCGCCTCGTACCACTCAGCCCCCTCCCCATGCTGCACTAGGGACTGTTGCCAGCCTCACGTTCAGGAATGTAGCCGCACATGTGTGATTGATCCCTGGCCATGTTTCCACAGAAGCTGGTTATACCAACTCTCAGATGGATCTATGCACACCTGCAGTTTTGGTTTGTATGCACCCCTCCATACTAGCAGACTCATTAGTCTTCAAATGAGTTCGTTGTGGGTCGCGTGGGCGCGTATACAAGAGATGTTCCTCAATTGGCTGGCATTCACGACTTCGCCGCATCGCTGCAGGTCCATACTTCTTTTCCACTATTAGCGACACACTGCCAATCGCCCTGGACAACACGTGCTATGCGCCTATCACCGGCATATAGGAATCGTGTGATTGGGGAAATTTGGGTCATATTCCTGCGAACACAGGTCTTGATTACCTAACATCTGACAGCAGACGTGCACTGCAGAATGTGCGGCTCAACACTAGCGGCTAATGTCGCTCCGCTCAGCTCAGCCCAACATCCAATCGAACTTTCAGCAAATCGCCATCCTCGATCGCCGCCCGCTTCGCGAGGAATTCTTTCATGTCCCAGTTGCACGACACATATCTACCCTTGATCCACTCTCTCCTCTCCGCCGTCAGCCACACGATACTATCTCCCGCCAACTCCTCTGTATCAGTCAGCATGCTGTGCATCGCCTCGGGCATCCCCTTCGCCAGCTCCGTGGCAATGCCTCCCGGATGAATGCCAAACGCCAAGATCCCTTGGTCAGCATAGTCCGCATTCAGGAACTCTCCAAAACGCAGCAGCGCCAGCTTTCCGGCCTGGTACCCAGAGGCTCCCGGCATGATAATGTTTGCGCCAATGCTAGACACGTTGAGGATGGTCCGGAGGGAGTCTTTGGACTTGAGCAAGAGGGGGAGCAAGGCGCGCGTGATGAGGTACACGCCTTTGATGTTCACCTCCCAGACCTTCCACCATTCGTCGATCTCGCTTTCGTGCAGCGGGACAAACTTCTCGAGGTAACCAGCGTTGTTGATCAGGACGTCCAGACGGCCGAAGGTCTGCTCGATTTGCTTGGCCGCATCTTGGACGCTTCGGTCGTCCGTGACGTCGACCTGGAGACGGAGAACTTGTGGAGCACTTTTCCCGGCATCCTTTGCGGCGGCCATCATTTCGGCTTCCACTTCTTTCATGTCGGTGCGGGCTGCGATTGCTATCTGTGATGCTCCGGCCTTTGCATAGCTGATTGCAGTCGCTCTCCCGATGCCTTTGCTAGCTCCGGTGATGAAGACAGCGCGATTCTTCAGGTCGAATTGCTGGGGCTTGATGTAATCGTATGTGTCGTGGTGTATGGTAGGAGTGAAATCGACACCGCTGCTCTGCAGCTGAGACTTTGGGTTAGTCGACATATTGGCGTGGCAGGAAGTTTGGCTCTAGGGAAATCAGGATGTTGAAAAAGTTGTTATCTGGAGGAGGTATAACCGAGGGGGGCAGACGAAGCTTTGTTAGTGACGTTGTAGTCGCGAACAATCGATGACGTATGTGGGGATACTGTCCCCCCTTTCCCTTAGTGATAGCGCTTTGCCACAAGGGTCGGGAAGAAATCCTCGTTGGCAAAAAATCCTGCGTTGCACTATACGCATCAGACATAGCGTGTCGCCGTTGAAGCATTCGGCGGCACTGAAGAAGTCCAAATGCTGGCGTAGTGAGGTGATATTCGACAAAATGATCTGCAAGAGGATGGTCAGTAATAGACGCCATACGCGTCTGCCATAATGTAACAGCAGCCGCGTACACCTCTCTAGCACTTCAATACAATTGCCTACGTCGGCTGTGTTTCGTCTTCGTCTACACTCATACCCCTGGCCTACGCTAAATTGATGTGGATCACGCGGTGAAGAGATATTACACTATTTGAAACGGTGGTATGTTATTGAGCGTAGACGTACACTTACTGCGACAGGTTACATCTTACAATGAGGTAGTTGTACATATATATACATTTTCAGGAGATTCATGATTCGGCTTGAGAAGCAGGAATGCGCGATCGGAGAGGTTGAGCCTGTACACTCTTGGGGGCTTGCGGCTTGTTCATGATCTGGCGCAAGATGGCTCGTCGTGGCATTGATATCCTGCTGTAGAGGACCACAGCGCCGGTGAGGAGAGCTAGCGCACCAGCCTGATGCGCAGAGGCAAGCCAGGTGGGCACCATGTAGATGAGAGTGCTAATACCGAGGGTAGCTTGCAAGGAGACGAGGTGGACAAGGCCCATAACGCCGTTCTTGGCATCCTTGGGAAGATTTGCTCGCACAGACTTGGAGAAGCGGGTATAGGCAAAGAAGGACAAGATGGCAGTGAATGTAGTGGTAGCGAGAATTCGGTGGTCCAGCTGTACGAGGGAAGGATTCTCGAGCATGTTGCGCCACCAAAGATCAGACTGATCGGGGACGTGGCTGTAGAAAGGATCAAAAAGTTCCTTCTTTGGCGGGGTGAGACCAAGGCCCATCCACGGAAACTCGTTGTAGATCAAGCCAGCATCTAGACCAGCAACCAAAGCCCCGGACATGGCAGTGGTGAAGACAAGAAGGGACAACCCGACCACGGAACCTCGGAACACGCGCAGAGCAGGATGCTGGATGGTACGCACCCACTCAGAAGCCTTGGCAGGATTGGCGAGCATGCGGTTCTCTTTCAAGATGCCGAGACCGGTGAGCAACATGGAACAGTAGACAGCAAAGGCAGCACCCAAATGGGCAGTCAAGCGGTACTGGCTGACACGCGGGTGGCTACCCTCGGCGAACAGATCGTCTTTGAGCCCACTCTTGACCATCCACCAGCCAATAAAGCCCTGGAAGCCGATCATGCCGCAGATTCCCGTAAGCTTCCAGGCCATTGAGGGCGTGACTCGTCGACGAGCGATAAAGTAGGCGGTCGGTAGGAGGAAGGTGATGCCGATGGCTCGACCCCACAGGCGGTGAGCCCACTCCATGAAGTAGATCTGCTTGAAGTCGGCGAGGTCCATGCTCGAGTTGAGCTGCTTGAACTCGGGGGACGCCCGGTACTTGTCGAACTCGCTTTCCCACTCGGCCTGGCTGCCGGGCCACAGGGAGCCGGTGACGGGGCGCCACTCGGTGATGCTCAGGCTGGCAGCGTCAGTCAGATCGTGGTGCTCGACGTCTGGAGGGCTCACCCAGATTCTGTGAGCCTGGTCAGGCCGCCAAAGATGACAATGCCAAAGACGCTCGCGGCGCTGCCCAGCAGCCAGTATGCGACGCTCGTGGAGCTCGTCTTGGGCCAGCTACTGCTCTTTGCGCTGCTCGTCGCGGCGGCCGGTGCAACTGAGGCTTCGGCAGTGGCGGCGCTGGTCCTCAATGGCTGCGTCGACGTCCATCTCACGGACTGGAGGACCGAGGGCTGGCGGGGCGGCGTTCGCACGGGGAAGGCGCGGGCGGGCGAATTGAGGCAGGGGCGGCACACGAACAGCCGGCGGGCAAGTCGCGGCGCTGCGGTGCGCAGCTGCGGGAAGGCGTGGAAGACGGAGCCCATGGCGATGCGATGCGATGCGGCGGGGGGGCTCGCAGAGGTGGTCGTCGATGTTTGTGCTCGAACAATCAAGCGTGGCCCGACGCGGCGGCTGGGCAGGCGTTTGATTCAGCCCTGCATCCGCTCCGCTGCGTCCCCACCGTGGCGGCCTGCAGGCATCACCTCACACGCGGTCATCGGCCAGCGGCGAGCGATCAGCGTCCCGCGTCCCGCAGAGCCTGCCAACCTGCCAGTGCGAGGCCGTGGACCTGCCACCACTCCCTCTGCGATGCGCTGCTGCTCGTCGCTCGCTACAGCGCGCTGCATCACGACGACGATCGCACAAGCGCGACCTCTGCCTGCGTGATCCCCGCCCACGGCCGCTAGGCTGCGCCCTTCACCTATCACGTACCCGGTGCGTCCAGCTATCTCCGTCCGATCATGAGCGCGCCTGCCGCCAACGCGGACAGCCGTCATGCGTCGCCGCCAGAGGCAGGCGGTCAAGCAACAAACGACCATCACGACCAGCCGTGGACAGCGCCCTCGACGCCCCGCGCCTCTCTCTTCTCCGCCGGACGCTCTGCGCCGCTGTCAGAGCGATCGCCGGACCACCACACTGGCGACGCCCCCACCCCTCATGCGCGCATCACCTCGTCGTCCACGTCCTCGCGCCCGCTGGCCACGCTCGCCATCGCCAACATGAAACGCTCCCAGCGGACCAGAGCCACCGACGACCCGCCGCCCATCGTGCAGTTCAGCACCCAGATCCCCAGCGCCCAAAAGGCCACCGACGACCCCACCACGCCGCCGGACAGCAAGCCCACCAGAGACTCCCGCGGCCGCGAATACACGACCCTCACAACCCTCAGCCGCCTGTTCGCTGGCAACGACACCATGCCGTGCTCGCGCGCCCCGTCCTACACCCACGCGAGCGGGCCGCTGTACATGCGAGGTAACCCACCCCGTCCTTTACGTGCTTGCCTTTGCGCCGCCTGCTGACCGTGGTAGCCTCGGGCGACTCGATGCCTCTCCCCGACCACCTCTACACCCGGGGCCTACTCGAAGGCCGCCATTCGGACATTACCGTCATCGCATTTGGCCAGAGCTACAACCTGCACCGCTTGATCCTCGACCGTGCCCCTTTCTTCACCACCGCCCTGTCGGAGCCCTGGCTCGAGAGCCAGTCGAGGCAGGTGAAGCTCTATCCCGAGGATATTGATAACAACATCACACAGCCCGCATTTGAGCTTGCCATTAAGCGCCTGTATGGCGTGGATATCTCGCAAGAGTGCGATGTCGAGGCCATCGGCCTGTTCGCGACGGGCTGCTGGCTGGAAATGCAAGATCTGATTGATGCTTCGATCGAGTCTATCCTGCGTCAGATGACACCCGAGCTGCTGGGGCCTCTGATCCGCCTGGTCACGTCTAACTACTATGGACGCTCGGGAGATCGTATCTTGGAGTCTGCTAAAGCTATGCTGAGCCGCAACGGTTGGGAGATGCCACTCAAGTTCTGGGATGGCATGCCTGGCGATATCGTCCGGGAAATGGTAGCATCGGACGGCTTCTACGTTGACAGTGAATGGGATCGCTGGGTGCTGGCCAAGCGTCTGCTGGACCGGAGGCTACGGCAAGCTGCTCTTGGTACTGGGCTGATACAGCGAGGCCAGAGGCCCACCCCGAAAGCCCCGGGCTGGTCCTCGCTGACTGCTGTCCGTTTCGGTGGAGCATACCGTCAGGACGCGCTCACTATGCAGCAGTCCGCCACTGACGCACAGAGCGGCTGGCTCGCTCTGTACACTGACCCTGACATCGAACGTATCTTGGTGCTGTTGGACGAGGGTATTCACTACGTCCATATGGAGTATGAGCAGTTGGAGTTTATCCGGAAAGCACGCGACATATTCGGCCTGCCAGTCTTGCCAGACAAGGTCATTTCGAATGCTCTATGGCAGCAGCTAGAACTCCGTCAAAAGGTACTACATGCAGACGATTCCTCACAAGAGCTGGGTCTATGCAGCCAATCGCCGGAGCCAGCTGCAGTGAACGCAGGTACAAAAACGGAAGGCTACGACTCCAAGGGCAAACAGACGGCTGTCGTGCCGACCCAGGACGACGACCAAGAACCTGGGTGGGAGTCAGGCAGCTGGGACGGAAACGGACACCCTCGAAGGTTCTGGATACCAAGCTCGGACTGCAACATTGTCTTAGGAAATGGTGCGGATCCTGTCGTCACCACTTCAAGCTCGTTCCAGCGGCATGCAACGAGACTGTCTGCTACGTTACAGCCAGAGGATGCGCAGTGGGCCACTGACTTTGCCTCATCGCCAGGCACCATGGCAAATCCCCATACTCGAATGGACCATGGCCGGCCGATATCTGCAGGTGGAAGTAATGCTGGTCAGCCGAAGCCAATCACTTATACCGAGTTCCCTCCGTTCCGCTTCGCAGCCGAATTCCCCAACCCTCGCTTCTTGAAGGAAAAGAAGCGGGTCTACTCACGGACTGTGTCATACGCCGGCTCGCTATGGAACATATATATCCAAAAGGTCAGATCGGCTAAGAATGTCCAGTTGGGCGTGTATCTGCACCGCGCAAAAGAACGTGATGTGGACGACAATATTCATGCAAACGGCGTTAGCCAACAAAATGCAGGGTCGGTCAACGAACGGATTGGACAGGTTGAGAGAGACCTATCACTGCGTAACGAACGACGAGAACGGCGCCGGAGTGGCCGTGCTCCACCTTCAGATAACGTAAACGATGAGGATACCAGTGGCAGCGGTGGCGACCCAGATGGGACCTTGGTATCTACAGGATCTCGGAATCCTCTATTCGCATCTGGCTCGCTGGTTGGTCGTAGAAGCGGAACCATCCCTCGCCTGTCATCGACTCGAGGCCCTTCACAGTTCCAGTTCCCGGTCATCACGTCACCGGAGATGGAAGCAGAGGGCTCCACGAGCTCACCCTTCTTCCCTTTGACTCTTGATGCACCTTCGGATAACCCTTCTGACGAAACCGATGACGATGAAGATGGCGTGCCGATCTCGTACGCGAATCCCTCGCTGTCACAGCGTAGGCCTCGCGCAGCCATTTCGACTCTGCCGTCGTACGTGGATGCTCGTCCAACGATCAAGACTTACTTCAAGATCTACAGCCCCTCGAAAGGTGGCAGGATGTTGAGCATCTACGAGAGCGCGCCCGACCGCTTCAATTTCAGCCAGAGCTGGGGTTGGAAGAGCAGCACCTTGATGCTGGACGAAGTTGCCCTCACAGGGGGCGCCGTGGAACCTACTGCCCCAGAAGAAGGTATTCCCGGGAAGAAGGGAGAGGGCAAACTGAGATTCATGGTTGTTATCGGAAACTTGTGAGGGTTTGATTCATGAGGAGCAATACCCTGCAAGGTTACGATCATGCGTTTTTTTACACTGCACGATACCACGATTTGCATTTATGTATTTCCTGCATTAGCGCCTAGGTAGGATTTCTCTTTTGGCGGTTTTGAAAGCGATAGCTCAGGGTTGCGCTGTGCAGATACCTACACAACTTATGATTTATGCAAACTCATTAAACGGTCAAGCGTTCGAATTGGAAACCACGAAGCTTCAATATTGGAACCATGAGTCCTACCCCGCGGATGAGCCAATCAGACGGCCCGGACGCTAACATCGCCACTAGTCATCACCATGCCACCGTGAGCATTGCACTCACGCGGACCGCGCCCCCGGCTTTGGGAAGATTCCCCGCACTCCTCACACGTATAACGTGTTGTCCCAAAGTAGTAATCCGTAGAGCGGTAAATGTCGGCTGTGGACACTGTTTTGAGAATCCACGTTGACGTCGCCAGCGATATACATGCTCAAAAGCTCAGCGGTCAGCAGAAAGCATACCTTTGAGCTCCATTTCCCTTAGCATACATACATCAAAATAGCATATACCCTACTAATGCCCAAAAGAAAGGCAGAATCCAACACCATGACCGATGTCCAGATGCATAACACCAACGGCTCAACGGCCTACGGCAAGGCTGCTGTCAATGGGCTGTTAAAGGAGGAATCGAAACCTGCGGCGCCGAAACAGACGAACAGGGATGATTTGCAGTTGGTGCTTCAAAGCTTTAGGCTCTTGATAGCCGACCTTTGCCAGCAGTTCGGCATGGGTAGATGTCATCTCGCGAATCGGCCGTCGTCTATACGCTAACAGCCTCAGGCCACCCCGGCGGCGCAATTGGTATGGCTGCCTTTGGCGTCGCCCTTTGGAAGTACACGATGAGATACGCGCCACACTCAGCAGACTGGTTCAACAGAGACAGATTCATACTTTCGAATGGTCAGCAATGTTGCATTGGGCCTCAGGGGACAGGCTAACACGCTGTAGGACATACATGTTTGTTCCAATACGCCAACCTATATCTATCTGGATACAAAGCTATGACATGGGAGCAGCTTTTATCATACCACTCCGAGCGTCCTGATAGCCTTTGTCCAGGGCATCCTGAAATCGAACACGAGGGCATCGAGCTTACCACGGGGCCTTTGGGACAGGGCATTTCGAATGCAGTAGGACTAGCTATCGCTACTAAGCATCTAGCTGCGACGTTCAATCGTCCGGGATTTGAAGTTGTGAACAATCATACTTGGTGCTCGATAGGTGACGCGTGCTTGCAAGGTATCTCTCTTCCCACGAAGTTGAAAACAAGAGACTGACAGATTTCCAGAGGGCGTTGGCTGCGAAGCCCTAAGCTATGCCGGCCATCTCAAACTCAACAATCTCACAGTGATATACGACAACAATCAGATAACATGTGACGGTTCCGTCGACCTCACAAATACCGAAGATGTGAACAAGAAAATGGAAGCCTGCGGCTGGGAAGTCGTTGACGTAGTGGACGGTGTGAACGACGTGGAAGGCATCGTAGCTGCACTCGAAAAAGGCCGCGACCCGAAGCGCACAAAACCTCTTTTCATCAATGTACGCTCCATCATTGGCGTTGGATCAGCAGTAGCAGGCCAGGCGGTCTCACATGGCGCTCCACTGGGCAAGGATAATGTCGCAGCCATGAAAAAGGCCTATGGCTGGGACACCGAGAAGGTTTTCCATATCCCCGATAAGGTTAAGAAGTTCTACGAAGATATTCCCGCTCGGGGCGAGAAGTATGTTAAAGAATGGAACGACTTGCTGGTGCGGTACACCAAGGAGTATCCCGACCTCGCAGCGACGTTCAAGGACCGCATGGCCGGCAAGCTGCCCTCTAACTGGGCCTCCATGATCCCTTCCTCTTTCCCTGCGGACCCCACGCCCTCCCGCAAGTCCAACAACATGGTGGTGGGCAAGATTTTCGCGGAATGCCCAACCTTCATGGTCGGAACAGCGGATCTCACGCCCAGCGTGAACATGACATGGCCTAACTACGAGATCTTCAACCCGCCGGATCTCACTCCTATCTCCGGGAAGAAAGGCTCATACAAGGGCCGCTACATTCACTACGGCATCAGGGAGCACGTCATGGCCGCCATCGCCAATGGACTCGCGGCCTATGCGCCCCGCACAATCATCCCCATCACCAGCACCTTCTTCATGTTCTACCTCTACGCCGCGCCCGCCGTGCGCATGGGTGCGCTGCAGAAGCTCAAAGTGATCCACGTCGCGACGCACGACTCGATCGGCGCGGGCGAAGACGGACCCACGCATCAGCCCGTCGAGCTCGCCGCGCTATACCGCGCGATGCCACACCTCGAGTACATGCGGCCCGGCGACAGCGAGGAGGTCGCGGGCGCGTGGGCGCGCGCGATCGAGTACGCCGACGGGCCCTCGATGATTAGTGTGAGCCGCCACGCGATCCCGCAGCTGCCGGGGCTCACGCGGCGCGCCGGGGTTGCGCGCGGCGCGTACGTGCTGCAGGAGGTCGAGGATGCAGACGTCACGCTCATCGCTGCGGGCGCGGAGCTCAGCTTCCCCGTCAGCGTTGCGCGGCAGCTCGCCGAGACGCACCGCGTCAAGGCGAGGGTGGTGAGCTTCCCGTGCCACAAGCTGTTCCGGGAGCAGCCGGTGGCGTACCAGCGCGAGGTCCTGCGGCGACACGAGGGCATTCCTGCCGTCGTCATCGAGCCGTATGTCAGTCTGGGGTGGGAGCGGTGGGCGGATGCCGGCGTCAACATGAAAGGGTATGGGCACTCGCTGCCGGGGAAGTATATCTATGAGCATTTCGGATATACGACCGAGGGCATGGCGGAGGGGATTGAGGGGTTCGTGAGGGAGTTTAAGGAGGGGAAGGTGGGGAGGGGAGAGTTTGTGGAGTTGTGATGGGCATAGGGTGAGGTTCAGGTGGCTCTGAGAGTTCGTCGCCCCCACGGAGCCACAGACGCCACCATTGCCGAACCTGAGCAGCGGAATGATACAGCTGTGATTTTTTTGTCAATATGTGAAGAATTGCGCGTGAGAAACTTGTGGGAAATGAGCGTTTCTTCTTATTGTGCAAGGACCCACAGGCATAACACAAGTAGCAGTTCCTTCCGCGCTCTTGGACCCCTTTCCCCTTCCCCATTGTCTTGCAGCACGCACACGGCATGGAATCCACCCAGCCGGCGCGGCTTGCACAACACCAAGCCCTTCCCTAGTTCCCATCTCAACATCGTTCTCGACATCTTCCTCGCCCACAAATCCTGCAGACGATGCCCAGAACACCACCAGCTCATGTCATTGTTGCTGCTTGCTGAGGGTGGTGTCGAAAATGGAGTTCACGGTTATAGGCATGTCGAAGTATCTGCGCTGGAGTGGAGAGTGTTGCCCCGACCTGACTGACATACATCGTCAAGTGAATCGCCTCCGCGCTGCTTCTTAGCCCGTCTTCTGAAGAAGACATGCTTGGCCCATTTCCATGCCTCACATTCGGCGAAAAAGAGAGCCGCCTTGACAAGGAAAACGCCCCATTCCCACGTGATGCCCTCATGCTTGAAGACAGCATGGTTGATCACGGGTATGTGAAAAGGTCGGGATTGTGGTGACGAATCCAGCGATGATGGCCCAGAACAAGAATAGGCTGCTTCGGCTGTCTTCCCACCAGGAGTAGAAGACGTAGCAACAGCGGTAGCCGGTGCAACGCGGTTTCTGACGGAAGAAAGACCTCCGGAAATTGACCATTTCCCACGCGAGGAAGAGGGCGAACGAGTTCAGACACACAAAGGTCGTCGCGCGTGCCCGGAAGACGAGGTAACATCGCTCCGAGTGCGAGTTGTTGCAGTTCTTGCCCAGGTCGCCGTTTCCAAAGCCATACGCCACAAAAACAAAGGAGGCAAGACACAGTGTAGCCATCCAGCTTCCGTAGACGACCATATCAACAATGAGCTCGAGGTTGAACACGCCCGTCTTCAGGATGTGCGGCGGCCGGCTCATGACGTTCGGCTCGGCGCCATTCATTCCCAAGTCCATTTGAGGCATACCACTGGTCGCCATCGTGACCAGGGACTCTGGGACGGTGCCAGCGGAAACACCGAAATGACTACCTCGTCCTTGAAGTCGAGTCAAATAGAGAGTGTGGCGGCCTGCGCGATACTCTCAGCCAGCACATGGAGGTTAGTCCGCTTGATGTTATCGAATAGGCCGCGACCTTCCTCCACGGCATTGAGAATCAATGCAAGATCGTCGTTGGTCAAATCATGTCGGAAGCATCCGTGGCAACATTGCTGCCCGCCTGGCCCATAGCAATGCCCATGTCCGAACGTACAAGCAACGGCGAGTCGTTGATACCTTCACCTGTCATCGCGGTGAATAACAATGTGTGCTCGGGCACAACCCGCAACGGAATCAGCAGATTCTGGACGAAGTGGGTCGTAGAGGCCACTCAAGCCATAAAACGTGATGCTGTTCGACGTCCGCACGTTTGACCTCGCTATAATCAGTGAGCTCCGGCCCGGTCCACTCTGTGCTTGCCAGACAACACATGCGAAGTCCCTGGTAGGCAAGACAGTCGATACTATCGTTTATCGTTACCTGGCCGGCGTCTGTGATGGGTCGTGAATTGCCCTGCCCGTCCTGTATAAAGTCGCACGGAGGCAGAACTCGTTTGAGAGCTCCCGTTGTAAAACCCGAACGTGAGGCATACTTTTCACGGTCTATACTGCGTCGACCGTAGAGTACAGGCATGCAATTGGTATCGGAATCGAACGCGTACCCAGATAGGCAGTGCCAATCAAGGTTTCTCGATTCAGAGCGTTTGGCTTTTATTTCCTACTACTCGCCACTGATCTGATTCGCCACGTCGATCTCAAAGGCATTAATCTCAAGGAAGGCGCGGTGGCCGCCGCCGAGAGCGCGGTCAGACTCCTCAAGCGCGAGCAATAGGTCAGACATCTCGGCGGTGGGCTGCCGAAGGCATTCGAAAAATGGATCGTAGCACATCATAGTCATGTCTGTCCTTATTGGTATTATCATCAGCTATGGTAGCATGCTTGCCAACGGATTTGCCTTGCGCCAGAGGTGGATCGATTTCGAGAGTTATATCCTGTGGCCGATGGCTATTAGTGTAAGCTGCTCGTTCGCAACCGTCCCTCGCCTCGCTGATAACCTTGTGTAGCTTTCACCATCGGAACATGCGGCATACTTAGAACGGACGATCTCCTAGCCTGCTTCATTGCTGGCAATGCACTCAACTGGAACGGAATACACTTGGAAGCAGCAGAGAAGCGCCATGTTAAAGTGAATAGCTGTTTTGACGTCATCCTCAACTTTGGTGGCTTCATGTACATTGGTACTATAATCCCCTGGTGGCAGTCAGACGCCCGATGTCACTGGCATTCACGTGGGCCGTCTCTTCATCCTCGGCTTTCTTGTTATGACATTCCGACGCATCCCGGCCAATTTTATGACATATAATACACTGGTGCCGCGCTGCGTCAAAGACTGGAAAGACACCCTGTTCATAGGATTTCTCGGTTCAATCGGTAAGGGTGTATTTGTCGCGGCACGATCGAAAGTACTGGCCAATACCCCTAGGAATCGGCGCAGTGATCTATGTAGAACACGTGAAAGCCCGGTGAAGCCACCACCGATGAGGAAGAGAACCTGGCGGCCGCGATGATCCCCGTTGTGTACTGGCTCGTTATCTTCTCCGTCGTCTTCCACGACCTGTTGATTCCCGCTCTCGACGCCTTTTACTGCTTCAAAGCGTACTTCCTACCGTCGAAGACGAGCCTGCTGAAGTGCGCATGCGCTCAGATGCTGACGCACTCCCCGCCATTTCGTACGCAACCTCAAAGCGCAATTCTGTTATCGTACACAACAGATGTTCGCGTCCTGTCTCGGGTGCGACACTGCAGCGTTGGAACCGGACTCTAGTCTCGCAACGCACGCAGAGCTCAGGGAATAAGATGGATATGTTCCGCCCTGCATCGAGAAGCCCGATGAGGAGGCGTTGCGGGCCAGGGCTGGACTGCAAGACGGTCTGGTACGACAATGATATTGACTGATTCGGGGGGTGAAGGAGGTGCGGTTCTCGCGTCCATATGCCACTCGTTCTTTTCGTTCCTTTTGTTCCTTTTGTTTGCGTCTGGTGCTGATTGTATTAAGTGTACAACCAGTCATACTCATTTGACGATCTGGTTGGAAATCATAGGAAAGGCCACATGGACGTAACAGTGTTTCCGGGCTTCCCTTGCCACCAGGATGATGGGTTGCGGAGCTGCAGTGACTGCCACACGTGGATGCGCTAGCGGTGAAGGGTGAGTTTGTAGATAATCGACGATTGGAATTGTAGTCTGTTGGGCGGGTGCACGTTAGTGGGTGGCGTTCCATCTGGGGCGGGTTTAACGCAGTGTCGAGGTCGCAATGTAAGGTGTTAGTGAGGTCAGATGAAAATTGATCAACGGAGTCCTGGAGCGCGATTCCACACGTGACATGAGCCGCTAAGGTCTTCGGTTCCTCTAGAACGGATATGGGAGCCCCACGGAGACAGGCGAGGTTAGCAACGGCATCGACAATAATGTTTCGCTAGCACTCGGAGGGTTGTTCGCGTGGGCAGGTACGACGGGCTTTAAGTATGGGTGCGATGGGTGTTCAGATGCGTAATCGAGATGATCTCTCGGTTCGACTTCAAGATCGGCGGCTAGAGGAAGGAGCGAAAATCGGTCGATTAGCGAATGTGAGCTCCGGGCGTTGTACTAGAGCTCCTCCTCGGACCAGACCTGTAAGCAGACGACTGCACAAGTGTATTATTATCAACGATGACGCAAGAAGCGATGCATGCCGGGCCATGGCAACAGTTCGCCAGAGCGTGAACATGGTGCGGAGTCGTGAAACATGTCCTTAATGGCTTCTAGTCAGTGACCCAAGGGACTCAACCGGGGTTCACTGAGGATATTTTGCATCAATTAGTCGAGACGAAACATTGTACGTCCATTGAATATGACCCGAAACACCCGGAGGAATAGTATAGATGAAGGATTCGACCGCTCGCTGTGTACTGTCAAAGGTAAGCAAGCGAGAGTTGTGAGGACTGTTGACATTGAGCGGATATAACCGTTTGCTAGCGGTCGCCGTAAGGCTCGGGAGTTGCTTTTAATAGGTAAGCTCGAAGAACTTTATTGAAGTTGGAGCAACGGCCGATCAGCACCCCACCAATTTCCTTGCTGGTGCGGTGTGGTGCCTTGCCAGTCGCCCACGGGAAAGGAGCCGCAGCCGCTGGGGAGGGATAATGCTTGTCGCAAGCCTTCCCCGGTACCATACGATGCGACCGCGAAAATTTCCTTGGACTCTTCCAGACATGGAATATCCAACTGAATGGATGTGGCTGACCTTCCCGGCAGGCCACGTTGTTTTCGTCTTGGTTGTGCGAAATTCGTGTGCAATGCATCTCACATTTCGCTAAAGCTTCTGCAACATGTGGCAGCGTTGCCGGTACATGAGTGTCTTGCTTGTTGCAGGTGGGACTTGTCGGACAACCGACTATTGTGGCTCTTGTGCATCTCGGAGCGGCAGCCGCCCCGGTGGCGTTTGTATAGCGCGTTTCAGTCAGGCGTGGTGGTTGCTTTTCTGCTGTGTCGTGCGGTTGCACAACTAGCGACATGAATGGCTGCCAGGCTCTTCCATTCAGTTGTTGCTGCTGATGTGACACGGTGCCTGTCTGAGGCCAGAGCACGCCCGAAGAAGGCCCACGAAGAGCTTTGGTCCGAGATTTGGGCGGTGGGTTGCACGTAAGGCGGGCCGCAATTTCGTGCTGTATGCCATTGCGGCGAGGCGTGTCACGGCGTCTCCTTTGGGGATGTGTGACATGGAAGGGGAAGCGACTAGCAACAGAAACGAAACAGCGAGCTGCCAGCGGGCGCCAGACACGGTGATATCACGTTGTTGCCCCCCGGCTGGAGGGACGGACGGCTGCGGCTCTAGCGACTGTCAAAACGCAGCAGTGCATGAGTCGCAGGCGGCGGCTCGGACGGTGGGCGCAACGGCCTGCTGGCTCGTGGCCGACCCGGCGCGGCCACGGGGGACAGTTGAAACGCAAGGCTCGCAGCACGAGTCGGGCCAGCGAGACGCCAGCAGATGGCGGGCAGGCAGGCTGCGGGACGTGAAGCTGCGGCGGGCGAGCCGAGTTGGTGTGGGCATGACGACGGCGGCCGTGGGCGTGGGCTGGGGTGGATGCGAGCGTGCAGGGGGGACTGGCAAGGACGGCTGCCAGTGCTGGGCTGGGTAAATCACTCTGTGCTGTCCGTGCTCCATTCGCGAGCAATCGGCGTCTTCCTGCGTCGTCCTGGAGCGACTTCTGGTGCATGCAGCTGCAGCTCTCTTGGGTGACCAGCCTCTGACCACCGCATCTGCCGTCGATAGGTCGACGTTGCTCGCCCTGTGTAGCCCCAGCCGAGCGTAGCAACGGCTGCCGCCCGCGCCCCGACGCTGCCCCCCCATCATGGACGCTCACCCCTCGCGCAAGCTCGTCAAAAAAGCCAAAGGCCCGCCCATCAGCTTCAACAACGTCCGCAACCACTCGCTCCAGCGCGCGCCCTCGGCACCGACGTATCCCTCGTTCCACGCCCAGCGCACCGCCGACCCCGCGGCCGCCCCCTTCGCCCTCGCCCTCGCGGGAGAAGCGCAGCCGTCGCCCTCACCACCGCTGCTGCGGCGCCAGACGTCCAACCCAGCCATCTCGCTCACCCGGCCCGCTGCCTCTGGCGCCAGCTCCTCGCACTCGCTGCGCACCACCCCGGAGCTCGTGGGCGCGCCCTTTGACGCGGCCGCCATCAACAAGAGCATCAGCGCGACCATCGCCACGCAACGCCCCCCGCTCGCCCACCAGCCCTCGTCGCGCGCAGCCGACCACCCGCCGCCGCAGTCCAAGAAGAAGCCCGGCAAGTCGCCCAAGCTGCGCCAGAGCGCCAGCTTCACGCTCGCCCGCAGGATGAACGACACAATCACCCCGCCGCGCTCCGACGGCGGCACCAAGTCGCCCCGCCAGCGCTACTCGGACGAGGCCGACGCCGCCCACTCCAAGAACCGCAAGTCGGACGGCGGCAAGAAGAAGGGCGCCTTCTCGAGCTTCATGAACAGCATGCTCGGCTCACCGCGCCGCCCCACCATCTCCACGCCCACCAACCCCATGCACGTCACCCACGTCAGCATCGACAACGAGACGGGCGAGTTTACCGTGCGTGCCACCTCCCTTCCCCGCGTGCCTTGCTGTCGCTGACCGAGTCTAGGGCCTGCCCAAGGAATGGCAACGCATGCTGCAGCAGAACGGCATCACAGAGCAGGAGCAGAAACAGCACCCCCAGGCCGTCATGGACGTCGTGACCTTCTACAAGGACAACGCAGAGAAGAACGAGGAGGACGCGATATGGGACAAGATGGGACCAGCCCAGGCCTATGCCTACCAGGCAAACGTGACCCCAGGCTCGGGCTACAGCAACATCCAGCCCTTGCTCAGCCCTCCCCAGAGCCCGCGCTTCCCGCGCAACGACCTCGACAGCTTCGAGAACCCGCGTGCCCCGCCGCCAATCCCTCGCAGCCACACATCGCCTGGCATGGGACCGCCTGTCTCCCCGCAAATAAATGGCACCCTCATTCCAAATCGGCCCGCTCCGAAGCCACCGGGGGCATCGGCCGCGAATTTGGTCCCCAGCCGCCCTGCTCCTTCGGCGCCCAGTCAATCTTCGCAGCAACCCTTGCAGACACCGCGGGAAGAGAACGCCTATCCACAAGTTGCATATGTTCCTCCGACCGTGACGGACAGTCCACATGGCACGTCCTCCGCACCGCGAAGTCGAGCGAACACGACAGGTGGCACGCCGCCCCGCTACGACTCGCCATCAAGCGCGACGGCCATGTCCCCTGCCCAGCAGTACCAGCAGCAGCAAGCCCAAGCTATGGCTGCTGCCCAGCAGTCCATGTCCGTCAAGCAGCCTCAGCTGGCACGGGCTCTGAGCCAGAAAACACCGCAGCCACAGCCTCCGCACCTGGCTCCTGCCGTCCCCGCGCCCTCGCAGCCATCGCCCCAGCAACAGTTTGCTCAACAGTCTGACCCACAGAACATTCCTCTGCCATCTCAGCAGGCACGCGTGGGCCCAGCGCCCCGCCCTCGACAGAGGCCTCGACAAAGCCAGGGTCCCGACATTGTGGCCAAGCTGAACGCCATCTGCACGAACGCCGACCCCACACTGAGATACCGGAATCTGAACAAGATTGGACAGGGTGCTTCTGGTGGCGTTTTCTCCGCCTACGAAGTCGGTAGCAACAAGTGTGTGGCAATCAAGCAGATGAACCTGGAACAACAACCTAAGAAGGACTTGATCATCAACGAGATCCTTGTCATGCAGAACAGCAAACACAGGAACATTGTGAACTTTATGGATAGCTTCCTCGTTCGGGGAGATTTGTGGGTTGTCATGGAATACATGGAGGGAGGCAGTTTGACGGATGTCGTAACCTTCAACATCATGTCAGAAGGGCAGATCGCTGCCGTCTGCCGTGAGGTAGGCAGAGACGGGTCCCTTGTTCTAAGCAGACGCTGACTTTCCCAGACACTGAACGGTCTGCAACATCTACACTCAAAGGGAGTTATTCATCGTGACATTAAATCTGATAACATCCTGCTTTCCCTGGAGGGCAATATCAAGCTGAGTAAGTCCGGCAATATGTTCATCCCACACGCCTGATCTAATGTGCCACAGCCGACTTTGGATTCTGTGCCCAGATCAGCGAGACCCAAAACAAACGTACCACCATGGTAGGAACACCGTACTGGATGGCGCCGGAAGTAGTTACGCGGAAAGAGTATGGCAGGAAAGTCGACATTTGGTCGCTGGGTATCATGGCCATTGAGATGATTGAAGGCGAACCGCCATATCTCAACGAAAGCCCTCTGCGCGCATTATGGCTCATCGCGACGAACGGCACACCTACCATCAAAGATGAACAGGCCCTGTCGCCGGTATTCAAGGACTTCTTGCACTTCTCGCTGAAGGTAGATCCAGACAAGCGCGCCAGCGCCCATGATCTTCTTACGGTATGTACAACGTACAGTGCGGTCACCAAAACTTCCCGCTGACCATAGCACAGCATCCTTTCATTGCCACCGCAGAGCCTTTGAACACGCTGGCGCCATTGGTTCTCGCTGCAAGAAAGGCGCGGGCTGAGGAGCGTCGGAAGAAAGGTGGTATGTGATTGCATCTGATTGACTTCAGATTGCATCTCATCAGGGGCGGTGCAGGTCCAGCGGCAGCTCAGCCCAGCGGTCACGATTCGAGCATGGACGGAGTCATCTCGACATCCTCTTACGCCGAATGGTATCACCGAGCCCAAGATCTGTAGCCGGAATGGATTCCACAATAGCACGATCCTACTACTATGCCGGCAGCGCCTCGCCTGCCGATGAGCCGGCGTGTAGCGGACACATCACCGACACAGGACCAGGAACGCGCACTTTGGATCAGAATATCCAACATCTATAACCGACGGCGATGTCTCCTTTCGTGGACTTCGCATTTTAACGGACGTTCCTTTTTTGGCGCGGGACGATCCTCACTTTTTGGCATTGCCTAGTCGAGCACACTTTTCTTTCGGCAAAAGGTATATCTTCCACGCAACGGACCATCGGGCCCGAGCATCTAGCGAATCACACCTAGACGATAACTGGATCCTTCACATTTTCCCCGGCCGCATGGCCATTGGTTTTTTACGCGGCGTTTTTACTAGGCGCAAGCATGCAATATGGAGCGTTTTATGCTCATTGGCTAGATGCGTTTTCGCGACGGAAATTCCCTTCCTGGTGGTCTCACGCATTTCGAGCCGGATGACGAAGACGGCATTCTGGTGCTTTTTACATTACCCTTTTACTTTAGTGTGTATAACTGGCGGTAGCTTCTGGGTGAGGCTCCTGCAGGAGCCGGGTTAACGGGCGGCATCATTGGCATACAAAAACTCGGCCCGTCGAACACAGGCTGTCGAAGACGCCCTTGAAACGCAGTCTTCGCGCATTTGAGAATGCAGTTCAGCGTGCCTTTTTCACCGTCCACAAACCCTGTTGCATGTGTCGTGACTACCGTGCGATAGCCTCTTAATGGCGTCGCAGCTTCGCAACGCTGAGGGAACTTGACGGTGTATAATTCTATGCAGTGCTGCACAGGCGAATGCAATGACCACAACCGTATGATTGGGCATGCAGTGCACAGAGCAAGCTTGGGCGCCCCTCAAGCCACAATAACGGATGTACATAACATTGAACGAAAGGAGAGAGGGTGGAGGTTGGCCTAGTAATCATCGATGCATCCGTGGAGCTTCGATGTGGCGCTACCCTGCGCCACAGCTTCGTCAGCGGTCATCCCCGCTGGGCAGTTGCGTCAACCCACGCTCCACTCACTCCAGGCAGTTGCGCTCCTCGACTTCTTCCCGTCACAACTCCCGATTCTAACCTTCCAGACCGCAACTCAAAGTAACTTGGCGGTCGTACACTCGACATGTTTCGCGCGCAGACCAACGCCTTCGACGATGCTGTACTCAAGGCCACCGACGAGAACCTGACGAGTGAGAACTGGGAATACATACTCGTACGTTATGCACCACCCTATCCTCCCGTGCTCCGCTACACTCTCCGTGCGTGCGCAGCTTCTCGCGAACCTGAAGCTCGCTGCTCGATCTAGACTTACCGGTTATTGTAGGATGTATGCGACAAAGTGGGCGCTTCCGACACGGGCGCCAAAGATGCTGTCGCTGCTATGATCAAGCGACTCGCTCATCGGAACGCAAACGTCCAGCTATACACGCTCGAGCTCGCGAACGCACTCAGCCAAAATTGCGGGATACAAATGCATAAGGAGCTCTCTTCACGGAGCTTCACCGATGCGCTTCTCAGACTCGCAGCAGATCGCAACACACACCAGCAAGTGAAGGCCAAGATCCTCGAGCGCATGTCAGAGTGGTCGGATATGTTCGCCAGAGATCCAGATCTCGGCATCATGCAGGGGGCCTACGAGAGGTTGAAGTCGCAGAGTACGTCAAAAAGCTGTGCTGAAAAGTGATTGGCATAGACTGACCGTTTTAGACCCAAACCTGCGCCCTCCTTCGAAGCCGCAAAAGACCCAAATCACCGACGTGGATCGCCAGAAGGAAGAGGAGGAGCTCCAGATGGCACTTGCCATGTCGATACGGGAGTCGAAAGGTGCAGCACCGTCGTCATCCAAGTCAAACGCCCCGCAGGATTCGACAGGAACCGAAGGCTCTCAGGCTGATGCGCCAGCCCAACCGGTCCCCGCAGGCACGACTGCAGCAACCGTGTCACGAGTACGTGCGCTCTACGACTTCCAGCCGTCAGAACCAGGAGAGTTGCAGTTCAGAAAGGGCGATGTCATCGCGGTGCTCGAGTCAGTATACAAGGACTGGTGGAAAGGCTCACTGCGCGGCCAGACCGGTATCTTCCCGTTGAACTACGTGGAAAAGCTACAGGACCCCACGCCACAAGAGCTGGAGCGGGAGGCGCAGATGGAGGCAGAAGTTTTTGCACAGATCAGGAATGTGGAGAAACTGCTCGCGTTGCTGAGTACCACGTCGCAAAGTGGAGGTGATGCGAGAGAGAACGAGGAAGTCACGGAGCTGTATCACTCGACACTGTCCATTCGACCGAAGCTGATTGAGCTCATTCAGAAGTATTCGCAAAAGAAGGGTAAGCACGCCGTTGACATTCAGAACAAAATCAGGGCTGACTTGAGGTAGACGATTTCACACAGTTGAACGAGAAGTTCATCAAGGCGCGACGAGACTATGAGTCCCTGCTTGAGGCATCGATGGCACAACCCCAGCAACCTTATGGCGGTCGTCCATATGGTGGGTACAATGCCCCTCCCGCAGCTGCCTACGGTGGCTATCCTCCGACATCACCTCCACCGCCGCACTATGGCGGTGCACCTCCGGCGTCCCAACCCCCCCCTTCACAATACCCCCCTTCAGCCTCGAACCCCGCATTTTTCATGGTGTCCCCCGGGCAACAGCGCCCCCAGCAGCCGACCCCGAAGCCTGAGCCACCCGCAGACGCATACCCTCAGCAAGGACGAATTCCCTCTGGAGGCCGTCCACAGAGCTTTGCGCCGCAAGAGCTGAGTACTGGACACTATGACTCTCCCGTCGACAAACGCCATTCTTTTGCTCCGCCACAGGGTGCCCCCTCAGCACCACCGCAAGACTACGCATACCCACCTTCGCAATCGCAGCCGCCGCAAGCACCGCCTGGATACCCGCCCAACACGAACGCACCGTCAGCTCCGCAGAACCCGTACGACCAAGTGGCGTCTCCGTATCCACCAGGCCAGGCACCTCCACCACAGACGCAATCGCCATCCGACCCGTACACACAGCCGCCGCCGCCGCAACAACAGCCTGGCTTTGGCTACCCGCCGCAACAGCCCAATCACGCACCCCCTGCTCCGCCGGGAGCGACTGGCAGCCCGCCACCGCAGCAGAGTTACCTCCCATACAGACCCGGCGGCCAAGCACCAAGCGCGCCGCCTGCTGGCGGCGACGAGGGGTTCTATCGGTAGATGCAGGTAGAATGAGATGGGATGACGGATGTACGGGGTTTGTATGAGTAACATTGGCATGTTTGTATGATCGCAGGATCAGTTGAGACAAGGAGTGTTAGCAAGATACCACGGCATGGTCATTTGCTGATTTTCGAAGCATACGAAATTGAGTGTTATTAACGGCCTGACCCCGCCACCAAGTTATGCGCTGACGCCTACGTCTCTGCTCACGTGTATAGTGCTGAGACCAGAGTCTGAGTGACCCAAGGTAGGCAGTACAGGGCCTGATTATACTCTGGTTGTCAACCCGGTAGTCTAGTTTAGTTCGCCCGGCTGGACAGGGCTAGTCGCTGGGGCTCCGATCGATCGGATATGTTTCGGAGATGGAGTTGCCGCTGTCAGGTCCCATGGAGGGGTAGTTGTATTTGCCGACGCGAGAGGGCGTTTGCTGTTCTGATCTACTCCAGGTTTGGCCTGCCCATGCATGCGGGAATGGGGGCAGAGGCGTGGTGTGGTCTGAGACTCGTTGCATCGGGATGACGGTTGCCGGTGTTTGGATGCTGGATGGCTGAGCAAGAGGACATGTTTAGGGGAGAAAGCCGGGATGATTAACAATGGTCTATTGTGAGTCTGGTTATATCTCAATACGCATGTAGTTTTCTTCTAGCACAACAGAGCTAGATATAAGAGGGTTTGCTTGCCCCCCATGGCGCTCGGAAACAGCCGTATATAGTTTTACATGTAGAAAAGGTTATACCAAAGGGTGCCCTCGCAATCATCCTCAACACGTGTGACGAAACGGCAGGTGAGCAGACGGGCGGAAGCGGAATTCATTCCTCGGGTTGGTCTTCCACGCGGTTAGCCCCGCGGGCTGTGGGGTTGAAAATCGCAGCAAAGGGTCTCGTTTCCCTTTCGAGCAGCGCACGCAAAACGGCGCTCAGCCAATCGGGGCGCGGGCGTATCGACCCTCGCACCCGGCTCTTTCTTATCCACCCGTCTGCTTCTGCTCGGCTACCGACACCACTCATCAACCTCTCCCAAACCTCACCTCACCTGTTTCTTGCGGCACGGCACGGCGTTGCAGGCGATCCTTTGCAGAAAATCAGATACCCCGGTCCCGCAGGCACAATGGCGGACAAAGAGTTCACCTACTCGGATGTCTCTGAGCACAGCACGAAGAAGGACCTCTACATCGTCGTGCACGACAAGGTGTACAATGCGAGCAGCTTCGTCGACGAGCACCCGTACGTTTGCCCCCTTTGCCCACCTCACAGACAGCACACACCAGAGAATCCGCGGCCCTCCGACACCGCCGATCTCGAGAAGCCGCGACCCCGCACACACCTCGCTCCGCGATTGCCAGTGCTGGCGGCGGCCAGGACGGGCATGTGCTAACGTGTGCACAGCGGAGGCGAGGAGGTTCTTCTCGACGTAGGCGGCCAGGACTCCACCGAGGCTTTTGAAGACGTCGGACACAGCGACGAGGCGCGCGAGATCCTCGAGGGTCTGCTCGTCGGCAAGCTCAAGCGCCAGGTACGTCTGCCCGCTCTATTCCCCCCCGGAAATGCAAAATCAAACCTCGCCCAACGCTCTGCTCTGCGGGTCAGCCATCTTCCTGGAGACGGGCTCCCCAATATTCATCGACCCATCCCGCCCCAGCACGATAGCCGCGGCGTGGACGCCGCACCTACCTCAGGCGCCTGCCGTCTCGCGTGCCGGGCATACAGCTTGAGTGTGCGGGAATGACTGGCTGACGTGCAAGCAGGAGGGCGACCCAAAGCCCAAGTCGTACGCGCAGGCCAACGCCTCGGTCGCCGACGCCGACGGCGCCTCCACTGGCGTCGGCCTCTACGCCATCGTGCTCATCGGCGCGGCCCTCGCGTTCGGCGCCTACAAGTACCTCCAGGCGCAGCAGGGCGAGCAGTAGACGCGGACAACGCGGTGGGGAGAGGAGAGGACGTGGACTGTGTGAGGCGTGGCATAAAGGCAGCAAGCTGTGCATGGAGACGCATATAGCGATGATTTTTTCTTCCTGGGCGCAGCGTCCGTTGTTGGACGGGACGCTGCTTGGTTTGGGCGATGAGAGAATGTCGAGGGCGGCCAGTGGGTAGCAACCCCGTGGCGCTGTTGCAATAGACCACCTTTTTGCACTACTTGTTTGTTGCCGATGCTACTGGGCAACGAGCGTATGCTCTGCCGCTCAGCCTGAGACCTGAGAACAGCGCCTCGGAGACCTAAGTCACTCACAGCAAAGACCACGTCCGTCCGAGCATGCATCAACACACAGCATCGAAGTCAAGGGTATCATTCAAGTCTATATGCTTTTCCTTTCCTTTCCTTTCCTTTCCCTCCCTCCCCAAACGCCTCTACATCCCCCTAAACGCATTGTTACTCGCGCTCCTCCGCTCCTTGTCCTTCCTCCGATCGTGCCGTTGCCCTTGCGCCTCGCCGCCTGACTTCCCCCTCCGCTCCGGCGCAAACGTAATCTCGCGCTCGCCCACCACCGTCGTCGTGGTCCCGCCGGCCGGCCGCTGCGCCCGCATCTTGGCCACGCGCGCGCCGAACGAGCGGTCGCGGCTGGGCTCGCTCCTGCGCACCGACGACGACACCACCATCTGCGGGCCGGGCCGCTTGTTGTGCCCGGCCTTCTTGTACGACGCCGTCGAGATGCGCGTGTTGTCGGCAGCGCGCTGGGCGTGCGCGGGCTCGTCGTCCGAGCCGGAGCCCGAGTCGTCGTCGGACGACCCGCGCGCCGAGTCGAGGGCTTCCTGCTCGACGGCCGTGAGGCCCTTGGGCAGGCGCGTGCTGGGGTTGATGGCGTTGAATTCGTGGCTGGCCTCGTCCACCTCGAAGTCCTCGTCGTGGAAGAGGCGGGCGAAGCGCGGGTCGCTGAGAACGCCCTTTGGCGCGTCCGCATCCACATCCAGCTCCTCGACGGCGGGCGCGGCGCCGGATGCATCCGCGAGCACGTCGTCGTCGCCGCCCTTCTCAAGGACGCGCTTGGCGCGGCGCCGCTCGGCCTTGTCCTCGCGCTCCATGATCTTCTCCGCGAGCCTGCGGTTGACCTTGACGGCGACCTTCTTGGAGCCACGGATGCGCGACTCACGCTCCTTTGCGACCTTGTCCGCGATGCTCTTCTGGCGCTGCTCCTGCCAGAGGTCCGGGTTGGAGATGAGGCGGGCCTCCTCGTAGAGCTTCTGCGCGACGAAGTAGCCGTGCATGTAGGGCCGGAGAAGGCTCGTGGTGCCGATGAGGTGGTCGAGGTTGAGCTGGCGCAGCTGCTCCATGGTGAGAAACTTGAAGTTGTCGTAGACGTCGCCGCCCGAGTTCTTGTTGAAGGCGTTGGGGTCGTTGGGGTCTTCGGCCATCTCTTCCACGATGTTGTCGAGGAAGGCGCACCATCGTGGGGCGGGGCCGAGCTGGGGGATGAAGAAGGCGTGTTGCTGCTTGCCCTCGTTGGCGGTTAGGAGCATGCCGCTGTCTTTGCACCATTCGACGTGGTTGATGTCGACAGCGGGCTCCACCGACGTCCAGTGTTTGCCGTTGGAAGCATCCCAGATCTTGATGATGCGCTTGTCCGAGGTCAGGATCTTTGGCTCGGCGGTTTGGGCACGGCTGGAGGTGGCGGAGTTGAGGTAGATGATGTTCTTGATGGGGTAGCCGTAGCCCTGGTCTTTCTTGAGTATCGGGACGGGCGAGCGTAGATCGTATAGGTGGATGAGACCGCTGGAGTTTCCTGTTGCCAGCTCGAGGCCAGAGCGATGGAACTGCAGCGCGGAGATTTCGGAGCGCCCTTCGAAAGCGTCGGTCGGCGCAGACAGGATGCCTGCCCGATTCCGTGACCGCGGATCCCAAAACTCGACTGTGCCCAACGATGTGCCGAAGGCAAGCAGATTGTGGCTGTCCTCGGCGATGGCTGCGGTGTTGACGCTGCCGGCATTAATTCCTCCCTGCAGCGATCCCGCGCCGGTCGTGGTCATGTCGTCGCCCCCCACGTCGACCTCGTAGCTCTTCATGAACCTCCCCACCTCGAGGTTCAGTCTGTACACCTCGCCCGATCCTTCTGCGTTGACGCCGACGGAGGGTATGAGCGCTTCGGCCGAGTGCCTGTCGTATGCGAGGTCCCGCCCATAGCGCGGAATGCGCGTGCGGTAGTGCAGGCCGCCAGCGGTGTGGAGCTCCACGAAGCGGTCGGTCTGGAGATGGATCGACTTGGTCCAGTCGGAGGAGAGCAGCTGGAAGGTCTCGTTGATGGTGTTGGTATGGCGCTCGAAGCTCAGGGCGAGCTGCGAGAGGTTGTGCACGTGGATCTGGGGCTTGTAGGTGCCCGTGGACATGACCCACTCGCCGTCCTCGGACACACGCACACACTGGCTCGCCTCTGGGGGGTGTCAGTAGGCGGCGGGCATTCTCGCGGCGCGGGGTGCCTACCTTGGAACTCGAAGTCCTGCAGCAGCTCCACGCGCTGTGCGAAGGCGGCGTCCTGCTTGAGGCTGCGCTTGCGCCGGCGGACGAGCCAGTCCGGCAGCGGGCGCGCCTCGGCGCCGGCAATGGTGTAGACGGGCACGGCGCTGTCGTTTGAGATCTTCATGGCGACGGTCCTGCTCAGGTCGCGCGGGCAGCCTGTCGGTGCTGTCGAGACGGGCCTCAAAAGTTTTGGCCGAACTTTCTGAACGTCGGCGTTAGCGCAGCTGCGACGCAATCCCTGCCGCGCGCACACCCCCGCTCGCGTCTAGCCCTGTTCGGCCAGGGCATCCGCGTCCCATCGCTCGCCTTTCCCGCGTCCGTCCACCTCACCGCGTGGGGACCTCGAGCTGCTGCCCGGCCGCCATCCACGCACCACCACCGTCCCCGCCGCCAGCTCCCACGCGCGCCCGCTCTGTCCTGCCTGCTGCACGCGCTGACCGCCCCCGTGCCCCGCCCCCGCCCCGGGCGCGCCAGCTGAGCTGCGTTGCGCTGCGTTGCGCCATCTGCCGGGTCCTGCGCTCGGGCACCATGGTTGAGCTTGCGAGGGCGTGCCATGTCATAACCTCCTCCTCGTCCTCGTCCGCCCAGTCGCGCCTTCCCTCTCGGCCATAGCCGCACGCAGCAGTCGACGGGCGCCGACGGTGTTGATGAAGGCACACAGCGCCGCTCCGGGATTGCACATTCGACACCAGTACCACCTGAGCGTTCCATAGAGAGCCGCCCTCTCTAATGGAATTTCTCAAGACCTGCAACACCAATGCGCAAGCTATCGTATGTGTCGCCCATGATGTTGTGTGAGCGAAAGCATCAAGCGGTTCACGGCGCTGACCAGCTGCAGGGAGATTTCGAAGCCGTCGCATACCAAGCTTTCTCAGTCGCGCGCAATCCCGCCCGCTCCTCGTCGAGTACCCTCGACTGGAACCCGTCCGATGACATACGCGTCGCCGAGGCCGAGTTGCGCAGCGCACACCACATTGTGCTCCACGATGCGGCACGCGCCTGGCTGTGGCTGTTCCGCCCTGCTGCGCCCGACCACGTCGCCCAGCCGCCGCTGGATCCCCCGGCCCTCGACGACTTTCGCTTGAACAGTGGGTTGCACAATCTCTATCCTGGCGCCCACGGCTAATCTGTACAAGGAGAACAGCACGGCGTTGTGAAGGCCCACGAGCTAGAGCAGCGGTCTGCGCGAAACCCCCGGAATGCGCCGCCATCTGCCGCCTCCAACTCCCCCGTTACACCACGCCCGCAAAAGGCAATCCACGGCGGCGCTGCTCAGCAGTCGCAGGGTGGGGCCCCGCTTGTCACCTCGGACCAGCCGCAGCATGACGTTGTTGCCATCTATGGACTCTTCACCTCGGCTGTCGTTGCTTTGATATCCTTCCATCTAGTGAAAGACTACAACGCAATTGCTTTGAACTACCGTACTTTTGCTTCCTCGTCTGTCCTCTCTCGCGACTCCGGCTTTCGCCACGCTAGTCCCAGACCACCTCTCCGAATCACAAATGTTGATGTCGCTTGGGCTTCTGCAGGCACACTCGTAGTATCGACCTTCTCGCTGACCAGGTCTGACATGCACTGTCTGGCCGACATCACTCCCGATGATGAGCAGAAGCGCTTAGTAGGCAAATGCGTTCGTGTTGCCCCAAATGGCATCTTGGCTAAAGTTATGAGCTTCACGGACCCTGTAGACACCACCGCCGACGATGCGGGCCAGAAGCCGCAACGGAAAAGACCCAGATTCAGCCCGCTGGAAAAGAGCATCGAGAGATGGAAGTCTAGTGTGAAGCGCTGGTTGTCGTGGAAAGGCTACTCCATCCCTCTCCTTGACAACAAGGACTCTTGGGTCAGAATCCAGTTTGCACACATGGGCCAAGCCGTGGCATCAAGCCCGGCCTTCTCTAGACCCGCGCGGGAAGTCCTGTGGCCACGAGCCTTGTGCTTCTGCTTCCTCGAATCGCCGAATGACGCGCACTTACTTACGTCCCACGAGGAGCTACCACTGCAGGACGCTGATGCACTGGCTTGGTTTGAGACCCCCTACAACAAAGGCTATCAAGATCCAATAGATGTCGCGCAGCAATGGTTCCTGGGCAAGACGGAGCGCGACAGGATTGCTGAAGCTCACCGCAAAGCCAAGAAGGCCGAAGAAGACGCCACGCGGGCCAAAGAGGAAAACCACGGCCTGTTCCCTTCGTCACCACTGAACGCTCGGACTGGGACGTACGGTGATCTGCATAGCGTCAGCGGTGTGTATCCAACTCCACCTGATGGGGTTCCGCCGGGGACTGTGATATCTTGTGGTGACACTCCAAGTGTTTCTGGTTTAGCTACTAATGTCATCCTAGCACCCGGCGGCAACAATCCGGCCATCAATGTTTCGGTCCCGCAAGATTCCACTTCCGGGGAGTCACAACAGCAAGCTTCCACGTCGCCGAATTTCGATTTGCAATTCGAGGGATACCAGACTGACGGGAATAATGACGACTTGTTCGAAGACATGGACGAGGGCACTTTTGATGAAGGGAATGGCGTGACGGATGCCGACTTTAATTTTTTCGACGATGCCGATGGAGAGGACGTCATCATGCCCGACGCTCCTCCAACAGTGAAGACTGAGCCGGCGCCCCAGGAGGAGGCTGCAATGAAGGATGAGCCGCTGGATCCGATGGCTGCATTGGAATTTGCCTTGGCTTCAGCTTCTGCCGAGCCTGAGCAGGGAACACAGCACGAAGAATCAGGCTACGTGCCGCTGAAATTGGAAGTAGCAGCTTTGGATTCTGCGATCCCGGAGTCATCCCACCTCTCGAACTCGGGCCTCCAAGCAGTTGCTCCAACCCCGGAAATGACCACGCCTCCGCTAAGCCCGCGTTTTATTGAGACGGCACTGCTGCCTTCTCCAAAACTCAAGACACCGCAAAAACAACTCTCGACACATCACCGAGATAGCGTCTTCGGTTCACTCAACTTCAGTCGTAAGATGAGTCTTTCGGACGCAAAGTACAAGGCCGGACGCTTCATGTCCATAAGCGAGAGGTCCACGAAACTTGACGGGACAGATAACACGCATCGACCGAAGAGTCTGCGCGATCTTCCCCTCATGACGAAGCTTCGCTATGCCATTGGCGTAGCGTCTGCAACAGGCAATATCGTTGGTTCTCCGCAGGATGTGTCAGACAGTGAGGATTCAGACGCATCGAGCGAGTCTTCGTCGGAGAGTGAAGAAGAAGTAAACGACGTTGTTCCCATGCCGTTCGTTGGGAACATCATCATTCCAATCAAGCGCAAGCTGCCGACGGAAAGCGTTGCTACTCCAATGTCTGCTGCATCGTTTGCCGATTCATTTGGCGGAGACTTCAGCGAGTTGATAGGTCTGCAAACAGACGAGTCGGCCTTGGTCGTTCTCGAGCCCACGATCTTTGACTGGTCCTTGTTGCATCTTCCACCTCCAACGGAACTGGCCTTCAGTGGTGCACGCTGGGCCCTACCTGCCTTTCCATACGCATACTCTTCTGTACCCAGCACACCAACTTCGCAACCCGACTTGTCCATGAACTTGATCGAAGAGAAGGCTCTGAGCGGGAAGGACCGGATTGCAATAGCTCAGATTGTCACCGACCAGATCGCATCTGCTACCTTGGATCTTCTCCAGCAAGGCCACGGGAGCGAGTGTTCCAAAGAACAGCCTTCTGAGTCTATTTGGCACAGCGCCATTAAGACGATCTTCCCAAATGCAACAGAATGTAGCGTGGCGGGCCTCGCAGCCGTTCAAGATGTGTTTCCAGACTCTTTAACCCAAATGAAGGCACAGCAAAGACCTCCGCCCCGCAGGCCAAACGAGGCAGCTACCGCGCTTGGCCACCACATGTTCCCGCTCAACCCACCGTATGTGCGAGTAAAAAGGGCGGACACTCTATGGGATCTGTTGCCGCCTGCAATTCCATTCTGGGAAACACTGGGCCTAGGACCTTGCAGTCCATCGAAGAACGTCATGGCATTAAGCATCTACCCCCATAGCAGCGCTTTGAAGCCCTGCGTCGAGGGCTTTCTGGTGAATATGCAACTCGCATATGATGGCTGCAAGCTAGGCAACCACAGCCGCGCGGATGCATTGACAGAGTACCCCAACGGTCTCGTGCCATGTAAAATCGGGGCTGGAGCATCGCTGCGCACCACATTCAAGGCCCTGCGAGACACGTGTGTCCAGCTGAGTAAGGTACTCGCTGCCAAGCACGCACAGATGCGGGACAAGGACGACTCGAGGATTGACGCCTTTGTCATCTATATGATCGATCCATTTGAGCAGGCTCCGGCCATATGGGAGCTGTGTTCTGCGTTTTGGAGCCTCTTCCAGTCATACCAACAACCACCTAGCCGAACTGAAGTACAAAAGCCTGACCTTGTACTTCAGATCGTGCCCATCAGGTACATTGCTTCCTTCGAAGCACCAGTCATACTGGATTCCAACATTTACACTGCCCTTGCACGAGAGGTATACGATCGATGCCCGCCAAGTGCACCGAGCGAAGACAAGCTGCCACTCAGTATCTACTCTGCACCTTCATTCCAGCTAGAGGAACCTATCCCGCGCAATATACAGTTCAAACTGATGGCGGACACACCGCAAGATTTGATGCGGGAGAATTCGTACATGCACATTGGCTATGCCATCAGTCTAGACGGAACGTGGGTAACTGCAGCATGGAGCGACACTTGCGGGAAGTCACAGGCGGTTGTCTCCTACAACCTCGGTACGCGCGCCTTCGCCGACATCGCCAGAGAGATATGGCAGACCACGATCGAGATCATCCAGGTGCGCAGGGTCATGTGGCGCGTCTGTATAGCCAAAGCAGGAGTGATGGAGCGGGAAGAGCTCGAAGCTTGGGTGTTCCTCGTCCAATGCCCCGCAGTGCTCAACCTCTTCACCACATTGATGACAATCGACACCGAGCCCCATCTCAAGTTCACCCCGACCATGCCGCCGCCGAGCGCCTCTGCCAACCCAGCCACCCACACCCCAGGCTCCACCCCGCAAGCCGTCGTCTCTCCCGAACAGGGCCTTACTCCCGCCGCAACTCCCGCCGTCGACACCGCCGCGGACCCCGCCGCGGACCCAGACGCCCGCCTCGTCGACATGACCGACGAAACATGGGGCATCATCCTCGCTCACCGCCTGCACAACTCAAACTCGACAAACGAGTACCGCCCCGCCCTCATCTCGGGCCTCCTCGTCAAGCGCGGTCTCGCGCCCGGCCTGTCCGCGCCCCCGCTCGCCCCAGACGCCCAACCAGGCCCCCTCATCACCGCCGTCAATATCCTCTGGATGGGCACCGTCAATTCGACGCGTGTCGCCGCCTCGCCGTTCCCCTCCTCCGCCGCCGACGCCAGCTCTCCCGCCGCCGCGGCCCCCGCCAGCCCCAGTCCGCAGGAACCGCGGAGCAATAGCCTGGCCTGGACACCGACGCCGCAGACGCGCGGCGCGGCGGAGAACTTGATGAAGGAGGTGCTGGGGCAGTTCCGGGGGCTGGGCTTGCTGGCGCGGCTGAAGGGCGTGCAGGGAGCGCGGCATGGGAGTGTGCCGTGGCATGTTGCTGTGGCTTTACGGGGGGTGAGAGGTCTGAGTCGGACGGTGCCGTGTTGAATGGGATGAATTTTGTGTTTGTTTCGGTGTTTGGAACTCAGGGGTTTTCATTTGACATTTTTTATTTTTATTTTACATTGGGTATGCAGATATGGCGTTGATGGGTTGTGGTGGGCTTCACCTGGAGATTTGCATGTGCGGCGTTTGCAGGCAAGGCCATGTCTGTTTGTCTGTCTCTGTTTCTGTCTCTGGCTGGTGGCATATACCATTTCTTCCCTTCCGTAGTTGTAATCACTCCAATCGAATCCTGCTCTCCCTCCTCCTCGGCACTTACTTCCCAATCCCCAGATGATCCACCCGCTGCTGCTGCCCCGCAACCAGCTTCCCCTGCTCCTGCGCCTGCGCCACCTCGCGCCGCTTCTCGTGCTTCACCCCGTCCTGCGCGCTGCCCTGCGCAAACGCAGAGCCTGAGGCCGCGGCGTGGCCTGCTGCCGCGGCTGCGAGGCGTCAGCGACTGGGGCACCAAAGGGAGGGGGTCTGGGAGCAAAGCCGGCACAGGGCCAAGCATAGTACGTACCTTTGTCGTGCGCATCCTCGACCGTGTGCGAGGAGCCGTCGGGCGCAGTGTGTGTTTCTTTGCGCTTTGAGGAGGAGAGGGCGCCCGACAGGGCGCCGAAGACGTTGAGGTTTAGGCCGGCCTGGGGGCAGACGAGGGGGTTAGTTGGAGGAGGATGGCAGCCTAGGGTGGGACAGGGCGTACAGAGGCATTGGCGCTCGACTTGTGCTCGGTGGTTTCGACGTCGCGGGCGACTTGTTGCTGGCCCTGGTGCTGCTGGGCGAGGTGCTGGGCGTGTTCGTTCTTGCTGAGGGCGCGGGACATGGTTGGGTTCAGATAGTGGGACTGTTAGAATGGTCACGGAAGCTTGAACGGGGAAAAATCGTTTGTGGGAATTTTACAACAAGGTTCGATTCGCGCTGGGAGGTACCTTCGACATGTGTTATCTATGGTGTTGCTGATGCATGATGTCATGGGCGTTGGGGTTGCGAACGGGATCGCAAGCGAACCGGTTTTCGTATCCCGACAGCGATCCTGGGCCGTTTGCGGGAGCGCCGTTACACATCACACAAGCATCAGGTACTAAACCAACTGGATGGGGGCTCTACCCGGGAAATGCGGGGAGAGCTAGTGCAACAGGATCTCAAAAAAAGTGTCCCAGAACCCCAGGTCGTACACGTTTTCCACGGCAGCAAGATCCCACACACGCTCGAAGCTTTCTATGTTGGCGACGGACTTGATTCGTGGCGGGAGCCCGGTAGGCGGCTGGCCGTTGGTTGTGCGTACGAGGATGTGGCGGCTCTCGAGCGGCCAGGATGTCGGTGGTTCTTCGTCTTCGGGTGGGGTCTCGGGGGGTGTGGGCATGGGTGTTGCTGAGGAGGACGACCGCGCGGAGTCGTGCAAATCAGCGTCTGTGGCCCGATAGTCCCGCATGGTTTCTGGCCTCCGCTTGCCGAGGAAGACATTCCCGTCTGCGATTTCGTCGGCCCAGTCTGCCCATTTGGAGCTTTCGTTGGTGGTCATGCCTGCGTAGATGAGGTAGAGATGGTAACACAGAAGACCGAGAGGCAGCGGCCATGTGAGCAGAGCCAAAAGGCCGACACCTGCTGCGGAGACGCCACCCTCGTCGATGTATATGCTGACATATGTGAGGAAGTAGTGGAGTTTCTTTTCGCCGTAGGTGGCCCAGCTGGATGGGTTAGATCCTGGGCTGGGTTTGAACCTGTACCAGGACTCGTATCTAGCGTATTGCTTGTGCACTTTGGGACTCAGTGCAAAGTATGCGATGTATGCACCATACGCCAGCAGAATGGCTGTGGAAAGGAGCAGGGCGAGGAACCACTTGTGATTGCCCCGTCCAAGGCAGTTGTTCACCCAAACACAGTGATGGTCAGCTCGGGAGACACAGGCCTTGCATATACTGCAGTGCTTGCTGCGCGCCGGCTTGTTGAACTTGCACGTCCGGCATGCATTGGCTGGGTAGTACAGGATCCTGTCGTAGGGGTAGTGTCGCATCTGAACTGCATGGTTCATTTCCGTAACAATGGTTTCGGGGTTCCTCTTTGCACATAGATGCGTGAAGTAATACGGCTGCGGTAGCAAGATGGCCACGAGGAGCTTGTGGTGGAAGGGCAGCAGGCTCCACACGGTCGGAACGAGCAGACTGGCTGAGATTGTGATGAGGCCGAGGAAGAAGATCATGACCACCGGGTGCTTCTCGTTCATGAGATGGTTGCCCAAACGGGAACCGCCGCTTGTGATGCGGCCATTTGTGAGGAAGACATCGAGCGCACGCAGCGCCGAGGGGATGCGGTGTATAAGCAGACGATGGCAGAAGCCTATGGGAGTGTTCCTGCCGAGAGTTAGTGTGGTGAGGGCGTCACGGCAAGACTGATGCACCTAAAAGCCGGCGTGCGGCCGAAGAAAGCGATAAAAGTCAGGACCGAGACGGCCACTGTGAAGCCGATGATGCCACGCACGACGGTCATTGTGTAGGCGCGTCAGGGTGTGTTGGCATGGCGGGGCAGTCTACAAGCGAGACACGGCGTGCTACAGTCGCTGAATTATCCGCCGCTACTGTGTCTGCCGGCAGCGCATGTCTCTGCTTGTATGCTGCCTTGCTGGTCGCTGTTGACGTGGGGTGGCTGCCTCTACAGTTCATACAACGGCTGCCAAGACGCCGCGTGAGAGCGCGTTCACAGACCAACGCGTCGACGCCGCGTCCTCCCGTCGCAGCTCCCGACGTGAACCCCACCACATCGCATCTCTGCACCATGGCCGCCCCGGTCGTGTACCGCGATGTGGCGCCAGGTGCAGATCTCCATGGCCAGCTGTTTGCCGGGAAGAAGTTTTGGGTTGCCCAACGCGTCTCTTCCCGGCAGCGCTACCTCGATCTGATCAGAAGCAATGGCGGCGAGATCGTCCTGCTGGAGAGGAAGGCCGACTACCTTATCGCGGACCACGCGTCAATCCACTGCCCGCCTGGCAGCATTTCATATACATTCATCGACGAGTCCGTGGAGAAGGGCGAGCTCCAAGACCCAGAGGGGCATCGCGCGGGTCCTTCCGAGGGTACAGCGCGTGCGCCGGGCTCGCTGAGCAGACCGGCCAAGGGCACCCGCGTTGCATATACCCCAGAAGAGGACAGGATACTGTACAAGTGGGTGCATGACAGCGGAAAAGCGGGCGGACTCGCAAGCGGGAATGAGATATACAAGCAGCTGGAGAAGAAGGTAGGCTCTGATGAGCCTCTGACGAATGCGTGCTGACTGAACAGCACCCAAGGCACACGTGGCAGTCCTGGCGCGATCGCTATGTGAAGACTCTGCGCAACAGGCCTCCATCTGCGTTCAACATCCCGGACAACGCACCGCCGTCTCCTCCCTCAGACGCCCCCATGAACCCCGCGCCAGCCTCAGTACGAACACCATCCAGCAGGCCCACATCTGTCAAGCCAGCCACCGAACCCAGAAAATCAAACAGCTCGAGGCACGTGAACAGCGTTGATTACACTGTGGACGAGTTGACAGCCCCCGGTCTGTTCGAGAAAGCGGATTGGGAGATGCTCTACGCTTTTGCACCAGATATCAACAGTTGGCGGGGTGACGATTATCGCCAAGGGTGGACAGACTGCGCGGCAGGTAAAACACAGACAGCTGGGCAATGGAGGCAATATTTTGAGAAGATAGTGTGGCCCCAGTGGCAAGAAGATTCGGATGAGAAGCACGCCGTCATAAAGGAGCGTGTAGAAAAGCGGCAAGAGGAGGAAGACGGAAGGAAAACAAGCCAAACTAGCCAAACTAGCCAGCAAGGAACTCCGTCCAAGTCCGATCAGCTGCAAGCCGGACCCTCCTCTCTCGATTCCAAGGCGCCTACCACGAAGCGTAAGCGCACCGAGCTGGATATTGATGCTTTCGAGTTATATCTCAGCGAATATCGCAAGGGCAAGGCCTCCTCTACATATGTGCTCTTCGCTAGAGATATGGTATGGGATCTCTGGAACCAGAGACCCGAGCTTGATAATAGTACGTGCTTTGAACAGGGCTGCGGTGGTACAAAGCTGACTTGATCTTCTAGCTGGCCTGCACACGATCCTCCTGTCACAGTGGAATGCTCTTTCATCCGAAGAAAAAGCACCTTACTTTGCAAAAGAAGCCGCTGACAGTCGTCGCGCCTCGAAGGAGACGGTCACATTATCGTCACAGGTATTTCTATCTTCTTCCACCGTAGTCAATGACACTCCGAAGTATATATCTGAGGCTTATCAAAAGTCGTTACAGCAACTACGCGCGGATTGGGACACAGGAGATCCATCTTCGGACGCACGGGACGGCTCAATTTACCCAGCGAAGAGGCAGAAGAATGAGCCACGTCACATGGGCACTGTGCATGATCCCGTAGAAGTATCGCCTACGGGGACGGACTCGCAACCACTAACGCAAGACGAATTGCCGGATGCTAGGCCGACAGCGCAGCCGACAGATGATGGCGACGACTTCGACGTGGGAGGCTTGGATGCGATTGCGCCACCTCAGGATGCGCCTGATCAAGGTGCTAGCAATCATGCTTCGGACTCTCCCACGCCCCGCGCCGCACGCTTCAAAGCTCCCGAATTCGACACACAGGCCATCCTCTCATCGCCGTCCCAAGGCGCCTCTTTGAACCCGTTGCCGCTGCCAGCTCACTTAACGCAATTAGGGGAAGCAGACGCTGAGGACAGTGGTGTGAAACTTGCCTCTGATGCCTCAACAACCGAATCACTGCAAGAGTTCAGCCAAATGATCAACGAAAGCACACATTATCGCGGAACTACGCCCCTCCCGCCTCCTCAACACTCGTCTCCACCGCAGTCCCCAGCGTCTATCGCTTCGTCCACAGGCTCTGGCGACCCCGACCCCCCACTCGCTCCCGACGAGGTTGACGAATACTTTGAAGAGCAGCATGCGGAGGGATTCCCCGACGAGTTCATCGCCGCCGCACTAAAGCACACGCGTTGGCGACCTGAATTGGCCACTGAAGTACTTCAGGCTTGGAAGTTGCGGCAGCCACTTCCAAGCAAGAGGGGCATATGGAGCGATTCAGACGATGAAGAGGTTGAGGGAGGTGACGGTCTGGCGCTGGCAAGGCTGGAAAACAAACATACGCTGGACGGCTGGGGTGGTGTTACGGAACGGATGAACTTCTTGTCAAGGTACAGGAGTGCGAAGGAGTGAATGAGCTTGGGACAAGCTGTTGAGGGTGAAATGAGCTGTTCAATTAAGATACCCCGCGGAAATGAAGATTGAATGTTAAAGCACAAGTTACTCATCGAAACCTATCCAAGATACAACCCCAGTCCTGGAGCAGCACCATTCACATGAACGCACAAAAGCCACGGGTCAAGGCACGCTAGCCTGTTTTAAGCTTTCTGAATCGAGCATATGTAATTCCACCTCACTTACAGCTTGAAATATTTTTGTTCACACGACGATACGACTGAGCCTTTGAAGTGCACATCGTTGCGTCACAAAGGCTCACCCAAAGGTACAATCAACATCTACTAGGCGCCTGTGCAGATACTGATACCCGCACGGCTCTAGGGCTGTCGTGCTTTCCATAGGTTCTGCACCACCGCGCACGCTATCAGAGCTGTCTTCCCTTCCACAGCGTGAGCACTACTAGACACGCGATGTTTTCCAACCTTGTCATTAGCTGCATGGTTTGCGGGCAGCAAGACGACCTCAAGCAATGCGCTCAGTGCAAGCTGGTGCATTTCTGTGGCCAGGAGCATCAACAAACGCATTGGCCCTCGCACAAGGCAGTCCGCAAGAAGATTGCGACGTTGCGCAAGAGGCTGAGGGAGATAAAAAAAGCGGTGAGTACGTTACACATTCCCGCTGTTGTTTTACATATGCACCAGGGATCGAAGAAGGAAACCAGATGGAACGTTACTAACGATATCCAGGGTCGGGAAAGCTTTGCCGAACTGACTGGAGTTCTAAGTCTACAATTTACGGGTATTAGACGCGACGGTATTCATCTCAACGAGCAGTTGCAGTGAGTAGAGTTTCTTACACCACACCGGAAACTGTGTTGACTTACACACACCAGGCTCGCTGAGCAGAAGCTTGAGATTGACCCCCCCGTAGCCATCGAAAGCGCACTCAAGCATGTCATCGATCTCAGAAATCTGCCCTTCCGACCCTTATCCGATGATGTCCTCGAGATGGCGACATCATGTCTCATTCGCCTCGATAGGGACCAGGAAGCCTACAACTACTTGACGCACTGGACGTCACGATACAAAGACCACGATCGATTCGAAGCGCCGGACATCTTCGAGGGCATGGCTCCATCAGCAGCCTTCCTGGCTTCTGTATTCCTTGTGAAGCTGAGGCTATTCACGGCCATGGACTCGGCTCGACAGTGCTACATCAAGGGAGGCAATTGCTCCGATCCGCGGATCATGACTACACTCGAGAAGTGCGGCCTTAAAGACGTGATGAAGGGAGGCCCTAAGCTTGGAGAGCATCTCAGCGCCATCATTTTCACGTTACAAGATGATATGAAGGAGCTGTATCTGCAGGTGGAGCAGATTCAGCCAGACTTCTGGTCTAGACTGCCTAGTGTACACGAGAATCGGGAGCCTTGCCACGACAACTCGGGTATGGAGACACAGCAAGTGCTAGACTGCTACACTGTTACCGTGCTTTCGCCGCGACTCGGGGCAGTCTCGAATTCCTCCAGTCCTTTCCAACCGACTCGGTGTAGCCTAGTTCCGAGGAAGCGGTGGATGGAGCGAAAATTCCCAAGTAAAATCTTGAAGTTAGTCTCGCGAGTTGTCATTTATCTTACCTCTAGCGCTCAAATCCTACCTGGTCGGCAGTTGGAGAAGAGGCGGTGATATTGGCGCTTCCGAAGGCGACGCCTTGGCTCATTCGAAAAGAAGGATTCTATAAAGACAGGTTATTCATAACCCGTCATTATAGAATTGCGTGTATGCTTGATCTATAACGAATGGTAGCTAGGATTAAGCGATGATTAGTCCCATTCCTTGTTGGAGTTGGCGAGCATGAACCTTTCGAGCATCATGCAAGATGCACCTTCGATATCGAGAGCTTATTTGCTTGCAACTTCGTTTCACTCAGAGGGGGCATTGCAAAGTAAGTGATGCAGTCCGCCCAGGCCTGCTATCCGTGATAGGTGCAGCCGTAGCTACTACATCTTGCTGTCGTGTAAAGCGGTCCCATATCGGACAAAATCCACGTGACCGTCTACAAACTAAGTTTTGAATAGGAGAATGACTGTTTCCGTATACGCAATCTGCTCCACAACATTTCAGTCCATGTGTACGATGTCACGGAGCTACTTCCGCTGATGCCAAGAACACAGTATCGACATCGGCATGTCTCTCTACCCCTCTTTGTGCGACCTTTCTTATCGATCCACCTTTCTCGTCAATATATAGTACAAATTCTGAAAGTTATACCTAAGCATCACAGTCTTAGCATATTGCGGTATCCGACAGAAGTACGTTCAGTTACCGCAAAAATCATACCAACAGCCGCGCTTAGTGCACTATCCGCCAACAGTTACCTTATCTAGATTTGAGTTCGGTCCAATGCCCGGCGATCACAGTGATTTGAATTACGCTCGCTTATCAAACGGAATGATTCCGCCGGGGACCTATCGATTTCTTGTAATGATACTGGCGGGGAAGCAGCAGCGGAACAGATGATGTTCCGGGTCGGCCAGTAAACATCGGCGCCGTCAGCTTAAACCCTCATATACTACGTTCATGCCACATTGAACCGCCTCGCTCTCGGTAGCAACACCTCACAGTCTGAATACATAAAGACTATGCCGGGGCCAATTCGGCAGAGTCCCATTTAGTCCACTCGTCTATACTTATCGCAAGCAATATTCATCTGAGAAAAAGCTCTGCACCTCATCCCCAGAACTCGAATCTCCAATTAGATACTTCTCACAAAATGGCTTCTCGAACATTGCGAGTGGCCGTCACGCAAGCCGAGCCAGAGTGGCTCGACCTGCAAGGCACCGTCGACAAAACAATCCACCTCATAGAAGAGGCCGCCAGCAACGGCGCGAAACTGATCACCTTCCCTGAAGTCTGGATCCCCGGATACCCAGGCTGGATTTGGTACGTTGACCATTGCATGACCAGCCGAGCCCCGCTGATCCCCTATCAAGGGCACGTCTCGTCGACCCAGCGCTGGGAGCCCGCTACATCCAGAACTCCATGCCCGCCACGGGCCCCGAAATGCAAGCAATCCAAAAAGCCGCAAAGCAGCACTCCATCGCTGTCGTGCTGGGCTTCTCGGAGCGCACGCCCTCAAATAGTCTCTACATCTCACAAACCATCATCTCGCCCGGCGGCGAGATCCTCCTCAAGCGCCGCAAAATCAAGCCCACCCACATGGAACGCACCGTCTATGGCGAAGGCTCCGGCAGCGACCTGACCAACGTGGTGGCCGTGGATTTCGGCGGCACCGTTGGTATCGTCAAGATCGGGACGCTCGCGTGCTGGGAGCACACGCAGCCCCTGCTCAAGTACAATACGTACTCGCAGGATGAGGTCATTCACGTGGCCATGTGGCCGCCGCTTGATGCGTTCGGCGCCCAGCCCGCGCCCGAGAACCCCGGGCTCTTCAGCATGAGCCACGACGGCGCGTATTCGCTGTCGACTACGCATGCTATTGAGGGAGGCACCTACGTCCTATACACAACGGCTGTATGTACAGAGAAAGGGATCGATACGTTTGACTCCAAGCAGGGACTGATCTTCCGGGAGCCGGGCGGGGGGCACGCTGCGGTGATTGGACCGGATGGCCGGCGCCTGACGAAGGAGCTGGAGGGCGGCCCGACAAAGGAAGGGATTCTGTATGCGGATTTGGAGCTGGATAAGGGCCTGGGTGTAAGGGCGTTTACGGATGTGGTGGGGCACTATGCGAGGCCTGATTTGCTGTGGCTGGGCGTGGACAGGCAGGAGAAGAAGTGCGTGGTGGAGAGGCCGAGGGAGCAGCAGTAGACGGCTGTTGCGATTTTGAAATGTAGGCCTAATACGGCTGATTCTAGACCTTCACATCTATTTGCAAGTCAGATCAAACATGGCCGGTTCAGGAGAGATGGCCTCAAGCACGTCACATACAATCATCATCAACCTTGCCAGCTTCTCACGAAGTTCGAACACCATTTTCAAATGCGAACTCAAGGTACTACTGGTTGAGCTCCTAATTCATGGCGATCAACAATCCAATTTGAACTTCGGGATAAAGATCACTTAGACATTCGATGCAATTTTACAATTTAGATGTATAGTGTATTCGTGCTGGCGTTTCGAAACTAAGAAGCGGCTCCCAAGCAAGCAAGCATCAAAGTAGAACCATGTGTGGATCCCGGAGTCGCTGAGGAACAAGCGGGAGTTCGCTCGCGTAGGTGTAGGCCCGCGAGGGTGAGGGGTTATTGGAGTCATGTGTGAACCGTGGCTCTGGGTATCTTCGTCTTTCAACAATCGTCTTGACCATCCCAACGCCTCAGATCAGACTAGAATGCGGGGTATGATACAAGTAGAAAGCTGGTAATGTGGCTAGAGACTAGGACGACGATGCCCCGATGTGAAAAGGCAAAGCTCAATAAGATCTGAACACTCCAAGCAATCTCCTTTGCATGGTAGAGTAAGAGCGAAGTGATGGCACAGTCCCAACAAATAGGGTCGCACCATCGAATCAATTTACAGTCCAATGTGGAACAGCAAGGAATGCAATTGCAAATGTTGATGTCCGGAGTGCCTTCGGAAGGTTGCACACGGTATCGAAAAACACAGCAAAGGTAAGAAACCAGGGCAATAAAGAAAGGTATGTCACACCTCGTATTCCTTTTTCAATATCGTCATTTCCGAATTTGTACGTGGTGCGGTCATGGGAACAGTGGAGTAGCTCACGGCCTTCTAAGCACATTGACGCAGGAAAGCCCTCTCATATGGACGACCAGAACTTCACAAAGTCAGCCCAACGCACGTGCGAACGGCATGCAACTTCGGGTAGACACTTTGAACATCGAGAAACGACAAGAGGACCGTAGAACATCCCAACACTGTCGTGTATCTCTCGAGGAAGGCGTACAGACTCCGAGAGTAATAAGTGAGCCACTTGAAAATAAGTGAAGCCATGGAAAAAAAGATTAGGTAGAGGAACAGGTACATAATCTTGTTAGCTTTCTCCGAGGCCTCGCAGATCAATACGAGGACGATTTCAAGAAATGTCATGGTCCATGGAACACTGAACGTGCACTCAGCGCTAGATCACGGATGTTCAAGAACGCTGCTACCATGCTTGAATATAAGTCGCACTTGCTGGGCTTGGTAGCGAACATGCCCGGACAGGACACTCTGACATACTCAACTTTGATTGAGAAATATGGCTCACAGCAAACATTATTGTGGGTAGGAAACTCAAAGCTCATCATGGACTTCGCGAATCGCCCTGAGCTCGAGCGAGGAGCGACAATCTAGACTCCGATGTGCCAACAAGCATTCCATCCTGAAGCCACGTCAGACGAAAAACGCACGCCAAGCCACCACGGATACTTGATGTTATCATGCGAACGTGCGTCGTTGTTGTAGTCGAAAAACACCTACGCTACAAGTCTGTCCGAAATGACTGCAGCCGCAACCGCAGCCACAATCGCAACAACAACGAAATGCCTCGACCACCGCTAAGCCAAAGACTCCATTGTTGGAGTTTTGCGGCATTAAAGCGTGTCCAGGTATGATGATGTTCTCTGGATTTGCAACGCAGTATGCAGACACACTCGCGAAAAGGGAGACGGTTAGAAGTTGATACTTGCCCCCTAGAGAAGCTTGGCGTTAATCGTAACTCGTTGGGGTCAGCATACTGACGTTACACATGGAAAGACGTGCATGTAATCTGAGTTGTTTAGGTACTTCTCTTTGTCAACGTTTGCAGAGCGCAAGCGTGAGCATACTCGTGAATATACACTTGCCTCTGTTTGAAGGAAGATTTGGCGAGTTGGTTTTGTAACTTAATACCCGCGATTTCGGAGTGCGAGAATATGTAGGAATTGATTGAATCAACGCCATGTTGCTAATAGATCATTCGCCAACATTGTGTTGGGCATGAACAATGGACAGAGAGAAAGAGCCTTGCAGCACATATTACCCGTGTGAATCAAGCCACTACCTCTTTCATCTTGATCCGGAGCCCACCCTTAGGTCCATTTGTAATCCCTCCTGCAATCTCGAGCGGCTTATCTGGCTCCTCCAGCTCCATCTCGAACCGCCCTACGAGCGCCGCCAACAAACACGCGAACTCTGCTTTTGCGAAGTCCTTCCCAATGCAGCTCCTCGGCCCATGCAAGAACGTTGTGACCGCATAATTCGACTCAGCGCCCCCAGTGTTTGCCTTGCCTGGTCCCATCCACCGCTCAGGATTAAATTCCTTTGCATCGGATCCCCAGAGTGCGTTGGACGTGTTGATTGCCCAGGGGCAGATGATGATAGTAGTGCCTGCGGGAATGAAGTGGCCTTGGATGGTAGTGTCGCGCTCGGCTTCGCGGAGAGTGAGGGCGACGGGCGGGAAGATGCGGGATGTTTCGTTCAGAATGGCGTTGAGGTAGGGCAAGTGGTCGATGTCTGTGGAGGAGACTTGTATGGTGGGGTCGCTGATGGCGGGTATATTCGTGCGAACCTCCTCGCGCAGGCGCTTTTGCTCGGCGGGGTGTTTGCAGAGGATGTACACAGCCCACGCCAGCGAAGTTGCGGTTGTCTCGTGTCCTGCGGCCAGGAAAGTCATCAGTTGATTCACCATGTCGTCGTCTGTGAATCCACCGGACTCGATGGCAACGCTGAGGATGTCGACATCCGTGCGTCCACCCTTCTCCAGCTTCTCGCGTTTTGAACGAACCAAGTCCGCAGAAACGCGCTTGATAGTACGGATGGCTTCTTTAAATTCTTCGTTGCGCTTCACAGGAAGAGCCTGGAGCAACCAATCAGGTAGGAACATTGACGCTACCTGCATCACCTTTGCGGCGGTACTGGGCTTGAAGATGGTGCGGTAGGTGACATTGAGTTCATTTGTCGGATCTGCGATCGCATTAAAGTCCTGCCCCATTCCAGCTAATCCGATAATGTCGAGAGTTGCCCGAGAGGCCCAGTCGCGGATCTCTATTACTGAAGTCGAATTAGTCTTCATCTCGTGGGAGATGGCGTTCGTCATCTCGACAGACTTGTCCCAAAACACGGGATATAGATCTTTGATGTGGCGGAACGCGAAAGCTGGCATGAGAGCCCTTCTTTGCCGCTGTAAGCCGTTAGCATTTGCTCCGCACATCGCACCATTCTTCTTACCTTGTGCTCGTCGCCCTCAGCGACAAGAACGCCCACGCCAAGTAGCCTCCCAACGCCTATCCTCACGCGCTCGGGTTTCACAAACTCATAGCTTCTCTGCACCAGCACCTCCGCCAAAGCCTTGGGAGTAGTAATCAGAACTCTCGGCTCGTTAAACAGCCACCGATAGTGCAAAACACCATCATTCGGTACCGTATCGATCCATTCTCTTTGAGGCTCACCACTAGGTTCTTTAAAGATACGTTTCCAATTCCCTGCAATCAAGTTTGCATCCTAGTTGAGTGAGCTTGATGAGTCGCCACATGAGTAGAATCGATACGTACAGGTGCTTGTGGCAAATGACGCAACGGACTGAAGAGCAAAGGATACACAAGCGCCCCCCAACAGAACCGCGCAAAGATGCCCAAGATCGCCAACTCGACTGTGTTCAATACCGCGCCTGCACTCAAAGTCGCCCCCGGCGCATATCGTTGGGTGAAGAATGTGATTACCGCCGCGGCCACGGTTATGGCTCGCTTCGAAATTGCCATCGATCTCGTCGGCGTTATATGCGAACTACTCAAAACACAGCTAGGAAGTGAGAGATGCTGGACGAACAAGTGCAAGTCGCACGTCGAGGTGCGATTGATATAAGGCTATAGTGCCATACGTGGGCCGTTTCATAGCGTAGGCGCCGCCGATACGACATGCATCATCGACTTTTGGGCTAGCGCGAATCGGCCACCGGTGGAAAGAATTATGCCGATCTGCCGGACGAAATCTAGTGGACAAATCATACGCAGGTACTGGGACGGATCGCACAGCTGACCCGTTTTGGAAAAGTGTCGTGGTATCCACAACAATGTAGAATTCCGATTACATGTGCAAGGCTTGGTGCTTTCATGCGATGCTACGAGGCGATGGGCCCTTTCATACAGGGTGGGTGGGATATGGTGTGATACCGGGCAGGAGAGGTATCTTGTTTCGTTACGCAAGAAACAAGTACGCCTAAAGCACAAGAGAAGGATTGCAACCATGGGGTATCATTGGAGCTTAACCGAAGAACGCGAACGAGTAAGGTTCATTGGAGGCTCTATAGAAGACTAGCTAGTGTAATGATGGACATGGCCCGCTGCTCTCCATCGTTGGTGCTAACGCCCTAGGAGGCCCTTTGCAGCTGCAAGTGTATCCTTAGTCGATATGGGATAAATCAGTGTCCGAGTATTTTTTCATGTCCCCAATACTCTCTTGGCTCTCAGAACTATCTTTCTGAAGCCTTCCTAATTCCTTTATGAGACTGTGTCGTAGGGCCTCTAGAAAAGCTAGAAAGGCGCTAGCGCGAAAGCAGTGCTGTTACGTGCCTGCCGTAAGAGGTTTCTCGCTTTACCACGATTGCGCGTGAACGTAGCGCAATCCACTCCAGACTTTCGAGAGTCAACTTCCACGTCTGCCTTTCTACTTGTCCCACGGGCATCGACACCACCTGCGCCGCAAGATGGACCACGACAGCGCACTATCAGAGACGATGGTGTCACCGAAAAGAACGGAAGGCGCCTGTGGTACCCGAAACACAGGGCCGGATCTCGAGCTGCGAGTGACGCCTGGCTACCCGGCCATCCCCGACCGCAGGTCAGACAAGCAGAAGGCCCGGGATGAAGAGAAGGATTCGTACTTCGGGTGAGCATTGTCATGGCGATATTACCTTTCTTCTGGCATGTGTTCGCGTGAGCTAGGCAGCCCAACTGTCGCTGTGGAAAGTGCAGTGATTTGACGAAGTTATCCTGTTAAGGTACAAGAGCCATAGGAATGCGCGTGCGCAGAGTCCTGTAACACTACGATCCTAAATGCAGCACGAAAGCGACAAGTACTCGCTAAACATAACGACCATATCCACGCTCAGTCCCACTGGTTCCCCCGCCCTCAATACGACCCATACCCCCCGTCATCATCAGAGTCCACATCCCCATCCACAAAGTCCTCAGGCAATTCCTCTCCTTCACCATCCTCCTCCTCCTCAAACTCAGAGTCGTACCCGTCATAATCATCCCCCGAATACTCGCCGCGATGCATCGCACTCTTCTTAAACGCATCACGCACATATTCCGACTCTTCCCACGCATCTAGCTCCGCCGCATCGACCACCCAATCCTCTGAATCCCGCGAGTTTGAAGCCTGCAGCTGATTCGCCATCGACCTGTCGCTGCGGCGATGCACGTCGTAGTGGTACTTGATGCGGGGAAAGCGCAGCGCGAAGCCTGCGTCGAGCAGCTCGCGCAGCTGCGGCAGCAGCAGCTGGTGGAAGCGGGCGACGTTGGGGCGCAGCTTTGCGCGGTGGATGCACAGGTGGAGGTCGAGGTGGAAGCCGCTGCGGTGCCGAATGTCGAAGAGGTGGGCGAGTGGGGCGATTTTTTCGCGGATCTGGCGCTTCGAGCGGCAACGCGAGCCGTGCTCGTCGGTGAAGACAACGAGGGACAGCTTCCTGATGTGGCGTTTTGGGATGCAGCCGGCGCCGAGAAGGTCCTGGTTTAGGAAATCGACGATGTCGTCCGCGTCCCAGATGTGAAATGTGGCCGTTTGGTACAAACTTGCTGCTAGTTCGAAGAGAAAGTCTTTCTGGAGATATTTGCGGGAGAATAGATGGGGAAGTGGGGTCTCGATCCGATGGATGTACGCCCAGCCAGCAGTTTCTGCTTCCTGAATGCTATCTAGGCCGCGCCACGGTGCCTTCTGCGTATCTTTGATGGGACTGATTGAAACTCGCGGCATCCGGTCGCACAAATAGACGTAAATCATGTCGCGGACCTCGCGCGGCAAAGTTTGGACAATCTTCGTGCTCAGGCTACGGCAGTAGGTCTGAGAGTGCGAAATCGCCGCAGCGAGGAACTTACTGCGGAAGATCATCAGCATCTGAGCTTCTTCGTGCTCCACAGTCGAGGAAATTACGAGATGTAATCCGCATTGCACACCTTCTCTTGGCTACGAGGTTCTTTTGCAGAGCTTCCTCTCGCACGTTACACTCTTCTATCTCAGATCTGAGCTCATCCACTCTCGCATCATCGTCCCTAGCGTCAAAGAACGCGTGCCCCAAATCACTGAATTTCCGGTCGTGCTCCTTACATCTGCGGGAAAGTCAGCTTTTCCCTATCATCTATCTCACGATCCTTACTCAATCTCAGCCTCCTTCAAGGTCGTAGCAGTCCTGCTCCTAGATCAAAATCCAGCTTCCAAACAAATATGCCAAGAAGGTTTACCTAATCAACTCTTCCGGGAACTCCTGGATACCCGGCGCGTATTTGAGGATTGAAGGATGCATGGAGTTCTTGCGCTGTTCCAGAATACTTCGATCGTAAATCACAAGCGGCCGGCCAGTGCCGAACGGCTTTGCATACATTGTCAATGTCGAGAACAACAACTTGCGTGGGCGGATGCCGAGGATCGTTCAGGTAGAAGGCAAGACAGCGAAGCTGCAAGTCTATTTGAGATAGTTTGAGGCATCAGGCAGCTTCGCGCTAAAGCTGGTTGCCTGAACTAAACTCGCCCGATGCCCTGAAGGGTTTAGCGCGGGTATTTATGGTATGCAGGTGAATCTTTTAGCCAGACACCAGAACCAATTTCCCAAGGCTTATGGACGTATGTGAAAGACATAACGCAATTAAAATTACATACAAATGTTTCCTTTCTTTTCCTCCTAACCCTCCGTGGGTTTATTTTGCCTTTTATCGTCCCCTTGTTAGCTTGCCGTAGTTTGTGTAAAAGGGGAAATCGCCTCTGTACAAGCCACCTGCAACAACTAGGCATGCGCAGTTTCACGAGAGAACCGCTCTCGAACAAGTAAGAACATTTCTGAAACATACAACAGCGGAAAGTTCTCTTGTCACTGCTCCGAACACTGTACTGCTGGTATCCTGATTGTATATGGCGGAGCAGAGGAGAAGCCTCAGTGTCTCCGCATAGCATGGCTGTTGACTGCAAAACAACTCCATCACTTCGCACACAGGCAGGTGTTCGATGGCGCGAGCCAACGAAAAGTGCCCTTTGCGGATGTCGGGTTCTCAACATAGTCACGGCAGCTTCTTAGAGGCGCCCACACTTCTTTGCGATCCGCCGCTTTACAATGTTTGAACAGTAAGGCCGTGTAAGCTACTCGTATGCGATAGGTGAGAAGGCTCGCCGCGTGTTGCGAGACTCGGGTAACAAAGACTCCATGCACCAGCAGAGGATCCTCAATCTAGAGTGTGGTGGCAAAAGGCCAAAGGAAGGAGATGTAGACTGGTATTGTGATACGCTTGAAGTGTATCGGAACCGCTAGGGCTCGCCCCCATCGTCAGAATGAGGAATCTTACTTCAGGTTGGTTCATCTGTCATAGGACCATTCCTCTTCTCCTATGACCATTCCTCTTCAGACACATAGGGACCTTTCAATTTGGAAGGAAGAGCTTACATGGATTCCAAGGCACCTTCGCATCTGGCTGCAATTGTTTGAATATCAGATACCACTTCCAGAGTTCTGCCGGAGCAGTCTTTTCTCGAGTATCGGACCCGTTTATGTGTTGTGCAAAATTACTGTACACGCGTCCTCTCAGCAGCTCCATTGTGTGGACATCGAAAATGGCGGGTGGCTCTCCATCCTTCTTCATGGCCATTTCGACCAGGTCTCTCATAATCTTGACAAGTTTCTCGCGTTCTCTGACAACAAGGTCCTGTTTAGTTCAGAGCTCACTACAGCCAAGTCTTGAGCGCTATATTGGCCGCAACGGCCTCCAAACTTTAAGTTTTCGACGTGTTCATCCAAAACTCCTGCGTACTAAGTAGACGAGAGCAAATGTGACATGTTCTAGGAAGTCGATGGCTGGCTCCCTCATTAGAAGGGTATATGTGATCACTAATTTTGTCAATTCGCGATCATCTATACGCGTCGGAATGTATGGCACTTGAACGTACAGCCACAAGCAACGAGTTTGCGGAGATCTCTTCCACCGTGGCCTCAATCCCTACATCGCCGTTTGCAGGCCGAGACTTCGGCAATTCACGCAACCACCACTTCCAATGGTCCATCGTTGTACTGAAAAACGGCGTCCATAGCGTTTATAATGTGGAACTGCACAGTGGGATGACAGGTATTACCGCCATGCATGCTATCAGGAAAGCATACAAAGACACAAAACCGACCGTTCTTTTGTTTCAAACCCGCTCTATTCTCGAGGACGCTTTCATATCTTCGGTAAGCTGCATATGCTTTAATCCCTTAGCCTGGTGTGAGTCCTCAATTCTGGCGGAATACTTACGCCTTCGTCATGTGTGGATCCTGGAGTCGCCGAGGAACAATTGGGAGGTCGCTCGCTTGGGTGTAGGGCTTTGCCTTCATCACATTCGAATCAGCTATTCCTTTCCGGGACCCTTTCCTGATTCATTTCTATTCTCTCTGCCCCGCCGTCTCATACCGCGTGCTACGCCTCTTCTGCCTAGGTATCGCACAAAGCCGCTAATCTGCCCAGTTCACCACCAACCCCGACCCGAAAGCGCAGTACTACCCCCGTCGTATCATTGTTGCATCCATCCAGCCGCTCATCGAGCTCACCGAAACGTTCCATAATCCGTCTCTTCTCGTTGGCAGCGGAGCAGCTGTTCTCCGCGAAAATCCCCAGTTCAATTCCAAGAATTGCATAGATGGCCACTACCACGCCATCTTGATTCGTAGTGAGGCTAGTCACTGTCTCCTTGTAGCAGGAATGGCTGGGGCTATCCTTGTTGCTGGTGTTATTGGTTATACTGTGGGACGATTCACTAAATCTGCCATGCTAGGCGTTGTGGCCGGAGCGACTGCCGTTTCAGTCTTCGCCTACCTCCAGGCAAGCACCTTCAAGGAGTGAACCAAGTACAGTGATGACCGCGGATGGACTTTTGTCCATTTAGACGTCAGGTTTCCTTAGAGGTCTATTGTGGGAAATTGCAACGTGAAGTCATTCATGAATTAAAATTCAGTATTTATGTTACTTTGAACATCACTATACAGCTACTCAAGACCGACCGCAATAGCAGCCAGTGCCCAGTCCATGAACCCAGCGTTGGTGTCCAGGATGTTCGTGTTGAACTCGGCAAGCGTAGGGTAGAAGTTGCCCGAGGGCGCAAATTCGAGCGTATAACCGTAGACCTTGTTCGCGCCAGAGACCTGCCAGTATCTGCTGAAAGCGTAGTCGTCAGTAGCGCCAGACGTGGGGTAGAGACCGACGGCCTGCTGGGAGCTGTATGAGCGTCCACCGACAGCCTTCATCGCTGCAACGGTCTTGGACGCCACGTTCTTGATGTTGGTCAGATCCTGCGAAGGGATGTACTCCTTGTAGGCGGTGTCGCCGACGGGACCGCGCTTGCCGTCGTATGCGCTGTTCTGGAAGTTCATGGTAGAGGTGGTAGTCTGGTCCTCGTCGTCACCCCAGCTGTAGAGCAGGTCCCCAACTGCAGAGTGGATGTCCATGAACCAGCGGATCTTGGGGAAGTTGGAGTAGACGGATACATGGTTCTTGGTCTCGGGCTCAGAGGCAGCTGCGGTGCCGTAAAAGGTTTCGGAGGAGGGAGATGTGGATGCTGGAGACTCGCTGGAGGCAAAGAACTTCTTGAAGTTCCACAAGAAGTCAAAGTTCCTGTTGAGATCGACACCTACAGAGGAACCGCTGCTGCCGGACTTGGTATTGCGGTTCTTCCTCCACAGGTTGCCGTTGGCCTGATCGTAGGCGACACCGTCAGGGTTGACGAGAGGGAAGAAAACAATACCAGCGGTGAGGACGCTCTTGACCTGCGCATTGGTGTACGTTTTCTGCCCGTATGTTAGGCCAGTGCCGGCCTTATTGGCAGCTAGCAGATCTGAGATCCAGTAAATGAGGTTGTCGGGACCACCGCGCTCTCGTGCGTGGATACCGGCACTGAGGTAGAGATGGTATGCCGACTTGTCTGTGCCAGCGCCTACGTAGCCCACGGTTTGCGTGCGGCCTTCGAAGGTCTTGCTGGCCAGCGTGAGTAGGTTGACACCGTAGGTGCTCTTGAGCGCATTGAGGGCCGAGGTGATCTCGTTCACGTTCATGATGCTCGCAATGGTGGTGCCCGAAGCCTGTTGTCCAAGACCCTTGGGAGCAACGGTGCCAGAGGAGAAACGGTCGCCGGTTCCAATGGGCGCATTCGCTGCCCTCTTCACCAGGTGGCGCTTGATTGAGATCTCAGCGTCCCGCTCGTAGAACTTCTCAAGCTCCACGATCTGGGGCTCGCTCAACCACGCAGCCAGGCGAAACTGGCCATCCTCAGTGGGTTGCGCAACCGGTCTGCAGCCTGTGGTAGTGAGTACATGTGTTGGGTACCGCACTTTTATAGATGCTCACCAAAATCGTACGTGTCGTTGCGGACGACGTCGCGGAAGTGGGCTGGACTGGGAGCCTTGAAGTGCACCGGCACCAGCTCACCAAGCACAACGGTGCTGGAGGCAAGCAGGGAGGCGACGAAAGAGTACTTCATTGTTCCGGCGAGACCGTTGGAAGGATGCGAGCGGGTAGCACGGCCTTGAGCAGCGGGCAGTGCCTCTCTCTATATGCTCCCATCGCGAGGTCGTTGTCCTATCGGGCGGTGGTTTCTCCTTACAGGCCATCACAACCCAGGTACCATGCTGTGAGCGCGGTGGGTTTATCTCGGCCAATCAGCGGCTTGGCCACGTCGCTAGACACCCTCGCACCTTCTCCAAAGCGTCTAGCGGATCGACTGTTCTGGGCAGGCACTGGGCGGCTTCTGTGAATGGCCGAGTGTGTCTATGCGATCCCTTCCACCTGCTACTCTGGCGCGTTGTTCCTGGCCGGCGTCTTGTCTGCAATATACGAGTCGACGTCGTCCTGCCGCCCAAGATCGCGCCATCGTCGTGGCCTGCCGTTTCCGGTGGCGATCCGAAGTCTTGTCATTTAAGGACTCACGACGATGCTTGGGGCTGCGATAAGAGGCGTGTTTCGGATCGCTCCATGTGATCGCTCGTAGGCGAGCTGCGACTGCGCCCTCCCGCCGTGGACGTGTGGCGGAGTGGACGGTTGTTTACCTGGATCGCGGTTGATCGACAACCTCCCGGAACTGGCAAAACTAACGAGATGCGCCCGGAACATGGCCTTGGCGGAGGTTTGCTCATGCGACCTCTTGTGCTGCGCTTGAAGTCGCTGTTACCTTGTGTACATGCTCATTTACTCCCCAAGTGGTTCCAGAGCACTTCAGAGCGAGCAAAGGGGGAAGGGTAGGCACGTTGTAACAGTAACCTAGCGCGAGCGATATGCTATGGATCTTGCGTAACCGCACAGCGAGGACAGGTGTAGGCAGTCGTGCAGCGGCGACCAAGAGTGACTGCGAATGTGGCAATCTGCAGCGGCATGTCTCTATATACGTTGTACCCGGGGCCAGCACAGTACTCATTACCCCAGACGCTAGGACTGCACGGTAAAGCCATTGGCGAATCGAGAATCCGGAGACATGTTACGGTGGCAGCTCTCTTCTACGAATGGACGTGTACTCAATTTTCAAATCCGCAAAAGTTCAATGGCACGATCAGCTTTCAAATCATGCGAGCAGGATCAACTTTCCGGCCAAATCGTTACTTCATTTGCTCATAACTTGGTATCTTTTTTTTATATATCGCATGACCTTGGGCCTCCGCTGTGCGGAACCCATCTCGAGCAGCCCCCTTCACAACAAAGCGATCGCGAGGACTGCAGCAAGCACGCTGCTGCCAATGAACGGCTTGATCGAGCTTGCGGCGCCAGGCTGCCCACTTCCGGTTCCAGAGGGCTCCGCTTCCTGGGCTTGCGACGCACCAATCGGTGCGCCTCCTACTCCTGTTCCGTTCTTGCACTGGTCGTCGTCAAGGGGCTTTGCGTCCTTGCTGAACGTGATGTCCATGCACTGTCTCATGTCAGTATGCCACTCGTTCTATCCTCAGGACTGGAAAGCGACTCACGTTGTACAGACTGCTCCCCGAGTGGCTGATCTGAATGACCTGTAGACTGGCATTCTTTCCATCCAATCCATCTGTTCCGCCCGTGATGTTGCCAGCCTTCAAGCCCTCTTCGAGCGCCGCTTTTACAGCATCCTTCAGGCAGAGCACACCTTTACCAGTCTGGTTGAAGTTGTCGATGAGTGAGATATTGAAGTTGGTCACGTTCTCGCCGAGTCCGAGATTGACGTAGGTAAAGGCAGCTTCGTGGCTACCGTTGATCGATATTGAGCCGCCAGCCGTAGGCCACTTAGTTCGCGTGCCGTTTGTGGTCTCGGACACGTTTGCACAAGGCCAGATCCATTGCGACGCAGTGTCCAGGCTGAGCGAGTCACCGCGCCATTCGGGGTAGAGGACGTGGAAATGTGCAGATGTAAGCGCGGCGAAGGATGCAAGAGGGAGGAGAGTAGAGGCAAGCATCCTTGCGGTAGTCGGATGAGATCAATTAAAGATGGGCTCAGAATCGTCCTACTTTCGAATGGCCCAGCGAGGCTGCAGCTCTCTCTCTTTATACTTTGGATCCATCCCATCGCTCTGAAGAAGCAACGCTACTGCCGTGTGCCTCGTACTTTCCACAGCTCGCTTGTGTAGCTCTGAGCAACTGAGCCCCATGTGAGGGTTCTGGGAGCCCCAAGGCACCAATAGGCATCCCACAAACACTTCTGAGGGCTCCCGGTGGCGCCAGCTATAGCTCAAACCCTTGCCGTCGGCTCTGCAGCTGTATGCTCGTGAGGAAGTTTTCTCACTCAAACTTGCTCAATTTGCTTGGCGGCTTGGCTTCACTAGGCGGCGGAAACAAACCCAGGAGCGACACCAAAGACTGCGAGCAGATGAAGCGGCCAGATACATGAGTGAAAGTAGTGAATTGAAAAGGTATGTTTGAAGTTGCAGTAAAGTTTTGTGGGAAATCTATACCGGTAGCATGCCTATTATGTCCATAGGGCAATGCGCGCAACACCATGCTGTCCAGCCCTAGTCACAAAACAATGTTATTGAACGCCGACGCAGATGGATATCATACTAAAACATGCTACTCTGCTTTTTTCTCAAGGTAGTCGTACTTGATTCGCTCGAGCTTCGCAAGCCCCAGAAGCTCTTCTTCTTCATCTTCTGCTGCGCATTGGGTTTTGGAAGGCCGTTGCTGAAGTACGCGCTTTGTGACCCAGTGGCCTGGGGCCCGGGAGGCTGCAGGTAGGGACCAGGGCGGAGCGGCTGCGATGCAGGTACAGGAGGACGATGGAACGGGCCTTGGGTAAGGGGCACGGAGTGTCTTTGCGGGTGTTGTGAGAGAGGTAGGAGATTGCTCTGATCTCCGAACTGTCTCCGGAGCCGTTCAGTCTCCCGGTCTATCTCAGCCTGTCGCCGCCGGCGCTCCTTCTCTTCGTGCTTTCGCCGCCTTTCTTCATCCTCGAGGAACCGCCGCGTCTTTCGCTCTTCCTCTTCTTCTAATTGCTTCCGCCGTGCTTCAGCTTGTCGCCGTTGCTCTCTTGCTTCGGCCTCGACCTGTTCCTTTAGTCGCGCCGTCTCGGCATCCAATTCCCACTGTCGCCGAGGATCAAGCCGCGGACCGGGTTGGTTCTCAGTCTTCAGCGGAGGGAGAGACGTACGTTTGGCTGTGTTGCGGGATGGCTGGTTGTAGAGCCCGGACGCGGGAGGGCTGCTGATATTTTGGACCGGCCGTTGGGCAGGCCGTTGGGGTTGCGCTGGCGGCTGGGGCGTCATTATGGGTGGCATGACGGTTGACGGCTCAAGTGGCGACGAGCCTTTTCGTGTCCGAATGCCGCCGCTGTTCTTGCGCGTGTTGGGGTCCAAGATGTGGTACGACTCGCGCGGGTTGCTGAAGAAGAGGTCCCGAATGGCGGCACCGCCGAGCAGGATGACCACTTCTAGACCTTTGTAGTCCTCCATTTCCACCCTATAGAGGTTCGGCTCCATGATGGTGATCTCCTTCAGCCCAGAGAACAAGGCAACTGCAATATCCGGCTCCTTGTTCTTCTTCGCCTTCTTGCCCACGACATCGGTAGACTTGCCGGTAAGGTAGCAGGTCATGTCCTTGCCAAGCCTACCTTCTTTCCTCCATGCGAAGTTTATCTGCGGGGTGGTGGCGTCGGCACCGGGGTCGTTCATGGTGCGGTCGAGAGTGGAGGAGCTAGGCGTTCGGAAGGAGGTCTGCGGCATGCTGAATTCGTACGAGACAGTCGAGCTCCATTTTGTCGTCTGCTGCTTGACGAGGATCTGCTGGTCTGGGTTGTAGAGCTGAATGGCAAACTCGGTGGGGAAGATGGGCTGCGGAGGGGGTGGGATGCCGCCGTTCCTGCGGATGTCGTCCTGCGACAGCGACGGCTGGGACCACCCTGGCTTTGAGAGCACTTCTCCGTACAGGATGTCGGGGTTGTGAGCGTCGAAGAGAGCTACCGCGTACGTGTTTCGCGCTTCGTTGGAGGCTGGGTCGATGCCCGTAAGCGAGTACGAGGCTTCTGGCTCGGAGCCATGTTGGGTGTAGTAGTAAGATTCGTGGTGCTTGATCTTGTCCGCCGAGGGCTTCAGGAAGAAAGCTGCCGGCGAGTGTTAGCGCATGCCATCGGCAACTAGGCGGGGCTGCATACATACTGGGCAGGGCCTCGTCTAGCATGGCGTCATATTCCGCCTGGTTTTGGTACAGAACGGAGGCAGCGAGAGTCGGGTGCGGTCTGCTGCGTGGCGGGCGTGGCGGGCGTGGGCGGTGTTAAGAAGATCCAAGACGAGCTTCTTTGCTCGAGCATACGCGTTTCGGAGGCGTTGGGTTGCGGCTGTGAGCTTGCTTAGCGCACGGCCCCGCCAATGACGCCCGTCGCCGTTCCCTCGTCAAGGGAAGCGCTATTCTTGGAACATCCCTTCAACTGTCACGGCAGCTATCCACAACCTTTGAACTCGTCGCCGGCCGAACCAACATCGCTTCAAACGTCCTTCAACCCATACGCACGTACCACGGCGTCGCAATGGCCCGGTGCTCATCGTACAAAACTTACCATCGCAATGCCACTACGCGCGTCTCACGATCCACCGCGTTCCGCACAGCCCTCAAGGCCGCGGAAGTACAACGGGCGCAGCCTGCCGGTATATGCCTTGCGCCATGATCCCGGCTCTTCATATCTCTCTTTTTTTTTTTTTCTTGCGTCGAACCATCCGTGATTCTGCGGTTCAGGGTCCACGACTTGACACTTACTGCGGAGAACTGTATCAACCCATTACGCGTCCTCGTTAGCACCACAATCCTCGCAAGAAAAGCGGGTTACGGTAAATTGTTATGTTACTTATTATACCTGACCAAAGGGAACTTGTTACTGCTAAAGAGCGTCATCGTCCCCGACCTAGCCGTCGCGGCCTGTGCGACCTTCCACATTAACCTGCCCTTCCTGCCATTTCACTATCCGTTGAGCCTTGCCTGCTACCATCCAGCACTTACCTCGGCATGAACTATGGCACTCCTCAACAAGTCCAGAGAATGAGGCGTGATAGAACCCGCTATCAAGATCTGCGAGGTCAATGTCACCCTGCTCGTCACCAGGTGCACAGCAGAGCCTGCCTTCAGCGAGCAGAATAACTTCTCTACCGTCGGCGACATATTGGGCTTTGTCCAATCCCAGGTGTACTCACCATGTAGGCCGAGCTCGATGTAATCATCGCGTACCGAGGGAGGTTTGCTGGCTAATCCGTCACCGTTGAAAGTGTACATTGGTGCTACCTTCAACGTTTGTCTGCCAATCACGTGTGTGACAATCCCAAACCTGCCCTTAGCTTGCACGGCCGCTTGGAATCGGGTGCCACCGAGTACCTGAATCGCTTCGCCCTCATCCATTTGATCGAAACCAAGGACGAATGGTTCGATGTAATAGATGATGTCGCCGGCTTTCAGGAGGCCCATGCTGTAGCACGTTACAGTGTCGTAGTGATCGTGCATGTGGTGGAGCAGATCTCGTACATGCCGCAATGTCACGTCAAACTGGTTGGCGACGTACTCACTGCGATGAAGGTACCCTCTTCTCTGGCGGTCGTGCCTGACGTCGGGATGGTCAACGATTGGATCGAGCCCCCGCTGACCACCAGGGCCCTGCCTCAGTGAGTCAAAATACCACTCCATATCAAGTTCCCAGTCGGAGCACCGAATCTCATCTATCGAGGACATTGGTGAAGAATACCTGGACAAAGAGGTGCCCGCCACAGATCGACGAGCAAGAAAGCCACCCGAAGCGGATTGCCGACGTGAGGAACCACCAGACGATCTACGCGAAGAGTAGCTGCCGCTAGAAGCATATTGTGACCAGTAGTCGCCACCCGAGGGCTGCCTACGTGTCGGTCGAGTCGGCTCGTAGTAGTCGTTCCGGCGATCACAGCGCCCCTCGTGGTGCCTGTTCTTCGCATGGTCCCCCGAAGATCGGTGCGAGTAATGTCTGGCCATGGCTAACGTTAGCGATGAATAGAAAAGAGGGAGCAAACCTGTGACCTGACTAGTTGGAAAGATGGAACTGACTTGCCGAAAGCGTTGAGTCTTGTCGATATGCTGCCCAGCAGCAATACTCTGGACGCTTTGGGGATGCCGTAGTCAGTCGATGTGGGTGGATGTTGGTTTGCTGAAGAATGGGACAGGACACCGCATCGACTCCTTTTATTCCACAAACCAACCGGAAGTTGGTATATCCTATACAATGTCGTACATTGCCATTGTAATCTAAGGAAACTGAACTAGCTTTGTTCGATTGTTCGGTGGTTATAAGCGGCATCTAAACAAGGCTTGAAGGGTGGATGTTGCTATTCTAATATAGAACAATCATCCTTTATCTTCCTGACTTAGACAGATAGACAAAGAGCATGGATATGTGATAGGAACGCCGTTTCAACGCCAATAAGACCTCTCCCACTCACTTCGATGGTATATGGCTCGTCCTGCTCATCGAAACTGCAGCTACGACACCGCGATATACATACACACAACACACATCTCTCAGATAAACCCTCTCTGATGTCAAAAAGAATCTCATATTCCACCGCAATGCCACACAAGTCCCAGCGAAGAATCCCTCGCCATCAGAAATCCGCTCTCCGCCCCATAGCCCCACAGCCTACCGAGTTTCCAGGAGCACCATCCACAGCCCTCACAGCACCACCAACCCCCAATAAACCCGCAAACTCATACAACCCCCTACCCGCCGCTCTCGCCCACAAGATGGGCACCCTAATCACCCTCTCCCGCCGCCTCGAATCCATCCTCCATGGCCTCGACTACGGCCTCTTCACCACGCCCAGCGAGCACCGCGACGCCCAAGCCCGCATGAAGCACCTGCGCACCGTCTACAGCAGCCTGCGCCCCCAAGTGGACCGCGAGCTTGCCGCGCTGGGCCATCTCCCCGCGACCGGCGCCCCAATCATCTTCCCAGCGCCCACGACGAAGCCCCCGTCCCCGTTCCCAAACCTCACCACCTCCCACCCCTCCCACAAGCGCAAATACGGCCCCACGTCCCCGCAGTACACGGTGGACAAGGCGCTCAAGCGCAAGGCCGACAGCCAGGGCGGCGCTGCGCCAGCACACGTGCATGTGCTGCCGGTGGCGAAGAAGCAGCGGCTAGATGGCGGCGCGGAGAGTGACTTTGTGGAGACGGACTGCGAGAGTGTGGATGAGGGGAGCAGCGAGGTCCAGGCGGAGTGGCTGCCGGCGCCGATTACGAATTTGGCGGTGGAGAGGCCGTTGAGAGAGGCGGAGAGGAAGAGGATGATGGGGTGGAGTTGGAGTGCGGCAGTGAGGGCGAGGGCGGGGGCCAGGGATGTGATGGTGGATTGTATAAGGAGTCCTTTAGGAACGGGGATGGTGTGGTAGGTTGGGGTGTAGGTGCAAGGTGGTTTGAGGTTGTTTGTTCAGGAAGTTGTCTGCATTGCAGAGGGGTCCCGGCCGAACGTCACTCTACCATGAGCGGAGAGTTCATGCTGCAATGAAGATATTTTCGGTTCTTTCTTTAACACAATGGTGCCCGATGATTGTATACTGTTCACGTGATACCTATGGTATAGCCAATCCGAGCGTTCTTGAGGTGTTTGTGAACTCTGGGCACAGTGAGTAGTTGGTAGAAGCGTACCAGCAGAGTCTACGACCAGTTGCCTACGCGGTCTTCTATTATACTGAGACAGGAGACAGCTAGTGCAGCTAATTCTAGGCGACGAAGGGTGAGCAATGGCTGTGCGAATGAGATGTCTACTTATGTGTCTAAGCACCTAGAGGTAGAACGCGATTGCCCAGTCCTGACACTGGCACTCGCTAGTGCGAATGGTTTGCTTCACACGGTCTTCCATAGGATGTAATGTAGTTTTCGTACGGTATTCGTGGAGGGGACATGAAGGTTCCCCCATTGACCCGTTTCGAGACCTCTGAACAGTCAGGGCGCCAACACTCGAGAAAGGGCGTAACTACTGTGTAATTATGTCTCTGCAACTGATGAAAGTGATGCAGGAAAGGGAGAAAGCCAAATTCTGGCCCGAAGGCGCCAAGTACACTGGCCGAACCCGAGACCGCAAACCGTCCGCAAAGCTTCACGCCGCAAAAGCTATGTGCTTGATAATGATCATTCTATCGACGAACGCCAATCCTTTGCAAGACCCCGGGCATCTCCCTAGCTGCCACCGCCTGACTCCACCAATCATCGAAACGACGATGGCACAACCATCGAACAGGACTGTCAGCTGCGCCCCCTGATCGAGAGCCGCATGATGATGGAGTCTGGCATGTCAAGTTTGATCCTCCTGAAGAATTCCTTCGCGGCCTCGAACGATACAAGAATACAGGCTGTGGAAGACTCGCGACTCCTGGTGGATAAACAGCGTGAGGCAGACACACCCCTACGGTCTCTGTTCAGTGGTGTTTTCGTATATGGAGTTAACTCATGAGCTCCGAAGTCCAGCAGGTACCTAACCATCTCCTTCCTACTATTATGGCACGCGTTCTCTACAAGCTTAACCCAAAAGTCTGATCCAATGTCCCAGAGCTCGGCCTGTGCTCTGATTCTCCTTAGGATATGTGGTGGCTTAATGTTTACATCAAGATGTCCATAGCTCATGCTTGCTTCTCATTATAGTAATCCTGTATGTACAGTCTTTCCTGTTACGGTAGAATATATCCCTATAAAGAGGTTCCACCACCATCGCCCAAGGTCCAAACCTAATTTACCAATCAAAGCGTTGATTTCGGGGCACCGCTCTGACCGCGATACTGCTTCCGTCAAAGGTACCCCTTTTCTAACATGGCAAAATTGAAGTAATAAGCTTACCATTCCAGTCGGGGCAGAGGTTGCAAAGTATTCACATAAAAGCCTGACGCTTCATCTCCTTTTCACGGAGGCGGTGTAGATCATTTTTCGATTATTAAATCTCTCGGCCGGCGGTTACTGGCTCCGTAGTGACGGCTAGGAGATTCAGAACATAACCATGGCACAGGTGAGTAGTTAACAGCTTCTCTTCGGTACACTACATCGAAGTTAAATAGAAGGACTTGATAAGGAGCAGATTGGAGCTCATAATCCTGGTTTTACTGGATTATGTTGGTTAATCGGGAATGGATTGTGTTTGCTTGCTAGGGAGTTTCTCGAAACTGGCCAAAGACAGGCGGTACACACCCATCTCTTCCCAGCGCTCCATCTTGCAAACTGTCTGTGCTTTCCGTAAGCATAGTTGCTATTGAGTTCTGCGCTGGACGCAAGCGATCCACGGATTGATTGTAGAAGACTTCAGACACCTTGCTCAGCCACGCACATCGATTTTCTATCGAGCTTGAACTAGTGACTATTAGCTACACGGGTTTGAGATTGATTTCGCTCTCCGATTTTCATAGTACATTGGTGAAACAAAGACTATAGAATTTTGTAGATATCACACAGGTCAACCGACGCCAGTCATGTGCTCACGAACATGCCAACTAAATACACGCACCCACGAGGACCCTTTCACTTCCAGCACGTTTCAGTAATTCATACGACTCTGCCTCTATATAAACCCGTCAGACCCAGAGATACCAAGCGCAACTCTCGCCCATCAACGCCTTCACATCGAAACCTGCAGATTTCCGAGCGAACCCCAACACTCTTCACCGTCATCATGGCTCCCTTACAGAACCCTTATCACGCTCCTCTCAGGCAGATACAATACCGGAGCTACCTGAAGACGATCGAGCTGTACCACTACTCACATCAAGTTCTCCCAATCTCGCGATTCGAGGAGATGTTCGCCGCCCAAACACCTGGTTTCGTTCGTCGCCTAGAGTCGCGTGATACACTCTGTGATAAGAATGGTCAGGAGAAAAACCACGTCCCGGATGGCGACGAGGTACCCATTGGATTCACTGAAGTCGCGTACTTGTTCAATATATTCCGAAACCGCGGAAGCGCGCAGGCAAGTGGGAGTGCATTGGGTTTCCGTTTTCTGGACGAGGACCGCATTGAGTGGATGTGCTTCGACCGGCCCGTCGATAACTTACTTTCGGGAGCTACAGCGAACGACGGAAGGCACCTGTTCCAGAAGGTGGCAGATCTGGAGCGGGGCGATGGCAGCACGCGCTGGAAAGGCACCGTAGGGGGGTGGCCAGAGCATCGCCAGTGGTGCAACGCGCTAGACAATGCCACCAGGCCTCTCTTAAGGCTCACCATGGTGGAGAGAAGCCGTGCACGTCTCGATGAGCGCAAAGCGCGAGATGCCAGGAATGCCGAACTTCACTCCGATGAGAATAACGAATGAGGGGTCTATAGACCAATCTCAGTCACGGCTCAGAGGACTATGAGGTATGTCTCAAAGGGAAAGCAGCGTTTTCATTCGTGATTAGCTGACTGCTTCAATATCTCAGCCCCACGATCAGTACCTAGGTACCAGTTCAGGGTCACGCGGTCACACGCTGATGGCCATTTTTCGTCAAGCGAAACCTCCGATAGCACAATCCCAGCTTCAGAGCCTGGTTTGATAGTTTTTCAAATAACGTCTGTCCAACCATACCGGGAAGCACGGTGTAACGGGACGCTTTCTCTTCCAGACCCTCGGATTATCCCTAGTTTTCTTGAATATAAACAGTTGTAATGCGCATCCATTCTGCAGCTCTCATTCTCCCAGCACATCAGTCTCCGACGCCGGAAAGCTTGTCGTTAACCATGCTGTCGCTCGCTCTGTTAACGCTGTCCCCAACTCTCCTCTAACACTCCCCAGCTCGTTCGCGACAATAGATATCTGTGAAGAGCTCGGCGGGCTAGAAAACAAGCTAAGGTAGCAAAGACTAAGACGGCAGCGTTAATAAAGGTTGTTTTAAGGTAAGGAGTGTACATCCCGGCAGTTTCTCCGCGCGGACGGCAAGATCGTCAGAATGCGTGCGACCGGACTTTGACAGCCCTTGGCATGCGGCAGCTTGCAGTAGCGTACTGAGATATCTGCGTGCCGCACCGCCCACTGTGGCTGAGACCTGCGACTCTGAGCTGGGGCACTTGATGTGGCGAGCGTCCGCTCAGCCTGATCGCATGCACTGCCTCGACAGGCTGCCTTCACAGCAGCATAAGCTTCATCTGCCTGCTTTGATCCGTCGCGACTATGCTGTTCTACTCTTAACAACACAAAATCGTTCACGCCTCGCCTCCCTTAAACCGAGCCCGAGCTGCAAACGCCATGCGGCTTCTCCACTTCAACACCCTAGGAAGGCTAGTCTTGACAGACTTTCGCGGCAAGACGATCCCGCCATATGCCATTCTGTCGCACAGATGGAGCGAATCCGAGATCCTTATTGAAGACATAGCGAGCGGAGTCTACAAAGAGAGGGAAGAAGGCTACTGAAAGCTCCAGTTTTGCGCTAAACAGGCAGCCCAGGACAAGCTGCAATATTTCTGGATCGACACTTGCTGCATCGACAAGTGGAACCTCTCTGAGCTCTCAAAGGCGATCAACTCGATGTTTCAATGGTACAAAAACGCGACACGATGCTACGTCTTTCTATTAGACGTCTTAGTGTCGACTGCAACAGAGCCAGCCCAACGCAACGACTGGGAGGCTTCGTTCCGCAAAAGTGTATGGTTCACTTGAGGGTGGACCCTCCAAGAGCTTATTGCGCCAGTGTCAGTCGAGTTCTTCTCGCGTGAAGGACATCCCATAGGCGATAAAGCGTCGCTCGGCCAGCTTATTAGTGAGATCACTAGCATCCCGCTTGCGGCATTGCGTAACTGCCCCTTGGACCAGTTCTCTATATCTGAGCGAGAAAGATGGGCCAAAAATCGTAGAACAACTGAAGAGGAAGACATTGTATACTGCCTGCTTAGTATTCTTACTATCTATATGCCTACCGCGTATGGCGAAGGACAGGAGAGTGCACGAAGCAGACTATAGGCAGAAGTCGACGTAGCTGCTAACGTACTATCGATCATCCCGTTCTCACAAAATCCTCGCTTCGTAGGCCGAGAGTCGCAGCTTGCCGAGCTAGAAGCAAAGCTATTTAGCAACGAACAGACCACTACTACACTAGCGATCGTTGGACCTGGTGGGACAGGCAAGTCGCAGCTCGCGCTCGAGGTTGCGCACAGAATAAGGCAAAATATGAAGAACTGCTCAGTCTTTTGGATGGACGTAAGCGACAAAGACAGTCTCTACCAGTCATATGCAAGTGTTGCGCAGAAGCTTGGCATTCCTGGGTGGGATGATGATAAGGCCGATATGAAGCAGCTTGTAGAACGCTGTGTAGTAGAAATTAGTGCGCGACAGTGTTTACTGATATTTGACAACGTAGAGGACACTATTCTACAATCTGGCGGCATGTCCACAACAGAAGCGGTAGAATTGGTGAACTATCTACCGCAGTCTAACCTATGCTCTACTATCTTCACAACAACAAGTTATGGCATAGCTAAGGCGCTTACTTTACAGAGTATTATAGCACTGCAAGAGCTGACACCAGATATGGCGCTAAAGATGCTGCAAACCCGCTTGGCAACGCCGCTTTCAAGCACTGAGCAGCTGGAAGCTAAGAACTTGTTAGGGGGGCTGTTGTATCTACCTCTAGCAGTCGTGCAAGCAGCAGCGTGTATAAATGCTAGCGGCATGACGGTGCAGAATTATCGAGCACAGCTAGATAAGTATAGCAGCAACTCGTCTACAGAACAACTACGGAGCGCTAGTATAACAGATCCTGTGGCTACTACGCTATTTTCCTCCCTGGATCAGATCGTTTGTGAGAATGCACTCGCTACAGACTATCTTTTTCTTGCTGCATGCGTAAACCGGAAAGACATCTTACTCGACCTTCTAGAGGCAGCCTCGCCACAGGCAAAGGAAGATGCCATCATAGTACTTCACAGGTATGCGCTCGTCACTAGGCGACCTACTGAATCAGCACTTGATATTCATCGACTAGTGCATCAAGCTCTACGCAAACGGCTGCAAGCGCAGGGATGGCTCCAACAGTGGACCCAACGCACTATAACACAGCTACTCCAAGTTTTCCCAAGCGACGACCATAATAATAGAAGTAAGTGGAGACGGCTGCTTCCACATGCCCAGTATGCACTGTCGCATAGTCTGACAGATGATAATAATGAAGAGAGATTGAATCTTTCAAGGAAATGTGCCATGACTCTGTATAGTGACGGAAGGTATGAGGAGGCCAAAGAGCTAGAGGTGCAAGTGATGGAGACGAGAAAGAGGGTGCTTGGGGAGGAGCATCC